ATAAAATTTTAGATTGATAAAATTATGTACTATAAATAAATTAAACATAAAATTATTACAAATTGTATCACGCTCCCTTATATTTTCAAAACGTTGTATGAAACCTACCGTAATAAAACTTTTTTTGTATGACAAGAAGATGATCATTTTCTATCGATATATTTTGCATGACGGGGTTTTCATACAATAATTTTGAAGTATAAGGAGACACCCTGCAATTTTTAAAGTAAAGTGGAAGAAATTATTCAGAGTTTTGAAATCATATATTATAAAAATATATACATTTGTAGTTTATTGTTTAATTAGTGTTTTTGAATGAATTTACTTTTATATTAAGTATAAAGAATTATATTGATAAAGTAATACTAGTACTATTTTATTTTGAACTTTGACTTTTTGAATAATTAAAATATACTTCCTCCGTCAGCCTCTAAATGTCACATTTATCTTTTGCGTCATTATATTTAACATAAAAAATATTTGTATAATTTTTTTTTGTACAAATATCATTTTATTAGTATTATAAGACACTAATATAAGTATTTTTACAATTTTTTCTTTAATTTGTACTACGTTTTTTATATGATAAATAATATTCAAAGATCAACGTAGAAAAAATAAAATAAGACCTTAGAGCCGGATGGAAATAATATATTATATATATTGTATTAATGTGTAGTGTTTTTATTTATAATATTTATAAAATTTTCTCCCAAGGCAAGACAAGTACACAAAATAAACAAGCCTTAAGACAATATCGTAAACACCCTAATTAGCAATCAAACAATTTTATAAGGGTGTTTTTGTTCGAGGGTTTAGATTTTAAATTGAGAAGTGAGCAGTAAAAATTTTGAATATAAAGTTATTTTTAAAATAATATAAAAAATAAAAAATAAATTTTTGATTTGATATTTTTGGGGAGAAAAATTTGTGTGAGTAGTGCAAATCCTTTGGAATCCTTCAAAGTTTGAAGGATTTTGGTGGATTTTACTATTCACACAAAATTTTTCTCCCCAAAATGTTAAATTAAACATATATTTTTTATTTTTATATTATATTAAAAATTAATTTTATATTCAAAGTATCAAATAAATACATATTTATATCATATTATACAATTTATTCCAATTCAATTTTTTTACTATTCAAATTTCAATCCAAAATTCAAACTCCTGACAAACACACTCTTAAATGTACTTTTGGAACTACATATATATATATGAAGATATATAGCCATTTGTAATATCTTTCTCAAGTAAATCTAAAATACTCTTCAAGTTCAAGATCAAGATGAAGATCCGTCCATTTAACAGTCGGCAGCAGCGGCGGAGGGCCTCCACTTACGGCGGCGGCGGCGGCGCTGCTACGGCAGTTCAGGGGTGACGTGTCCCCTCAATTCCGCCGTCAGTCACAATACCTTATTTTAATTGGTTTCATGCCCATGCATGCACGCATCATACACATGTATATTTTAATTTATTTCTTAATCAGTCGATTCTAAGTTTTTTTTTTTTAAAAAAAAAATTATTATTTAATTTCTATTATATAATATTATAAAAAAATCTGTATAAAAATATTTTTATTTTTATATTTTTTGGTGGACAAGATAATCAATTCTTTTGTTTAAATCAGGATAACTGAGAAATATAACAAAAAAGTAATTATTATTTATTCATAAGTATATATAATATATATATAAATTAATTAAAAATATAATGATCAATGGAAAAAAAATTCTGTAAATAAAACTTTATAATAATAATAATTATTATTAATATTATTATTATTATTTAAATAAGTGTTGAATGTGATAGATTTATAAAAAAAATGTTACATACTAGTCCCTCCGTCTCATATAATTTGTCCCTATTTTTTATTTTCGTCAGTCTCACATAATTTGTCCTTTCTATTTTTGGAAATATAATTATGCATTTTAATCGCATTTTAAATTTTAAATTTTATAATTTTTTTAATTTTAATTAAATTATTTACTTATGTTAATTTTAATATATAATTATTTTTACTAAATAATAATTATTTTTACTAATACATTTCTTAATTACTTACTAATTATACTTTACCTAAATTTCCGTGTCTACAGTAATACACCCGTATTATATGGGACGGAGGGAATAATAAACTTTTATATTAAATCTTAATTACTGTACAATAAAAAAATTGAAAAATAATCAGTAAGTAATACAGCTTATCGTTCTAAAATTAAAAAATTTGGATGTGTTTGCTCTGGTTTTGTACTATTCATTTTTTTTTTCAAAATTATGTTTTTTAAATTTATTATATTTTATATACATACATATATATAACTCAATTTTCTTTCTATGTTAAATACATAAATATTATATTTAATAAAAATTTTTATTCAAATTATTATTATTCTCAAACTCAAAACTAAAATCCAAAATCTAATAACACACCATTGGTTTGTTTGATTTTGATTTTAAATTGATGTTTTTATTTACATTTTGTTTATATAGCATTCTAATGTGATATTTTGTAATATAAAATAGTATTTACGCCATTCGCTATTAAATTTTTTATTTATCATTTTAGATTGTTCAAATCAAAATTTTTATTTTTATTTTTTTTAAAAAAATTCTTAGTTAAATATCAAAATATTTATATTTTTTACTTTTTAAGAACATAATGAACATTATATTACTTTATTACACTACATATTTATAAAATACTAATTTATATTAATCATAAGTATAAAAAACAAATGATCAAGAATTTAGTCAACACAAGAAGTATATTTTATATTAAAATCATATGAACTAAATAGTAATGAATTTGGTTCAAAATGCAAACCAAACATACACTTATACACTTATATACACTTATCATACACTTATATCTAAAAAGTAATGACTATACATTACTGTTAAAATACTTATATTTCTTAATCTGTATACAAAAGATAAATATAAATCTTAAATTGGATGAAAATTATTATTTTATTTGCATGGTTGTTAATTAAAATGTGTAGTATTATTTATATATATATATATAAAATATTATATCAAAATACTATTTAAACTAAAATTCAAATCAAAATTTTAAACCAAAATCAACAAACCCTAAATTCCAATAACAAAAAAAAAGCTATTCTCTTTGATTATATTTTGAACTTTTTTATTATATAAAATATTGGGTGTGTTTGTTTTGTATTTTAATTTGAATTTTTTGTAATATAAAATATATATAATTGTGTAGATAATATAAAAATAATAAATATATATTGTATATTAATTTTTGAAGAAAAATATATTGATTTTGTTTTTTTTTTTTTTTTAAAAAAAAAGCAAATCCCAGTTATTGTCATTAAAATAATTTATTTTACATATAAAACACAATAGTATTTAAAACTGCTTTGCCTTAAAAATAATAAAAATTGGAAAAAAAAAACCACTCTCTTCAAGTGACTTTAACTGTATTTTTATTTTTATATTATTTATTATAAATACTTTTTCAAAAAATATCATATCAGAATTTATTTAAAATATTATAAAAAAATAATTTTATTTGAAAGTATATTTTATATTCATTCAAATCATAATATTAAAATAATTCAGCAAACTTTTAAAAGGGATTATTATTTTTTAATATGCATAGTAGTATATTGCAAGTTGGTAGAGCGAGAAACTAAAAGGAGCCATGGGGAGGAGCGAAAGTGGCCTGTGGCCTCATTCAAATGAACCTTTTACTTATTAAATTAAATTTCAAATATATATACACAAAAATTGTCTTCTCTTGGATTGGATTTGTGTTCGCCTAATATTTTATTTTTAATTTTGAACTTATTTATTAATAATAATTCTTTTAATAAAAATAATTAAATTTCAAGATTAATTTTCTACATAAAAAAATATATTGAATATTTATTTATATTATAACAAATACTAGTACTTATTTTTATTTAATATGATTAGTACTTTTATTATTTTTAGAAACTTCTAAAGAATACTATTACATTTTTAAAGAATAAATAGGGTAAATTTCATAATAATTCTGTATTTTTAGTATAAATATATAAAAAAATTCATTTTTTTTATAATATGAATTTTTTTCATGTTACATTAAAAGATAAAAAAAAAAAAAAAACACTTTCTACGTCCAAAGTCGATGTCAACTATAAATACACAACTAATTATGTGTTATGCAAATAAATATGTTTGAATGTCTTAAATATTTTTTTGTTGGATAAAAACATATTTTAAAATTTAATAAATAATTTACTTTACAATTTTAAGCTACAACACATTTCGCCATCTTTATTTATAACACATGAATTTTGAATAAAAATAATTTTTTATGCACATTTTAATATAACAACAGTATTTAATAAAAACAATAGGATACTATATAATATTTTATTTTTTTAAAAAAAGGAAAGTCCAATATCAAATTCAAATAAGCAGAGCTATCATGAATCTGGGTTACCGTAGATACAAGATTTTATAATAAATATAATTAGTAAATAATTAAAAATATATTAATAAAAATAATTATTTTATAATATAAATAATTATAAATTAATATTAAATAATTAATTAGTTTAATTAAAATTTTAAAAAAATTAAATGAAATTAAAATATATAATTATTTTTTTTTAAAAAAAAAAAAGATACGATACAATATAAATATGGTAGGTGTGACAAAGAGAGTATTTCTTTGTCCAATAATGATGACTTGAAGGTGTGAAGATTGTTTTATCTGGATCTATTTTGAAGACTATCAGGTTCGACTGAATTATTAAATTATAAAAATTATATACTTTATTTTTGCCATATTTGGATTAAAAGAAAATATTAAAACAAAATAAAAACAGATGAAGTATCTTTTCCAGTGGACGCCAAAATTCTAATTGATTTGTACAAAGATTCCTCGAATTAAATGTGTTAAGTATAAATGTGCATAAATTAATTCCATTTATATCCTTCCTTAACCAATGAACGAACACGAACACGAACACCTTCAGTTTCACTGCCCACAATATACATACACCAAACTGTATCTATCACCTTCTCCCTTCCTCCAATATACAAAAATCCCTTCACGGGCACGTCCCCTTTATTTCTTGCATCCAATTTCTCTGACTTTTCTGGTTTCAGAGCAAACCAGGGTGGATAGTTTCCTTCCCCGTTCATTAATGTTCCCGAAATCTCATCCCTCACGGGTTCCCTTTCAACCGCATTTCCTCAATTCCTACAAATTAAAATAATTAAATATATTCCTTCGATTTCAGTTTCACCATCGCTGCATTCATTTCTTACCGCCTCTGTATTTTTGCTTTTTAGGTTTTTGTTAATGGCAACGGTTCGAAATGCTTTTTCGATCCCCTGTTTTTCAGTTCTGTGCGTCGCCTGGATGATTTCCGGCGCGGCGGCGGAGGCGCCTTCGCCGGCTAAGCCGCCGTTCGCTTGCGACGTGGCGAACAATCCAGGGCTGAGGAACCTCAGCTTCTGCGATACGTCGTTGTATTTGACGAGCCGAGTCGATGACCTGGTGAGCCGGCTGACATTGCCGGAGAAAATCGGGTGGCTCGTGAATAAGGCGACCGGCGTGAGCCGGCTCGGGATTCCGAGCTACGAGTGGTGGTCGGAAGCTCTCCACGGCGTCTCGTACGTCGGTCCGGGGACGAGGTTTTCGTCCCTGGTCCCCGGAGCCACCAGCTTCCCGCAGGTCATCCTCACCGCCGCCACCTTCAACGAGTCTCTGTTCGAAGCCATCGGAAAGGTAAAAACTCAGACACCTTTGCTGATTGTGTCTTTTTTTCCCGACAAATTTCATTCCCATCGCCATTGTTGTCCGAAACTGAAAGCTTTGAAGCTGTCGGTTAAGTTTAATTCCACACGACTGGTAATAAACAAGTAGTTTATAGTTTGGTTTGGCAAATTAGGTGAAGAAACTTGTGTAAGGAATCAAAGAAATTCATCATTAATTACATATTGTATAGTCTTTTGATTCATTGAATGAATTCGATGTATGTACTAAAGCAGGTGGTTTCGACGGAGGCAAGAGCAATGTACAATGTAGGATTAGCAGGGCTAACGTTCTGGTCTCCGAACATCAACATATTTCGCGATCCGAGATGGGGCCGAGGCCAAGAAACTCCCGGAGAAGATCCATTCCTCGCCAGTGTATATGGCGCTGCGTATGTAAGAGGATTGCAGCAGCGCGAAGATGGCGATTCAGACAGCCTCAAAGTCGCGGCGTGCTGTAAGCACTACACGGCGTATGATTTGGACAACTGGAAAGGGATTCAACGATACACTTTCGACGCATTGGTAGCGTGCCGGATTCAAATTTTTTCTTACATCGTTTATAAGCCATCGATCGACTGAATGTCTTGATTCTGCGATGATCCCCTGTGATAGGTGACGCCGCAGGACATGGAGGACACGTTCCAGCCGCCGTTCGAGAGCTGCGTAGTCGATGGCAATGTCGCGAGCGTCATGTGTTCTTACAACCAAGTGAATGGCAAGCCGACATGCGGCGACCCCGACTTGTTATCCGGCGTCGTAAGAGGACAATGGAATCTTAACGGCTACATTGTCTCTGACTGCGATTCGCTGAAGGAGATGTTCTACAACCAGAAGTACACGAAAACGCCGGAGGAGACGGCGGCATTGGCCGTAAACTCGGGTTTGGATCTCAACTGCGGATCCTTCCTCAGCAACCACGCCGAGGCAGCCGTCGACCGTGGGCTGCTGAATACAACGGCGATCGATCGAGCTGTCTCGAACAATTTCGCGACGATGATGAGATTGGGTTTCTTCGATGGCGACCCGAGGAACCAATTTTACGGAAATCTCGGCCCTAAAGACGTGTGTACGCCGACGAGCCAAGAACTTGCGCGCGAAGCTGCTCGGCAGGGGATTGTGCTGTTGAAAAACATCGAAGGCTCGCTGCCTTTATCTCTGGCGGCAATCGAGTCCTTGGCGGTCATCGGGCCTAATGCTAACGCGACGCACACCATGTTAGGCAACTACGAAGGTATTCTCGGCTATTTACGCGCTAAACGCCGGTCGGTGTTTCATGGATTCTAACTGTAATTTTAGGCAGCCCGTGCAAGTGCACGAGCCCGTTGCAGGGTTTAACGGCATCTGTCAGGACGGTGTACGAGCCGGGCTGTGCGACGGTCTTGTGTCCGAAGGCTCGAGTGGATGCTGCGAGGAAAGTCGCGGCGGCTGCTGATGCTGTGGTGTTAGTCGTGGGCTCGGATCAGTCCGTTGAGCGGGAAAGCCTCGACAGGACGGCGATCACTCTACCCGGCCAGCAGCAGCTCTTGGTGTCTCAGGTCGCGAATGCGTCGAAAGGGCCGGTGATTCTTGTCATAATGTCAGGAGGAGGGATCGACGTGCAATTCGCAAAAGACGACCCCAAGGTCTCGAGCATCCTTTGGGCCGGCTTCCCCGGAGAAGCCGGTGGCGCTGCCATTGCCGACATCATATTCGGATACTACAACCCGAGTAAGTTCTAACACGGCATATTGATACTTAAAGTATGATATTGTTTGCTTTTGGACTTCTCTAAGGTTAGATGATCAGAACGATTGTTTTACCTAAACGTTTATTTTTTGACTTCTCTAATGTGAGACGATCAGATCGTCTCATTTAAAAATTTAAATTATTAGGCTCTGAAATCAGATTAGATGATCAAAATGACTATCTAACCTAATAACTTAAACGGTTAGAGATACGCATCATTAATTATTTTTCAAATATAGGAGAGTCCCCAACATCTAAAAGATCTCGTACTATGTAGAGTTTGTTGGAGCTTCTCCTTTGTGCATATATAAATTAATGGCTGCATTTTTCTGACAGTTCTAACTTTTTTTTGTCTATCTGATGTAGGTGGAAGACTACCGATGACTTGGTACCCGCAAGCGTACGTAGAAAAAGTTAACATGTCGGACATGCACATGAGAGCCGATACCGAAAAAGGGTACCCGGGCCGGACGTACCGTTTCTACGAGGGACCAACGGTGTTCTCATTCGCCGACGGCCTGAGCTACTCGGAATTCAGGTACAAGTCGGTGAAAGCTCCAACGTCGGTGTCGCTTGAGTTGGATGACGGGCACGAATGCCTCCGGCGCAATTCGACGGCTTGCGAATGGGTCGATGCTTCGACGATGACCACGAATACGTGCAAGAATACGAGAATGGAAGTCCGGGTTGTGGTGGAGAATGCAGGGGAAAGGAGGGGAGGGCACACAGTGTTGCTGTTCTGGGAATGGAAATGGAAATGGAAGAAGCTGGTAGGGATAAAGAAGATGGAGATGGAGGGGTTGGGGGAAGGGGTGGGTGTATTGGAGGTGGATTTGTGCAGACATTTGAGTGTTGTGGATGAGATGGGGAAGAGGCATGTTCCCTTAGGACAGCATCTTCTTCGTGTTGGGACACTCACACATTCATTTGTTCTTGGGATTATTTGAACATTGATTCTTGATTTGTTTGAATCCTCGTATTGTCTTGTCTATTTGTTTGATTCGACATCAAGATCAAGAAAGAATGTTAGTTGGGTTTTTTAATTTGAAATTGTGCATAACGAATTGTTAATCTGCGTGTGTACTGTACTGTTAACTGTAAACTGCACTGCCCCTTGATAATTTTAAAGATGGCCAAAAAAATATTGGGTATACTCCAATTGGAATATATATATATATATATCTTCCTACGGCTCTAAAATTTCATTTACTTTTTTTGTGTGTTGATATTTAAATATTAATTACTTTCCTCGTCTCAAAAGTAAGTATTCATTTACTTTTTGTACGTAATTTTAAAAATATTAGTATTATATTGGGATATAGTAAGAATAAAATATAAATTACTAAAATAACCTTATTAGTACGTGTGATATAAAGGTAACGACATTTGTGTAATATATTGTAAGTTGTAAAGGTATTTGTAATGTTAGGTAGATAGTACAGTTACTAAAAAATGAAATGTAATGTTATGGGACAAAGGGAGTATTATAATAAAATATAGTTCAAATTTTTTAAAAAGTACAAAAATACTTTAATTAGTGTATTATAATACTAATCGGATGACATTTGTATATAAAATTATATAAATATAAGAATACTTCAATGTTAATTATAATGGTGTAAAAGATAAATGTGACCGGTAGAGACGGACAAAAGGAGTACTTTTTTTTTACTACATATAAATTCGCAGCCGCTATCCGAAAGTGCGCATTGGGTAAACCCCGATCGAACCTAATACCCTTGCTAATTAGGCATGGTAAAACAAGTCACACTAACGAACCATGTGTAACAAGTGGACTCCTTTGAGTTAGACTTAAGTTTTAACATGGTATGTAGTTTTTACCTTTTATAATAATAAAATTTTGAAAAATGATTGTAAATAATGGAACTTTTTACTAAAATACACAACTCACGCAATGAATGCTTTCATGGATTTATGGTCGGGAGATCATGAATTTAAATTATGATACCTCTAAGTCTTATCTGTTACGCAGGATTTGTGCAGTATGACTTGACTTGTCTTACCAAATTTAAAATAGCAATGAGCCAAATTTCACGTCATCAAAATAAATAAATAAATAAATAAATAAGAATGAAATTTTTTAACAATACCTATATTTATAGAGTATGAGAAGTTGAAATTTGGAGGATAGTATTGAAAATATTTGCTGTTAAAAAATGATGTGTTCACAAATATATATTTTTAGTTAATAATACAAAAAAAAAAAAAAATCTATACATACTCACACAAATATAATAATATATTATATCCATTTACAAAATAGATAATAATTCAATAAATATATATATTTTATATTATCAATATGATTATCTGAATACACATAAATATATTTATTTATTTAAAAAAAAAACAAGAATTATTATAAGTAAGCTCCATTTCATTTTTTTTTTGTTTTTTTTCAAAAAAACTTGTTTGTGGTAAAAAAATATTGAAAACATATTGCTAAGTTTGGTCCAACTAACATCCAAACGAACCCTCAATGCCATAAACATATTGAATTTTGGCATCATTTCATTCTATCAATGCTACAAAATAAGAAAATTTGTTTGGAGAATGTCAAAATATTGACACAAGTTGTTGATACACTCATGAGATCCATTGAAAATTTGAGGAGTTGCAACAATTCAAAGAAGAAATGTTATATATTAACAGAGGTGCTAATAACTTACAATTTTCAAATAACTTTTGTAGCTACACCTTGACATTTCCAAATTTTTATACTCCCTCTATCCTAGAATTATAGCCGGGGTTGAATTTGATACGAGATTTAACGAATATTAATATTATATTGGTAGTTAGTAAAAAGTACATGTAAAAAGATTTTTTTCTCCTTGTGAGTGTATTAGTGTAAAAAATAGTGACAATTGTGTAATAATAAAGAAAAAGTAAGGGTAGTTTTATAGTGATATGATTATTTATGGAAATGAGACTATTGTTTTGGAACGAACAAAAATAGTAAACAGAACTATTGTATTGGGACGAAGAGAGTATATCTAATTCAAACTTTGCATGCTTGTTTGAATCTACTATAAAAATTCAAATATAAGTAAATGCAAAGCAATCAATTAAAGAAAAAAAATTATAAGAACCAAAAAAGAAAAACAAAATGCAAGTATTTAGAGATATTGATCTTATAAGAGAGTATGTCAAAACTTTCCCTTTGTCATTAATATCATATTACATTATTCGTGGTGTCGTAAATTATACATACTATACAATTTTTTAAAGTTCAAATATCGATTTTCCCCCAAATATAACAATCAATTGAATTTTATATCATTTCTCCACTGATGTCCTCAATTTCATTTTCATTGTCTTCTTCTTTTAGCGGACCACCATCTAACCTCGCCTCCTATATATTCTATTCTATTTCCATTACCACCATTGCACGTGTATCTCAATCTTTCACTTTTTTCTCATCTATATATTTTTATCTCGTTTTATCATATGTGTAGTGTTAGTCAACTCTACTATAGTTTTTTTGTGACGCTATTGTTTCAACTCTTTGCCCATCTTAGTTGCAATTTTCTCCTCCACTTCAATCTCCTTCTTGCCATCTTTTTCGATGTCGCTGTCTTTTTTTGTTGCTCTTCGTTATACCAGTCGAGATTATTATTATTTTTTTTTTTAAAAAGAATGATTAGAAGAATTAATGATAAAATAGTGACTAAAACACCAATATCATTCATTGAGGATTAAAATTGGCATGGGTATAATAATAATAATAATAATAATAATAATAATAAAGGGTAGATACTAAAACACACTGAAATTTGTTTGAAGATTTTGAATTATACTATTCAAATATAAACAAGTTAGATCTAATTTCAATATTTCCCTTTTTTTTTTTTTTTTTTTTTAATGACTATTGAGTAGAAGTCCGTGTGGAATATTGATTTGAAATTGTCTCATTTGTTTGGCATGATTCCATGAATGATTCCTCCTTCAATACTCACTTCATCTCAGCATGCATCCATTCATTAAATCATTGCAAAAAAATATCTAACATTTTTATTCTATTATCACTTTTGTCCAAAATATGTCTCGTATATTTACAAAAGTTGTTATTTATGTTCTTTGCCCGCGCGGCCAAATGATAAAAATAACGACTTTTGCAAATATGTAAAATATATTTTGTCAGTGAAATAAATATAGGACAAAAGTAATGATTGAGTATACGTGTGAGATATTTTTTGCAATTTTCCCTTATTATTATTATTATTATTTAATCTTTCAATTGAACTCTAAAATTAAACATTACAACTAACATCTATTTTTCATGCAAAAGATAACATTTAGCGATTATTCCATCTAAAAAACAAACATGAAGCAAAAAAAAAGAAAAAAAAAATTTCGAAGAGTTTTTTTATTTTTGTTTTTGTTTTAATATTTAATATTCATAACTTTTATTCTTTTTATTTTATAATTTTTTTCTTATTATTATTCAATTAAAATAAATTTCAACTCCTTTTCTATTACTATTTTCAAACTCTCGCAACAAGAAAATATCAATTTTGTAACAACGTTTTTTTATCTCTAAATCACTTTTTCCGTTATCAATGACATTAGAGACAAAATTAAAAAGAGAATTGTGTTAACTACGTAAACTTTAGAGACGAAATTCCGTTACTAAAATATATATATATATATATTTTTTTTTTGTGTGTCTAGGCCCAAACCTAGGAAAACTTCAAATTCCCTGTCAATTCGATCTACTTGTCTGCAAATATCCTTAATTATGCATTCTATTGGTTATTTTGAATTACAAATAAATAACTAATTTATATACATATACATATATGAGAAATTAGAAATTAATACAAAGTCGAGTAGTTCGACCTTCTAGAAATTCATACATTACTTATTTATTATTATTATTATTATTATTAGGCTTTTTTATTATTTCGCATAAGCTCCATCGTGTGGACATAATTTAATTAAAGTCAAAAGTTTTACATATGTAACATATTTTCTAACATTGTTAATTAATTAGAAGAATAAACTTATAATTAACTGCTACGTTGAATATTTTGCATGACATGACATGAACATAAAGTATTTTTATAAAGATTTAATTAATTATTATTTATTTCTCGAATAAATAAAAATAAATAATTTTTACTGGGGCAAACATTCATCATAGTCATTTCTATATAATAATAATAATAATAATAATAATAATAAATATATGTTTCTCTTTTTTGTGAATTCTAAACCTCATATAATATTTAAATTTGATTTTGTAATTAATATTATTATGCTTAGTTATTTGATCGTAGATTATACTCCGTCCCAAATACCGTGCAACATTTTATTTTTGATATGTCCAAAACACCTGCAACATTTTCAAAATATGAAATAATTAATTATACTTAATCTCTATTTCACACTTTATTCCATCACATCATCCAAATAAAACCATCACATCACCTAATTTCTAAATTATCCTACTTAATACTACCCACCTAAAAATTTGTGCCCAAAACAAATATTGAACCTTATTTGGGACGAGGGAGTACATTTTTGTCCCAAATTATTGTATTTTTTTATGAATCCACCAGCCATAAGGCCCACAACCCAAATACCAAATATTGTGAATTAGGGGAATTAATGACAAAGAACTCAAACTTGCATTTGCATCCAAACTAATTACGTATTTGTAAACTAACCACGTAAGTTACGCAAAATAGTAAATAGTATAGAATAAAGAATTAATGCAAAGAATCAAGAACAATCTTTTGCCAAAAATACATTTTATTAAATTGTTAAATAGAAAAACAGCCAGTAATAGTAAGTTCAATCATTACCTTAGAATTTAATAAACCACATAAGGTCAAATGAGTCTGTATTGTTTAATTTATTTAAAAAGCTGTGTACGTCTCTACCTCATTGGAATTGACGAACCTCACCATATCTTCAAAAAGAAATCTAACAATATAAAATATAGTCAATGTGCCTTTTAGTCATTTTTTTATTTTTTATTTTTGCTAAAAAAAGAAAAAAATCTATATTATTATTATTATTTTTAAATTTATGTCCAATCAAATAAACACACAATTAAATGATATAGAAATATTAAATAATCAGTAATATATACCCAATTAAATTATTTCCGAAAAAAAAAAAAGAAAAAAAAAGAGGACCTTTCTATATATACAGCCCCACACTAACGTCCAATTTGACGATCATATTAATGAAATAAATTCGCTGAATAAAATTAAAAACAATGCATGCATAAGTTAATTTATTAAAGATTTTTAAAAAAAGGGAAAAAAAATAAAATAAAATTGTATGTATCTACGTCGTCGTTGACTTGAAACTCTCTCTCTCTCTCTCTCTCTAATTTAGCTACAACTGTTTTGTGTATACTCCTCCTCTCCTCCATTAATTCGTATTTTCCCAGCTCCTAAGACTAGGACGGATGCATCTTCAGGTACATCGAACCTGGACTCAATTCCGACCGCCTATACTTGTAGATATATATATACACACATATATATAATATATATTATCGTATTATTTATTTATTAAATATGTATCGACGACGATGATCTGTCGCTTCCGTCGTCGTACGTCGGAAGAACGTATCGGTCGGTCGGTCGGAGCGAGCGATATTAATTCTTAAATACTCCTATTACGTAGTGTTTGTTGAAATATATATCTAATTATTTTTTTTTTATCAGATATATATATCTAATTTAGTTTGTGACGACAGAGTGTTAGTTTGTTGGATCGAATTACAAAATGGTGATGTAGATGAAGGTGCAGAGGTGTAGAGAGAGCATTCATTATTCTCAATTTCCGGTAAATGCAGAAGTTCGCCGGTGACCGATTAGGGTTTTGACTAGTCAACCGGTTTGCCAAGAGGTAAAACTTTGCCATACTGTTTACAGTTTACTCACATTTTATAAAGATTTTTGTTATTTTATTTTATTTTTAACAAAATTATAGTTTTTATTTTATTTTTAAAAATGTAAAAAACTTTTATCTTAACGTTGCGTATTACTAACACACTGAATTATCCAACCGGGTGGAGTTTGGGAGCAATTAGGGGTAGACGAGTGGGAACTAATAAATAAATAAATAAATCTTGGGCCTAAGCCGAAGCCATGAAGCTACCTAGGTATAGGGGGTAGGGTAGGGTAGGGTAGGGGGCTAGGGGCGTTTGCTCTCGAAATTTCTCATCGATTTTGTGATCATTATTAAAGTTGTTTTTGTCTTCATTCGGAAATAAAGATTTGTTTGATGTTGGGTTACTCACACGCTGCAATATTTTTTTTTTTGTATGTTTTAAATACGCTGTAACATTTTTAAAATAAAAAATAATTAATTATACTTAATTTTTACCCCACACTTTATCCCCTCACATTATCTAAATAAAAAAAAATACTCCCTAAGTCCAAGCTAAAAGTATACAATTACTTTTGGCGCGAAGATTAAGAAATAATAGTATTTTAATTAGAGTAGGTAGGTAAAAGTAGTAAAATTAACATTTTTGCCCTTACTTTTTTGATATAAAAGTAATGATGTGATGTAAAATAAGGGTATTTGTGGAAAAAAATGGGATATTTAATAAAATGGTTACTTTGTAATTGGACGTCCCAAAATAGAAATATGTATACTTTCTAACTGGACGAAGGAAGTATATATATTTCTATCTCCATCACATCACCTAATTTCTAAATTATTTTACTTAATACTATCCGCCTAAAAACTAATGCCAAAAATAAATATTACATTTTGTTTGAAACAGAGGAAATATTATTTTTATTTGAATTTGAATTTATATAATATTTTATATAAAAATATTTGTGCCAATTAAATAATAATATTGGTAGATAGGCTAACACTTCATTTCAAAAAATAGATAGGATAGAAGTGTATTATTATTATAATGAACCATTATTAATTTTAGAATGTAAGTAATAAATGATAAATTGGAGTATAGTTTTGTGCAACTGTAAGTAATAAATGATAAATTAGAGTATACTTTTGTGCAACTTTAAAAATATCAAATCATACACATATTTTTTATTTTTTATATTATACTAAAAATCAATTTTACATTTAAAACATTACATAACACCTATTTATATCACATCATACAACTATTTAAATTCAAAATTCTTACTATTCAAATCGCAATTCAAAATCCAAACCGCCAAACAAACACACCCCTAGATTACGGATGTGTTTTGATGTTTTGTGAAAAAATAAATATATTTGATGTGATATTTGTGTTGTGATTGAACCAATTAACACTAATATGATACTATGTAATTTGATGCTGATGTTTTTGGACTTGTTTCAAAAAATCTCATTATTAGTGGAATTCATTTGAAATTTATTTTTTCACTTCTAATGTGAGAGTTGGGTTTCTATCCCATCAACAATGCAACATATTATCATCGTAATATATTTATAAAATATTGGATTTCGTTGTAACGATTTTGCTCATTAGTGATCTATTTAGATTTTTAACCATTCAATTGTCATTTTCTTTTTTAAATCAAAACTCAAACTCTAAATTAAAGAAACAAGTAATATAATAAATCCATCCTTTTTTTAAATGGATTTATTGTTTAAAGTCACACGCATATATAATTAACTAATTAAGTCATTAAATGGAATATAGGATTAAGTAAGTAAAAATTTATTTATTTAATTTAAAATATAAGGATAAAAACATCTATTTAGTACTAGTAATTATAAACTGGAAAGAAAGGAAGTGGGTAATAAAAATGTCAGGTTTCTAGAAGATACGCGGCCACCCTGATTGGGAAGGTTCCGTTCCATTATGCTGCTGCTGATCAACATTTACATATATACTTATAGACTGCTTTCTATCATTATTATTATTATCATTATTATTATTATAACGTCCGAATCCGCAGCCGATACACTTAGACGAACCAGGTATTATAAAGACATCAAAATTTGAAATTCGTGAATTCATTCATTCCCACACCCACTAGGCCATACTTACGGACAGGCTAGGCCGTCCCACCCACTTGCAATGGGAATTAGAGAAGAGAAGAGAAGAGGCTGACTTATTTGTCTGATTCTGCCTTTCATTTAATAATTCCAGCCATTCTTAATGAATTAACTAATTAATTAAAGGGACAGATTGTCTCTTCTTTCTCTCCCTCCCTCTGTCTCGTGAGAAAATTCTAAAAGGTAGGCTGTAAGTGGGGCAGGGCAGGGAAGGGCACCCAAAGACTACTACTACTACTACTACTACTACTACTACTGTGTGCATGTATTGATGTTATGTATGTCTCGTAGACTCACCCACCCACCTCTTCTTAAGTCAAGACACAACCCTTGTCGCTCTCTATCTCTCTTGCTACTCAATCTATTTAATTAATGTATCTAAGTGTAATCACAGGATATATATACTACTACTACTAGTATGTTGTTGGTTGGTTAATCTAATCTCTAATCTCAGGGCAGTTTAGCCTTGCCTTGCCATCCATATATACATACTCATTCCCATCAGTTGACCTCATCTCACCTCATTATATAATGATGCATTGGGCAATCCTAACTCTTGCATTCCATTTCATTCACTGCTCTCTCTCTGCCCTTGAGCTTTTCTTCTTCTTTCTTCCATGTTTAGATTACTAACCATCCATATACATCTCTCTTTTCAATTAATTCATTAGTTAGTTGGTACGTAGCAGCAGCAGCAGGTGGAGGGAGGGAGAAGGAGATATGGGAGGTCCAACTGCTGCTTCTAATTCTCAAGGAAACTCAAACTCACAAGACAATTCACCTCCCTATGTTCACAAGGTTGGAATACCTCCAAAGCAAAGCCTCTTCAAGGAAGTCAAGTTCGGCATCAAGGAGACCTTCTTCCACGACGACCCTCTTCGTCCCTTCAAGGATCAGCCCAAGTCCACCAAGCTTCTCCTTGCCATACGTGCTCTCTTCCCAATCCTCGACTGGGGACGCCATTACAAACTCCACATGTTCAAAGGTGACCTCATCGCCGGACTCACCATTGCCAGTCTCTGCATCCCTCAGGTACCCCTACCCCTACCCCTACCCCAACCCCAACCTACTACTTACCAATCATTTATACTAATTCAGAATCATCAGCAGCAAATATAACTATGCAGGACATAGCTTACTCGAAGCTGGCGAATTTGGATCCTCAGTTCGGCCTATGTCAGTGAGCTGAGCTTCTAAACTGCATTTACTTCTTCTTCTTCTTCCTCAGATATATGACAGTCTCTTACCCAATGAATTGCATCTTCCATTTGCATGCAGACACTAGTTTCGTCCCGCCCTTGATTTATGCTGTCATGGGGAGCTCCAGAGACATTGCCATTGGCCCTGTGGCTGTCGTGTCTCTCTTGCTTGGAAGCATGCTTCAGAATGAGATCGATCCCAAAAACAAACATGAGTACCAGCGGCTCGCTTTCACTGCTACATTCTTCGCCGGAATCACTCAATTTCTCCTCGGATTCTTCAGGCATTCATTCATTCATTTGCTCTTCTTTTCGCACATTTAATTAATACTGCCAATTTGTCTTTCCTAACAGCTTCCATCATCTCTGCTTCTTTCAGGCTCGGTTTCTTGATCGACTTCCTCTCCCATGCTGCCATTGTTGGATTCATGGCCGGAGCAGCCATCACCATCAGCCTCCAACAACTCAAGGGCTTGTTCGGCATCAAGCAATTCACCAAGAAAACTGACATAGTTTCCGTCATGCGCTCCGTGCTCACTAGAGCCCATCACGGCGTAACATCATCATCATTCATTCTCTCCAACATTCTTTCTACACCTTAAAAAACATTTGTAGATGATCATCCTCGAACTAATTCAGTACCTACTTACATTTATATGTGGCAGTGGAATTGGGAGACAATCGTTATCGGACTTGTATTCTTAGCCTTACTTCTCCTTGCAAAGTTCATCGTAAGAACCCCCCCAAACTTAAATCCAGCCAAGCTCCACACAACACCAAAGCTCACCACCACATTTGTTCTGTTTTGTTGAATTCAGGGAAAGAAGAACAAGAAACTGTTCTGGATTCCTGCCATAGCTCCACTGCTATCAGTAATCATCGCAACCCTCTTCGTCTTCATCACGCATGCTGAAAAGAACGACGTTCAGATTGTGAGTAGTAACCAAACATGACAAGATTCTCCTTCATACCTATATATGCATCCTTCTTTAACATCACTCTGTATGAAGGTTAACCATATTGACAGAGGCATCAACCCTCCATCATTAAATGAGATCCATTTCACAGGCAGCTATGCCGCCACTGGCTTCAGAATTGGCGCTGTCGCTGGAATGGTTGGACTTACGGTAACTACAAACTACTCCTGTGTGTCTTGTCTCCCTGACTCGCGCAACTAGCTAACATCTTGTGTCTCCCAGGAAGCAGTAGCGATAGGTAGAACTTTTGCATCAATGAAGGATTATCATCTAGATGGAAACAAAGAAATGGTAGCATTAGGCACCATGAATGTCGTCGGCTCAATGACATCTTGTTACGTCGCCACAGGTCAATACCTGAATTTCTTCGATTATTTCTTGCCAAACACATATCTGATCTACACGATGTTCCAACTTCTATCTTAGGGTCCTTTTCGCGCTCCGCTGTCAACTTCATGGCTGGATGCAACACGGCAGTATCAAATATCGTAATGTCCTGTGCTGTCCTGCTGACGCTTGAAGTGATCACACCTCTGTTCAAATACACTCCGAATGCGATCCTGGCTTCGATCATCATATCAGCTGTAGTTGGGCTGTTCGACTACGAAGCAATGATCCTCATTTGGAAGATTGATAAATTCGACTTTGTCGCCTGCATGGGAGCCTTTTTTGGCGTTGTCTTTGCCTCTGTCGAAATTGGGCTTCTGATTGCAGTGGCCATTTCCTTCGCCAAGATTCTTCTCCAAGTGACACGGCCACGGACAGCAGTGCTCGGAAAAATCCCCAGAACTCAAGTTTACAGGAACATTCAGCAGTATCCGGAGGCGACTAAGATCCCCGGACTCCTGATCGTTAGAGCAGATTCCGCCATCTACTTTTCCAACTCCAACTATGTCAGGGAAAGGTATAGACTGTCTCTATAAATCCATAACTCAACAACAGAACAAAATGGTTCATCTTTCAATCCAAATCCAGGATACTGAGACTTCTGGCTGATGAGGAGGAAGAGATTAAAGAGAATAGCCAGCAGAGAATCCATTATTTGATAGTCGAGATGGCGCGTAAGTGATCTATCTCTGAAGCATGTCGAAACATTCCTAACCCCAGCTCAAAACTTACAGTTGTTCTCTTGTTTGTCTAGCTGTAACTGATATCGATACTAGCGGCATTCATGCTCTGGAAGATCTCCACAGAAGTCTACATAAGCGCGACATAAAGGTACAGGTGACTCCATGTCGTTCAATAATAAATAGTACTTCATCAAGGAGCGATTCATCCTTCCCGAACGTGACAATGGTTTCTCATGTTTGTTTCACAGCTTGTTCTAGCAAATCCAGGGCAGGCAGTGCTGGACAAGCTGCATGCATCGAGCTTGGCCAACACAATCGGAGAAGACCATATCTTTCTGAGTGTTGCGGATGCTGTCATGACTTTGGCCCCAAAGACAGAACCTTGAGGTCTTTTTTGTGTCCGAACAGGTTAACAGATCGATAAGAATTAATAATGTTAGAGGTTAAAGGTATATATGTAATCCAAACAAAGTAGTACTCGTAGTCTCACAAATAGGATGAAGATTTCATTTTATATATGCATACACTGTAAACATTATCCGGGCGGGATTGCAATGACTACATTTTCAAATGACTATTTTGAGAGAAGCTCGTAGTAAATATATGACTAATCAACAATTATAAGAGGCTGCCATCAAGGTGATACTGCCAAATTGGTAACAAGAACATAGAAGCCTCTCGAATGGGATAACAGAATCAACAATCACCAGATGCTGTTAGAATAAAGTAAGTGCTGATACAAGGGTTACCACGACGAGCACGAGCAAATCATACGCTGTGGCTAGTGAAGCAGAACTGAGGGTATGAGGGTCTGGGGGAGGTGCAACTTCAGTGACTCCACCTGGTGCCGAGCTAGCTGATGGAGGGGGTGCTGCAAACATCGATTTTAGTATATAGTCATGGTTAAATAGAAATGGAAAAATCTGAGTGCAAAATCTGAAATACCTGGGGGAGGACTTGTACCAAAGCTCACTGTTGACAGAGAAGGGAAGAGCAAATTCAGGTTAGATTCACCTTGTACAAAATAACAAGAAGAACTCAGTAATGAAACTCACAGCTACAATGGCTGATGGATAGATCGGAGACACGACAGATGGAGGGGAGCGTCAATGCCATGGTCACATTGAAAGTCACACCTAAAACCATGGTGTTGTTGAATGCCTCACAGAGACATTCAACGCCAGTTTCAAGTACAACCTTGAGCCCTGAACAGCACATTTCATCAGGGTTCTGCATTGTGCTTCCAGGTGTCATAATTGGCAGACAGGCAGCCATGTTCAGCATCAGCATGCTGGAGCAGTCCGTGCCAAAAGCTACGGGGAAGGTGAAAAGAATGTAGAGTAGGAGAAGTCTCGGTGCCACCATCGCCATTCTGCTTTTCCAAATCTGAAAAATACAAGTAATGTGTGATTAATGAGTGAATGTGTGTGTGTATGTATATATAATTATATATATATATATATATATATATAGAAGCCATGGATGAGAGGTTAGGTGCTCCATGTCTTGGATGGCAGTATGGCACCCCTCCACACTAATCATGCCGCTGATTCACATTGTTCACTCATGGTGTGGATTTGACCCCACCCAATTGGGCCATGTGTGCATCCTACTAGAAAATTGAAATCATGAGTTATCAGGAGTCACATGTATAATGAAGATTGTAACTGATCGAAACAACCTTCCATTTCAAGATGACAAAAACCTTATTTCATAGGCAACATATAAAGCTGGAAAAGGAAAGACCACTGATTTTTATTCTTGTCCCATGATGGCCAAACACCATGTCAAAATAGGGGTACCTCTTATCTGAGGAAGTTTGAAGACAAATCACTTCTATCAAATAACATAAAAACCCGATCGATCTTAGAATTTGACATTATCATTCGAGGAAAAACAGGAGACGGATGCTGAGCTTGTCAAACAGCAACATACAATACATGGTTAAGAGTATCATTCATTCCCCATGGCCATCAAGAATTCGCCCTCACAGGCAACTTCGCCACCTACGTATGCTTTTCCTTCCATCTTTGCTATTCCAAAGCGTTTCTGGAGCTTGACAAGGTTCATTCTCATTACCAAGGTGTCTCCTGCGATAACTGGCCTCCTGAATCTTACTTTATCGACTCCAGCAAAGAAGAAATTTTCACGTGAGCCTCCCACTTCTGGCTGCAGCATGACCAATCCTCCAACCTGGGCCATTGCCTAAATCCACCAGCATAGAATACATCATTTTACGTACCATCATTGAAAATATGCATTTCATAACTATGGAAGTAAGCAGCTCCTATCATTGTTATAATTCACATTTGAGAGAGTAAATTAGTAATAGAGAAAAGAGAGAAGGCCAGATAAAGCGGAAATTCTTCATAATTTGGCAAAGGAACTATCTCATAAAAATCAGGGGAGTTGAAGTAGGATAGAGACGTTGCATTGAAAATAAACCAAAAAAGAATCACAGAAAGCTCTAATGCACTTAAGTCTGCTACAGCAAACAATAACAAAATTTGAAAATTCAAGAAAGGGAGAAATGAATACCAAAAAGAAATTTTATTTTTCTAGTTTTCTAACTTCCTACATCCTTCCAATATATATACATATACATATATATATATATATTTCCTCCTACTTTGGAGAAGAGAATCAATAATGATTTAAAAATAATAGCAAATAAATTAATAATAATGAGGAATCCCCCAGTCTGAAGTCGTGGCAAAGTAATTTTAGCCAAAAACCTTAAAAGATGTTACCATTTTGGCCTTTCCAATCGATTGAGTTTTACAATAAGAAACACATAATTCAACAAAACATAGTCTCACAGTCACTGAACAACTGAAAGTAGATCTTTATAGTTAAGAATTTCAACAGCTTGTATAGATCTCGACAACAGTAACTCAAGCACAATGCTGGAAAAATGCAGACACTTTTCAGATGTAATGTACAGCTTCCAGGAAATATTAAATTCCAAACTTCACATGCAGATTTGGCATTCAGATCCAAAGTGACCCATTAACATCGATCCAAGATGTACATAATGTACCAGAAAACCATAAGGTATATCAAGTTACAACATTTTCCACCATTCAAAGACCCTCACGCAGACCATACATAAAATGCTAACACGAATGCCACATTATTGTGAAATTTAATCAAGGCACTTAATAAATGAGGATTTAGAAGCACATAATAATCAATGTGTTGAGAGCTTAAGTTGATTGAAGCACTAGTGTTATGTTAAAATCCGCTGTCAAATAGTTTAGACGAGAATATTAATTTGTTAGGCAGGTTGAACAAGATTCTTTATTTCTGGAATATATAGATAGGGCTCTGTTTGTTTGTGGCCCTGAATTTTGTTTTGTTTTTCACTCAAAAACATCAAATCATCCTCTCATGCCTTTTTTTCGGAATTTTTTTTTACAAAGATCATTCAAAATATCATAATATCAAATAACTTTTCCGGTTTAACATTTCACTATTCAAAACCCCAAAAACAACTCCAAGAGCAAGAACACAGAAATATTGACTGAAACGTCTCAGCGCATTTAATCATAAGCCAACAAAGAGTTAAGAGTTCACCTCAACCATGAGCACTCCAGGCATGATCGGTCTTTCTGGAAAATGACCAGGAAAGAAATTATCATTTATGGTCACATTCTTGATTCCAACCGCAGTCACACCCGGAGTATATTCAATCACTCTATCCACTAGCAAAAAGGGGAATCTACGATCCAAAATGTCAAAAGCCAGGCAGAAAATCAAATCAGTTTCTTATCAAGAGCTAAAAAGGAAATCAATTCAAAGAGCACGCACCGGTGAGGCAAAATCTCGCGAATCTGATTAATGTCCATGACCGTCGGAAACGGGGGGTACTCTGCAAATTACAGCTCCAAACATGAGGAACAAGTTAAACAAAATTTGTCAAATACGTTAGCAAGAAGGATTCATTACTACTCTTACTCAATTCAATCGGTGTCTCCGACGAGGAGCCGTCGGAAGTGCACTTGGAGACAAAACTTTTCCCCGCCTTGCTGGAATGAATCGAAAGGGCAAGAGATCCACTCGAATTAACCGAGTGCTTGACAGAAACATTAAAAGGCAGCACATTCCCGGCGGCGCCGTTCCTACACATCGGCGACGGCGAAGAACATCTCTGGGCGGAGAAAACAGAGTGCGAGAACACCGAGGACGTCATTGTAGGCGAGATCAACGGAGCTCCTATGAGATGATTCGATGGCGGAATGCGTGACCAGCTATTTAGAGACGGAAGCAGACGGAGAAACCGAAGAAGTGCAAAACGAAACCACACCAGTGGCACAATCGTAATTTTACAAAAGACGGAAGTTTCTCTCTCTATTAAAAATTTAATTGTAATCTAAAATATCTTTCAGAGAATTCTCAGAGAGAGAGAGAAGCGGCGGACGAACGCACCGATCTGCGGCGGCGAAGAGACCGGCGACGATGAGCTTAGCGCTGCTGCAAGGCTACTCTTCCGCGGAAGAAGACAACAACGACGACGACGGTCACCATCTGCTACAAGAGGAGAATTCGTCCGAAGACGAGCAAAACGGCCCCGTTTCAAAAACAAGTCGGTCGTACAAACCATTGTTCGATCCCAATCCTCCCTCCGCTTCGTTGTTGCCCTCCGCTTTCGACGCCTTCTCCGAGGTAAATTGCTTGATTGATTTTCCTCCTGTTTTGCAAATCTAGGGTTTCGCGCTCAAAGTGTTCCTGTCATTACCGGAGGTTGCAGGACCGCCGCGGTTTCTGAACAACAGTGTAGAAGACACCGAGAAAGAGGACGGGCAGCGGCGGAAGCACGGCGGTCGGAGAAATCGTAAAGATAAAAAGGACCTTCCTTCAGGTGGTGAAACCCCGCCTCTTTCTTTCTCTGTACGTTCAAAGCAACTTCAAATGCAATTTTTTGTCCATGGCTTCTTCTGTAATTAGTTTTTCATGACTATGAGAACTTCAATCCATGGCAGCAGTTTAGTTAACAAGATAAAAGATCTAGCATTGTGTTCGAACATTTGCCTACATTACATTTGTGTTCCAATTTGAAAATCTCCCAATGCATCAAACTAAGGAATGTGCAATGTTCTAGGCCAAATACCTTCTAGATTTGATTTTGAGTGTGATCCAATTGTTGATCCTTACCGCCTGATAGGATTGATTACCTACTTGCAAGTGTATGAAATCAAGACTTGAATTTTCTCCTGCACTTTGCATATACACAGGGGCTGTAGTAGAGTCGAAGCCTCAGTTAGTCGGGATACACGAGAGGGTGAGGAGTGATATTGATGGCAACAGCTCCCAAGCCATATCCGGAAGTGCACAAGGTGGGAAACGCATTGCAACTGTTGGAAACCCCGGCCCAGAAGATGCAGCCGAGCTCTTGGGGTGTAAAATCTAGCAACTATTCATATTGTGCTGATGAAGATAATCCTTTGTGAAGTATTAACATGTGGTTGCCCTTGTGATCGATTTAGGATGTGCGTGAGATGTGGGATCCCCAAAACCTACTCTCATGGGAAAGGTGTAGTCTGCCCGATGTGCAATGATCGCCCTCCCGATGAATTGGATAAAGAACCTTCAAAGAAGAGGGGCTCTGCCATGAAGGAAAAGGAAAAGGGTAAGAGGATGAGAGGCCAATCCTCGCATGCGACATGGAAGAGCGAATCGGAGATGCAACTTAGACAGCAATTTGATTAGAAGCTGTTTGAATTTAGTCGTCGTCATCGTCATTGAGGTTTGAATTTCTCGGACCCTGGAACTGTTGTTACCTGAATGTGTAGTTTTACTTTTGGAATGTGTATTTGCTAATTGCTATATATGATCGTGCATAGACAATCTTGTTCGAAGGATCATCAGATTTAATTGAGTCATCGTGAAGAATCTTTAGATCCATTCGTGGAACAAACTGAAGGGCAACATAAGGCAAGAAGTTTGAAATTTTGTCAAGAAGTTCGTTCCGGTAGCGTTAGCGTTTGACATAATAAATATTGTTTGGTCGTTTTGAAAGTTTGTGCAAATAGTCGAACTATACAAAGTGAGTACGTGATATGAGTTATTGTATGTAACATACATATATGTAGTTTTAAATGGAACTAATTTGGAATCTTTAGCTACGAAGAAATGTTATTCCAAACACACCAAAAAACTTTTCAAATAATATTCATATAAAAAAAAAAGGATCAAATTTGAAATTGAAATACGGCCGTGCTTGTGCTTGTGCTTGTGCTCATGCTCCTAACTTTCGTACACTATCAGCGGCGGAGCCAATGATCCTCCACTGAGGGATTGAAGGTTTCGTTGAATTCAAAAATTCAAACGGCAGCAAATACTCCTTTCGTCCAATAGTCTCATTTTCCTCTTAAAAATATCTTTATATTTATATTTATATAATTTTTTACATAAATATTATTGTAAAATAGTATTATAAGCAAAAAAGTAAATAAGACCATTAGAACATTAAGTAATATTTTATTTTTTTATAAATTACTTACAAAATCTTACTTCCTCTGTCCTATATAAATTGTTTACTTGTTTATTTTTTTCTATTTTTGACTATCTTAAATAATTTGTTATATTTTTTTATAAATATAGAATCACATTTTAAATTTTATTTTTTTATTGATTAAATATTAATTATATTTTATTTAAATTATCGTATTTAACGGGGCACTTTAACATACACGAAGGGTATAGTATATAATGATAATTGCTTGATATAAATACACTTATTTTCATATAAAATACATATAACGGCAACAAAAATATTCGAATTTGATATATTTAGCCCATGAGATTAAGAATCTATCTTTAAATATTGTACAAGTAAAATACTGGAAATTTAAATGATGATCCCCGAATCACTGACTTTGCTGTCGTTTGAAGATGATTGAAGATCCCCTGTCAGTTGCAAGTCCCGATCGTTAAATACTCTTCAGAAATGGTACTGGAAACCGTCGCCCGAACGATTACAACGCCGTTTTTTCAACCATCTGCTAACTCTTCTTCTGCTAACTCTTCTTCGGCTGACACGTGACCAGCCGACCAAACTATTACTCTCACTCGCTCTCAACAGTATCCGACCTCCGCACCAACCAGTTTGCCTATCCACCCACGAATCTTCCGACTTCCTGAACCGACCGCAGACCTTCCACTTTATTGGTCCAGCCGTAAACCTCTCGACTTGCAGACCACCCGATTTGTTGGTCCAGCTGTAAACCTCTCGACTTGCAGACCACCCGATTTGTTGGTCCAGCCGTAAACCTCTCGACTTGCAGACCACCCGACTTGTTGGTCCAGCAGCAAACCTCCCGACTTACAGACCATCCGACTTGTTGGTCCAATTGCAAACCTTCCGACTTGCACATTGTCTGACCCGCAAACTTTCCGTCTTATGGACCACCCGACCTGCGGACCTTCCGATCTGCGGATTTTTCGACCAACGGATCATCCGACCTGCGGACCTTCCCACCTGCCTATTTCCTTAGAAATACATCTATTTCACTTTATTTTCTCGCAATATCCCTAGATCAAATTGTATGCCCATTTTTCCTTTGTAACTTGGGCTTTTTAAATTAATTATAAATTTCATACGTAACAATTTTTTCCCCTCCAATTCAATAGAAAATATATATCTTTTATAAAAAATAAATTTTACACAATACAAGATATAAATACAAATTATTAAAAAAAAAAACCAAAAAGTATAATTTTATAATTTTTTTAAAATGAAAATGATGATGTCCCGTGATGAGGTAGGTATCTAAATGCTCTAATAATTTCGCTTTATTTTTTTTTTTAAAAAAAATTATTATCCGTAAGAAAATGTCATAAACATAATATTGAATTAAATATATTTTTTATTTTTTTATATTATATTTAAAATATTATATCTCACAAATACTGAAATATAAAATTTTCTATTATTTAAAATCCAAACAAATAGAAAGAACCACCAAAATCAAAACATGAAATATGAAAAGAAACATGAAATATGAAAAGAAGGCATCCAGTTAATTTAAGGAATACTAATGCAGTATAGATACGGTATTATTTCACAACGGAAGTAATTAGTAGATAATTAAAAATATACTAGTAAAAATAATTATTTTATAATATAAATAGTTACAAATTAAAATTAACATAGCTAATTAATTTAATTAAAATTTAAAAAATTTAAAATAAAATTAAAGTGATCATTTAAAAAAAAAAAAAAAAAAGTGAGACCAAAGAAACCACAATCGTGGACATGGTAACCATGTGGAACGGAAAGACTAATATTTAGCTAAATTAGTATTATATGCACGAATATTATATATATATATATATAGAGAGAGAGAGAGAGAGGCAGGGAAGAGGCAGTGCATGGAAAGAGCACAGCAGGACAGAGAGAATGGAGTGGAGTAGTAATTGAAAGGAAAGGCAAATTAGAGGTCGTCAATGCCCATCCCCATCCCATGCTCGGCCTCGTCCCTGTCTCTCTCTCTCTCTCATTAAATATTTATCAACAAGTGTTTCTCTTACCATTACCAGTGCCAACAACACGAGACATGCTCCTCTTCCTCCTCCTCTCTGCAATTTGAGAATAGTGAATAGTACTTGCATATATTTATAGATAGCTAATTACTACTTCACTGGATAAGGATTGATGGGGAGATTGCATCAGAGTATTGCTTATTGGAAGGGAGAAAGAGAAAGAACTAGGGTGAGGGTGAAGGTGAAGGTGCTTGGTCTTCAATGGATGGATGGATGAATTGGTGCAGAGGATAGGAGAGGAGAGACAGATCGACAGATGGATATTTAATTAGGAAATCAAATCCATCCATCCATGTACAGTAAGTACTATTATGTATGTATGTTTGTAGTAGTACACGAACTAACTAACTGCTTTTTCAGTAGTAGTACACAAAACAAGAGAAGATCCGACCCACCCCACCCTGGTCTGCCCCATCCCAATCCCCATCCCAATCCCCATCCGTACTTGTTACTACATAGATAGCTGTACTGTACTGCCCTGTACTTTTAAACTTTCCAACTGTACTTCTCTTCTCTTCTCCTCAACATTAGTATTTATTTTACTTTCTTTTATTATAGCAAGGCAAGTCTTCTTTCCCAAAACTGAAAGTGGGTAGCACAGCACAGTACAGAAGAAAGTACATGCTACGGTATGCAGCAGCTTAGGCTATGTCAGACCAGGCTCCGGACGGATTTTGTAGGCCGGTCACCCACGATCCAAGATTCGCCACTTTCGCTTCACTCCAGCTCCCGGACCGGGCCAATTCTACAAATCCATTTTTTAAAAAATATATATATATAATTTTTTAAAAATAATTTAATATTTAAAAAGACATATGGATTAAGGTACCAAAAAATTATAGTTTTAAAAATAAAAACAATCAAATATAGAGCAGTATGTTTTGAAAAAAATATTTAGAATTAACGTTCAATATTATGTTTAAGATATTTAAAATAAATAAATATATGAATAAATTATAATAATTATTAATGTATTCGGGTGCAAGTCCAGGGAATGACGAGTTAGTAAAATCTGTGATTCGTCCCGAATTCGATTGGATTTAAAACTCAAAATTCACAGTCTACTCCGAACTAAAATTTTTAAACCCAATCAGCCCAATCAAGGTACAATTGTTTGATGTCTTGAATGGTATAAACCATGTATTTGATTTAGTTAAAGACTCCCTTGATTAAAATCACCCTAATATAGATTTTGATACCAAACTGGATAAACAAATCGAATATGTTGTTTTCTTTTTCGCACTTATTCCGCATTGATTTGTGCTCTTATACACTTTTGTTTCAGCTGCGAGACAACCATATTGTAAAAATTATGTTTACGTCAGTAAGTTCAATAACTCCATTGTGCAGGAAATTCGGAGGTGTTGGATCTCTTATTCATCCAGTGACCCATAAATAATACTCATTAACTCAAGTCTTGTTTAGTAGTGAAAGTGACAAGAGCAAGACTATCACTCTTTTTAAAATGAAAAGTATCAATTATGCGAGGATGGATGAAATACTATTTAATTAAAAAATTTATTATTATGTATATAAAACCTATAATAGAACATAGTTAGCGTGTTATTTGTATTTTTATAAAAAATTCAAATAGACGCCTTCTTCGTAATAAATTATCATTTAATTCGAAAAATGAACTAATGTAATGAGTTATAAATGGATTAGCGTTTATTTTACAAATAATGAAGTACGCTTATTATTATAGTAGTCCAATTAATGAAACACGCTTATTAGCACGACGTGGAGTTTTTTCGGTGTACGTATGTATTGTATGGCATTCGCATGTTCTGCCACATTACCTAGCATGGACATCGTTCCTCACTGACGTGACCAATCGATCCAGATGCGTTATCAAAATCGAGAATCCGAGTTCGAAACTGTGAAATTTTGTATGATCTGTTGTGTGGATCCATGTTTCCGCACTGGTAGAAATTCTCGGGGCATTTGCTGAAGTATTCATGGCGGAGGAGCGATCGGGGACGGGGAAATTGACGCTGAAGTCCGTGGATTCCGCCGAGTGGCGATGGGTATATCAAAGCGATGAGGGATCCGAAGTCAATAGCGATGGTGAAGCCTGGGCTCCCGGGGACGGTGAGGATGCGCTGCTGCGGGATTCCGACGACGAAGAATTTTTCGAACAGAAGTTGATTCGCACGGGGTGTAAGGTCGATTCTTTTGATGTTCAGGTCCTCGAAGTTCCCGGTGTTAAGAGAGATGATTTTGCGGTACCTTTCTATTTCATTTACTTGTGGTTGTTCTTTAGGATTGCCATGGTAAATGTTCTGCACAGTTTATGGATTAATTTGGATATGCTTTATGCAAATATGAGATTGGATTTATGATTAATTAAACGGTATCTTCCATTGTGATTTTGGACTTTTAAATCAGTGTAGTACTTAACCAGCTGCGGAATTTCGCCCCACTTGCATATTTTACCGTTGTTGATAATATTTCCAGTCGATGAGATTTCAAAGATATGCAGAACTTTTTAATACAGCAGTGCTGTGGATTATGGATACACACAAACGGATCATAATGCCTGGAAAGAATTGAAAGCAAATTTTGGTGGGATCTTCTTCTAGCAATGCTAACTTTATCTGTGAAAATATCCCAATTTAACAATGGCAAGATTACCCTATTTCTAAGAATATTAAGTTGTAGAATCTTGGTATTTAAAAGAAAAAGAAAAAAAGGAAACAGCAATAAATTAAAGGATGTCACAAAAGCTAATATTTGGCGGATGATAAAACCAATAAAAGATTAAAGATAAGGCCTTCTATTTTGATAAGGTATTGATCTATAGTTTCCTGGTAATTTGCTCAGGGCTCGGAACCTGTGTGATGGGAAAATTTAATATGTCTAAACGGACAATTCATGAGATCTAAATATTGACACACCACACAATGTCTAGAAAGTTTATTTGCTTTTGATATTTACCTTCATATTTCAGTTGTACAGCAATCAGTATCTGAGACTAACAAGAATATATTTCCAAATTTGATTAAACTTGCTCCATATATATATATATTAAGTTTATATATCATTTTACTAGCACGAACAATTTTGACTAATTAATTTGTACAGAGTCCCTGAAATTGCTTTTGATATTCATTCTTAGCACTGCTTGAGAAATTTAGCATGGGAAGAACGCATTCCTCGAACAACTATTTCCTTATTAAAATTTAAAACTATTAATCATGAATGTTTTGTGTATTTGGCTTTGAATTGTAGTCACAGGATATCTCTTTGGGAAGGAGAATCATGCTGGGTTTTCAGATTCTTGCGGTTGTTTTTGGTGATGTGGGGACTAGTCCGTTGTACACCTTCAGTGTGATGTTCAGCAAGGCACCAGCCAACAGAAAGGAAGATATTCTTGGTGCAACGTCTCTAGTTTTGTATACCTTAATTCTGATTCCACTTATGAAGTATGTCTTTATTGTTCTCTGGGCTAATGATGATGGTGAAGGTATATTTCCTCAACTGAGTTTTTGTGTGACTATTTATGCATTCAAAAGTACAGTTTACCAGTTGGTACTTTCTTCAGGTGGTACATTCGCCATATACTCTTTGATATGTAGGCATGCTAAAGTTAGTCTTCTACCAAACCACCTTCCATCAGATGCTCATGTATCTAAGTTCAAACTGCTACTGCCAACTCCTGAACTAGAAAGGTCACTGAGAATAAAGGAAAGGCTTGAAACTTCTCTAACCCTAAAAAAGCTTCTTCTGATGTTGGTTCTTGGTGGTACTGCAATGGTGATAGCCGATGGTGTTGTTACACCTGCAATGTCAGGTGGATGCATTTCAGGACATTTACTTATAATCTGTGTTATTGTCTAGTGTATAATTGCTTTGTTTGATAACGAAGAAGGAATTATAACACTATGATCTCGATAAGCTTGACAGATTTTGATTTGTGCAGTTATATCTGCTGTTGAAGGTCTCAATGTTGGAATTATATGGGTGGAGCAAGGTAATTGATGTCAGTACACTTTCGATTTTGTAATTCTATTTTCTGCTGTCCAAATTGTTTTCCATTTGTTGAATTTTTCATACTGTTGACTATAAATTTTTGTCATGAAAAACGTTGTTGGTTTCCAGTTGTTGATTTGTTAAATACTTCAAAGATAAAATTCAATGGTGAAAATGATTCTGGGATTAATTATTAATAACTTGGATTAAAAGGACTGGAGTTCTGAGCGACAGATCCTAGTATCTTACATTATAGAGATTTGCATACCCAAATTGTGTGAAACTTCTGCTGTTTGAAGTTTTCCTGTGGGTTTGTTACACTGCTGAAGTATAAGACAGTTAAATAGAGGCACAGTGTGCACTGCAAAACTTTTCAGTTGTTCAAATAAAAGTCTTGAATCATCCTCTGGGATGGCGTCCTGTTAATTATCGTTTGCTCAAAGCTGCTGTTAGGAAAGTAGATCTAGGGTTAAGCTCATCAGGATTATGGCCATTAGTTCATCATCCCTACTATTGTTACAATTTGAATTTAGGAATCAGCCCATTGGCTTGGACAGGGACACTAGTAGAAGAATTCCTAAAATTCTTTGTGTTTTTTAGTTTTAATTTTTATTTTTGCTTCGTAACCAAACTAGGTCTTAGTGCAATGAAAACAGTAGAGAAAATTGTTTAGATTTATATATTTCTGTATCACTTTGCATAATAAGGAAATGTTGCATTTTTCAACACTCTTAGATGGGGTCGTGAGTCGTTATTACACTTGTCCTAGCATGTAAATTTATGTCCTCATCATAAACACATCAGGATGCAAGCCAATTTCGTAGTACTAGTGGTTGGCATGAAATGTCCTGGATCTTATTCGACTTACAAGTTCATTTGATATTAAGATTCTTTGTAATTATGAATTAAGTATGCTCCATTTAAGCTGATTATGTGTTTTTGAACTGCAGATCATGTGGTGATGATTTCAGTAGCGATTCTAATAGTTTTATTCAGTGTACAAAGCTATGGGACAAGTAAAGCGGGTCTTGTATTTGGTCCTGCATTGCTCGTCTGGTTTTGTTCTCTCGGAGGCATTGGTATATACAACCTTGCCAAACATGATTCTAGAGTTCTGCAGGCATTTAATCCAATTCATATTTACTATTACTTTAAGCACAATACAACCAAGGCTTGGTATTCCCTTGCAGGCTGCCTCCTTTGTGCTACAGGTAATTCTAAAGTATGAAAGTTGTATGCCAATGTTTTTACACCATGTAGTTTTGTAACCACATGTTTCGATTGACAACTTATTGCTATCTCTCTTGTGTCATCTAGTTCTGAGTTAGGTTTCTATTGTTCTGCAAATAATAATTGTAAAGAGTTATTTTCTCCCTTCTTTGTTCTCTACTTGTATCTTGGGCTTCAGTTAGATTGTCATATCTAGCGCATACAAATGTAAGTCTCTTTATATAATCAATTTAATTTCTGAAGGAATTATCAATGTGCTTTAATGCTCCCAATTAATCAGTCTTAAAATGCATCAACTTCGAGAATTTTTGGCCCTGTTCTCTCATAAGCATTCCTCTTTGATTCTGATGACCTGCTATGCAACTCAGGTTCTGAAGCAATGTTTGCTGATCTTTGTTATTTTTCTCTGAGGTCAGTGCAGGTAAAGCAACAATCTCAGCAATTGTTTGACTTGTGTTTGTTTTTTATTATGAGAACATTCTTTAATTTGATCACAATTTAAGATTTTCTTACCAAGGAATGGATTTGGTTGTTGCAGCTTACATTTGTGTTTCTCATACTGCCTTGTCTTCTATTGGGTTACCTTGGTCAAGCTGCTTATCTAATGGAGAACCCTGCTGACACAACACAGGCATTCTTCGCTTCTGTTCCAAGTATATTATAAAATTTTCTTGTTATATACTTCTGTCATATATTCTTCATTATAAATGAAGAAAATGTACACATAAACCCCACTTGCATGCATCTAGGAAGCTAAAGTTGCAGTCATATTTTTGGTCTCCTTTCAATTTAGACACTTGCTTCTATGTTTTTCTATAACATTTGATTTGTTATGTTTCATAAGGATTCAAGATTTCGTATCTATTGCAGATGGAGCTTTCTGGCCTGTCTTCCTCATAGCCAATATTGCTGCTTTGGTTGCTAGTAGAACTATGACGACTGCCACTTTCTCGTGTATTAAACAATCAACGGCACTTGGTTGCTTTCCTCGTCTTAAAATTATACATACCTCACGGAAATTCATGGGCCAGATATATATTCCAGTTATGAATTGGTTTCTACTGGCTCTGACCCTGATTCTAGTTTGCAACATACAAAATATTTATGAGATTGGCAATGCTTATGGTAATTTCTTGTTACCTTTCCTCGACTACTGTTTACAGATAAGTCTTCTAATAGAAGTTGATATACTTTCTGAAAGTCTCATCAATTTTACGTATTACAAATATGGTTCTCACACAACGCTCTTCAATGTGTGTCGGTGTATGTCATCCCAAGCCGCATAATGAATGGAAGTACATGTATTTTGATAATTTCAACTGATATTGAGCATGGGAAAGATCTATAAAGCTTGAATTATTGTTGAAATAGATTAATTTAATGTTCCGTCTGTTTCTCAATATTAACTTTTAACAGTTAAGCTGTGACTGTTCTAAGTTACCATGGTAACATTTTCTTTTTTCCCTGACAGGTATTGCTGAAGTTGGAGTCATGATGATGACAACCACCTTAGTAACTCTTGTCATGCTTCTTATATGGCGGATAAATATTGTTATTGTGCTGTGTTTTGTGATTATTTTCTTGGGGTTGGAGTTGATATTTCTTTCCTCAGTTTTGTGGAGTGTTGGAGATGGAAGTTGGATCACACTGGTGTTTACTGTTGTCATATTTCTGATCCTGTCTATATGGAACTATGGAAGCAAGCTGAAGTATGAGACCGAGGTGAAGGAAAAAATGTCAATGGATTTGCTTCGGAAACTGGGACCTAACCTGGGTACGATTAGGTCTCCTGGAATTGGCTTGCTCTACAATGAGCTACCAATGGGTGTACCTGCTGTGTTTGGACATTTTCTTACCACACTACCTGCAGTGCATTCAATGATCCTATTTGTGTGTGTGAAGCATGTTCCAGTATCCTTTGTCCCTCAAAGCGAGAGGTTTCTGTTTAAGCGAGTCTGCCCCAGAAGCTACCACATTTTTCGCTGTGTTGCCAGGCAAGTCTCCAGGTTTTCCTTGCATTGGGTTAGTGCATATGTCCTTAAAATTCTACATTTCTTAGTAAAAGAAGGTGTGCATGTACTTTGATGCATGAAATTTTCTATATTAGCACGAAGTCTAGTTTAGAAAACTCTTCACAATATTTATTTATTGGGTAAATTATATAACACATCCTTGTGTCTTACTAAAAATGCATAAGTGTTTTATTTATTACATGAAATCCATGCAAACTTTACATTAACACAAGTAGATTTCACACAATAAATAGAAACATATGGATTTTTGTGCATCTTTACTATAAAACACAAGGGGTGTTATATAATTTACCTTTATTTCTACACAACACAAGTTTACTGACATAATGCCCGCGTGAGAGCTTAGTTGTCATTACTTTTAAACGGATAGGGTATTCTATGCTAATTTCATGATAAAAAAATGAGAAGTTTATACAAGAAATATATATAGTGTGTTTTGTGTATTTTTAATAAAAGCAAGTTGCATGTATACTGCATAATCACTTGTTAGAAAAAAAAGAAAAATTGGGATTTTATGTTTGTGTACTCTGTCTTACAACAGATATGGCTACAAGGATGTTCACAAAGAAAACCACCAGATCTTCGAGCGATTGCTGATGGAGAGCCTCGAGAAGTTCATCCGTCGAGAAGCTCAGGACAGATCGCTGGAGAGTGATGATGATAGTGACTCAGTCTTTGAAGAAACAGAGGCATACTCAGAGACATTCAAAGCTCCCAATGACAGTGCTTTTTCACTTCAAGCTCCTCTTCTAGGTGACTTTACTACAGACAGGGTCAGGTTCGCCCCAGAAGCGAGCACATCCGAAGAAGGGACAAATGAGCCTTCTTCTGCTCGTCACAGCAGAGAGAATCCAGAGCAAAGCCTTGAAAAAGAGCTTTCTTTCATACACAAAGCAAAGGAGTCTGGTGTTGTATATCTTCTCGGCAATGGCGACATCAGGGCGCGTAAAGATTCTTGGTTTTTTAAAAAACTTACCATTAATTACTTCTATTCTTTCTTGAAAAATAACTCCAGGAGGGAGACTGCAAATTTGAGCATTCCACAGTCGCATCTGGTGCGGGTGCGCATGACGTACATGGTCTAGCATTGCTCATTACAGATCACACAAACTTGTACAAGTTATGATCATGCTCAGGTAAGTCTTAGGCATTGCTTTAAAATCACAAATCTAGTAGATGAATCTATACCATACATAGTATACATCTTGGATGTTTAGAGGCAGGTTATGCATTTGGAAAATACTCCAGTTTTGGAAAGTGTACATTTGTAATTTACATGTCAATAAAACTTGGATATTTTTACCATGCAATAGTTAACCTGCAGGCTGCAGATATGAACAACAACCAGCATGATTTCCAGGTACATTTATTTAGATTGGATTGAATAATGGCATCCTCCTTAATAGTATACAAGAACACAAAATGACCAGCACAATGGCGTGAACAAACAAATCCTAATCAGTATCAGCTTAGCTTTCATAATGGAAATAATCCAATGACTAAAAAACATATGATGCTATAGTCGTATTAGATTATTTTTGCAAGTACCTTATACTATTACTGGACTTGTTCCATCTTCTTCTGCAATAACTTCGACTGATGTTTCTTCTGGCTTCTTTTCTACCCATAGAATAAATGTGATCAATGCATTTGATTCGACACCAACTGTTGGTTTTATTGCATCTTCAGCCAAATGCCTATATTAGCTTTGCATCATCTCTCAATTGGTGTTTATTTTGTATCGATTCAGTGCTGATTTCGATCATTTCATCTAGCGGCAGTGTGGGCGTTGCAGAGTGTCATTTTCTATCATTCCCAGAATTCGATAGGGCTTTGGCATACAGCGGTGTCTTTGCCAAGGATTCCTGTCTCGATAGGAACTTCAATCTCAGTAGCAGCGAATTTGTCATCACGCCAATAGAACTCAAACCCATGAGCGCACCGGCAATTGAAGGTGATAGCATGGTTCCAGTAACAGGCAGCAATGTTCCTGCTGCTACCGGGATTCCAACCTGCGACACACAAATCCCGATTAGGTAATCGAAGACTCTGAATTTACCTGTCTCCTAGGCATGAAATGTGCAAAACCACAAGTTTTTCTAATGAAGTCCGGGCACAAAACACTAGTAGACTTACAATATTGTATGCAAAAGCCCACCAAAGGTTTTGCTTCACAGTCTTCATAGTAAGTCTGCTCAGCTCCAGAGCTTCGAGCAACTGAAGGAGAAAAGCCATCAAAAAGGTCCCTCCATAACAAAGCAATAAATATTTAAAATAAGGTCAGAGTCGCGAATAAAACCTGGGACAATCGGTTCTGCATCAGGACAATAGAAGACACCTCACTGGCTGCCCCGACACCGCCACCAAGGGCAATTCCTACATTTGATGAAGCCAAAGCTGCTGCGTCGTTTATTCCGTCCCCCACCATGGCAACAATGTTCTGATCCCCTTGAAGCCTGCTTATGAACATCTTTTTTTCCTCTGGCTTGACTCCGTACAGCACCTGCGATTAACCGATACATTGGCTAAAATCCTTTCATTTTCTTATAGAATGGAGTATAAAATGGACACAGGAAAATAATTTAGAGTTATAATATGCTTTCCAGCTTTTGGGGCTTTGTCTTCCAATTTTATATTCAGATAACGATGCTCAAATATGACAAAGTCTTACCCTTTCGTTTGGAATACCGACAACAGATGCAACATATTCAGCTGCACTCTTTTTATCACCAGAGAGAAGGTAAGTGTTGATTCCTTGGCGATTCAACGACTCGACAACATGCCTGGCATCTTCCCTGATCTGATCTTCGACATAAATTATTCCAGCGAGGACATTGCCGACACCAACGTAAACAATTGATTGGTTCTTGAACTCCTCAACTTCTTGGAGTGGAATCTCTCCAACTCCATTCCTACATGTGTTTAAAAAACACTCATTTTAATTAAATAACACTCATAGGAAAAGTAAGATGAATATCCAAGCATTTAACCGAACCAGATGTGATTTCAAACTAAAGCTTAGTTGCAAACTTGGAAAAGGTAGTGCAATTCATAGTGATACGTGAACTGGGACTATTGATTTTCAACCCCTTGCAAATTTTATTTATTTATTATCATTATTTTAATTCTGTAGATAAGGATATAATTACCTTTTAACCCACTCCAAGGTACCGACGGATACCTTTTTATCATTGATAGTCGCCACTGCACCAGAGCCAGGTTCCTCAGTGAATGTTCCTTCTGCTACCTGAAAAAGAATCCTCAGGACGACCTTAGTACAAGAACAATGAAAATAAGTGCTAATGTGGAGAAGATAAGCTGAATGTACATGTAAAACGGTACCTTCAAATTTGGACAGTTTGAAGCCCTTGCAGCCTCCACAATTGCTTTGCCAATCGGATGAATTGTGTTGGATTCAACACCAGCCGCTAGCTGAAGTACATCAGCTTCGGACCATTTATGAGTTGAAGTCGTATCTAGTCTGCATCGGCATACAGCTTGTTAGTGCAATGAAAGCAAAAGAAATGAAAATTAGAACATTGCTAACAAGAAGACAAAGAAAGAAAATGCACTGAATACTTGAACACAATATCCAGAGTGTAAATTTACATATATAGGGCATGAAAATTACATGGGAATATTAAAATGGAACTCTCATCACCAGTGATGCAGTGGAAGAGTTAAGAACAATCAAGACCATCATTGGTGAAAGGACGATCGTTAACCAAAAAATAATGAGAAGGCAAGTTTAGCAAATGAAAAAATGGTAAGATAAAAAGGGTGCAAAGACACATTTTCACAGTACATGTTTATTTTGAGTCGATACAAATGTTCGTTATACATCCAATAACAATTTCTAATGACCATAATTTATACCAACAATGATATAATGATACCAATTTCTAAAAATAGCTATGAAGCGGGAAAATAGGCAGAAAACGAACCCAAATACACTTAGTTCAAAAGAGTGATTGAATGGGATAGTTTCATACTCAACTGTGCGATATTTACTTGATCATCATGTGTTACTACTTTGGTCACAGTAGGCCTCCCAATAGTTAGCGTTCCAGTTTTGTCAAATACAATAGTATTCACTGTCGAAAATTTTTCCAGGATACTGCCACCACGCAATAGCAGTCCTCTAGTAGCACCGAGTGAAGTTCCAACCTAGATGTTAATAATATACAGACAATACCATCAAGATCTTTTTAACCTGTGGAAACATAAATTGAAACCACATTTTTCATACATAACATTACCAGGACAGCAGTAGGTGTTGCAAGCCCAAGTGCACATGGACATGCAACAACCTGTACACGATAAACAAGAGGGGGATCAGTGAGTTCAGTATGAGCGATGAGCAGCATAACAGGAACACACACGATATTTATAATATGAAGAATTCAATTACTATCGGAAATAGGACAGATGCAATATAAAGGCTAGGTTATATGAGTCATAACAATCGTAGCTCATGTAAAAAGGCACATTATCTATCTGTTTATACCATTGACATACGGGGTAGGGTCTTAGATAAATCACCAAAGTTGCATTCATACCAGAACACTGCAAGAAAGCTGCAATGCAAGCGACATTGAACTTCCATGCTGAAGGGCGACAGGAATAATTCGTGAACCAAAAAGACTCCAGAACATATATGTGGCAGCAGAAAGTGCCATTACACCATAGGTAAAGTGTCCAGCAACCTAGTTTTAAAAATAAACATATCAAAAGAGTGGTTTAATATCAAGCAGATGTAATTTCCAGCAATATAGCATACTCCATTAATCAAATGTATGGTGATGATGATATAGGAAAATTCTATAAGGGCGATGTAAACATAAAAGTACATAGTAAACAGAAAAAGATTCCATTTTCCAATCCAACTGGGAATAGAGAAGCATACCCTTTATCCAATGAAAGGTGCAGTTATACAATATAATATTGCTGTGACACTATGACAAGATCATAAAATAAGTATGTGACCTATGCGCTAACACATCCAAAGCATTTTATGTGGAGAAAAACCTCTTAGTTTTAGACGACTGAAGCTTCTTCCACCCCAACCTATCATAGTTCATCGACTGTGAAGTTTAACTACAACGGTGCAACCACCCTATTTAGACTGTAATTTTATTTAACTTATCATTGTTTATCAGTAAACTATAAACATTAAGTTGGAAGCAAATTTGCACAAATGGCAATAACAAAAGATACTGATTTTTTTATTGTAGAACAATGATATTGATTTCCCTAACATTTGCTTTATGATAAATTCAAAAAGTGTAGAGACACATAAAGCTTGTATCGCACAAAGATCTCAAGCAGGCATTGGTGGCATGTCTGTTGACATTTCCTACACAACAAGTTGGACTTTCTCTGTGTGTGTGTGTGGGGGGGGGTTCCGAGGAGTCTAAGTTTGGGAGTGTGTGTCCAAGGATCCTTCGTGATGATTTGTTAGTGAAGTTTACATTTGATGTGTGGCATCAGTGGAAAAAGAAGTGTCCCTCCCCAGAGTAGATAGTTACCAAATTGGTTTACCAAGTTCTTGTGATCATTTTACTTTTACAGTTTTACTTAAGTATTCTGTTTAAATTTCAGTTAAGACAATCAAAGTTTGGGTAATAACACGACAAACCATGTGGGGACATGTCAATTGCCCTTCAATTTCCTATTCTGATACCTACTATAAGATTTCCTAAAACTGTTTTCTATTCTGATTGCTAGAAAAGATTTCTTAAAACTAGTACTGTACGATAGTACTATCATAATCAATGAGAGACAACAGGCAAGGTACAAATAGCAGACCTTGTCAGCCAACCGTTGTACGGGAGCTTCTCTAGTCTGTGCTTCTTCTACCAGCCGGACAATGTCACCAATAGCAGTCTCACCACCTGGTCTTCTTACCTCAACAGTTATTTGTCCATTTAAATTTATGCATCCAGCTGCAACATCATTCTAGTACATAAATGCATTATATGAGTCTGGATACTATGAACAAAACAAATTATGAAATAAGAATTCAAGAATGAAATTATTGACTCCTGCGATATCTGAAAGGCAAAGAAATTAAATACAAGGAATTAAAGTTACTTCCTTAGATTAAAAAACCCCAAAACCATTGACAGAAGTCCTGTATCCATCAAAATACATAATAAAAATAGGATAGTATGTAAGCAACGTAGTGTATCTATTAAGATGTTTTTGCTTCACTATTTGACATGTGAAAACATAGGGACCAAAAAAAAAAAAAGTGTAATGGCTTACCCCTGGTAACTTGGTGACAGGAAGAGGTTCTCCTGTAAAACTTGACTCGTCCACACTGCTTCTGCCAGCTACAACAACACCATCAGCTGGAATTCTGTCCTAAAATATGACAAAAAAAAAAAAGAAAGAAAGAAAGAAAGAAAGAAAGAAGGAAGGAAAAGACAAAAGGCAAAATTAATATGAAAGGCTATATGACATTTGCTCAAGCCATGTGCTAGGAATTTTGAACAAGTTTGACACATAAGAACATAGATCCCCAAGCAAAAACACAGCTACACATAATGAGAATGTCTTCTCATAATATAAATAAATACTCTGAAGGATCAAGGAATTCTATCTGTTACAATATTAAATGGGGTACTTACACCAGGCAGTACTATAATTTGATCTCCCACAGAAAGACTGTTAGAAGGTACTTCAACAATTGAGCTCGAATCTTCCGCATTGCCATTGATCAGAAGACGAGCTTTGGAAGGCAAAATACTTAAAAGGCCAGTCATATCACTAGTTGCTTTTATTTTGGCTCTTTGTTCAAGATTTTTGCCAAGCAAGACAAAAGCTATCAACATTATGGGTTCCTCAAAGAATGTTTTCCATCCCTGGTAAACCAAAAAATCATTCAATAGAATGCAGTTTTCACATCAGTATAACAAAAAATATCAGTAAAGGTCAACCTTCCAGACACTTAACAGTGCACAGAAACTGTTTGACTTCTAAAACAATTAATAAGTGAAGTAAATTTTACAGCTGAAAAATAAATGATGTATCTGGCTACCTTCTCACTTTTTCCACACCCAAAAACGTATTCAAGACTACTATATTCCGTTTCTTATTGAAACAAAATTTCAAAATCATTACTATCCATTCACTGCATTCAAAGTAAAATCCAAATTACTACCTATGCATGCACATATACTATGTAATATCACAATTCAATCAGTATCACCTTCTCAACATCAGCTCTATCAATCATTGGATAAAACTAAATATATAAATGTCCAAAATCTAATCAATCCAAACTAAAATTACCATCCACTAAATATAATTACCAAAACACACATTTTCACCCATCAAAAAGGAGAACCTGAAAAGGTTTTAAAAAAGAAAAGGTAACCACTAGAAAACCCCTTCGAACTATGTTGAAATAGCACAAAAGTACACTGTTAATTTTATGCATCATCCCCTCTTGTTTTATAAAAAATATGAAAAAATCTTGTCTAATTTTTAGGGTATTTCTAGCAAAATATTTTATAAAACAATGGTATATAGTGCAATTAAATTAGTATAAGATATTTTATGCTATTTCAACATAACCCAGGAAATCATAGTATTTAGCATAACCAAAAACAACAAAAAAAAATAATGCCTTCAGTTTAGAATCAAACAAACCAAGATAATCATACAACTGAATGCTCTCCCGTCCAATGCAGAAACATATCTAATGGGCATGAAGATTGTCTAACTTAAAAACATTAATCACGGAGATTCAATCAAGACTTACCAGCTGGACAGCAAATATATTTTCATAACATATGTTTTTGTGGTCATTGGTTCACTTATCAATATATACAAAAAAATTATTTATTCTATCTTCAGTTGCGGCTCTTCAAATAAGAAACAAAACCAGATCCAAGAAATTATGAATCACACGATATGCTTTACATTAAATTAAGAAAAAATGCATCCGGAAGTTAAAAATAAATACTTAACCAGTTTTGGTACAAATGCCGCCAATGAACTGACAGCAAAGGATGATAAAGCCCCAAGACCAACTAGTGTATTCATATTTGGGGCTCCTCTTAGTAGACTTTTCAGACCATCCAAAATGAGTTGACGACCAGGTCCAAGCAATGTGAACAGAGACAAAGACATATGAAATCCTGTGGAGTGCAATGCATGGATCCATGCAGCTTTTGCTCCAAAAAAATGAGAGAGGTGACCAATAATGCACACAGCACAGAGGGCCCAAGAGACTGCTAGTCCACGACCTGCCAAACATAATGTTTCAACTACATGGAAAAATAAGAAGTTGCTATATTACTTTGAATTGCATCAAGAACAAATTTAAATCAGATTTGGTCAGGTCAAACTTGGATTTTTTAAGTCGTAGAATCTCGTGGACGAAATGATGAGTTAAAAAGGGAGACAAGATACATTAAGTAAACTAGCATCTATTATCCATTATTTAAACACATGAACCGATGCAAGTAAAGCTGATAAGAGAAGTTTCATACTTTGGCAATCGATCTCGTGTAATTAGAAGATAAACCACATAGACATTTCCAGTAAGGCAGTAATAATAAATACTCAAGAATTTTTACCACTTTCTTTTAACAATTTGCGCTTCTCATTTATTTTCTTCTCAAATGTCTCATAGATGTTCCTCTTCCCAGAATCTGCATGTATACAAAGAAAAAGGCATTACCATATATAACAATACAAAGTGATTATTCTAGCACATATTTGGATCAATCCTCATTCTATTGCATTCATGCCAACACAATCACTAATTGTGTGCAATGATACTGTGAAGTCACTATTTAAGCACAGGAAAGTTCAAGTAAAACAATAATGCAGTCTCAGCCATCAAATTTATGGCATCAAGGTAGACATCATAAGAAATAGAAAAGATAAGAATTGCTTACACAACAGAGAAATGTATATATATACAAGACCCTGGGTTATAAATCAATTTGAAAACCCAATTAGCTCTATACTGGCATTTTAGTAGTTTATACACTGGCATTAGAAAAACCATCTTACCACCAACAGAAATGCAATATAAAAATGAACAAAAAAAGAACGTGTGATTATTATCATTACAGTAGTATTTGGAAACAACTTTGCATAAATGTGGAGACCATAAATGTTGGGAACATGTCAATGATTATGACCTCTTTGAATCTTCACCAGCAAGCCCACGGCCAGAGGAGAAGCAAGATTTACATATTTCTTATGCAAAGTTCTCAAAGTGCAATAGTAGCTACTATATCGTTGAGGTAAAATTACAGCCTTAAATGCATTATCATGAGTGACATAAACACAACAATAGAAAGAATCTATAAACAATCCACTCAAAGATACTTGATTGCTGACCTCTTAGATTAGATTTGAACCCACAACTGGTTAAAATATTAGCAAGTAATTCTCCTAAATCATTTTGCCACTTGGGTGCAACCTTGGCTTCAGATTCGGGCCATACGATTGCCGTCTCAGTCGTGAGATTAACACTGGCGGAAGAAACCTGTGGCTGTTCAGCATTTGAAAGCATTGGTCATCAATTATACTACCAGGAGTAGACTTTACTAAAACGTCTGATATAAGATATATGCAAAGAACTGTAGATATAATTAATTCCTACATTAAGACATCAACAATTGTTTTAAAAGTAATGACACTGACTATCTTCAAGTTTTAATGCAAACATCTTACAACAATCAGCTCGTCCCAATTGTACACACTCAAATTAAGTTGTTCTTATTTCCCAACGTCCAACCCATCCCATTTTCCTCGAGTTCCTCTTTTCCTAGCCCATTCATTTGTCTTTCTTCAAAGGAATAGAAGAATTAAGATGAAAAAGGAAAGACAACCATGGGCAGGGAAATGATTGATTAAAACAGAAGATAAAAGTCTGAAATAAGATAGTAAACAATTAAACATACAACATTCCAAATGGGCCTTAATCGTTGGAGGACTCCACAGGTAAAAAAAAAAAGAAAGAAATGAAAATTTACCACATGGAAAAATATTTTGATATGAACATTAATGAAAGTTCTATTGCACCACACAAGCCCTAGAAGCATTAAATTCAACATCTTCTTTATTCAGGGAAGAGAAGAAAACAGTTAGAAGTGGCACTAGGCCAGAATTAGAACAACTGATAAACCCTCAAAAAACAGGAACATAAAAAGGCAGAAACCATTTGAATATCTAGGAAGAAAAGAAGACGAATGAAGGAATGACTAATGAAGAATGCAAAATTGATATAGACCATTAGAACTTCAAATTAATGAAGTAAATAATGCCTCAATCTATTTCTAAACACAAAAATACACAAATCTATACACTTGCTAGAAGATATGAAACGCCAAACAAAACAAAAAAGAAATAGAAGAAGAAACAATAGGACACTAAATAAAAAATCTAACACTTTCCTAAAAAGCAGGAGCTTACATAAGCTCGCATATGTTTCTTATTCACACAAAATATATACTCCTGTATCCACCAAATCTATGTTGTTTTCCTTTTTTGTTTGTCCACAAAAAATATGTACTTTCCATTTATAACAAATAACTCTTGCACACTTACTAATCTATAACCTTCAACATTACATTTATTTTAAAATATGTCATCACTACTTACACTCTCAATTTATCAAAATTTTTCTCACCTCATTAACTCATTTATATACTTGCCAAAATAACCTTACTTTATATCACAATCAACTAATATAATATTATATCCATTAAAATCTGTGTCCAGCTCAAATGAGCACAAATTATGTAGACGAAGGGAGTAATATATATGCTCTATCCATTCAAAAAAATCAATAATTTAATACAAAATATTATTTTTTTATATTACTGACACATTTCCACATACCTAACATAAAAACTAAAAATACTAAAAAAACACACCCCATATTTCTAAAATAAAATACCTTGTCTAGTCACCTTTTCAGGTATCTTATAATACCAATTGCAACATTCCAATGGATTTTTTAAGGTGAAGGTCATAAATTGACTAACTTTAGACAATTCAATTTTCCAAAACACCTATATATTTCAGATCTTTCAAGCATTTTTCAGATTAGATTGATAAGAAAAAGCACTAGAATCAATAGCAGACTTAAGAAGACCAAGAGCAATGTGAGACTCAAGCCGAAGTAGAAGCTAAAGAATCATCCTGAGAAAGAGAACAAAAGACAAACTAAGTAATCCTCAGGGGCCTTAAAGTTATCTTATAGAATATGACATCAAAAGATGTAAAGAAACAATTTAGGGATAGACTAAAGCATTTATACCCTTTCCGAAGATTAAGAATGCCCAACAAAGAGACAGTTGATAGATGTGCTATCTATCTTTTCAATCTCAAGGTATATTACATTTTATAGCATTAGAACTAATCCAATCCCAGGACAAAGTCAATTAGTTAAAAGATAGTAATAATATTGCTTTATGATTGGAAACAGTTCAAACTTGAAATTGGCGGCCAAGTGTCAGAGCTCAAACAAGAACACATTGTTTAACAAGAAACGTAAAATAGCAAATATATGAATAGCTCGACTCTTCCTGATTGCAATGTAAATTAAAAACTTTATTTTCTTTCTTTTTAGCAAATGTAAATGGAATATAGAAGGTATCCCCTTCAATGTACTCACTTGATTTTCCAAAATTCGCTTCACACTTGCCGCGCAACCCCCGCACGTCATTCCCTGCAACATAAGCAAACTTATAAACATATAACCATAAATCGTCTACAGAAGTCCCATAAAGTTCATTTACAGTAATGGAACACAGGAAACAATACAGCTTTCCAGGAAAAGCATCATCCCTCAATAAAGCAAGCGCTTACTCCAACATCGAGAATGATAACTTCAGAGCTCAAAGATGAAGCATCCGCAGCCCCTGACGCCACTGCTCGGGGCTTCCCGCCGCCGCCCTCCGACGCACCATCCCCGCCGCCGCCGCCATTCCCACCAATTCCGCGAAACCCACCCCCGCCGGACGCAAACGACGCCGCATAACTAGCAACGAACTTCAGCCGTCTCAAATCAGCCGAGTCAACGCCCTGCCTCAAGCAACCGGATCCCACCTGCCGCAAGTCGCTTCCCCCGACACGAAATTGACGAAATTGGAGCGGTGTGGTCGAGGGATAACGGGTGTGGAGCTGAAGAACGAGATGGATTGAAGCGAAACTGCGGAACTTGGAAAGGGCCGCCGCCGACATTGTGGAACCCCCAACCGAGAGCAATGCGGACTCCATAGCTGGAGCCCTCCGCCCTGCCCTGTTGTCTATACGCTGTATGTATGTATGTATGTATAGGCGGGTTTATGGATTGGGGTCAGAGATTATGGATTGGGAAAAGTAAAGCTGAGAGGAGAGAAATAGGACTAACTCGGGTAGTTGAGGGAAACGAAACCCAGCACTATTATTTATTGATTTATTTATTATTCATACAATCATACGTACTCATAAATCACGTGCCCATTTTATACTTAAAGACATCTTTCCCCTGTGTTTGCCCAACTTTATATAATACTCCCTCGGTTGTCACAAATCTCTTTTTTTTTTTTTTTTTTTTTAAAACAAAAGATGATCTATTTTAAAAATATAAGTTTATTAATTTTAATTATATTTAACAAATATAAATCAATCTAATTAAACTTTTAATATATGATCCATTAAAAAAAAATTATTTAAAATACCATTCAGTGTGCATTTTTCGGTAGCCGTTGAGGATTCATATGTCATTCAAAAAAAAATATTATCATAACTTATTATAATAACTTACTAACCTGTACTATCTAAAATACTGTGTTTCTAACAAAATTGGTTCATTTTTTGCGGGACTGAGGGAGTAGATTTCTTTTTCTAAAAATGATTAATAAATGAAAAATACTTTTCTCATGTAGTTGTAACATTATATTTTTTTTTCACTTATATTAAAGAATACTATGGTGTGTTTGTTTTGTAAAAATAATTTGAAAAAATATTTTTTATATAAAATATAGAAAATTATATAAGAAATATAAAAATAATAAATGAATGTAATATATTAATATTTTTTTATAAATGGGTCGAAGAAAAAATTAAAAAAAATAATAATTTTTTTATAGAAGTGAAAAGATATTTTGGTATAAAATGTAAATGCTACAAGTGCACAAATGATATAATGAATCAAAAAGTTATGGTGTTCATTTTAGATTACTAGTTACTGACAGGGTTTACTGTTACTTAAAAAATATAAACATTTGAATTAAATTAGGGGTATATTTATTTGATATTTTATTGAATTTTAAAAAATCTATTTCGCAGAATTTGTTAGATTTTATTAATATATTTAGATGGATTTTTTTTTATACATTATGATTATTTCTGTTTTTATTTTTGTCATTTTCATTTTCATCACAATTATACATACGGCCTCATTTTTCATATAGTATTAGAAATATACATTTATCATGTATTTATTTTTGTTCTTTGTTGTTATTATTTTCATAAAAATATTTTAAATATTTATTTTTCATGTCTAAATGTGAGCAAAATCTTCATCTTCAAAATTTATTATTTTTTTAAGTAAATGATTTTTTTTTTGAAAAAAATAAACTAACTGTTAATTAATATAAATACAATATATTCTTTCACGGCGTTAATACTACTATAACTAATTTCAAATACAAAACGTTATGCCTAAACGGTAGTACCAATTCAAATTACTAAACCGAGCAAACATACAATCAATTTCGATAATCTATTTCACAACATTCGTTGGCAGAAATTTTCTATGGCATACATACACATAGTATCACTAGCATAACACAACATACTACAGTAATAAGTTTCAATTTCTTAACTTGTTGCTTCAAATTTATAATTTCGGTCCCTCGATCATTCATCTTTTTCAACAACCCCGGGGCTAACAACCTTAGCTTGAGGATCTTCTCACCGAAAAAAACCGCACCCGGAGTGTGTTCCTTTCTACACATAATCCACATGTAATACAATGAGTGTTCATCTTATACTATATCGTATGCACTAATTTATAACATAAATTCTTACCTTGGATTTGATACAACAATTGAATCTTCTCTCGGGATTATCGACCGTCCATGAAGTCGCAATACCGATTTCATTCCACAGTAGCATTCCACCTCACCAGATGCAAACGAAGATATTCTACCTTCGAACATCAACACATTTCGAAATGTATAATTGATACACATGAAGCAACACCCAATTATCAATAACTTCACCAAGATTGGAAGATTAATCACCCTACGAAATACAAAGTTTAGTAAAAGGAAAAAATAAAAAAATAAAAATAAAATAAAATAAAAAAACTCACTGGAACTACTATGATGCTTCTCCATTCTCCACTCGTGTCATGTCGACGAAAGAATCACGTTGGAAGACAAATGATTTGATGTCCGCAAGCGAAGGGAGCAGCGGTGAGCGGCCACAGTGGACGAGATTGACGATTTACGGATCAATTGGGGAATTTAGGGTTCTTGAGAATCGATTGGGGGTGTGTTATGGATCAATCGGTTGTGGTAAATTTGTTATTTTTTGCAATTTGGTCCAATCGGGCCAAATTGCAAAAAACAACAAATATTAATTTCAATTTTTTAATTTCCGCCATGTCACTTGCCGACGACGACCACGTCATCTGACATATCAACACCGGCGAGTTACACGTCCGCAACGGCCAGTTCACGTCTACACACGTGACCGGCACGTGATATTTTTCGGCATCGGATGACATAAATAAGGCCGGCGAAAGAGCTACTGTCCTACTTTAAGAAATTGAAAAATATATGTCTAAAAACAATAATTTGACCACATATTGGACAATTTTTGCGATTTTTCCAAAAAATTAAAAATATTAATTTGTCATATATCCATAATATTTATTGCAATTTTTTCTCCCCTACTCTGGACGGAGATATTCTCTATATATCATCATTTTCTTCCCTTCAAATTTAACAACTATTGTTCACTCCATCTTGTTTTTTTTTTTTTTTCCCTCAATTCTCTTAACATACAATATCACTTTTGTTATACCAAAATATAATCAAAAGAAAGAAAAGCACACCCACCAAAAAGAAAAGCTATTAACTCTAATTTTTGCATTCAAAATCCACACCTTTAATTATTTGGAAAAAAAGCATTCAACAAATTCCAACAAAGAAAAAGTTCGACTTCTACTACACTATTTTCAATTCATTATTCTGCCTATTGCTAGTTTCTTACAAATTTATGGCTTGTATCTATATATAGACCACTTTCAACACACACTTATTCACACATCTCTCTCTTTTTTTTTCACTCACACATTCATAGACAATCTTAAATATCGTCAAATTTTTCAGCTGCGTAAAGTAATACTAAAATTCGAGTCGATTTAGATCTGAAAAATGTATAGTTGATTTGTCAGTGACATTAGTTGGAAGCGCCGTGTGGCAGTCTTGGATTTTGAATTGTTTTCATTCTTTTTTAATGAAACTTTTGCAAAATCGTTGCGTTGCGCTTTCAACTAGTGTTGCATGAAAATTTAAAATATATGGTACTTGCCCGTGTTAAAATAATTGTGGATTATTATCGCAATTTGGTGAAATGAACACGGACAAGTCATTATAAAAAATGTAGTTGGTGTTTCCATGTGTCTCGTGAGTTATTGCTTCCGGAAAATGAGTACTTATCTGTTTTTATGTGCTTCACGAGTTATTACTTTTGACAGGAGAGCATATCCCGACTTTATTTTATAAATATGAAACTATTTATTACATTGTATGTAAATTCATTGCATTGGTTATACCGACTCAACCGATGACTATAGAGGTTTGAACATGTTGATCAGTGTGACAGATTACAATACCGAGTCTTGACGGTAGAAATCAGATATTTTTATTGCGGAATAAATTTCAATTTTATTGTAACATCAATGCAACAATTTTTTTATTTTTACGCTTGTAACAATGTTATTGTATTTATTCAAATGTACAATTTCTTGAAACGTGCATTTGTACACTTGTAACATTGTTGTTGTATTATTCAAGTGTACAATTTCTTGAAATGTGCATTTGTTGATGGAAAAAGTTGAAATGTTCAATAAAATATGAACAATCAAATGGCCAATACCTTAATAGTCATACCCAAAATTTGTAAATAGCATTTATATATCATAAATAATTGTGTGAGGAAGCCTACAATTAATAGTCATACCTGCTTAAACCCGATGTCCTGTACAGAACGATAAGATAATTTTGTTTTGATTATTTTTGTTCAAAGTGTGTCACAAGATGAATACGTTGAATTAGAATTTGTTGATGAACAATGTTATGCCAAGAAATTCATAAGATGGCGTGTAGAATCAGTGTTCGTCGGAGATTGTGTAATTTTGATTAATGACGATACCGATGATCCTAAACCGCCCTGTGAAAAAAAATCGAAAGTTTCTTTACGTCTATATTTGTTGGTCCAAATTGTGAAAATAATTCTTGACAAATCAATCATTGGATTTGTCAATCATTGGATTGTAGTGTCATAAGCCATTATGAGGTCGACGCGCCTGCTCCTAATACAATAGATAGTTGGATGAGTTACACTTGAATCAAAATTTCGACTTCCTTAAAAAATATATATATATATATATTTATTGAAGTGTCGCTTCTTTTTTTGTACGCCATTGAGGTAAATCTAGACTTATTGGAACGAAATAGAAACATAAAATTTTGATAGTTTATCGAAGGTTGAAAAAGATGATGTTTTTTGTGCTTTGTTTCGCTGTTTAGGCCATTTTTGGATTAACAATGATCATTTATTACATATTTGTGCGTCAATCATTTGTTGTTGATTCATTTGGAGCCATGTTTTTCTCTTAATATTCGAATTGGAGAAGATGAAAAACATTTTATAAAAGGCTGTTTGGTTGCCGAGGGATTTCTAAATAAAGTTGGTGGCGAAATTAAGGACTATTAATCAAAAAAACAAAAAAACTGGAAGTAAAGTTTTAACAATAAAATTAATTTAGAATTTGAAATTTCAATATATATATATATAATTTGAAAAAAGAATTTTACAATAAAATAACATCCATGATTTACAACAATTAATTATATTTGTATACTTTTTAAAATTAATTTGAAATGAGACATTAGATTTAAAATGTTATTTAAATGTAATATTTTATAAGAAAATCATGTTACATACAAAATTGAATAGCGATATTTCTTATTTGAAATAAAAAACAAACTCCAATCTTACAAATCATTCCATCAAATATTTTAACTTTTACTATTTTTCAAATCTTGTCTAAGCAGAGAACATGCATGCACTTCCAAATTCAATAATATATATATATATATAGATATAGCCTCATTTCATAAATTACACACTTCACCACTTATTTTACCACCACTGGTGTCACAAACATCACATATATATACATACACATATTAAATAAAGCATGAAGAAGATAGTGAAGTACGTACCACATAGAGATAGATAGCATTGTAGTCAGAGAGATCGTCTTCCTCAATGATACCCTATGGGTGCGGGTGCCTCCCTCAGCTCCTTCCCCTGAAAATGAATATCCTGCACAACACCAAAATTCCCTTTAAATTACACTGCCGACTTAGTTCCCATGGAAGATGGATTCTGTTATCTGTTCAATCATATTCCTCAAACTGAAACTTACCGAAGCAAAATGGTTGACATCACGATGGTGAGCTTCATCGGCGCGAATCACCGTAATGACATCTTTCAGCCTCGCGTCTTTAGGAAGTCTCCAGTAGTCAATTGCGATGGCAGGAGCAGGGACGTTGTTAATGGCGCCGCTTTCAATGTCTTTCAAGTACTCTGTATAGGAATGTATTGCTTCTTCTTCCAGATATCCGACGACTCTGTGCGCCATTTTTGGCGACATCAAGTAAAGGATGAAGAAGGCGTTGAAGAAGACTCCCTGGACGGCGAGCACCAACAGTCGCTCGTACCATTTGGGCTGCACCAGCTCCACCATCGTCATCAAGTGCATCCTCTCGTTCTCTGCTTCTTCGAGCAGCGCTTTGATCCAACCTCCGCTCTGCTGGAACTTACGCAGGGACCTCAGGTGCAGCAGCATCCCTCCCACCATGCCCGGAACTGCAGCGACGGTTTCAAGCATCATTGCACGGCATCCGTACCGCCTCTGTAGCACAAGATGTTGCCTTCGGCTCGTCAGGAGTGTTCTCGGTTATTAAGCATTGTGGAAGATTAAGACAACAGACCTGGAAAAATATATCTGTTGGAATTCTGAGAAGCTTTACTGTTCGATATGCTACTTTGTCGATAAATGTCTTGGGAACATGGTGCTTCGAAAGATCGATTGATACATTGGATTGATAGCTCTCCCAAGGCTGCGCAATGAGAAGTAATCAACTAAATGTTCAGACTACTGAAAAACTCCATTCGTATGAAGACATTACCAGTTGCTAGTTCATAATTTATGCAAGAGGCTGGCAGCCAGATGCCATTATCATCTATGTATGAAGCTATTTGGCAGATTCCATTTCCGATAATGTGCAGATAATTCAACATCCAGCCTAAGATGAGTAAGAAATTCCAAAATTGTCCCATACCAAATCAGATTCAGATCAAGATTTAACTATGACTACAGAAATTCATGGACTACAGAATCGTTTTCCATTTCAGATCAAATGAATCCACAAGGTTAATCCAACACATTCATCAAAATTGCAGATCTTATTACCTAGGGCTTCTACAAACAGTATTTGCTACTGGACTGAGGGAGTATAAAATTTATGGATCTGTTCAGAACAAAACATGCATTCAATTGATTGACAACACTGCTATTAACAGTTCATAATTTCACTTGAATCAGTCCGCTGATTTTTGCAAGCCAGAGTAGAAAATTTATCCATAGAAACAGATCGAATCAACTAACAGAGAGATATAGCCATTAACTACAGCAGTAGACGTCGATGATATGAGATTCGTCTTACCATAAAACAGTTCCAAGGCCACTCGGTGCCATCTTCTCTTGTAATTTTAGGTCTAGAAATGCCCCAATAGCTCGAGACCACAGCACCGGTTATGTTCACCTGCTCCGTCGCCACGTCGCTGCTTTTCCGATCCTTATCTACCACCGCCTTCGACTCCGTTGCCACGTCGTTGCTTTTCTGATTCTTATCTACCACCGCCTTCGGCTCCACCGACGCGCTCATCATCCGCCGCCATCCGATCAACACCATACCTATCCCCTGAGCTCGGACACCTCCAACCGCCGACGCATTGCTGTGCGTCCACACTCGCACCCCCTCCGATGACGGCGAGTATCCACCGGCGACCACGCGCCGGAGCACTGCCCTCGCCGCCGAGTGGTTCATTTTCATAAGTTCACGCATAATCATTAATCAAAATCAATTTCGTACAGATGACTGCAGCGCCCTATCACGGAAGAAAAGAATGTCTACAGCGACCACACGTATACCCTCCGTGAAAGTGGGCAACAAGATGACGTGTCGTGATGCAAGTGGTTGGTCTATGTAGACCAAGTGCACCGGAAAATAACGACGACGGTGTGGAGAGTTATTTGAATTGACCGGATCGTCAACTTACGGAACTGCCCTTTAATATAAAATGAATACTTATATGGTGTGTGCGGTTGCAGGATAAGCAACGTGAAACTAACCGTCCGATCATTTGTTCAAGACTCAAATTACCTGAAAACATGACCTGTCAAATTTGTTATGTAACATGTTGCGATTGTTTATTTAATGAATTTTATTGCTCCTCCGTCCCGACAAGTAACATTTTTTTTTTTTTTTTCACGCATATTTTTATATTAATATTATACGGTGTTGTAGTAAAAAAATTAAAATATTTTTATTATTATTGTGTAATATAAAGGTGGTGATATTTGTATAATATATTGTAAATTAAAAATATATTTATTATGTTAGGTACTTAGTACAATTACTAAATTATGAAATCGTACTCTTGTTTTGACACGGAAAAAAATGAAAAATAAAACTTTTTCACTGGACAAAGGAAGTGAGTAGTATTATTTTTTTTAACCCTCAAATTTCTTAAATTTTAAATTTTGAATTTTCGTTTTATAAAAAATACTCCCTCCGTCTCACTTATCATGTTCATATTGTCGTTTCTGCCCGTCTCATGTCTTATGTCACTTTCGTTTTTTTAAAACTGATTATCCATTTAATCTTCTTTTAAATTTTTAAATTTTTTATTTATATTATAGATTAATTATTTTCACTAATATATTCTTAATTATTTATTAATTATATTTATCTTAAATTTTCGTGTCTACGCCAAAACACCCTGTGGGATGGAGATAGTATTTTTTTTTACAAAATATCTCAATATATATTATTTTAATATTAAATACAAATCAAATCAAAATAAATACATCTCGGGTGTGTTTGTTTGTGAATTTTAATTTTTTTGTTTGAATTTTTTAATATTAAAAAATTGAATTTAAATAATTATTTGATGTGATATTTTGAATGTAAAACAAATTTATAGTATAATATAAGGAAAAAAAATAATTATTTGATTTGATATTTTTAAAGTAAAAAAGAATTTGAATAATAATCTCTTCTCTAAAATCTACAAATTACACAACTCTCATTTCTTGACCTTTTGGCTAAGATAAAAAATAGTAATCTAAATATAAAAGAAAATTATTAAATTTATTTGATTTCTATGTCAAAATTTAAAATTACTATTTTCTATATTTTCCAAATCTCAATTCCTTTATAAAATACAAAAGAAATTAACACAAATTTTGATAATGGAAAAAATATTACTCTCTTCTCTCCTATTGAAAGGTTATCATTTTCTATTTTTATTGTAAAAAAAGTTATCATTTCCTAATTTAGTAATTGTACTACTTATCTAACATAATAAATACCCCTTCAATTTACATTATATTACACAAATGTCATTACTTTTATATTATACCATATTAACAGGGGTATTTTTGTTCTTTTTACTACAATCCAATATAACGCTAATATTAAAAAATCTATGTGTAAAAAGCAAATGTCACACTTCCAACTGGACAGATAGTGTATTTTGTTTGTACAATTTTTATAATATTGGTATTATTTTATTTTATAAAATATTAAATTCAAATTCAAATAAAAAATCAAACAAACTCGTATAATAAAATTTTAAAAATAATTGTCACATTAATTTATTTTATTTAAAGGATTGGAAACGGAAAGCATCTTTACAAATAATCACTTGGTCAGACTCTCGAACCTTCACCTAAATTTTATATTATAATCTACCAATAATCACTTTGATTAATATACTTATCAGTTTGTCCATTTGTATCCATGGTTTTCGTTTTATGAGTTTGGTTTAGGTTTAGGTAGCTACTCTATTTCAACTGTTTGAATAATTAAATAATAAATTTAATTATTTGATAAATTAATTTTTTGAATAAATTTATTGAATTTAAAAATTATATATGTTAAACAGTGATGGAGGCGCAAGAGTTGCTCTGCCTTAAAAAAAAAAGAATTTTGGTGAGATTGAAAAATATATATTCTTATCATTTTGAATGAAATTAATAATGAAAATATACATTTTGATATTGGTGGGTATTAAAATATTTTAAGGTTTTATTGGACATAAATTCAAAAATTTGGACCTGTAGACAAACTAGTAGGGCAGCATGTCTGATTTCGTAGTATCAGAACACTAAAAAATGGGTGGGTTTGCACACATTAACTAAGGGCAACAGTCAGTAATCTGTTTGGTCGGTTGGTCGGTTGGTCAGTTGGTAGCATCAGAACAATTACTAAAGACGGTTGCAACTATAAGACGGTTCTTTAGGGCGGTTGCAACCGACCGGTAATCCGGCGCACACGATCCCATAACCGACTTGAGAGATATAAAATGGCATCTCGCATTTGGCAAAAGATATCTTCAATCAGCATCAATTTCAAAGAAATTCACGTTGGAATCACCTTTTTTATCTCTCATCTGTTGCTTGTATTTTTTTTCATATTTTATATTTCAAATTCAAAATTTTTACTTTTTATTTCAATTTCAAAGAAATTCGCGTTGGAATCACCTTTTTTATCTCTCATCTGTTGCTTGTATTTTTTTTCATATTTTATATTTCAAATTCAAAATTTTTACTTTTTATTTCAATTTCAAAGAAATTGGCGTTGGAATCACCTTTTTTATCTCTCATCTGTTGCTTGTATTTTTTTCATATTTTATATTTCAAATTCAAAATTTTTACTTTTTATTTAAAACAGCATCAACCAGATATATTCAATTAATATGAAAATATTAACTTGATAAATATTGTTCCAATATAATCACTTAGACAATTCATATAATCAATAATGTAATTGATGTATGCGGCGAAAACGACGGCTCGATAGGCTCGAGCTACCCAAACCCCCATGTGGCCTTGCCACTTATCTCAAGAGATTTTTGAATTAAAGAGGAATGAGATCATACTTAATTATGAATAGAGTTAGAATTTAAGATTGTGTTTATTTGTCTTAATTTTTTTAATTATTATTTGAATTTTATTTTTCCTAAACTATATATATATATATTACAAAATATAATACCCCATCAATACAAGTAAAAGGTATACATATTTTTATTTTGAAACGTACTATTACAAAATAAATATTTTATTAAATATTTTATTTTTTTTCATAAATATTCTTATTATACATCACATTATTACACTGCTTCTAACTACCCACCGCGCCAAAAATAAATATTTACTTTGTAAGTAGACGGAGAGAGTATCAAATATTATTAATTTTTTACCTACCTCACTTCAACATCAAAATATCATTATTTTTTAGTATTTGTGTCGAACCAAATCTATATAATTATATGATTGATGGAATATATAATATAGATAAAAAAAAAATGAAAAATTATACTCCATAAAATTTGAATGTATATAAATATATTTATTCATTAAATAAAAATATAAGATTGTTCATTTTTTTAAAAAAATAAGTGTGATGAATTTTAGCCCATGACCCTGTCAAGGCCCAATATCCAAAGTCTGGTCCGTCTCACCAACAATTTTAGATGAAGTAGTTTTTTTTAAGTGTGATATAAAAATTATATTAAAAATATAAAATATATTATTTTAAGCTGAATATTTGACCTTTGATTTTTTGCTTTTAATTTTTTTTTTAATTTTTAATGAGTATTTGAATTTTTTTTTATATATAAAATATTTGATGGTTATTATTATTTTTTAGAGAATGGTAATTAAAAATACTGCTAGAAGAACATAGCAATGAGCCAATGATGTGTGATCTCTCTATGTCCATATTTGTACTTGAGATGGTTTACATTTGTGATTTTGATTCATTACTTGAGTCACTTTTGAAAATGTATATTGTATTCTAATGTAAAGTTTTTATTTTAATAGAAATAATTCAAAAACACCAATAATATTAAGCACACAAAATTAAAATTAATGGGCAATATATTTTATGCAATAAAACTTGTTGTAGTTGGATCAAATAAACGAAATACAAGTATAGTAATAAAAATAAATGAAAACAAGCTAAAAAGGAAGGAAACAAATATAGATAAATAAATTGCATGAAATGAAAAGGACATAAGAAATACAAAAATAAAAAATAAAAATAAAAATTCAGCATCTGCTTCTGATTGTTCGGGAGTTTGAATTTTAAGTTGAAATTTGAATAGTAAAAATTTTACATTTGAATAGTTGTATAATGTTATATAAATAAGTGTTGATGTAATATTTTAAATGTAAAATTGATTTTTAGTATAATATAAAAAATAAAAAATAAGTGTTTGATTAGATATTTTTGGATAAAAAATAAGATGAATAGTGTATTTAAAATCGAATCTCCAAACAAACACATGTAACTGTAATCCTTTATGACCATTTATCCTCTCTATATATATATATGGCCGGAGAGTGCTGAATTTTTCCGAACTGTATTGAACACGATATGTTGATAAATACACACAATATACTAATAAACAACACTCGATTATATTACTATTAGCAACACATCATTTATATTAATACTTCTCTTTTATTCAAATTTATTCTCATTTTTTTTTGTCATCTAAATTATTATAACTTTTTTTTTAGTAAAAAAATATCATTTTCTTTTTTTACTCTAAAAAGAAAAGTTTATATTTTTATCTATTTTTCTTAAAAAAGTTATGCTTGGTGAAATAAACACACAATTGGATAAGGAAGATGGTATCATATCATATCATATATATATATAAAAGAGCTCAAAAATGGACCCCACATTTTTGTTTTTATTCTTAGATTTAGAGTTTTTTTTTTTAATTATCAAGATAAGTGATAGAGGATGTGAATGACAGTTTTGAATTATTGATAATATTTTTTTATTGATAATATTGAATTGTTTTGTTATTCTTCTTTATTAATAATCTTATATATATTTATAATTTTTAGATTTTTTTTTGTTCTTTCAGAATTGTTTATTTTGTTAGTGTTTTTTCGTGCAGCCATAAAGTTGGAATCCCAAATACTTTTTTGATAAAAAATTTTTTATTGATAAAATTTTTGGTATTATCAATAAAAAAAAATATTATCGATAAAAAAAAAATTATCAAAAAAGTATTTGAGATTCCAATTTTATGGCTGCGTCAGAAAAAATACAACAATAAAGAAGAATAACAAAACAACTCAATATTATCAATAAAAAATTTTTATCAAAAAAGTATTTGAGATTCCAACTTTATGGCTGCACAAAAAAACACTAACAAAATAAACAATTTAGAAAGAACAAAAAAAAATCTAAAAATTATAAAAAAAATATATATAAAAAGATTATTAATAAAGAAGAATAGCAAAACAACTCAATATTATCAATAAAAAAAACAACAATTCATTGTAAATGCATCAATGATAATAAATTTCAATATTCTTATTCTCACCGTTTAGTCGTATTATCCTTCCCTCACATGTCTATATATATAGAAAAAAAAAAAAAAAGTTTTCCTCCATTAACATTAAAACTACCATCCCAATCCTACTATTTCAAAACTATCATTCACATCCTCTATCACTTATCTTGATAATTAAAAAAAACAATAAACTCTAAATCTATGAATAAAAATTAAAAAATTGTAATTAAAAAAAAAAAATTTCAAAATTCTTGAGATTGCAGGATTACAGAATTTTACAAAAATATGGGTCCAGTTTTGAGCTCTTTTATGTATATATATATATATATATGATATATGATGATATGATATGATATGATATGATTTGTTTATTGTGGAGTGGTATGGTAGTGTGGTGTGAACTCGTGATTGCCCGATGCTTGTAAATTTATATGTCATATATGGTTCACCTAGTGTGATTTGTTTTGTCGGTCCTAGTTTGGAGGATATTGGATTCGGTCGGGGTCCATTTGCTACACATAGTTCGTCTAGTGTGACTTGTTTAATTTGCAAGGTTCAACCAAAAATTTACCGGAGTGTACTTATGAGTAGCAGGTTCGAATTCCAAATTATTATAAAAACAAAAATAAAATTGTTTATTGTTCTTAAAATTATGCTGATAAAATTTTAATTGAAATAAAGGTTTCGTGTAGCAAACGTGCAATCTTAATTACTGTCAATGTGAATCATATTTTTATTAACTTTTAACCAGTTTACTTTTCTATAAAATTTTACAAATCAGATCTCATGTAATTATAAAAGTAAATAAAAGAATAAATTTTTTGACTAAATAAAACACACGCAATAAAATTTACCATAAATTAACAATAAGTATTCCAAGCCAAACATGCAAAGTAACATTGAACAGACGTCCTGTAATTTTCTATACATTATCTATTGTCTACAAAAGGTATGCTTTTAAATTTATTAGCAAACAATATTGATTTTAGAGATTTCTACAAGTATCTCATTTTGCAAACTTTTGCATTTAAAAGAAATAAAATTAGTGCAGCCTTCTCCCTTTAGTTTATTGATTTTTGTTTTTTAGTTTTTGTATTTTGAAATAATGGGTTGACTTTCCTTTTCTTTCTCTTCTTTCCACAAAGATGAAAAAGAGAAAAAAGACAGACAAAAGACGATGAGGGCAAGGCTTAGCACAAATCAAGAAAGCCGTCGTTGGGATTGGAAATAGTTTCCCTTTGAGATAACCAAAGAAACAAGAAACAATTAACAGCGACGAGCAACAATCGAAAAACAAGAAACCCCCAAATTTGAAAATCTTCTTTCTTTAAAAGAAAAACCCACAAGGGCTGACCAATAAAAGGGCCCCCACACCCCACCTCACCACAATAAAAGAAAACAGCAAACAGATGGAGAGTGGATGGATGGATGTAATTACTAACCAAATCGAAGAGGTGACTGTGAGTGATGAATGTTTGGGAAATCTTTATATTTTGGGGAGATTAAAAAGAGAGTAGTAGTAGATAAAAGGAGACAAGAAAGGCAACAAAGTCAACAGGGGAGAGACAAGCCAAGCCAAGCCAAGCCAAAGCAAGAAGAGGGCTTTGGCAAACATTCTCGCCTGCATATCATACCACCATAAATACCACTCCCCTCCCATTTTGAATTCGTCTTCCAATCTGCAAAGGTAGTCTAATTTTTTATGTTTTTGGTCTTCCAAGTTTATTTTTTGATTTCGGGCTTTTTTTGTTCTAGTTTATGGAGGTGTGATGAGGGGTTGTTTGTCTGATTCTTTTGGGGGTGAATTTTGGTGCTGGATGACCTCTAGTTTTGATCAAGATTTTATTTTAGTTCATTTTATTTTTTTGTTCTTGTTACAGGTTGCTGTTTCTGGCCTTAATTTGCAGGTGGATGTTGGGTTGAGTTGTCCTGGGAATAATGGATAATCTGTGCTGTTTCAATTCTGTTTATTCGCAGGTGAGGCTTTGTTCGATTGTTCTTGTGTGGAAAGTTTGGCAAAACTTCTGCTGCTTTGCCCTTTTCTTATTTTTGGATTTTGAAAAGAAATATATATGTAGTTGGATGATGGTTGTGTGGAGTTAAGAATTAATCAGGCATCCCTATTCTTTGCAAAACAGCAACTGATTTATTTGTTTTTATAGTTTCTATTAACGAATTTATCAGACAAGTCTGAGTTTTGCTTCGTGAATAGACCATTAGTTGAGGTTTTGGAATTTGTATCAGGCTTCAATTTACTTTCGTGATTCAACTATTAGGGAAGACTTATTGTAAGGATGGTCATCTATGTCTCAATGGATTGCATTTTCTTACCCAAATGTTGCATTGGATTGAATTCATGCGTGGCGATTTTCATAAAGTTAAGTTCTTGTTTCCTTTAGATTTCGGGAGGAAGCTCGTCGTGCAGCTCAGGCAAAGGAAGCAGCAGCCGGGGGCGCGCCAAGTATGGATACAGCTTGGTAAAGGGAAAGGCAAATCATCCCATGGAGGATTACCATGTCGCGAAATTTGCCGAGTCTCAAGGTCGTGAGCTCGGCTTATTTGCTATATACGATGGGCATTTGGGAGACAATGTACCGGCTTACTTGCAGAAGCACTTGTTTGCAAACATACTAAAGGAGGTTAGGTTCGATATGAGTTATCTACATTGTCCTTGTGTTTTTTTTGTTTTTTCGTATCTTTAATTTTTTGTCGAATGCCAAACAGGACTTTTGGACCGACCCCGGAAGTTCTATCAGCAAAGCTTATGAAAGAACTGATCAGGCTATACTCTCTAACAGCTCCAACCTCGGAAGTGGTGGTTCGACTGCTGTCACCGCAATTCTGATAAATGATCGACATCTTTGGGTGGCAAACGTTGGAGATTCACGAGGAGTACTTTCCCAGCGAGGGAAGGCTGTGCAGATGACTGTCGATCACGAGCCCAACAGTGAGCGTGGCAGCATTGAAGATAGAGGTGGATTCGTATCGAACATGCCAGGTACTAATTTAGATGTGAAAAATGGTAATCTCGGATCAAGTTGATTCATTAAGCTTTTAATGCTATTCCAGGGGACGTTGCAAGAGTTAATGGACAGTTGGCTGTTTCCCGAGCTTTCGGAGACAAGAACTTGAAAATGCAATTACGGTCCGACCCTGACATCAGATTCACTGAAGTAAATTCTCAAACAGAACTTCTGATTCTTGCCAGCGACGGCCTATGGAAGGTTTTTTCGAGTTCTTTTCCTCTCCCACCGAATCCTTTCCATGAACTGAGTGACAAAACATTCTTACTGTGTTATGTTAAAAACTAACTTCAGGTAATGTCGAATCAAGAAGCTGTAGACATTTCGAAGAAGATTAAAGACCCTCAGAAGGCGGCAAAGCAGCTCGTGATGGAAGCATTAAAGAAAGGAAGTAAGGATGACATATCGTGCATTGTAGTCCGTTTCTAGAAAATGAAAAAAGGGGAGTGCCTTTTTATCGATTTCTAGCTACGCCACATACTATTTAAACCTCAGAGAAATCTTCTTGCCTTCGAAACATGACATATTGGATGCTCTTGCTTGTGTAAAATTTCATCTGCAGTTAGTAATTTCCTGTCATTATTTCATGTAGGAGAAAGCCTTTCTCTCTCTCTCTCTCTAGTTATATATATATATATATATATATTAGGGGATGCAACCATTGTTCTATGTATGGATGTGTTGGTGTGGTGATGAAGACAGAACATTATCATCTATATACAAATTTATTTTCATCGATGAGTTTTACTTCTTTTGCGAATCACAGTCATTCTTTTGTAATATTAGTAAAGGTATCGATTCTGAGGAATCCGGTGTACATTATTTGTAATCAACATGATTATTTGAAGCTTGTCTACAGAAATACAAAAAGAACTTCTGAGAAGATGAAACCTTTTGCAGTAGACACAAGAAAGTCTTCTTTCTGCCACTAGGTTGCAGGTTGTAGAGTGTTCCAACCATCAGTATCCCAATCATCTCCATGATCAGAGAACGAACTTTGTGTCTGTGTTGAACACGTGGGATGAGGAAAGCAGAGGATCCTGAACATGTTTTTGAGATTCATATCAGGTAAGAACCTATTGCAGGACTTACTTAATGTTTAGTTTTGATTGCAAAATGTGTACAAAATTGGTAGCATTTGTCGATTATGATTATAATTGCAGAGTTGCTGCAATTTGATATGAACTTGATCGATAGGTACTTGATGTGATATACTTTTTTGAAAAAGATGAATAGTGTCAAAATTGAGTCCGAAACATATGTAAGAACGAAGATTTATTTGCTACTTATGAAAAGAATTAAAACTATTTTGCTTTTTTTGCAAGAATGGAATGAAGACCTGTAAGATCTTGCGCTGGAAAACTCTCCGAAGTCCGGCACCTACACATCCGACTTTATCGTCTTGCTTGAGGGAGGCATGCATATCGTCAAGTATCCCTTGGTAAGTTATATTTCTGTTGTTTCGAACAGCTTTTACGAACGTCCATGTCATAGCTCCGCTCATTTCTTTCGTTGGTGAGAAGCCCTGCAGGCGGCAAAGTCATATTTTATTCGAACAATGTTATTCGAAGCGTATAATTAGTTGTCGTTGTTTTACAGTCGAATAAGAAAACATAACTAACCGATGTATCTGCAGCGAGTTGATAATCTTCGCAGGCACTAATGCTGATAACCTTTCCTCCGCGCGTGCCTTTGAAATGGTTAGACGATATATGGTTCGCGTCCCATTCTCCTCTGACAAAACATCACATGCAAAAAAATAAATGGTGTTAGCGCATCGAAGATAAGAAACAGATGCGTATTCGAAAAATCGACGTACGTGTTCATGTTGTGCACGTACGGCAAGTCGAGAACAGTCCCGCTGTGACAAGAATCGATGATCGCGTGCAGTTTGACATCTTCGATCATTGGCTCGACTAATGTTTTGTTAATGTAGTTATCCAGAATCACTCCGTTCGTTTCGAAATCGACAGGGCAGATGGATTCGTCGAATCCATCAACCTCGTCGCCGTGTAATCCTCTTTGTCTCAGGCCGTGCCCCGAGAAGTAGAACACCAATGAGTCCCCGGCTTGGATTCCCCTCGTCAGCCATTGAAAGGCTGCCTCCATGTTTGCCCTTGTCGGAGGTTTGTACGGCTCTTTTTCTGCAAATATTGTCCCATTGCTCGATCACTTACAGAGATCGTAAGTTTCGATTTATCTTAAAGATCGATACATGAGTTTTCGAAACGATTCTGTTTCTGAGGTACCTGCGAGGACCAGGATAGAGCTGCGGGGGAAATCGAACTGGCCGACTAATAAATCCATCATGTTCTTGAGGTCGTGGGAGGTACCCTTAAGCTCGAACTTCTGATTTTTGTAGCTAACACAGCAGAGGACGGCGCGCTTTCCAGGCGGCGCTTGGCCGGAGGTTATTTCAGGCGGAAGCGAGCATGCCGGAGGCCTGATGTTTCGACTGTTGGCTCTCGAGTTTCGTCGTCGACCGGTGGAGCAGAACCCCTTTGGTTCAGCCATGATTTTTTTCTCTGGTATTTGGCTCATCTGCCTAACTGATCATTCATTTGATCGATCAATTCTGTGTTCTAACGGCCACATTTATTGTTGTATCTGCTCAAATCTTTACCAAGAACCAGATGCTCTTTACCATTGTGAATCTGATAAAAAGATGTTGTCGTGGAAACAAATTTGAATCGTTTTTCCAGGAAAGGTATGATTATCAGTGGCAGAAGAATTTTGCATATAGATTTTAAATCGTGTTTCTTGTTCAGTGGAGATCACTTTTTTGCGATTCTTTTCTTTTGAGCAATCTGGAAAAATGAAATATAAATAATACTATAAGGAAGGGAAGATTCGAACCAGCGACCTAAAAATTAACTTCAAAAAATTCCGACCTGCCGGATTCGAACCAGCGACCTAAGGATTTCAGCAAGTCCACTACAGTCCTCCGCTCTACCAACTGAGCTAAGGTCGGTTGCTGTTGTATTTTTGTTTAGACTAAATTATATATATAAGATCCTTTTTGCTATTTTTTATTATTTATTCATTAATTTTACTGTTCAATAATCACTCCTCAATATTAATTCAAAACGTTTACCTCAAATTTTCGGGTGTGATTGTTTTATATTTTTTTGTTTTTGGTGTGTTTGACTTGTATTTCTAACCATTTTTTTAATTCTAAATATAAAAATAATATATTTGAAATATAAAAACTAATATTTTATTTATTTTATTTTGTTTTATTTTTATTAGACATGAGTATTATTATTTTTAATTTTTATTTTATCATTTTAGAGTGGATCAATTTTCCAAATTATATACTACTTTCGTTCTGCTGTAAGGTCTCATTTATTTTTTGTGTATTGATATTTGTATATTAATTATTATATCAAAACGTAGTACAAACTAAGAAAATTTTGCAAAAATATTTCAATTAGTGTCTTATAATATTAATAGAATGATATTTGTATAAAAAAATATAACAATATAATAATATTTTTAATATTATATAATAATTCAAAAGATAAATGTGACCATTAGAGACGGACGAAGGATGAAAGATACGTTTCAATTACAAAGAAATTAAGCATATTTTTTATTGGACGAGGAAAGTTCAAAATAATAGAACTTAGTGATGTCCTATATAGATTGATAATGGATGGTGTTAATATATTCATACATTATTGACAAATTTTACTAAATTTTAATTATGTTCTATGATTGAATATATAATTCTCAATAATATTAATAAATTGTTGGCATATATGAAATATGAAGTACATGCACAGGGGAGCTGATCCAAAGTTGATAGCGTTGTCCAGTAAAAGATAATCTGGTGGTGTAAAGGTTGGATTTGTGACTGTGAGGTCATGGGTTCAAACCTCCGACGCTTTAAGTTACTTGCCACAGATGGTTCGCCTAGTGTAACTTTTCTGTCGGGCCTGGTTTGCAGGGTATTAAGTTCGACCGGAGGTTTACCTAATGCGCACTTTCGAATAGTGATTGCGAATTCCCACGTTATTAAAAAAAAAAAAAGAAAAAGAAAAAAAAAAAGAAAAAGTGATAGCGTTAAGGCGGTGAGATGTCAAATTGTGATGGTTGTACCGAAGTTATATATATGTCGTCAATTATTGAAATTTGGACAATCATTTATTATTATTATTATTATTATTATTGTTATTCAATTGAATGTGGGAATGAGGAGGCCTTACTTCTTTGGCAATGATTATATGCTTCGGTTTCAGTGGTCATATATTTTTAAGATAAATAATAATAATAAATATAATAATTTTATATTGCATATATTGTAATAATATATTACTCCATCCGTTCAGTTACAAAGTATACATATTTCTATTTTGGGACGTCCAATTAAAAGTAACTATTTTATTAAATACATACTTTTTTTTTACAAATACCCTTACTTTACATCACATCATTACTTTTATACAAAAAAAATAAGGGCAAAAATATCATTATACTACTTTTACATACCCACTATAATTAAAATACTATTATTTTTTAAACTTCGCACCAAAAATAAATGTATATTTATTGTTTGGACGGAGGGAGTATATCATTTTGCTTAACATAATATATTAATAATTTCATTATAATAGATACATATACAACTTTATACATTTTTATATGACACAATATTTCATTATGTTATACTTATTACGTCCCTTAACAATTTATCTATTTTTTTCATTTTTGTTTGTCTATAACAAAGTATTTTTTTTTTTTTTAGTAACTGTACAAATAGATTACACAAATGTCATTATCTTTAATCATACAATACTAATAAGAACAATTTAGTCTTTTTACCTTTACTTCTACTACATTTCAATATGATACTAATATTTCTAAAATTCCGTACAAAAATAAAATAAATATATAAATACGAGACGAAAGGAGTATAAAATTTACATTGTCTATATATGTTATAGTGCTGATTGAATCAAACAGCATTGAAACTGCCGTCATAATTATATACATGGTTCCAAATTAATTATTAAATGCATAGATAAATAAATAAAGGGTGGCCGACACAACAGACGACTTATGGATATGTTCTCACACAAATCATTAATTAATTTTGTCATTTAATTACCTAATTAAATTATAGGATCATTATGCGAATTAGACCTCAAAAAATATTGTCACCACTAGTAACATTTCTAATTAATTATATCCATCTCCAATCATTCGAGACCAAACATTTCTAATTTATTATTATTATTATTATTATTAAAATATCATATTACATCACTGTTCAAATCAAACTAGAACTCAAAACCTTTAAAAAATTAAAATCAAAAGAAATAGACCATATCCAATAATCTAATTCTTTCTAAAATTGGAATTATAATTACATCCTTCAAAGTAATGCACTCTATCTATATAACTTGGGAAAATTATACACACATATAATTTGGGAAAATAAAGTTTAAATTTATTAATTAGGATTTATAAGTTTGCTTGGTTTGTAATTCAAAAAAAATAAATAAATTTACTATTACAATATTATTCTCAATAAAAATATAATAATTTTATATAATATTCTAAAAGTATACATTTACATTTGGCGCAGTAGGTAAAAATAGTGAAATGACATTTTTGCCTTTATTTTTTTTTTTGTATAAAAGTAATGATGTGATGTAAAGTAGGGGTATTTGTGGAAAAAATGAGATATTTAATGAATATGTTACTTTATAATTGGACGTCCCAAAATACAAATATGTATACTTTCTAACTGGACGGAGGGAGTATCACATTAAAATACTATTAAAATTAAAATTTAAATGAAACCTTAAAGTTAAATGCCAATCAAACAAGCCCAACAGAAATTTTGCAACAAGATTATATAAAAATATGTGCAAAAAACAAATTGTTATTATTGGTACCATAGCTAGATTAGTAGTATTTTCGTCACAATCTCCATTATTGAACCCCTCCCGTGACAAAAACCTAACTTTAATTTTTAGCTTATTATTGGTTGTCCTTTTAGATTATTTTGAATTTTATTTAAAAAAAAGAAAAAAAAGAAAAACTGAAAGTGATCGAGTATCTTTTTATTACTTAACTATTACACTATAATTGTCTATTTTATTTTTTAGTTTGAATTTTTGAATAATAATATAAAAAATATAAAGTAATTATTTGATTTGATTTTTTTTTTTTTTTAAAAAAATAGAAACTAGATAATAAAAATCCACAAAAATAATTCAATTTTTATATTTGATGTGAATATACTTATGTGAGACGTATGATAAAAGTTTGACTCATATATATAATTAGAAACAAGAATCAAATGCGTAATAATATTTTGGGGAAAATATATATATATATATATACTATTCAAAATTTAGAATTATGTCATTTTTAGAATGCTTTAATATATAATATATATTTGAAATATGATCACCATTCAACACACTATTATTGATATATAATTACATTCATTAAGCCACAAAGGAATTTAAAGTTTTCGAAGTTGTTTGTGGTAAAAAAAAAAAAAAAAAAAAAAAAAAGTCAGCAATTTGAATGTAGTTTTTATCAACCCGACGCATATCAAAATAAGTTATAAGTTAAAAAAATTAAATAAAAAATCAACGATTGCCGGACAAGTTTGCGCATAGTAAATATGGCCCTCCCTTTCAACCCATGAAGCTAGCTTATTAATTGAGGGCAATGCCGGTTTGATTGTGCATGGAAATGGTGTGTTTGGAGGAGCCCGGCATTCATTTCTTCTAGTCTTATCTTTTCCATTGAATCGTCCTTAATTGATTTTTTTTTTTTTTTTTAATTTTTTATTTTTTTTTTGCGTATGTTTTTCTTGTTAGTTTTTTTATTGAAAAAAAAAAAAAAAATCAATGGAGAAAATGATACCCAATGAATTGTTGGAACATTGGACACATGCATGACAAGTTTTTTTGAATTTCTACATATAGATGAAGTTGGGGTAACAATCTTACAATTCAAAGCTTGTACTATCCATTCTCATAGAGTTTTTGGGCATTTCCTTGTGCTATATATGCTCTTTTAGATGATTATTATTATTATTATTATTATTATTATTATTATTATTATTATTATTATTATTATTATGTAACAATGATAGTTTTCAATAAAAATATAACTACTTTCGTGTAAGGATTCCATTTACGTTTTGCGTGTTAATATTTGAATATTAATTATTATATCAAAACGTAGTACAAATTAAAAAAAAATTACAAAAATATTTTTATTAGTATCTTATAACAGTATTATAAGAACATTTATAGAAAAAAATTATTATTTTTAATGTTAAGTACAACGAAGTAAAAGATAAATGTGACCCTTAGAAGCGGACGAATGAAGTATATTTTTGTTTTGCAAAGCATCATATTTAAATAATTGTTCAAACAATAAAAATTAAAATTATATTTAAAAGAATACATCCAATTGTTCAATTATATAAGACATATATGACTTATAAATGTACTGATTGAATCTAATCAATAAAGTGATGATACAAACAATATATGATCTCAGTTAACATAAAAAATGCATATGTATTGTGTTAATTGAAATCATACGTTACAATATATAGAGTGCGTTGTATAAACATATTTTATGTATTAACTTTAATCATACTATGTACAATATGACTATTAGTGTAATATTAGTTCACCGTATTTGAATTATGTTAATATGTTGTATTGTAGATTTATGTTTTATACTCCATCCGTCCCGCTGCAAGGTTGTTATTTGATTTTTTGCGTCATTGTACTTGACATTAAAAATATCTTTATATTTGAATGATTTACTCTAAAAATGTCATTGTATTGCTATTATAATAGACTAATAAATATATTCTTGAATTTTTTTTCTCGATTTGTATTACGTCTTAATATAATAATTAATATTCAAATATCAACATATAAAAAGCCAATGACAACCTTGCAGATGGACGAAGGGAGCATTTTCTTTGTCAATAATTAATATGTTGTCAATACAATACTAAAACAAATTATTCAATACCATAGTGGTGGCCAAGATACACACATCATATTTCGACTCTTCAATATTGTTTGTTCTTTTGGATAAGTTAATTTTTTCACCCACTATATTATTAATTATTTTTAGGGTAAATTAATTTTTTAGTCATGTATCTGACATTCTTTATTATTTTAGGACTTTATGTGGAACTCTGTCTGAAAATAGTCCCGTAAGTAAAAATTTTTCGCTAAAATGGTTATCTGGTGCCGGAGTCACCACACTGGCCTGCCGTTGCTGACGTGGCGTTGACGTGACTGACATGTTATTGCCACGTAGATGTCATGTCAGAGACACGTGAAATTTTTTTATTTTTTATTTTACAAAATGTCTTGATAAGCTATTTTTTTAGTCCCGTATATGACCTCCTTTATCAATTTTAGGACATATAAGTGAACTTTGTCTCAAAATAGTCTTGCATGTAAAAAAATTTTGCTAAAATGATTCTTCGACGTAATATCTATGTAGTGATGACATGTTAGCGCCATGTTAGCAAAGGTTGATAGCGTAGCGAGTCCGGCACAGGAGGACCATTTTAACGAAAAAATTTTACTTACGAAACTATTTTCAGACAGAGTTGACTTAAAGTCCTAAAATAATAAAGAGAATCAAACACGGGTTAAAAAAACAATTTATCCTTATTTTTAGTTTTATTTTCTACACTATATAAGAAACTCCTCTTCAATAAATATAATTATTATTTTTTTTTATCAAAAAGTAAAAGAAATTACATTTATAAAAATATTCAATTTTATTGTTAATTACATAAAAATAATAAAACAATATCATAATTCGTTATTATTAACTAATTAAATATTATTATATTAAATATCGTAGCACTAGTGTCAAGAGTCAATTATCTTGGTACCGAGAAAATATTATTATTTTTTTTTATACCCCTAGTAATTAATTAATTATTTTTTCAATTTAATATATTGTGATATTATTTTAATTTTCATAGTGTGACATAATGAAAAAATTTCTAGATCCGCTTGTATACACTGATATTTTATAAATTCTAAGTGAAGAATCGATTTTGTACTAGCCAACTGGATATATCAATTAATACATATTATAACTAACAGTTCATCACTACGTACGCATATATTAATTGTAGCATGAAATATGCATGCATGCATCTATCTCTATCTTGTGAATACATCATGCATGCATATTGAATTAGCATTAAAATTCTATTCATATAATTTAATTGCTACAGATGTATATTAATTGTCAACTTTAATTTGACGTAAATTACTGCCACATTATTGTATGTAGATAATATAGGTGTGCCCGCGCACACATATATATATATATATATGGGGCCCACCTATACTTCATTAATATTAAGATAATAATTTTATTTTGTTTGTTTTAAAATAATAATTTTATTCTTAAAAATAATTATATTATCTTAAAAGTATTTATATTTATTATTATTATACAAATATCATTATATTTTACGCAAATGCATTTACAAGATATTTTAGTTTTTTATTATCATTTTATACTCAATTTCAATAGAATATTACTCTCTCCGTCCTACTAAAAGGTTACTATTTTTCATTTTCGTCCGTTCCAAAATAAGGTTATCATCTTCTAATTTAGTAATTGTACTGACTCTTTCACATAATAAATACCCTTTCAACTTACAATATATTACAAAAATGCTATTACTTTTATATTACATCATATTAATATGGGTATTTTTGTTATTTTACTAAAATCCAATATAATATTAATATTAAAAAATCTACATGCAAAAAACAAACGTCACTCTTCCAACGGGACGGAGGAAGTATTATTCTTTTAAATTCTGTGCCGAATCCCAATTACATTACTGTTCGAGACGGAGAAAAGTATAATATTTTATAAAAAAAATAATACTCTCTCCGTCCACATACAAAATAAACATTTACTTTTGGCGCGGTGTTTAAGAAATAATAGTATTTTAATTATAATTGGTAGTTAAAAGTAGTAAAATGATATTTTTGCCCTTGCCTTTTGGTGTAAAAGTAATGATGTGATATAAAGTAAGAGTATTTGTGGAAAAAATGAGGTATTTAATAAAATATTTATTTTTTAATTGGACGTCCCAAAATAAAAATATGTATACTTTTTAGCTGGACGAAGGGATTATTATTTATAATTAAGTATAAAAAATTTAAATATTTATATAACAACCAATATTTTTAAATGTTTATATAATATTTATAATAATTTAATAGAAGGACTGAATTATTTTCCATCATCTTTTGAAAAGTGATTGAAAATTGCATTAGGGCAAGAAGCATCTACATATAAATGTACAAAATTGACCGCTGAAAACTCATTTTATACATCTTTCCCGGCGCCTCTACATTGTATATTTCATTAATAAACAAATAATTAGAATGATGTATTTTATCATTGATTTTACTTAGGGTGTGTTTGATTGGGGGATTGGATTAGATTTTTACTATTTATCCAATTTTTTTTCCAAAAAAATCAAATAAAACACCTATTTTTTATTTTTTTATATTATATTAAAAATTAATTTTACATTCAAAACATCACACCAACACCTATTTATATCACATCATACAACTATTCAAATTCAAAATTTTTACTATTCAAATCCCAATTCAAAATTCAAACCCCCAAACAAACACACCCTTAGAGAAAATTTATTTAAAAATAATTTTATTTGAAAATAGGTTCTTCCTTTACTATCTGTTGAACCTTTTTTTGAAAAAAAAAAAATAATTAAGGTATGTTTTTTTTGCTCAAATTCTCAGGTTTTTATTATTTTGATTCTGTATTTTTCGAAAAAAATATTTTTTTTTTCTCATAAAATATCTAGTCATATACTCCCTCAATCCCAAACAACGTGCAACATTTAGTTTTGGTACGGATTTTTGGGCGGGTAGTATTAAGTAGGATAATTTAGAAATTAAGTGATGTGATGGAGAGAAAAATGTATATTTTATTTTTTTATTTGGAAGATGTGAGGGGATAAAGTGGTGGGGTTAAGTATGATTAATCATTTCCTATTTTGGAAATGTTGCAGAGTGTTTGGGACATACCAAAAAGGAAATGTTGCATTGTTGGGACGAAAGGAGTATTATTTTAATACCAAATTCAAATCAAATTTTTTTCAAACCCATCTAAACAAACATACCCTAAAAAAAATTAAACTACGACAAAAAAAAAAAAAAAAGCAAATTAGGATGTGTTTGTTTGGGTGTTTAGATTCTGAATTGGAATTTGAATTGTAAAAATTTTTAAGTTGAATAGTTATATAATGTGATATAAATAGGTGTTGATACGATATTTTAAATATAAATTAATTTTTAATATAATATAAAAAATAAAAAATACTTAGTTTAATTTGATTTTTTTTTAAAAAAAAAAAGGGAGGCGTAATATATTTAAAATCAAATCAGCCAAACAAACACACCCTTGTATAAATGAGTGGGGTCTAGTGAAACAGTCAGAAAGAGGCGAATCATATCAAACAGAGTCAACATCAGCTGAATTGTAATGATTCCACGTCACTATCGCTACTCCCCCTATTCAACTTAGACCTTCCACGTCATCACACTCTTGTTTTGACTCCACAGCTGGCTCGCCAGCCTGCCCCGCCCTGCCGCTATTTAAATTCACAAAAAACAAAACCACTTGCCAATATAAATAAATTAATAAATAAGTATTTATTTGTATTTCAATATTTTTTAAAAGAAAAATTATTAAATATGATATTTTTTATAAAATACTTTCGTATACTACTTCAAAAAATATAAACACACACTTACAATGTAATATGACACCATCTTTCTATCTACTACATTTAGTAGCTATATACAATAAATTTCTTTCTAAAGAGACAAAACAAGGTCCGGATTATTAGTTTAAAAAAAAAATAAAAAAATAAGAAAAGAGGATAAAAGCTACTCTCTCCGTCTCATGTAATATGGGTGTATTACTGTAGACACGGAAATTTAGGTAAAATATAATAAGTAAGTAATTAAGAAATGTATCAGTAAAAATAATTATTATTTAATAAAAATAATTATAGATTGAGATTAAGATAAATAAATAATTTAATTAAAATTAAGAAAATTATAAAATTTAAAATTTAAAATGCGATTAAAGTGCATAATTATATTTCCAAAAATAAAAAATGACAAATTATGTGGTACCGAGGAAAATAGAAAATAAGGACAAATTATGTGGGACGGAGGAGTATACTATTACAGGGTACATGTCACGCCCTAGAAATATACAGCCTGGCAACCTCGACCTGCAGCCAATCACATTATCCCACGTGTCGAAAGCTGATGTTGACTGTCACCTCCTTGTTACAGCTGTTCCCTAATTGCCACTCATTTAAATACTCCTCTCGAACTCATAACCTTTGGCATCTCAATCCTTAAAGATCATGGCGTGCAATTACCATTTTGCCCTCCTCCTCAGCCTCCTCTGCGGTACCGCCACTTCCACGGCCACGGCGGCGCTCGTGCAGCAGCAGCCGCTCGTGCTTAAATACCACAACGGCGCTGTGCTCAAAGGCACTGTAACCGTTAATCTCATCTGGTACGGAAGGTTCACGCCCATCCAACGGTCGATAATCGTCGATTTCCTCCAGTCACTTAGCTCCGGCAAAGCTCCGCTGCCCTCCGTCGCGTCGTGGTGGAAGACGACGGCGAAGTACAAAGGCGGCGTCGGCGCCACCAGTGCCATCGTCGGGAAGCAAATCCTCGACGAGAACTACTCCCTCGGGAAATCGCTCAAGAATTTTCAAATCGTTGCCCTGGCCGCGAAGGGAGACCGCACTAACGGCGCCGTGAACGTCGTTTTAACGGCGAAGGACGTCGCCGTCGAAGGCTTCTGCATGAACCGCTGCGGCAGCCACGGGTCGACCCGCGGGCCGACCCGATTCGCGTACGCGTGGGTGGGTAATTCCGAGACCCAGTGCCCTGGCTACTGCGCGTGGCCGTTCCACCAGCCGCTGTACGGCCCGCAGGGACCGCCGCTCGTCGCGCCGAACGGCGACGTCGGCGTCGACGGAATCGTGATCAACCTCGCGACGGTGCTGGCGGGGACGGTGACGAACCCGTTCAACAACGGGTACTTCCAGGGTTCGGCGACGGCGCCGCTGGAGGCGGTCAGCGCGTGCACCGGCGTGTTCGGGTCGGGCGCGTACCCAGGGTACGCCGGAAACCTGCCGATAGACAAGACGACGGGGGCGAGCTATAATGCGCATGGGGTGAACGGCCGGAAGTATCTGGTGCCGGCGATGTGGGACCCGCAGACGTCCCGGTGTTCTACACCGGTTTGAATGAATCCCCAATGGTGTACGTTTGTAGATATACGGACGCTGGTGGTTGGGTTTGTCGTTTTGTGCGATTGTACATGTCGTTTTATATCATATGGAAAATGTGGGGAAAAGCAAGATTGAGTGTGAGGTAGGAAGGGAACTGGAAATACAGTAAAATACTGTTTAACTCTTGTCGTAATGTAATGGGATCAATAATTGTGTATGGTTTTATATTTTAAGTGAGTCGGATCCACTCTATTGGCAATATAATAATAATGTCAAAATCAAGTGTTAGTATTATGGATTAGGAAGACACAATAACAATAAATAATTTGCTTGAAATGAGTAGGGTTTGAGTTGAGGACACAGTAGTCAGACAAACAAGCAAGTGGATCTTATAAAAATATACTACTACTACAAACTAGGTAAGTGATTTGGTGGGTGGCATTATGTTAAGACTGCTTATTGATTATTAAATAATAATCACTTGAACTAATAATGATATTTCTCAACGTAGTGTGATGATGACAGTGCAGAGCCTAATCAATGAAGAATACAGATTGGAATCCGAATCCAAATCCCAATCCCTAGGACACATTGATGATATGATACACACGCACGGGTGGGGGTGGGGGTGGGGGTGGAGTCATAACTAAGACAGACAGGGACTATGCACATCCTCCTAATAAATGGCCTCTGAGCTGAGCTGGGCTGGTTGTAGAGATGTTGACAGATTGATGACTGCTGCTCTTCTCTTCTTTCTACCTATTTCCACTTCTGCAACCAACTCCTGTGTTTTACATGGAGGATTTTTGTCAACTTTGGCTGCAGTGGTGGGGTAAGGACTGACTCACTATATATCACTAATTCCTAGATACTTGGCCCACCCTGCTTGCTTAGGTGTGTTTGAAGAGGATGTTCAAGTGTTGTTAGCCATATCTGTGTACATTGCTCACCTATTTGGTACTTCTTATTGTGGGGAATACCAATATACCATCCACACTAATTTTACACTGTATCTATTAACTTTCTTCATTCCTAGTAAATATAGAGACATCACTCTCTTCCAATCTGTCCAAAATTCCTCAACCAATAATAGATACATTATTGATTTAAGGACATCCTGGAGTGTATTTGTTAGCTCACTAGCCAGCTCATATGCAAAATCTCACATTAAAATACACAGAAGAGGTCACTACCGGAGCTAATCCACACACACACACACAATATGGGGACTGACTTGTTCAAGACTAGCAAGGATATAAAAGCTCTATACACACCATTCATGGCATGGAAAGGAAAGGACCACCATGTGGACCTTGACATGATGAATGTTGAAAATCTATCTAGTTTGGGTGCTCCAAGAATCGCCACCGATCCAGTAATTTTCTACCATTGAGTATAGCAAACATGGATCCAACACAATCTTATTGATTAGTATAAATTAACAAGTAGTGTAATGTTATACACATATAAACAGAGGCATGAAACCAAAGATCGCAAGCATGTATTTAAGCATATCATGATTGAAAAGACCTTCACCCGGGTTCTCCTATTACACCCCAAAACTAATGATATGCCATCTCTATATTTTACTATTATGGGACATTGTAATGCGACACACAAACATAGAACATTATGCATGATTAAATACATAGGCAAAATGCTGATCTTCATCCTTAATTAATGCAATCTCAAGGATGGATCGCTCTTCTAGTACCTTACAGAAGTAAGAGAACGCTGTGATCCAATTCTTCTCTTTCGGAGTCGCTCAGCAATGATAAAAGCTAGCTCCAGAGACTGAGAAGCATTGAGCCTTGGATCACAGTGTGTGTGATAGCGCGAGCTCAGATCATTGTAAGTGATAGTCCGAGACCCGCCAACACACTCTGTAACATTCTGTCCAGTCATCTCCAAATGCACACCTCCAGGGTAGGTCCCTTCTTGATCATGAACATCAAAGAATGCTCTCACCTCAGCCTAACAAATCATAATTAAACCCAATTAATAAAGGCATTGCTTGGGTACCATCTATTATAATATGCAGAAATCTCCAGATCAATAAATAAGTAATCACAGGTTAGCTTTGTAATGAAGCATCATTTCCTATCAACCATAGATGATTTAACCTTGGATCAGTATATATGTGGCTTGGGAGTAAGAAAAAACTAGAAGAAAGTCATACCCTGATTGAATCAAAGGAACGGGTCTTTAGTCCACAAGGAGCTTTTATGGTGTTTCCATGCATAGGATCACTGACCCAAGTGACAATTTGACCAGCTCGGCGAACTGCCCTAATCAGATTAGGAAGTTTCACCCTCATATTCTCAGCCCCCATTCGAGCAATCACTGCTATTCTTCCAGGTTTATTTTTAGGATTCAGAATCTCAATGAGTTTCACTAGCTCATTTGGATCCATCTTATCACTGACCTGCATCCAAATGCCAAAACAACAACGAATATAACATATTTATATCTCAAGACATCTTGTTTTCTCAAATTACTACACGGAATATGAGAGAGATAAGCTCTGAAGACCTTGATCCCTAGAGGATTGGATATTCCTCTCAAGAATTCAACATGGGCGCCATCCAACTGTCTTGTACGTTCCCCAACCCAGAGCATATGAGCCGAGCAGTCATAATACAGACCAGAAGTTGAGTCCTCTCTAGTGAGCGCTTGTTCATAAGGTAAAAGTAAGCATTCATGTGATGTCCAGAACTCTGTAGAGGTCATGATCGAGTTTTCAGATGTAAGACCACAAGAAGCCATGAAGCCAAGGGCCTCATCAACCCGATGAGCCAGTTCTCGGTACCTTGTAAAACATCAAATATAATAAAGACCTATCCACTCATATAGAAATCATGAGCCTGAATATATGGTTAGAACAAAGGAGGCTAGTGGATGGCACACCTATCACCCTGCTCACTGTGTTCAGTAAAATCAAGGTTCCACTGGCTGACCCGCTGCATCGCTGCATACCCTCCAGTTGCAAATGCCCTTAGCAGGTTCAGCGTAGCCACCGATTGGGTATATGCCCTAATCATTCTATGAGGATCTGGAATGCGTGATTTTTCATCAAAAGCATCCCCATTAATATTGTCCCCACGATAACTTGGCAGCTTCACACCATCTTTCTCCTCAAATGGGTCTGATCTTGGCTTAGCAAACTGCCCTGCCATTCTTCCAACCTAAAGGGTATAATGCAAGATGAAATTTCCAATGCTTGATATCATTTACTCTTTTTGCAATTTTCCTTTTTGCCTTTTTTCAAGTAGCATCACAAATTAGTGGGAAAGCTGAATATAGACAAGTTAGCAAAATAGAATTGGAAACAAATCAATACACGCAGGACTCCAAAATCTCAAACTACAAACACTCATAAAAGTGTTGAACAAAATAATTAAAAGGAAACAGCAGTATTTTGAATTGGGCATAATTATTGCAGAACCTAAACCTCTTTATACGAAGTGATTTTCCAACAATTCAAACCATAAGGTGAAATGAAAGCAAAGAAACTAAATACACCAAAAGCCACCGACTGCCAAACTCCAAAATTTGATTAAACAATATAAAATGCTTTATGCTTAAAAAGAATTTACTGTGTAAAAGTAACACGAATACCAGAAAGTGAAGTTACTGTTCAAACAACGAATTTTAAATGACGGATAAATGATTACTTCTTGCCGCATAATTTCAATTCAAATCACAGTGGCAATTAGGCATCCTTAATTTCTAAAGGATTCACATCAAACAAATGAAACCAGTAGCTTACATAATCAATAGCAGACAATCTTTAAACAAATTATTCAAATTATAAAAGAGGATAAGATGGGATACCTTTATAACAGGCATCTGACCGCCAAACATTAGGACAACGCCCATCTGCAAGATCACCCTAAAGGTATCCCTGATATTATTGGCGCTGAATTCCTTGAAACTCTCCGCACAGTCGCCTCCCTGTAGAAGGAAAGCATTTCCGAGAGCAGCCTGCCCTAATTTCTCCTCGAGGCTTCTCGCCTCACCCGCGAAAACGATAGGAGGGAACGATTCGAGAGTTTTGAGGACCGATTCCAGCGTAGCTTCATCCGGATACTCCGGAAGCTGAGACGCTTTCCGGGATTTCCAGCTGTCGAGGCTCCAATTTACCGATAGCGGAGGGGAGGTCGCGGCGGTTGATGGCGGCTGATCAGAGGATTTGACGGCTGAGATTGTTTTCGATCCGCGCTTGAAGAGGAGAGAGGAGACGTTGGTGGATATGGAAGTCCGGGCGGAGGAGGGGCCGGGACGAACGAAGCTGTTGGGAAGGCGCGGAGGTGCGGTGGCGGAGGTGGGGGTTGCAATCGTCATGGCTTTGGCCTGCATCAGCATCAGGGACGGTCACGGAATGCAAAAGGTAAGCTGGGTGGAATTGCATGGAACTGTAGGGTTGGTCACTTGACGGGTCATAAATTATGGCCGCAGTAAGATTTTGGGATCACCCATCCGCAGGTCACATCTTTATTACTATAATGCCGTCCGTCCTTTCTATGTTACTCCTTCCTTGCATCCATTTAAATGTCCACTTTAAATTATATTTTAATAAAAATAATTATTGATAATAAATATTTTTAATTAAAATAAAAAAAAATTATAAATTATAAATTTTAAAATATGATTAAAATATATAATTATATTTTTAAAAAATATAAATTATATGGAAAGGGAATATTTTTTTTTACTCAACTATCTCTATTTTTTGTTTGTCTTATTTATTATTATTTTAATTATATTTTAAATTTAATAATCAATAATTTTTAATTATAATTAAATTAATTAGTTATTTTAATTTTAATTTATATTTTACAATACTAGATAATATGGTATATAACTAACTAATTAAGAGATAGAAAAGAATGACCGACTGGTGTAGAAAATGAACTTGTGATATCAAAGATCATAAGTTTAAACTGGCTTACCTTATCGAATCTAATTTATAGAATTTATTCGATGTGTATTTCCGCATAAGAGCCCACGTTATCAAAATAAAATTAAAAAATTTAAAAAGAAAATTAAGAGATGAAGAAGGATCTATCATTAGAATTTTCCTTGTGACAGCATCACATGTGTCATTCAATCCCATTAGAAAGTTCATTACAACTACTTCTTTATCTGGTTTAGGGGATTTCTCCTGTGATAAACATTCATTTTCTTTTGCCACTAAAGATCTCATGATGCATCTACTTCTGATCAAATGATTGGCATAAAATGGTGGACATGGTCATTTTGGAATTATCAGAAGCCAAAAGTTCCAAGTGAGCCATAAATATAGCATAAGGGTTAGTAGAATAAGAAGATGAGAATTCAACAAACATTTAGCAAGAGGAAGAACAAAAGCAGGTCTAATCTCATACCATGTGAACATGGCCGGTCCTGGCTTTCGAAGGGCTCAGAGCATAAGAAAAAAACATGAGCCCCTAAATATATATATAAATATTTTTTTTATTTATAAAAAATATAAATAATTAAATAAAATAATTTTTTAATATTTTTAGATAAAAAATAATATAAAAATATATTTCCAAACTTTTGATATATTTTTCACCACCAAACTACTATCCTTTATAATTTAATATAACAAATAGATTATATATATATATATAAATTATAAATGTATAATATAAATATATATCGGCCCATATTGGGTGGGAGGGAGTAGTAAAATGTTTGCATTTTTTATTTAAATTTATTAATATCACTATTTTACTTTATACTAACTCCGTCCTGTTTGCTACACTGTAAACATTAGGATTAGAAGAAATATAATTAGTAGATAATTAAAAATAATTATAAATTAAGATTAAAATAACTAATTAATTTAATTAATTTTTTTAAAAAAATAAAATTAAAAAATTTAAAATGAGATTAAAGTGTAATCATTTTCTAAAAAAAAAGTGACATGTGGGACGGATAGAATCGGCAACGTGGACATGGTATATGGGACGAAAGGGAGTATTATACATTATACTTTTCCATATCATTATTTATAATTTACAATATATCAGTATTTATTTATATTAAATATGCATTATATTTCCATCAAATTTTATTTGTTTTATTTTTTTGTTTATCTTCAACTAACAACATACACTAGCAAATAATTTTTAGACACGTTTTATTTATATTTTTTAATATTTTATTTATTTATGTATACACATGTCACTAACATTTACATATTTAATTTATTAAAAAAAATTTTATTTCATTAACTAACTCATATACTACTATTTAAAAATATTTTTATTTTCTATCACAATCAACTCATATAATAATATATTTATTAAAATTCATATTTAACTTATATAACATATAATTTTTTATGAACAGAAAGAGTAGTGTGTATATATATTCTAAGTTTAAAAAACACACCGTTGGTTAAAAAAAATACAGAAGAAAAAGTAAAAGACCGTTGGTTTAGAGAAACGATTTGTTACGGCACGGCGTGACTTCGGACTGTTGACTGTTGCTGTAATGACTGACAACAAGCAGTGGTTGGGAGATCCCGGGAGTCGGACACCACAAGGATATACCGTCTCCTGTAGTTTCGACACGTCATCGGCGTCTTCCTCCACTCACCTTCCTTTCAGTCCAACCAACAATGGCGACCACCGTCGCCGCAATTTTCATCCCTTCCGCCACCACTTTCTCCCGCCTGTCTCCCCCTTATCTCTACTCCTTCAATTCCATCTCCGCCGCCGCTACCCTTGACCGCCGCAGGAATTTTCTCCATTTCCGTACTGTGCACAAAACCCCCAAAAGAACCCTAACTCTCTCATCCTCTTCTTCCTCCAATCCCAATCCCGAACCCGAAACCTCTCCAGGAGGCGCTCGTCTTGTTCCTCTGGTTGCATCACTCTCCATCGGCGGCGTATTCTGCTTCCTCATTCCCCGGCCGGACGAATTAACTCCTCAGGCCTGGCAATTGCTCTCCATTTTCCTCTCCACCATCGCCGGCCTAGTCCTCGGCCCCCTCCCCGTCGGCGCGTGGGCGTTCCTTGGACTCACCGTCTCCATCCTCACCAAAACGCTGTCGTTCCGCGCCGCCTTCTCCGCCTTCACAAACGAAGTAATTTGGCTGACCGTATTTTCGTTTTTCTTCGCTCGCGGCTTCGTGAAGACGGGATTGGGCGATCGCATTGCAACTTACTTCGTCAAGTGGTTGGGGAGTAGCACCCTGGGGCTGTCGTACGGCCTGACTTTAAGCGAGGCACTGATTTCTCCGGCAATGCCGAGCTCCACCGCTAGGGCAGGCGGCGTGTTCCTGCCGATCATCAAATCCTTAGCATTGTCGTCCGGAAGTAAGCCTGGAGATCCTTCCAGGAAGAAGCTTGGCTCTTATCTCGTGCAATCTCAACTTCAGGTTGATTCTATCCTGCAATACCTCCAACTTCAGATAATCGATTCTGTTTCCAATTTGGATCTCTCGTTCTTCGTGCTGCTTTGCATCTGTATGATTAGTTAAATAGCTGCAGAAATGGTGAACTTCTGCATAATTAACCTGCCATTGTTCTGTTTCCAGTGCATTAGCTTTCTTCATCTTCTTTGATTGTAATGACTTCAGCTTCCTTTCAATGGCTGCTACCTATTGTTTCTTTGTTGCTCATGTTCGGCTCTTTTCGCTCATGACAGTCTTCTAACAACTCAAGTGCTCTTTTCCTAACTGCCGCAGCTCAAAACCTCCTATGCCTGAATTTAGCTGCAGGATTTGGAGTGGTGATTCCGAACCCGTGGATTTCTTGGTTCCAGGCTGCTAGTCTACCCGGTTTTGTATCTCTAATATCTACGCCGTTAATATTATACAATCTTTTCCCTCCCGAAACAAAAGATACCCCTGAAGCCCCTGCCATTGCTGCCGAGAAATTAGCGCTAATGGGACCTGTCACAAAAAATGAATATGTGATGATTTCCACTATGCTCCTAGCAGTTTCTCTGTGGGTTTTCGGGTATGTGGATCATTTCCTAACTGGTCCCGTAACGTCGTGATGGATTGGATTTCAAAATTCGATAAAAACTGTTGTTCTCTGGAGCATCTTTCATTTACTAGATAATTTACCCTCTGCAGGGATGCTGTAGGTGTTTCGAGCGTTGTTGCTGCAATGACGGGATTATCTATACTCTTATTATCGGGAGTTCTTGACTGGGATGACTGCTTGAATGAGAGAGCAGCGTGGGATACTCTCGCGTGGTTTGCTGTCCTCGTCGGAATGGCAGGCCAGCTGGCTGACCTTGGGATCATTAGCTGGATGTCGACATACGTAGCTGCATCGCTGCAGTCGTTATCTCTAAGCTGGCCTGCTGCATTCGGCGTTCTTCAGGGTAGTTACTTCTTGATTCACTATTTATTCGCAAGCCAAACGGCCCACGTCGGAGCTTTGTACCCTGCGTTTCTCGCCATGCATTTGGCATCGGGAGTGCCGGCCGATCTCTCGGCCTTGGCTCTTGCCTACAACACCTGCCTGTTCGGCGCTTTGACTCATTACAGCAGCGGTCAGGCTGCCGTATATGCTGGAGGTACAATGCAACTTTTTTTTTTCTTGATGTTTTGCAGTTGAATTGTTATTAACATGTATATGGGGATGTTGTTTTTGTCGACAATATAACAGCCGGGTATGTAGACATTCCTGAGGTGTTCAAATTCGGGTTTATGATGGCACTGGTTAACACTGCGATCTGGGGCTTGGTAGGGACGTTTTGGTGGAAGTTCTTGGGGCTGTACTAAGCTGGAAAGTATGAGAAATTTTTATCCTACAACAAAATTGGTATCAGGTTAGAAATAGAATTAGATGAGACAGTGGATTGGAATTTTATGGTGATCCTGTTTCTGTTCTTTGGTTGGTTAATATACAATGTTGGCCCAGTACCTACACTTTTTGGTGTCCCATACTGGAATCAAATTGCCACTTTTAAATATTATGAAGATACCCAATATAAAAATCGATTTTAGTCGTTATTATTATTTTATTTTATTTTGTTATTATTATTATTATTATTATTATTATTATTATTATTATTTTATCTTATTTTGTTATTATTAGTAATGTGAAGGCCATGCACATGGGCGGGGAGGGCATTTATTTGCGAGTGCGTGAGTGTTATCCAGTGGGCTGTGATGGAGGAGGCGTGTTGATAATTTTACCTGCGTTTGTCGAAGACAGCTTTGTTAATTTCTCTTGCCTTTTGCTTTTGCTCCGTTTCGTCCTGAGGGAGTCAGTGTCGTCGAAACTCGTATATCAGTTAGGATATATTGTCTATATATATATCTGCCGCTGCGGTGCAGTGCGTTGCTGTTGGATTCAAATTTTAGGCAAGGATGGACTCCGTTAACTTTGCTTGCTCTCGCGCCACTCTGCCTCGCTATAGGTAAGGCGTTCTCTCGCGCTTATTTCGATTATTTTGGATCGTGTTTGGATTGATGATTGTGTGTCCGAATCATCGGGAAAATGTCTGCCAGGATAGATATTTTGTTTTCTGTAAGTTACTTGCATAGATCCAGAAGCATGAGATTTTCCATCAGTGCTTCTGACGTGCATATTTTGGTTTTGGATGGATTCTAAAGAGCTTTTGCAATGATCTGTTTTGGTTGTTCTTGTCCATGTTTTTATATAATCTTGACCTGCTGGGGAGAATTCGGTAGTATGGAGTTGATACATGTACAACCATGAGCTCATTTAACAACAGCAGATTTTTGTCTATCTCTATATAGACACACATATATATGCATATGTGTATCTTTTTTCAACAATACACAGAAATTGATATTAAGGAATAGCTGGGGAAGGCTTATGATTTGTAGTTTTCAGAAATACTAGTTTCTGATGTACACAATCAGTCACAAAAAAAAAAAAAAAAAAAAAAGTACAAAAACAAAGCCTTGCAAGATTGTGCAAGACTCAAGAGAGTTTGATGCGCTCATGCTGGATGATATTCATATGGAGGATTTTAGCATTGAGCCTTTTTATGATTTAGTAATATTTTGAACTTATATAGAGCTTACTTGCATACTTGGCTGCTATCCTGCTTATATACTTATGTGTAGTATATTTCTTGTACATTGTCATTTGGTATGTACGCTGTCTTGATTGCTGGAATCAATGACTAATGTCATAAACTCACCTGTATCAACCTTTTAAAATTGCCTTTTCCATTTTGATCCTCTTGGTGTCTACAAATGCATCCAGACAGTTCAATTGTCTCTATGGTGGAAACATTCATACTCTGACAACAGTCAAGTCTTTCAAGCAGCTGGATGCAAAAGTGGGTGTCAGTATCAAAGTGAGTTTGAAATTAAAATCTACAGAGTTCTCTGGGGAAGGCAACCATCTCAGTCGTTCTGTTGGTTGTAAAATTGCACCTGAGGCTCTCATTAATGACTTATCAGCTGGAGTTGAGTTGAAACCTGATCCTGGTGTGTTAGAAAGTCTTTCAGCCAATACTGCTGCAACTGCTAGTGGTTTCCCTGGTGAAAACGATGAATGTGATTTGGATCTGCCATCAGAAGGCTTCTCATCTATTTCAGAGGCCATTGAAGACATTCAACAAGGAAAGGTTAGACTTTATTTAGTGACATTTATGAATACTGAAACAGTTAACAATTCTTTTGGATCGACATTGCAGATGGTTATTGTTGTAGATGACGAGGATAGAGAGAATGAAGGAGACCTAATAATGGCTGCATCAAAAGTCACTGCCGAGGCTATGGCTTTCTTTGTGAAGCATGGAACTGGGATAGTTTGTGTGAGCATGATGTCTGACGACTTGGAAAGGTTGCAGCTTCCCCTGATGGTAAGCCACAAGGAAAATGAGGAGAAACTTTGTACTGCGTTCACTGTTTCAGTGGTAAGTTGTTTCCCTACTAACAAACTGCAAACACAACTTGTTTCATTTATTAATTATCATAGTTTAACTGTTTCATGGGCAAACCTTTTAATTGGCTCTCAAAGTTTTTTTGTGCCTTTTTTTTTTCTTGGGGATAAACAGACTTGAGTGAACTCAAGAAATAGTCGAATCATGATCTTTTTTATATGTGCAGTATCACACAAAACATCTGTTTTTCTTTACTTGTTTAGATCTTTCATTGGATACAATATCAGAGAATGAATTAATGAGGGAGCAGAAGTAATACTGCCATTGTAGGACGCTAAACGTGGAACAAGTACAGGTGTTTCAGCACACGACAGGGCAACGACAATAAGGGCTCTTGCATCAAAAGATTCAAAGCCTGAGGACTTCAACCGCCCGGGACACATATTTCCCTTGAAGTACAGGGACGGTGGTGTCCTGAAAAGAGCTGGGCATACAGAAGCTTCGGTAGATCTTGCGACACTGGCTGGATTAGAGCCTGCTGGAGTTCTGTGTGAGATTGTTGACGATGATGGTTCCATGGCCAGACTAACAAAGCTTAAACTGTTTGCCAGAAAAGAAAAGTTAAAAGTAGTATCTATTGCTGATTTAATTAGGTACTCTCTTAAACTGCCTTTGTAACTATTTACACTCCAAAGTGGTTATGATTTATATTCGTTGAACTTACTCCATTGCAGAGCATTTGTTTCTTTTCATTTTTTCCTACGTGTATAAGTGGTGGGTACACACTTATGACAGTGGAGCTCCTGAACGATACACACTAAATCATGTTGTTTTTGCGTCTTTTGGAATACTGTCTAAATTTGGAGTCTGACCCGCGAAACAATTTTCAGATATAGGAGAAAGAGGTCTAGATTAGTTGAACATGCATCTGCTGCTCGTATACCAACCATGTGGGGCCCATTCACTGCATATTGCTACAAATCAGTTTGGGATGGAATCGAGCATATAGCCATGGTTAAGGTGAGTATTTGAGAAATTGCGATGTAAATGCTTATTTGAAGTTCCTTAAGCTTTCTATTTGGGGGTGTTTGTGGCAGAGTAATTTCTTTTAGCTCCATTGTTGTCACACATTGACCCTATGCGTTGCACACTAATAATGTAGATTGTTATTTTCCGTATAGTCATATACAAACTAAAGGCAAGTGGTGGTGTATTGTGCCTTTGGCCTTATTCTTCTGTAATTACAAAATATTCATATTTGCGATGACATTGTAAACAGGGTGATCTTGGTGATGGACTAAATGTTCTGGTCAGAGTGCACTCCGAGTGTCTCACTGGAGACATCTTTGGATCAGACCGATGTGACTGCGGACACCAGTTGGCACTCGCAATGCAGAAGATTGAAGCTGCAGGTAGGGGCATCTTGATTTACCTCCGTGGTCACGAGGGCAGAGGAATTGGTTTGGGACACAAACTTCGAGCCTACAATCTACAAGATGATGGACATGACACTGTTGAGGCGAATGAGGAACTGGGATTACCTGTTGATTCCAGAGAGTATGGTATTGGTGCTCAGGTATAGCTTTTTAAAACATCAAGAGAATGCATACAGAATATAGATGGGATCAATCCAATTACTTGTTGCATTTAAATACAGATGAATTCATCTCTGTACAGATACTAAGGGATCTTGGAGTCCGAACAATGAAGCTGATGACTAACAATCCTTCAAAGTACATCGGGCTCAAGGGCTATGGCTTGACCATTGTAGGCAGGGTGCCCTTAGTGACTGCCATCACAAAGGAGAACAGGAGATACTTGGAAACAAAAAGATCCAAAATGGGACATGTTTATGGACTGCATGTCAATCCCTGCCCAGACATCAACATGGAAAACGGCCACCCGAGTTAATCTGAATGGTAATAGAATGTTTGGTAAGGTTTGTTGCTGGATCAATGAATCTTTGAGGGAAATAAGATTAAACTGAAGCATAATTTATTTCCAACATTCTTTGTAGAAATTAATTGGGGGTATATCTTCTCAATTCTTTTTCTGGGATTCTTAATGGTATGGGTCCTATTTGTTCACTTGGTGGCTGGCTGCATCAGCATCTGCTTTGCCTCTAATTTTTTTTTGTTTTATCTTTTGTTTCCATGGATCTTTTTGTTATTTTTAGATAATACATCTAACAGAGTCACGGAAAAGAGGAAATGGAGACTAGTACACAATTACCTTCCACGGTCCCAGGTCGGAGGACCAAAAGTCCAAAACCAACTACTAAAGGTGAAACTCTATCTACACCGTTTATCAAATTCGGGGATCCAACGGATTCGCGCTAAAAAGTCATAACGTGGCAGAATTTTATTGGCTATAACGGACGTGCAGTAACTGCATCGCAGAGCAGGAATATTCATTGTACCGAACTCTCGTGGTTGTCTTCCGAGAAAGACCCGTTCGTTCGTGTACTTTAATCCATACCTGTTTGCCCTTAATTAATGTGTTTGTTACTGTTTACTGCCTCGCTTTCGATATTTTGGTTCTTCGATGGGATAGCGTAGTTACTACTTTATTTCAAGAATTCTGTGTTTCCCTTCGTAAGGGGTTCGGTTGAGAATTTCAGACTATTCTAGGGTTTCGTATCTGCATCGTTTGCTAGGAAATTCGGCAATGGGTCGGAGAATAAAATGCAAGAAATCTTTTGCATGGTGACTTGGTAAAGTTCAGAAACTAATTTGTTGTGTTACCTTTATTAGGTTTTGGATGGTGGACTTAGTTAGAGAAACTTGCCCAAGCTGGAGTTTCTCTCTTATCTGTTGTGGATTTAATCTGTGGATTTTGTGATTAATTAATGCTATTAGGTCAGAGTTAGGCGAGGAGCATTTTCTTGGAGTAGTTTTGTTTGTTTAGGTGAAAAAGGATCATTACGTTTTGTATGATTCCTTAAACTAGAGAAAGATCATAGTTATAGGTTGATCGATGGATCGCCTTGGTAAGAAGAGGAAGGGGATTGAGATTGCAGTTTCTTGTCGGAAAGATATTGAGGAGCAAACTTGGTCAGTCCTTAGGCCGCATTTGTCACTAGAAGATTGTTCGAGAAGGAAAAAGAAGTGCAAAGAAGGAATAGTTTCAAAAGTTGCAGACTCAAGCAGAAGTGTTGTTAATGGAGTTGTCACCGCCCCAGCATGTGGGATTACTGGTTCAGAATGTTCGGGTAGAGGTCTTAAGAGAAAGATCGGTTGTATTGATGTTGCCACTCAGTTGGGCCGGAAGAAGAAGATTGACCATGATTACGAGCTAGTGAAAACCATAGGACATGGGAAGTTTGGGTTAGTGATCTTATGTCAGAGCAAGGTAACTGGGGAGGAGTTTGCATGCAAGACTTTGGATAAAGGGGAGGGGATTGTGCACCGTGAAGTGGAGATAATGCAGCACCTCTCTGGGCATACGAGTGTCGTGACGCTGAAGGCAGTCTACGAAGATGCTGAATCTTTCCATCTTGTGATGGAACTATGCTCTGGCGGACGCTTACTTGATCAAATAGCCAAAGAAGGCCTATATTCTGAGCAGAAGGCTGCTAACATTATTAAGGAATTGATGATGGCCATTCGGTACTGCCACAAGATGGGTGTTGTTCACCGAGACATAAAGCCTGAGAATATCCTTCTTACTGCCTCTGGTCAAATGAAGCTTGCAGACTTTGGGTTGGCTGTCAGAATCTTGGATGGTAATACAATACACCACTTTTTATATCACTTATGTTTGGTCTAAACGTTTTATTGTTTGTAGAATGGCATCTATATTCTCATAATACTGATTCCCGTAGTAAGTCAGTTAAGCTGATTGTCCATGACAAATGATGGAGGCTGCGATGATACTTTGTACGAGGCTGTAAAAGATAACATCAGAACATTTCTTCAATAGTGTTAACTAATGTTGTTGAAGCAATTCGGCAAGTTTGTTTGAGTAACTAGCTGAATCTTCATGTCATATTGAGACTCATAGCTTGATTCTTTATGATGCAGGTCAGAGACTGTCAGGTGTTGTTGGAAGTCCTTCTTATGTTGCTCCTGAGGTCCTTGTGGGTAATTATTCGGAGAAAGTGGATATCTGGAGTGCTGGGGTTCTTCTCCATGCACTATTGGTGGGTGTACTTCCATTTCAAGGGGATTCATTAGAAGCTGTGTTTGAAGCTATCAAGAAAGAAAAACTAGATTTTAGGTCCAATTTGTGGAATTCTGTATCACAGCCTGCTCGTCAACTGCTCTCTAAAATGCTTACAAGGAGTGTTTCTGCAAGGCTTACTGCTGATGAGGTTTTGAGTAAGTTATTCCTCCCCAGTAATTTTCTTCTAGGTCATGTTTTACTCATGGAAGCATCGACAACATATATTTGCAGTGCTAGACGTTTTCTAAATGAGATTTAATTTGGGTTCATTGTGTTGATTGCTATTTATTTGAATATGATGTGTTTACTTCTGAGAACTGAAGAAATAATAGTGTTTAGATATGTTACAAGCACCCAAATTCATGTACACGCTAAAGCCAGGGCATATATGTTGTACTATAAATCCAAATCTCATGTATCTGTAGCTTGATGTAACCTCAGGCATGCATGTGTTGAAAGCCTGACTATAACGTCGATTCAGTCGATATGAAGAGATCTAGTCTATTAGAATTTCCATGGTTATCATCAATCTCCTATAATTGTTTTCTTCTTTGTTGACTTTTGTCGCCAACAAATGAAGGTGGCTATTGTTGTATCCCTTGGCTCACTCCTTTTTCTTGTTGATGGTTTCTTCAATAATTTGACAATGAACGACGATTTCAACCTCTAGTCCAATCTTGAGAGTGAAATATCATCCATGTCCAGGATAGTTGTATTGGATGGGATTCAGGAGGATAAACTTGCTTGTATTGCTGCACATAAGGATGTTTTGGGTTTGTGTCAATTTATAGTTATTTGTAATTATTCTTACTGAGAGGAATCATAGTTTCTGTTTCAGAACTTATATGTTTCTATTTATTATTAAAATGATTTTACTACAATTATGATAAGTTTTTCTCATTGATTGAACTGTATTGTTGCTATTCTTCATACAGGACATCCATGGCTTTCTTTCTACACCAAATTGTCAATAAGGACTGCTCCAACTCCTAAGCCAATTAACCATTTACATCTGACTTCGATGCAACTTTCTTGTTTTTGTGGACTGCATTCTGAGAGAAAAAAGATATCATGTGGTAGTCTCAGTGACGACTCTTGTCAAACATTAGCTTTTGCTCATTCAGCTGGTGGTGTTGTTGAAGAAGATGATGGCTTGATTGACATGTTAGCTGTAGCTATTTCCCGTGTTTGTATATCCGCTCCAAAAAGGAGCCGGATATGTAGTCCCCCACAGCCAACCCAACAAGAATGCTCATCTAACTTGAAGACTAGCAACCTCTGTACAGCATTTTGACCACACTGGCCTTTAACTGGTATGGTCTACCTGCTGCCTTTAACTTGGATGAAGCTATAGGTTATGCTAATGATGCCTTGCTACCATAGAAACTATGACCGTGACTAGAGGAATATGTTGAACTAACTTCTTATGTACTTGATCTTGACTGCTGATCGGATACTAGCTATGGATCTTAGTCTTACCCATCCTCGTAAACATGACTGGATCGATTTTCATTTATATAAAACCATGCTTGCTAGTTACTGACGTTTGTGACGATGAAAGTCTGTTGCACTTAAACATAACACAGGTACTGCTGGATGCCAATGCTCGTAGTTGAATGTTGGAATCATATGAAAGTTTTTTTCTTACATACTCTTTTTGTAGAAACTAATGTGCATCGAGGATGAAATTATGTCCGTGCATTAGCCAACTATGTCACTGTGATGGTAGAATCTCTCACTTACATTTGCTTCTTGTAAATATTATCAAACACTAACTTACTGCTCACTCTTTTAGCTAATGTGATGAGTACAGCTTAAGACATGGTTCATGTTACTTGTGGCTTGTAATAGGCTCAAAGCTAAAGCAAATTTCCTCCTCCTTTGGCGTTGACTTTTCTACTCATGGAATTTGATCAGTCTCACAAATCCAGGTAACATTTGATTTCCAGATCCTTAAGTAATAGCTTCTCCTTTTGGCAATCAAATCTTGCACCACATTGAGTTCTCTTGAGATATCTTCTTCAAAATGATTGCCAAATTCAGTCCTCAATCCCTTATGCTCATATTTCAGCCATGAACAAACCTTTATCATCATGCCCTCTTTCTTCACCCAAACTTTCAATCTTCTTCCTAACCCTGTTTGTCATTCTCTTGATTTTCCTCCAAATCCGGTCCCTAAATACACCTCCCATCCCCTCATTTCCGTTGGCACGACAGTGGGAGAAAATAGTCACCAACTCCTGCCTTCCTACTTTAAATGACACTGCCGATAAACTCCGAGAGTCCATCACCTTTCTTCCTCTAAAGGATCTGAGGTATGCCAATGTGGCCATGAAAGGTCACACATGGTTCATGAGCTCCATGTATGACTCTCATGAAGAGGGTGAGGTGCAGTACCAGCAGTTCCCATCAAAGGCCTCTAACGGCCGAGTTCTATGTCTCAAGGGCCGGGATGAACGAGATGGCTCCTGGAACTCGTATGCCCTTGCATGGCCGGATGCCCTGCCTGAAAATGCCACACTGATGAAAGGCATCACCTTTGTGTCATACAATCACTATGACTACTACAACATATGGCACGGCCTGTCGGCCATGATGCCATTTGTTGCATGGCATATAAAGAGCCAATGTGCCGCGCCCAGGAGGTGGATTCTATACCACTGGGGCGAACTGAGGACAAATATGGCACCGTGGGTGGAGACCATGTTGGAAGCCACCTTTGGTGCACCACTTGATATCGGAAAATTCGATGATATTTACAGCCACCATAACAGGTCCAGTGACTATGATGATGATGATGCAACTTGCTTAGAGGAGGCAGTTGTAATGAGGCACAATGAAGGCGGAATGTCGAGGGCGAAGAGAATGGAGGTGTATGATCTGATGAGGTGCAAATCCAGGATGTACTGCAATGTGAGTTCCAGTTCCAGTTCCAAGCAGCAGCAGCAGCAGGGGTTCCACATTGGGATGACCTTGCTGATGAGAAACGGCCCTCGATCCTTCAAGAATGCATCGGCAGTGATCAGTGTCTTTGAGAAGGAGTGCCGCAAGGTGCAGGGCTGCCGGTTGATGGTGGCCTATCCCCACAACCTCACCTTCTGCGATCAGGTACTTGGTTGTGTAATAAGTGTTATCATTTTATGTTATGTCATGTTTTTCTTTTAATTTGATTGGGGCGGGCAGGTGAAGCTTATGAGCTCAACAGACATTCTTGTATCGTCGCACGGTGCGCAGCTGAGCAACATGATCCTGATGGACAGGGATAGCAGCGTTATGGAATTCTTCCCCAAGGGGTGGCTGGAACTTGCGGGGGTGGGGCAGTACGTGCACCACTGGCTTGCCAGCTGGTCTGGGATGGTGCATGAGGGTGCCTGGCGAGACCCCGAGGGGGAGCACTGCCCCTTCCCGGACAAGGACCGGCGGTGCATGTCTGTGTACAAGAATGGTAAGATCGGACACAATGAAACTTACTTCTCTGAGTGGGCAAAAAGAGTGCTGAATGGAGTGGAGCTGAGGAAGAAGAGGGGACTAGCGGCACTGCAAAACAGTCCTGTTTCTGGCCTCTGTGGCTGCAACTGATGATTTGTTAATGATGGTGAGTTTTTGTTTGTGTTTGATTTGATCAAAGTGAGATATTGATTTAATTGTTTTGTTGAAATCCAGGATGAATCAAAACCGTTGATTGTGTGGGGTCAGCAGCACCGTTAATGGTCTGGATCTACTTACTTGCCCCAGAGTTTCTGGACTGCCTGACTGACTGGTTTGACCACTACTCCCTACCTCCCTCCCCCTGTTTGTGTTTTATACTGCACATAATATATAGATAGAGCATTGACAAGAATTATAGGAGCACCAAAGAAAATGATTATTATGTTTATTTATGACAAAAATCAGACAAATTCATGTGTGTTACTGTTACCCCACATTTGAAAAGGGATAAGTAGGTACATTGAACTTAATAATAGGAAGGAAGGTAGGCGACAAGAAGTTTATTAATAGGGCCCCTTTCTTCTTTCTTTGTTAAAGATATAAAATTAATAATAATAAGATTGCCTGGTGGAACGGGACAGACTCTTGTATCTAATTCCAAATTCTAATCAACCAACCACTCTTCACTTTTGTGTCAACCAATATAAATTTAGATAAATAAATCAATAAATAATTCATTCAGCATATCTGCAATCTGCATTACGTAGAGAAGCATTTCTATATTTCGAATTTTGAAAAAAAATTAAATATTCAAAATTTACGTTATATTGACATAGAATTTTTATTTTTTTTTAAAAAAAAGAAATTAGTTGAGATGTTTAGATTTTGGATTTAAGTTTTAAATAGTAAATACATATTGAAATGCGATGCCATAAATCCGAACCAACCAATCCATCTCATTTCAGCAAGTAGCATAGTCCATAGTAGGAGGAGCATGCACGTGATGCTCAATATCAACTAAATAAAATAAAATAAAAATATCAGAGGAGGAGCTGCTACTATGCAGCAAAAGATATCTTTCACACTTTCTTTTGTCTGGTAAGGATGGCATGCGGTGCGGGGTTGGACGGTCATGGTTCAAACCTCCGACCACGTTAGTGCCGCACTTTAGGATAGCAAATACCTTTCACATATGAATAATATATATAGCAAATAATAATAATAATTGGGGTTGGGGACCAAATTGAGAGAGAGGAAGAAAGAGAGGGACAGGCAGGCGTTACGTAGGTCACCACCTTATCCTCATCTGCATTGCCCATTCCATTCCTTTTCTATTCCTTCTTTTAATTCTCTCCGTTTCGTTGCGGATTTTTTTTTTTTTTTTTTTTCATGATTTTACTAATTATTCTTTTTTTTTTTCTTCTAAAATTTAATTTATTTTTATCTTTCTTTTTATTTTTATTATATTAAGATTTAATTCAATCAAAATATTCAAAATATTAATTTACATCACATCAAAATTGTCTATAATTCCCCTATAACTTCGAAACTCAACGTAAATTCACATGTGTTTCGAAACTCAACGTAAATTCACATATGTTTCGAAACTCAATGTAAATGTCTTGTATTTCAAAAATTGCATGACTTTCTTTATACTTTTAAAAATATTACATAAAACTCTTTTTTACATATTTTTGTGTGATGAGAAAATGATTTCTTATCTATATTTCTTGCATGGGATTTCATACAAAAGTATAAGGGCGGCTTTATGCAATTTTTAAAATACAAAAAAATTTACACTGGGTTTCGAAAATTCACGAAAGTTATGAACAATTTTAGCATCTAACTAATAACATATAAAAACATATAATATTTACAAAAATAAACAATTTAACAACTCAACAACAACTAGAAATTAAAAAGAAAAAAAAAGAAAAAGAAAAATACTCTCCTCTGGTGACATCTTTTTGGTAAATTTAATAATTTTAAACATATTTAATAATTATAAATCAATTTAATAAAATTTCAAACTTTTTACGCATGAGATTCATTCAAAACTCTTTTATTTATTGTTGAAATTCATAATATAGGACATGCTAGCTACGATCGCTCTGTTGAGCTCGTGAGTCATTGCTTCTTTTGGCCCCTATAGGGATGTATTCCGCTTTATTACTTTGTGTCATATCTGCTAGGTCTTTAAAGGCACTATCACCAATGCAGATTTGTACGGTCTCTTACCCGTCCTTTCTTGTCTGTGGACTACTATCAGTGTGGACTTTGTCCTAGGCCTTCCCCGCACTCAATGTGCTCATGATTTCATCTTTGTTGTCGTTGATTGATTTTCTAAGATGGTTCATTTCTTTCCATGTAAACAGAACTCTGATGCGGTGCATGTAGTGATTTTATTTTTCAAGATATATTTTATTTACATGATTTACCATTTTTTATTGTTTCAGATTACGACTGACACTTTTTTGGGCATTTTCTGCATTCTCCGTGGCACATGGCCAACATTGAATTTAGCAATGCCTATCACCTTCATACTAATGGCCAAACTGAGGTAGTTAGCCGTTCTTTGGGAAATTTGTTTCGTTGTTTGTTTAGGGATAACTTGAAGACTTGGGATCTAAAATCATGTATTATCGAGTTTTCTCATAATTAGGCTTTGAATCGTAGCACAGATTTCTCCCCTTTTGTGGTGGTTTATGGCTTCGTGCCCCATGCTCCATTGTTCTACTCAATTTTCCATCCACCCTTCCTGCTAATAAATGTGTCGTCGATCTCATCAAGAAGATCCAACAGATTCATGCTACAACACATGCCCGCTTGAAAGCTTCAAACTCTAAGTATAAAGATGTTGCTGATGAAAAGTGACACAATATTAAGTTTGAAGTTGGTAATTTTGTTTGGGCTATCCTTGCTAAGGACCGCTTTCATGCCCAAAAGAATAGTAAGTTGGCATCTCGAAAAATAAACTATTGAAATCACGGAGAAAATTAATCCTTCGCCTTATGGATCATATTTGCATCTCTGACATATTCAATTTTAAGCACCTAGTCCCTTACTACGGCGATAACTCCGATGGAGATGAAGTTGTGTTCGATTCGAGGGTGAATCGTTTTGAAGAGAAGGATAATGATGAAGATGTCACTCAATACTTGAAAAAGATCGATCCAATTATTTAGTACTTTAATCTTTTATTTTATTATAGACCCAAATATATTGGATTTTTGTTATTGGCCTTATTTGCTTTTCCCTTAGTATTTATAGTTGGAAGATCGATAATAGTTTATCCCATTTGAGTCAAAATTCTTCGTTAATGTATGTGCTTCCCTCCATCATTTTGCAATCAAGGAGCAGATAGGATTTGTTTCTTTAGGGGCTTTAGTGTATTGTTTGTTGAGATGAAGTTGGATGCTGTAAATTATCCACAACTTTCTTGTAAATTAATTATTTGATGTAATAGGTTTGGTTATGACTTATGAATCAGCTGGTTTGCATCTATCTAGTCTTTGACTTCGATCTAACTTTTTGATATTTGTCCACAATTGCGAATGAATAATGACAAGTGCAATATATGAGATACATCGGCCTAAAACAATTCAAAATTTCTAGCATGACTCGGGTGTATTTTTGCAAACTCTAATCATCATCACCATATCTTTATGTAATTTTTTATGCATGCATGCATAACTGGTTAATTCCTTGTAGTAATAACAATGTCAATCATTCAAATTCCACCCCCCAAAAATCGATAATACTGGCAGCTAGTTTAGTTTAGTTTTTGTAGGTGTACACAACACAAAATACAAATGCTACAATAATAGATAGAATCCAAAAAATTAAACATGAAGAAGAAGAAGAATGGCAGATTGGCCTAACAGTAACAGTATGAGACAGAACAGACAGACAGAGAGACAGACACGGTGGTAGACAGGTCAAGCAGGCCCCCCCCACCCCTCAATTTTTTGCATTACAGCTATGCTCTCTCTCTCTCTCTCTCTGTGAAATTTCACTTGGAATGGACAGCAAAAACAAACAATCAGTTTAAAAGACTGGGTGGGTTCATTCCAAAATCCCCATATTCATTCATTCATTAATAAGCACTGTAACCCCAACCCTCCCTCATTCATTCATTCAAGACTTGAAGAAGAAGAAGAAAAGGATAGATGTTCCTCAATTATGAAAGATATGCATATGCATATATCCATATATAGAATAGAAAAGAAAAGAAAAGAAAAGAAAAGAAGGATCCACACACACACAGTCACAATTAATTGGTTGATTGATTAATACTACCCTACCCTACCCCACCCTACCCTACCCTACCCTACCTATCAATTACTTTTATTGAAACCAGATACACACACATGCATATTACTACAATAAGAGTGAAGTATTTCCCATCCCATGTGGGCTTCTTCTTCTCATCCCATCCCAATCCCAAATATGCATCCTACTATTATCATTCTTTTGGATCCCTTTCCCATCTATCCATCTATCTTCCTCCCCATTCTTCTTCTTCACCTCCAAATAAATCATTTTTCCTCGTCCTCGTCCTCTTCATCATCATCATAATCATGTGGGAATCAGAATCGGAATCCATGCGGGACTATGGAAATGGAGGAGGAGTCCTGTCAGGTAATTCCAGGCCTACTGCTTCTCTGCCTGTGCCTGTAACTGTAACTGGCACCCTCCTCAATGATGGCTTCGAGCAAAGAGGCCTCTCCTGGTATGTCATGGCTTCCCTACTCTACCACAATCTTCTATTTCCATTATTAATCTTTTCTGCTTCAATCTGCAGGTATGTCTCCACTGACATTCCCAGCGATCTTCTTGTCCAAATTGGAGACGTCAGTTTCCACCTCCACAAGGTATATATAATAATACTATCATATATAATATAACACTCCTTACTTACATCACATACTAACACTGTCACTCTCTGTCTATGGCTATGGCGATTCAATTGGCAATTGGGAGTGACAGTACCCTCTCCTCTCACGAAGCGGGAAGATGAACAGACTCGTCTACGACTCCCGCGAACCCAATTCCCATTTCCGGCTCGACGACCTCCCCGGCGGCCCCGAAGCCTTCGAGCTCGCCGCCAAGTTCTGCTACGCCGTCGCCGTCGACCTCACCGCCGCCAACATCTCCGGCCTCCGGTGCGCCGCCGAGTACCTGGAGATGACCGAAGATCTGGAAGAAGGCAACCTCATCTTCAAGACGGAGGCCTTCCTCAGCTACGTCGTCCTCTCCTCCTGGCGCGACTCCATCCTCGTCCTCAAGACCTCCGAGAACCTCTCCCCCTGGGCCGAGAATCTTCAGATCGTCCGCCGCTGCAGCGAATCCATCGCCTGGAAGGCCTGCGCCAATCCCAAGTCCATCCGCTGGCACTACACCGGAAAACCGTCCCTCCGATCATCTTCTTCATCCTCCAGCCCCAAATGGACCCACAACAACAGCAACGATCCCTCCACCAGCCCTAGCCGGACCGCCGCCGCCGCCGCAGTCCCGCCGGACTGGTGGTTCGAGGACGTCTCCATTCTCAGAATCGACCACTTCGTCCGCGTCATCACCGCCATTAAAGTCAAAGGCATGCGCTACGAGCTCATCGGCGCCGCCATCATGCACTACGCCGCTAAATGGCTCCCCGGATTAACCAAAGACGGCGGCGCCGACGGAGGCAGCAGCAGCTCCGACAACACAGCCTGGAAAGGCGGCCTGCACATGATCGTCGCCGGCAACAGGGAGGAGCCGCCGGCGCCGGCGCCGGCAACCCAGGCAAAGGATCAGCGCATGATCGTCGAAAGCCTGATCAGCATAATCCCGCCGCAAAAAGACAGCGTGTCGTGCAGCTTCCTCCTGCGGCTCCTCCGAATGGCGAACATGCTGAAAGTGGCTCCGGCGCTGGTGACGGAGCTGGAGAAGCGCGTGGGTATGCAGTTCGAGCAGGCGACGCTGTCGGATCTCCTCATCCCTTCTTACAGCAAGACCGACACCATGTACGATGTCGATCTCGTCCAGCGCCTCCTCGAACACTTCCTCGTCCAGGAGCAATCCCAATCCCATTCCCAATCCTCCAGCCCCACCAGACATCATCACCATCAACATCATCATCAAGACACCAAAATGTACGATAATCTCCAGAGATCATCCACCAATCCCAACGCCAAAATGCGCGTCGCCAGGCTCGTCGACAGCTACCTCACCGAGGTTTCCCGCGACCGCAACCTGTCCCTGACGAAATTCCAGGTCCTTGCCGAGGCTCTTCCCGAATCAGCAAGAACCTGCGACGATGGACTCTATCGAGCAGTCGATTCCTATCTCAAGGCGCATCCGACATTGACAGAGCACGAGCGGAAGAGGCTGTGCCGGGTGATGGACTGCCAGAAGCTCTCGATCGACGCCTGCATGCACGCAGCGCAGAACGAGAGGCTCCCGTTAAGGGTCGTCGTGCAGGTCCTGTTTTCCGAGCAGGTGAAGATCAGCAACGCGATCGCCAGCAGCAGCGCAGTCAAGGACAGCACCGGCGACTACAGTTACCAGCCAATGGTGACGAATCGGAAGACCCTTCTAGAAGGTACGCCCCAGTCATTCCAAGAAGGATGGGCCGGGGCGAAGAAGGACATCAATACACTGAAGTTCGAGCTCGAGAGCTTGAAGGCCAAGTATCTTGAGCTCCAGAACGACATGGAGACGTTGCAGAAACAGTTCGACAAGGTGAGCACAAAGCCTAAGCAATCTTCGGGGTGGGCGTCGGGGTGGAAGAAGCTGAGCAAGCTTGCAAAAATGACGGAGAGCAACGAACAAGCGAGTCAAATGGCGAATACGGATCAACCTAGGAAGGGTCCGAGACGATGGAGGAATTCGATCTCCTAATCTTGCGGGCTATGTCAAGATTCGATTTTGATTCCGACTTTGATCTCAGGGTACTCAAAGAAAGTAGTATTGTGATGCTATATAGAGTTCTGATTGATTATGGTCTTGTGTGTATTGTGGTCTGTTTAGGTAGTTTGGAATGCGTTTCCCTACATACTTTACTCACTATCTTTATAAGAAAACATTCATTCTTTTAGTACTCATGTCAAGAATGGAGAAAGGACTGTAGAGCAAAAATATCATTAGAACTATGGACATATTCAAGAAAAGCAAATACAATTAATAATAAGAATGGTAATGGACAAGTAAGTCCCAAGTCACATCAGATTTTTAAAAAGGCTACAGTCCCAAGAACAGAAAATACTCTTCATCATTAATTATAGCAAGGATTCTCAAATGTAATGTAACAAACAAAGACAACCCATGAGAAGAAGCATAACGGATGTGTTATTTTGTGTATTTTACCACAAATTTTTATATTACATCAATATTATACTACAAATTTATTTTACATTCAAAATATCACATTAATATTTACTTATATCAAATACAACAACTATTCAAATTCAACCAATTTTTTACTGTTCAAAAGTCCAAAGCCCAAAACTAAAACCTAGAGACAAACACACCCAATGATAAAAGATAAAAGGTAGAAGAAAGCAGTAAGGTCGTAGTAGAATGCAGTAAGTGTATGATTACAGGTACAACTGGCAACAGCAGAGTATATTCATTACAACCACAGGACCAAACCAGAAAAAGACACACAAAAGGAAATAAAAAAGGGAATTACAATACAACCTCCAACCAACCACCACACAAACACAATCCCACCCCACAAGTAGAAGTAGAAGAAGAAGAGAAGATACAACAAAGATCAAGATTTGGACATGGATTGGATCTAACAAATCCATCATGAGTGGTGGGAAGAAAGACAACGATTTTCAAGGCAAACAGAAACAAACAATAATTATGATAATAAATAAAAATAAATATAAAAAAAAAAAAAAAAGCAAAGGCAGGCAGAAATGGGAAGGGAATGGAGTGGTGGGACCAAATCCCTAATCACCAGACGCGCATGCTCGCAATTCATGGTGTTTTGAGCAAAAGGGGCCATCTCATTTACAGCACACCACAAAAGGATATATAATACATAATCATTTCAAGTCAACAATAATAGCCCCATTTTTTTGCTGAAATAAAGAAGAGGAGGAGTGAGTAAAGAAAGAACCTTTTAAGTTTCATCCCCCCATTAAGCTGCGGCTTTATTGGTATGCTGAAGCACGATTAGAGATAAAAGCTGGGTAAAGGTCGATGCATAAAGGAAAAGTTACCTTTAGTACTTTGAAATCCCATCAATAACTTTGATTAAAAAACATGCTTACTAGTGCCTTCTTGCTTCCCCCACAGCTCTGATGATTATTCGAACAGATCGGGAAGTGGGGAGCTCAGTTGGAGGGATTCTGCTTCGGCTTTCATTGATTTTAAGTACACGATTGCCTCGTCAATTACAGAGAGTGGATCGTTGACGCTCAGTCCGGGAATGATGCTTGCCAAGGTCGACAGTGCTTCACGAATTTTAAGCTTCTTAGCCCTCTTATGCAAGTCGGTGTCGTGGGGGTTGTAATAACCAGCGCAGCTAGACTCCACATCATCATCCTCGTAACAGTGTGACACAGGCTGGCTCATCGGATTTTTGGCATTGGCCAATGATGATTTCTTGTACTTGCCATCAAGCAATCTTCGCCTTTTTGGCAACTCATCAGAATTCAGCACTTCTGTGAGTTCCTCCTCATGTAATTCGTTGTCTTTGGTGCATTCCTCCTCAATAATGAATGGGGAGTGCCCCGTGCTGGTTACTTCATCATTCTCCCCATCATCATCGCCATCATCATCATCATAATCGCTATCAGAGTAGAGCAAAGCATTGATTTCTTCAGTATCTTCACGCATCTCACCTTCTCCCTCAATCAAATCATTTTCGCCCCAATTTTCTATAAAATCCTGCTCCGTCAAGAATTGGCTATCCATCCGCATCGGAATTTTGTCACACTGGCCACTAGCAATAGCAGGACTCTTGGAGGCCAAAGTTTGATTCCCGGGACGAAAGGATTGGCTAAAGAACAATCTTGTGTGACTCCCAGACTGATCAAAAATAAGAAACCGTTTCTGAGGAGCACAGGAAGCATTAATCACCTTATCTGAGACATCAAACTCATAGGGCAAAGCACATTGTGCCTTGTTCGGATATATTCTTCCAGTGGGGTTTGAGATATTGCAATACGGAACATCCAATTTCAAAACCCCACCAACTGTATCTTGCTGTCCTGCATTCAGGCCATGGAAATCGGAAGTATAGAATCCAGGAAAATCAGCACTGGAGGTGCGCATTGCAGGAGGCACGCACGGGAATTGAGTGAATGATTCGTGCTTGAGAAGTGCCATGTAATCCAAATTGGAAGAATTTCGAGCAGAGGCCTTCTGATTTGTCTGAGATTCTTTGGCTGCAAACATTCAGCCAAAATGCAACCTGGAACATGATTCAGACGGCCATTATAAAACACATCAAAAATTAATCAAGATAACTATAGTTAATGTAGAAAATCCGTACCAGGGTAATGCTTGTATGTATTAATAATTAGGATAGTCTCAGTGATATATTACTTTCTGATATGCTAAACAAAACAAGGGAAATAACTTGATGCAACAAACGGAAACTTGGGACCAATCTACGTTACGGGCTTCAACAACTGACGGAAATACTCAGCCTGCAGAAGAAAACCATAATGAAATTCATAAGTTTTGCCAATCACGCAACAACATTGACTTAGCAATCAACAGGACCAATAACTATTATAAACAAAGCTCCAAGAACTTCGAATAACAAACCTGGCAATTTTGTAAAGGTTGAAAGCATGCTATGATTTTAACTATAATGGTTGTTCCCCCAGCAATCCCATTCTCGTGTTTGAGTGCCCTAAATCTCGTCTGGCTTGCTGCTTGGCACACCATAACTACTTTTGATCCTCTAAATGAACTTCAGAAGGGAGATTCTAATGAGATACAAACAGCTACACAGAAGAAGGAGGATCCTGGTAAAAACTAGGTTGAAGGTGCTTGGATATTACTAATCTATTTGACTAAGAAAAACCCGACCAAATTCAAAGCTCACAGAAAGGAAACAAAACGACAGTGGACTTGAATAATTAAAAACAACTTGCTGATGAAGATCGGACGTGCTACTACACGTTTGGTCAAATCAGTGGTTGAATGTTCTTATAGAATATAGAAAAAGCAAACTAAGAAAGGGAAGTGATTGGATCCCATGGATAACTCTGAATGGTGAAATTTCTTGGTGTAAACAAAGAATTGGTTCTGCTTTGGTCGGATCAACAAAAGAAAAGAAACTTATAGAATAACCCTGCAATACAGATTCAATGAAATAACGTGTCGAAACACATCAATGGATAAACCCAGCCACATATTGGTCACTACTCTTCAGATCCAGTAGAACATAGTCGCATTTGGAGACGACAAAGCACCTGAAACACGAAAATATAAGTGAAACGAAGAACTGGAGATAAAAACAGGGTGCTTATTTATTCCTGTAGCCTGTAAGTAATGTGAACATTCTCTGTACAAAAAAGCATGGATTTTATAAAAGGCAATTAAAAAAATCCCATAGTCAAACAATTCCTGTTTCACTTTTGTCCTCCACATCGAATCTTCATCCCAACAAGGTCTTTTTCCACTTTATCTTCTAGATCACAAAAGATTCGCCTGTCGAGCATGTTCGCTCGCAAAATACTTTATTAAAATTAGGGTTTCCCCACAATCGTCAAAACTCGCACAGAAACCAGAGACTTCAAGCACTCAGTTGCGACAAAAACAAAACAAAATATAAAATAGTACAAACACAATGCACTCAATTGTAAACAAGCAACAAAAACCCGTCGAACGCCCCTCTCCAAGTACCATTAAACCAATCATTTTCGAAGAGTGGAAGCTTACTAAGCAGATCCAGCCTTAAAAAGCATCGAATTCTCAAAAATTCATTACCAATTTCGTGGCTACCAAGAAAAAGCATCCCATTCACATCAAGGTAAAAGAAAATCAAGAAGTTGGGGGCAAACAGAGAGAGGGTTGATTTTTCCTCCTCGCAAGTCCAGGAAAGAGGACGCGTAGAGCTTACACAGATCGTGGAGCGAGAGATGAACAGCGCAGAGCGTTGATTTGGAGCAGAGACAGTGATGATGCGAGGAACAGTGGAGTGAGGTGTGGTGTAGTGGAATAGGAATAGGAATAGGAATAGGATAGCAGGTGAAAGTAAGCACCATTGATTTAGGGATTGCTGTGATTATATAACCAAATTTTGGTGACCAAAATGCCCCTGCTTTTATATTCTCAACATTAATTTACAGTGAGTGGAGGCAGGGCAGGTATAATTATGAAAGGGTTGTTTGTTATGTTTTTTGCTGTAGTTAGTAGGAATTTAATCCGTGTATTTACTACTTTTATTATTATTATTATTATTATTATTATTATTATTATTTAAATAAAATCATACTAAATAATAGTAGTATTTAAAATAAATACTCCCTAGTATCTATATATTCATGTATTTTTTTCACGGAGTTTTAAAAAAAATTAAAAAAAAGAAAAGACTAAATTAACTTATTAGTCATATATGATATAAAGATAACGACATATGTAATATATTGTAAATTGAAATGATATTTGTAATGTTAGGTAAATAATACAATTACTAAATAAATAAAATGGATACTTTATTATGGAACGGACCAAAATAAAAAAATTAATAAATGGTTAAGGGACTGAGGGAGTATATATAATAAATTTTATGAAATTAAATATTAAAAAATAAAATATTTAAATTAAATTAAATTAAATTTGTTCAAATAATTATTTTGAAAATAATAAATTTGAAATGAAAATTAAATTGGGTTGTTCCCCAATATTTTTTTTTAAGCTATAATTTCCTATAAATATATAAGAAAATATCGAAAAAATTGTTCCCCGGCCAAACCATGTGTGGTCAAGGAAGACTTGAGAGGACTGTGGTTTGAACCCATTATCTTATAATCAAAAGTTCATCTTCAAACTACACTACAGGGCTATTCTTTGTAGTACATGAAACAAATATAGTGATAATACAAAGAAAAAAAAAATTGTAAAAACAAATAAACAGTTTTATTTGAAAAAATATATATGTGTTCTTTTCTAGTTTAATTTATTGCTATGATTATTACTATTTGGATAGTAATTCGAATGCAATATTGTAAAATAGAATCATGATTTTTTATAGGAATTTTGACCATTGTATTATATAAACATATGGTCATATATAGTTAAAAAAATCAAAATAACAGAGTTATTTAATATATAAGATAAGATGTGTTTTTTTTTTAAAAAAAATATATCCAATAATTAAAAAATTTAATATATTATAGATATTTATTATTTTTATATTACATACATAATTCTCTGTACTACCTCATACATTGAATGTTCATTAACATTTTTCCTAATATATTTTCGAATATTAAAAGAAATTCAAATATACATATACTCACAATATGTATGATATATGTAGTATATGCATTTAAAAAAAAATAAAAATTTAATATAAAATATTATTTTTTATATTATCGATATAATTTTTAAATTTGATATTAAAAATACATGCGCATCCGAGCAGGTGTGGGTTTCCATATTAAAATAATAATAATAATAATAATAATGGAAATATAATTGACAATTATAAAATAAAATTACCAAAATATTAATAATCTTAAATAAATGTAAAAATATTTTATTATCTACTATATTGTAGAGTAAAATTAGTAATATGTTAATAAAAACATTTGCTTGATTTTGGTTTCAATCATATAATAAAAATATATTATTTTCGTTTCTAAAGTATCAATAAATTCTATAAAAATCAAAACACAATTATAATTATTTAATGTAATATTTTAAATAAAAAAATTTAAATTTAATAACTGCTTAAATGTGATAAACAGAAAATATAAAAATAATATTTAAAATAAAAATTAAATTTTAATTCAATAAATTTTATGAAAAAAAAAAAAAAAAAAAACTCACAATACCTATTTAAAACCTTAAAATAAGTTCCAGTGACATTGGTCGTAAGGTTTACCTGTAACTGTTAAGAATTATTCACTAACATAGCTAAATGATTATATATGTGTAAAAAGATAATTTAAATACATTAGGCTTGTTTTGCTATCAAGTCTAAAAATAAAAATAAAAATAAAAATAAATGAAGAGCTAAGTCAGACATCACATACCCAAACCCCAACTGTCTCTTTCTCTTTGACAAATTCTCTTCTAATAACTTTTTAAAATTAGTTTTGCACAAACATTATAATAAATAGTATTTCAGATGTCACAAGCAATACTTCAATATAAATAAATTATAACCAAACAAAAAACAAAATATTTCTTTCTCTCTTACATGAAAAAAAAATAATAATAAATAAATAAATTCAAACCCAAAAAACCTCAAAACACCTATAGCATCTAAAACACCCCAAAATGAATCCAATCCAATCAAATCAAATCCATATTATTATTAAAGAATTGTCTTCGTGAACATAATTGTCATGTTTGTGACGAAATCAGCACACCAAATGTCATTTAAATAAGCAGAGAACATTCATATAATATTCAGTTGTTCTTGAGGCTGACTAACTGCTCAGATTTAAAAAAACATCAAATCTGTCCAAGATTGTGATCAATAATGCATCCAAATGAATGCACTAAATCAACCATAATGTTAATAATAGCAAAACATTCAGACAGATTATTATTTAAGACACACAATAATGCAACTAACCAGACAGCCTCCTTCTGCCGAGCTTGTGTTCTTCACTCAGCACGCAAAACTTCGATCTCAAAAACCAGAGTCGAGTTGGGTTGGATGCCCCACGCCGGGAACCCGCTTGGTCCATAGGCGTAGTCAGGAGAGCACTGCAGTGTTAAGTAAATTATTTTCAACACAAACTCACTAAAACAGTAGAAAGAAAGATACTGTAAATTTAAACTGCAGTGTAGTAAGGTTCGTTGAAGAAACAAGAAAAGGGACGATAAAAATTACAACTTCAAATGCTTTGAATCATTTTAGCACAATTTTCTTTGCAGAAAGCATATCAAATTGATGACAAGATCATGAAGCACAGGTGTAACTCATTTTGGCTTAGCTGCTTTTGTTATGGAAGCCAATTTGCTGAACGAGTTAGCCGAAATTGAGATACCTGATGATTTCTAGCTATATCATTTTCATTATCTTGTTGAAAATAAAAGCTATTGTCATTGCAGAACTTGAGCAATTTGTTAACACACAAGGATGTTCAAACATTACCCGTAATCGAGCAACCTCTCCCACTTGCATCCCTAGCACACCTTCATCCCATCCTGCATCATTTATACACCAAATGCAATCCAGGGTTAGCAACAAAATGTCTGCAAGTGCAGCTGGCATTTGTAATCCCAAACACAGAAACACAATCATGTCATTCAAGATCCAGCAACACTCAAGCTAAGCAAGTTTGGTGTAAAAATTGTTGCAAAAATTCAAAATTCTTCCCAAATCAATGCCTTCACAGTATGAACCCTAGGTTGGACTCCGATTAAGCAAAGAGTGACACATCAAGCTGATTTGGTAAGAGAATTTGTTCATCAAAACTTTACTAATCAATTTTCATGTATTCACAGAACGCAACAGCGTAGAGCTATTCAATTACAGGGATAAAAGAAAAAAAGAGAGAGAATTCGTAATTAAATTCTCAAATCACCCAAAGAAGAATACACTAAACACGATCAAACATAACGAAGAGCGAAAACACAACCAATTTTAACAAATATCGATTTCACTTCATTATAATTACCTTTGATAACGCTGCCCTTGCCGATTTTGAAAGTGAAAGGCTGCTGCCCTGGATCCTTGGTGCTATTGCAACAAATTCAAATTAAAATCCAAATCGACATTTCCACCACACACAATCAATACTACGCGGAGAAAAACCACCAAAACACAAAACAACCTACCTCCAGAATTTCTGCGCAAGATCGCCATTCTTGCCGAAACCAGTGCAGTGGACTGTGACGTTTTGACCTACAGCAGGCTTCGGACCGGTGCCGGCTCTCAAGACCTCCTTCTCTACCCCCATTGCTCTGATCGGATGAGCTAACATTCACTCGCAATCTCGCCGTTTTTACTCGTTAGGGTTTACTGTTTAGCGCATTCGGTTAAGTCGGTCGCTCATTTCAACGCACGTGCATCACGTGACTTAGATATTTATTAATATAACATATTTATATATTAAATGCTGACATGGCTATGTTGAATTTTATTTTGGTATTCTAATAAATAAAAAGTTAACACCGAAAATAGAGTTGAAATGTTAATTATTTTATTTTTGTCCCATCTTACTTAACACCATAATATATACTAATTTTCTTTTTAATCTTCTCACCTTGACATATTTATATTTTTTTATTTCTAGTAAACTATATTCATTTATTTAATAAATATAGATCTAACTAATTAATTCAATATCATGTAACATGTAGGATTATTCAATCATTTATTTTATTAAATAAACAAATATTAATCTAATTTTTTTTATCAGTCTTTAAAATTTTCAATTATAAAATCAATTTATATTAATTATAAATATAAATTCTTTAATATTATATAATATTTTGTTTGTCCAAACTTTTTTTATACCATTCTCCATAATATATTTTATTCTCTTCGAATATCAATATTTAATATAAAATATTATTTTTTATATATATATCATTTGCTATACTTTACATTAAAAAAAATAATAATAATTCAAATCAAAACATTAAGAAACAAACCCTTATTATTTACAAAATAATATTAATATTGTATAGATTTTAAAAAATGTAACAATCAAAAGAAAATTGATGTGGTCGTTTAAGTGATTGGCCCAGTGGTGTGGGCTAGACCCCGACCCTCCCGATCATAGGTCACCTGTCACACAAAATTCGCTTATAATTTGTCTGTCGGGTCTAGTTTGCAATTAGATTCGGTCGAAAATTTACCTAATCTGTACTTTCGGTAGCGGCTGTAGATTCGCAAGTCATGAAAAAAATTGATGTGTAGAAAACAAATTAAAGAGATAATTTTAATCATAAATTTTTTTAATTATGTTTAGATAGAAGTTTTGAAATTTTAAATATTTTTTTAAATAGTAAAATTTAAGTAATTAATATAGTATTTTGCAAGAATATATATATATATATATATAGAAGTAAATTTATTTTTTTTTATAATTGTTGATGCCTAAAAAATTCTTAAATTATTCAAGTAAACAAAGCCTTAGATAAATTGTACTATCATCCAATTAGCTACTCATTTAACATCCTACAAATGACATATGGTTTCAACGCTCATCTTCTTCTTGCTCTTTTTTTGGGCACAAAATATTATGTATTGAGTAAACTTTTGGACAATGGCATCTAAATTAGGCTAGAAAGTCACTTAGAGTTGGTGCAAAATAACAAATTTAACCAGTCTCGGATTACGATGTAAAGAATAAACTTGTAATAGTAAAGTTATAAATTCTGCTAAGTTTTACTTAGGGTTTATCCATATACTAAACCAATCTAGCCACCTAGGTCACCTATCATGAATATGATTAGTGTTATTTTCTCTCTCTCTCTCTTCTATTGGTTGTATCTTGATGGAGGAGCTAAGAAAAAGTCTAAATATCTAATCAATCATATAATGGACCATCTATAAATTTGTATATATTTGAAAAGCAAAGTGTCTATCGAAGCAAGTAAAATGTCGAATCCAAATCCCAATTTATAAAAGCAATGTAAGTAATACAGAAACGTAACACAACATATTACATATCAGTCATACTGCAGGGGCCTCATAGATTTATGGATTATGCCAAGAAAATACACACACACATATATGATATTTATATATATTGTTCTTCTCCCAACTGATCCAGTTCATGGAACAAACTCTTCATGGATTCGGTTCATCGGCCGGTGGAGGAAAAAGCCACGGAGGAAGATTGGGGATTGACGGAGTGGAAGGAACAAACAGTGGAAATGAAGGCCCGAAAGCCGGAAATGTTGGGATCGGTGTTAGGGGTGTTGGAAAGAAAGTGGAGGGATTAGGGTGGTCCGGCTGTGGAGCCGATGGGCCGGGAAAATCCGGGGCCAGGAGGCGCCGATTGGCGGCAGCAAAGGGGAGGGAGAATAGAGCAAGAAGTATGACAATGTTGAAGGGATTCATGATTTAGGCAAAAGGGGTGTTCAAGAATGCAAAGATATGTGTTGTGGGTGTGTATAATAGTATCTATTTATACTTGGAGATGAGATGAATGTGTTAATATTGATTCTTGATTGTTTTTGAGATTGTAATTTGAGCTCCCAACTATGGGAGTTTGTTCATTAATTTCTGCTAACTGTTTATGGGATGGCGTTTAAGAGCCGTTGGTGTGGTTGTTGCACAATAAAAGGGGCTCTAATTAGGCTATTATTGTCAATGCTTAGTAAGTTAGGCTAATTATGCATGTAGTAATTATTAGTATTAGTATATTATTGCACCATAGGGTTGCAGCCAGAGGAGGTGCTTAAAACAGAATATATATATATATATATATTTGTGTAGCCTTAATCTAGATTACTTGTCATCTTCAAACTAGTTCTAAGTTTGTATGCAACTTAAATGTATAATGTGTCTTTTATGAAAGTTTTACAATTTGTATGAGAATGGGCTTGAATACTTTTCATATGCATTAACAAAAATGAGTATGCTACTTAAACAAAGTAAGTTCCTTTTTTAGCAAATTCCACATAAAATGCAATAATTGAACACGCTAACTCTAACACAAGACAGGAATAGAGTGTGTGGCGGTGACAAACCTTCGATTTGCTTCCGGTGGAGCGATGTAGGGAGTGTCCTAGTGTAGGGTGACTCTCTTCTTGTAGATGATGGCGGGGAACAGCGTAGCACATGGCAGAGCATTGGTGACAACATTGATAGTTCACTGTAAATGAAAATTAAGAACTAGAGGGAACACCATAACATCTTCGCACAGAGATTCAAGGCCGGATAATGCATATAGAGATCATGATAGATGTCTTTGTGATCGCATAAAGAAACTGTAATAGCAATAACTTAGCATGTTCTTGGTGTTCCAGAAGCGAAGACACAAGAAGTTGCCATTCCATTCATTTCTTGTAACTCATAAATGCAAAACTGGAATGTAACTCAGAGAAGGATCGAGGGTGTTATGCATGTGTTATGTAAGAAGACCACATGGAAACAACATAATAGAATGGAAGAGAATGATGGTATCAAAAATCAGATCGAGTGATAAGCTTATTGTCATGCAGTACCTGGAAATTTTACTACTCAAAGGTAACATATACTAACCTTCAATTTTTCCATTAAAATAAATATATAAATATAATTTGACTTGATTACCATTGAATATATTAGATTCACTTGCATTTGAAAGCATAACATATATGAGCTCGTTAGCATAATCTAAATTATGCAAGCAATCATTCGCAGAAGTATCAATGAAAGAAACATCAAATTCGCTAAATCATAAGCTATCATAGCTGAGTGATATAACTGATGCCCCCTGGCTACAACATCCGAAACAAGAGGAGCACTGCTATAATATGATAATGCAACTCAAAGAGGAGTTAAATATAGCATGACACATAATATCACAGTTCAATAACATGATGAACACAGTGCAAATTAAAATATATGCAAAGCACATGAATTCAAGGTATGCTCATGTTTGAGACCATATGTCTTCCTGAATCACAATAGATTGATGTTTTAGAAAGTTTTAAGACTAAGGATATAGATTTCTTGCAATGCACAACCACGGGTGATTATAGTATAGATTTGGAAGGTAAATAAGTGATTCATACCATAATCAACCCCACATAGTGGACTAAAGGCTTAGAAACTGATGATAAGACAAGTAATTCATAAAAACAGGAGAAACTAGAATCCAAGTTGACCTACGCCATTTACTACTGCAAACAGATGCTACGACAAAAGAGATGTAGTTCACTAAACATCCACAATACAGAGACCCGAGTTTTACAACAAAACAGGGGGCTTACTTTTGTCATGCTGCCTTGACAACCCTTTCGTCGCCCACCGGATTGAGGATGGGAAGACTGCTTAGGAATTCATCAAGACCCTCAAAAAACCCAATTCCTTCAATGTTGTCATCCCCCCCATGGCTCGGCCCATTTTCTTCATTCACCCTCAGAGCTGGCTCCTCAGCTTCATTGCTGCACTCGACATTCAAATCCAACTTCCCAAAATTCTTGGCAGCCCTGGCAGGTTGCTTCCTAGCACTAGCAGCAGGCCCTTTATTACTAACATCAGCTGCCGTGTTGCTTGGTGTCTCCAAGACGTCTTGAGATGCAAGTTCATTTTGCACATCCACATCTTTGCCTTTATCGATTTGTGCTCTCTTTGCACTTCTGGTGGGTGCTCCGCTTGTGCCCTTTCCCCTGAAATTTGTTGCCTTCTTCTTCTGTTTTTGCTTATTATTGCTCCAATCATCATCCGAGTCACTAGAATCTGAAAACTCCACAAAAACCTCATCATCATCAACGTAAATTCTAGGTTCTGTGTTCTTTCGCCCAGGCTTTGTGGACTGAAATGCATTTCCTACTTGGGGGCAACTGAACATGGGTGAAAATGGAGTCCAAGAAGAGGCAGAAGCCTTGTTCTTTTCCCAATTCTCCATCGAAAAACCTAAAGGAATAAAGCCCCAGCAACAAAAATAACCCTCTTGCCCATCTACCACTGGGGGTGGATTAGGAATTATCACTGCCTGAAACCCCATCTTACAATTAGAACACCGAAGAGTACAATCAATATACATGCTAGGATACTGATACATGTAATAGCAATAGGGGCATGCAGTCCAGAAAGTTTCATCAGCATACGGTGCAGGTGTGTCCTCCGCTTCTTCATCTACCACTCTTTCTACATCTTCCTCATCCTCCATCATCTCGTCAACATCATCGTTGACATTAACATTATGACTAGTTCCTTCATCAAGATTGGAATAGTTTTGCTGCGGTTGTTCATGATTGTTACTCACTTGCCCCTGGCTAGTGCCAGCAGCAGCCACATTCTTGTTATTCACCTGCCCATGGCTCGTCCCAGCAGCAGGAGCCACATTCTTGTTACTAACTAGCCCATGGCTTGTCCCAGCAGTTCTCACATTATTGTTACTCACTTGCCCCTGGCTTGTCGTCGGAGCAGGAGCAGCCACATTACCTTCGAAACCTGAATAACTGCCCTGTGCCTGCTTATTCACCGATTCATTGCCAGTCTTAGACCCCAACCCCGTCCCAAACACAATATTAGAACCCGAAGTAAAACTCATGGGGTTTTGGGGGACTCGGACAGATTCTTCGACTACTGCCGGCTGAACAGGAGAGTTAGTATGTACCTGTACTTGAGAGAAATGAGCGGTGCTCTGAGGTTGAGGAGGATATGTAACGCCTTGAGGTTGGGGAGGGTAAGTAACACCTTGAGGTTGAGAAGGATATGTAACCCCACTCGAGCTGCTGGCTCCTGCAAAAATGTTATGGTGCATTGACGGGATAGGGTTTCCAAAGAGGTCGGTCTGATGCGGTTGCTGTGACTGGAGGTAGAAGGCGAGTTCCTTATCATACAACATTTTCCTGGAAGGGTTAGACAGTACGGACCAGGCCTCAAGGACGAGCGCAAAGGCATGTTCGGCGAAGGGGAAGTTGTTCTTCTGGGGGTTGAGGATAAGTGCAAGGCTCCGATACTGTCTTGCTATGAGCTCCGCATCCCGACCCTGCTGCGGCGTGAGGCGGAGAATTGCGTAGAGGTCCTGCAGGTTATTTCCGATCCGCATATCTCCGGCGAGTATCGTGTCCGTCACGGCGAGGATTTGATCCGCCGGGGACAGCGTCGGGTCGGCGTCACGCGCGCGAGTGGCGAATGACTTGCTCCCCACCAGGTCACGCGCCGACAGGAGCTTCTCGGCAATTGATAGCCACCTCAGCGCCTCCGCGCGGGTGGTGGTCATCGGGAAAAAGGGATGCTCCATGAGTTGCTCGTCGGTTTCGGTTCACACCAAATCGCGATTCCGAACGAGGGTTTAATCGAATGGGAGGGAGCGAGCGAGCGGAGACGACGACCAAGGAGCAGAACGAAAGGAGTGAGAAGGGTTGGAGTGCGTGCGGGCAGGGGCAAATTCGGAAATTCACAGCTGCCTAGCGGCAGGTAAACATCAATGTTATCCTCACATTTGAATTTTTATTATGCTATATTTTATATTTTTATTTCTTATTTGTGGTTTTATATACGTTCACTGATAAGATACATCAACAGTCAACACAATCATCATCCTCCCCTTTCACATGTTTCATTTCATACAAAATTCGTATTTTTCTTTAATAATTAAAAAATATATATATTAATTTCAAATTTTACTTTAAACAGACAAAATTTAGGGTAAAATGAGCATAAGTCCAACTGTCAAACTTGAATCCTCCAATATAGACAGACATATTGAGAGAGATAAATTGGCTCAGACCTTTTTTTTCTATTATCCATAATTTTATTTTAAATTGAATATTAATTTTTTTTTACTATTCTTAAAATTTTTCGAAAGTGCAAAACAATTCTCAACATAAATTTGGCTAAAATCACACAATACCAGACCGTAACAATTATTAATATAATTACCCTTTTTTTGAAAAATAATTTATAATGCATATAAATTTTATTGTTTATTCGTATCATTTTAACAAAATTAATAAATATTAATAATTAACAAGGTAAACAGAGCGGGCATTTGGTCTAGTGGTATGATTCTCGCTTTGGGTGCGAGAGGTCCCGAGTTCGATTCTCGGAATGCCCCTTTTAATTTGGTTTTTGCTGCTTGATGAATATATATATGCTTTTTGGTTGTTTAAATGCAATTATTTGCTGTGTAGGTGTTTCTGGCAGGCTCTCGATCAATGGGTGACGATCAGGTGAAGGATGAGACGTTGGAGATTTTAGATCAGTTTCAAGTGCTGCCTCGTCTCGTCGTTTTCGATCTCGATTATACTCTCTGGCCATTCTACTGGTACAATATTTATTGTCTTTGCCTGTTTTTTCCTTTTCTTAATTGCGATATCGAGTGTTTGTTTGGTCGCTGAATGGATGGAGTTTACGACTTTTGCGATTTTAGGGATTCTTAGATATTTATCCATTGGGTGAATAGAATTTCATTTTCTGCGTATGGCAGTGTTTGCCTCGGTTGAAGCTTTCAGTGATCTCCTGATCTGGAAAATAATTTACCGAAAAGATTATGCAATCGAACTGATGCTGTTCAGAAAAAAAGGTTACAGTTGTGAAGGATTTTGGTGTTGAAATAATCTTGAATTTCTAATAGATTCTATGAATTTGCTAAAGGAATGAATAATCTCGAATCTCGAAACAGACATGTAGGAAGTCTTCATCATGCTTGCACCAGACAATCTGTTAAAACTATCTAGTGGATTGATACAAAAGTCAGTTGATTTTAAAGGCTAATATAGTGGCGATGCTGTTTAGTAATAAGGATACACTTGTGAAGCATTCTGGTGGTGGAATGCATTTCGGACAATCTTGAATCTTTAATAATTCAATGAGTTTGCTAAAGGAATCAATAACCTCGAAACGGAAGACATATAGATCAGGGAAGTTTCATCATCCTTGTACTAGACAATCTGTTAAAAATATCTACTGAATTGATATAGAAGTCATTTGGTCAATTGTATGTCCCATACCATGTAAAACTCTTCGTCAGGTGCTGAAATGCATTTGGGACAGTCTTGAATCTTTAATAATTCAATGAATTTGCTAAAGGAATCGATAATCTCGAAAACGGAAGACATGTAGATTCAGGGAAGTCTTCATCATCTTTGTACTAGACGATCTGTTAAAAATATCTACCGAATTGATATAAAAGTCATTAAGTCAATTGTATGTCTTACGCCATGTAAAACTCTTCGTCTGGTGCTGAAATGCATTTGGGACAGTCTTCTCTTGTCTTGGCTGCCTAAAGAAATGGGTTGATCTGGTTTTCTCTTTCTCTGCCTTCTGTAACTAAAAAGTTACTCATGTTTTAGTTAAATGATGAAGTTTACAACATACAGTGGAAAAGCAACACACCTAATTATCTTCTGTTTATTTTTGCCTGCATTCATCGTGAAGGCTGTGATTATTTGCATGTGCTTTGTTTTCTTATGCTTATCTGACAAGATGTGCTTGCAATTCTGAATTTATGGCTCTTTTGTGTACCAGTGAATGTCTTTCCAAGCGTAGCATGCCGTCATTATATCCTCATGCTAAAGGCATACTGAATGCCCTCAAGGATAAAAACATTGATGTTGCTATTGCCTCAAGATCGCCAACCCCTGATACAGCCAACGCTTTTCTTGAAAAATTAGGGATAAAATCAATGTTTATTGCTCAGGTGAGTTAATTGTCTTCTTCGTATTTGTTCTCTCCTTAGAAATTGAAGATAAAATCCATGTTTGTTGCTTGGTTTAGATTTACTGTGAAACTTCTAAGGCAGTCTATGAAGTCTTCATATTGCTATAGCTAAGTGAGTTTTTCTGTGATGTAGATGCGGCAAATTTTCTAAGCAATTACATATTCAATGGGAGTTTCAATATTGAATTGTTTTCGGATAATTGGTGCCTTTGGGAATAAGGACTTTCAAAAATCTCTCCACTGTACTCATGCTATTCTTTTCAAACATTTCAGGAAATTTTTTCCAGTTGGACACACAAGACTGATCATTTTCAAAAAATCAAACAGAGGACAGGTGTTCCTTACAATGAAATGCTATTTTTTGACGACGAGGATCGCAACATTGGGGCAGTAAGATCTTTTTACTCTTGTTGCAATTAGGGTTAACTTATTTTTTTGGGGGTTATTGCCCACTTATGTATCATATGCAACTTGTATTAAGGTTTCGAAAATGGGTGTTACGAGCATTTTGGTGGATGATGGCGTTGATCTCGGGGCTTTAAGACAAGGGCTTTCCAGATTCTCTCAGAACCGATCATCACTGGAAAAGAACAAGCAAAGATGGCATAGTTTTTCGAAGAAATCAAGCTCATCGAACACTGGAGAGTGATGATTTTCCGGAGGAAGAATAGGTTAGACTATTATTCTACCAATCAATTTGTACCATGGTTCTTGGATAGCTCGGGTAAGAAAATAGACTTATGAGATAATCACCTCATTTAAAACTTTTAATGTTGTTAAAATTTGACTTCTCTGTTCTCTCTAAGGTATCATAAATATGATGTTTATATGTGCCAAGATTTTACACTCGCTACTTCTCCTTTAATCCAATAATCTGATAAGGTACTTTACAATATTGTTTATGTATGCAACTGTCCTACTGCTCATTATTCTCAAGAACTGTTGACATCATTCAAAACTTATATACAAGGTTTTTTTTTATTTTTATTTTTTTTTTGTCTAATTTTAATGAATATAATATTATACTGTTTAATTGTGACATAATTTTTAAAAAATATATATATAAGTGAAGTAATGAAGGGTTTTTTTTTTTTTTGGAATAAATTGAGTATATAAATAATTCTGTCATATTTATAAATCTACATATAGATTAAATGTGTGAACATTTTTTTATTATTATTATAAATAGAAAATGCATTTATTTGTGGACAAATATAAAAATGAAAACAAGGATAGATGGGGAAGTATCAAATAAGTATATCATTTCACTTAATCCATTTTATCATTTATAAATATAAATACTCCATTCGTCCCTTAATAATCTATCCATTTTTTTATTTTGGTCTGTCATGTAACAAAGTATTTATTTGTTTTTAGTAATTGTACTGTCTACCTAACATTACACACAAATGTCATTACATTTGGGCTAATTTAATCTTTTTACTTTTATTTCTACTTTATCCTAATATAATACTAATATTTCTAAAATTTCGTGAAAAAACAAATGAATATATAGATACTGGACGGATGGAGTAATAATTAAGTTATCATTATTTTTTATATCTATCGTACTATATTTTATTAATGTTTTAATAATTTTTTTATAAAATTTAATTTTTAAATTGAAATCAAATAAGTAAATCGAAATTGTTTAGAAAGTTTGATTTTCATTCAACTTTTTTTACAAATCTAAACTAGAGTCGGCAATTGATTCATTCGTGTTTGAATACTTTAAACGGATTAAATTACTAAATCATAACCCGACTCAGTTATTATGGTATCGGGTTCGTGTTGACCCGTTTATTATCGTGTGAGGTTTGGGTTGACTCGTGTTGATCCGTATACAGAATTTTATGTTAGTTTTTATTGGTTTGAGAGTAATATGTACCATGAATTAGATTAAATTATTTAAAATTGAACTTAGTTTAAATTAATTTATGAACAAATTATTAAATTATAATTATTTTACATAATATAATAAATATATTCAATATTAATATATTATAATTGAGTTATCGTGTGAGGTTCGAGTTAAGAGCCTCAATCCTAACCCGGCCGTTTATTACCGTGTCTTGTCAATTTGTATACATAATAATCGAATTAAAATTTTTGATCCAAATCCAATTATTTTGTATCAAATTGTTACGTTGGATCAGTTTTTGCCAGCTCTAATCTAAACCAAACCGTTGGTTCGAACGTTATGACAACTCTCGTCAATGCCAAAATACATCCAATAGTTTCAATGTACTGAAATTTGGATGTATTTTTCTTTTGTTTGTATAAGATCCCAAAATAATCGAGCCAGCCAGCCACGGAGCCACTATTACGTTTTCGTTACAGTTACCGTTACCGTTACCGTTACCGTTTGGTCTGTCGATGACAGAGCTAAACGTGGCATAGGTAAAGTGGAACCCGCAGGAAGAGGGTTGATCAGATCGGACGGCTCTGATACTCTGCGCTACCGCCACCACTTTTAGAGCCTGATTCAGTCGGATCGGGTCCAGTCGGGTCGCCTTTGTCAAAATTCTCAGCTTCCAGCATACTTTGGTTCCTCTTCTTCTTCAATTGATCTCGTTGTATCAGTGACCTGAACTCATGGCTCCATGAATTCTGGCCTCCTCACCTCGGGGTTAGTTAGGGCTTTCAGGTTCTCTTCAAGTTCTTTTACCTCTTGCATGTTGTCAACCACATGGACGATGTGAAGCGGAAGCCGTTTGAGTGCGTCACCCTCCACGACGATGTGAGTAGTAAGTCCTCGCCGCTCATGTCACCGTCCAAGACGAGTGAGCTCACTATTTCCTTCGAAGGCGAAGTATTTGTGTTCCCTGCCGTCACACCTGAGAAGGTATCTTGTTGTTTTGCTAAAGCCTTTTTTCCTTTTTGCCTAGGGTTAGCGGTTTTCTCCTGTTTCAAGTTTCTACAGTGTTTATTTCCGGAAAATCTTTAGGCGTTACTTGTTGTATGGAAGAGAACTAACTATATTGATGAAATCTGTAAATAAACTGATGGTGGAGGCAGCATCAAAGTGGTGATGTATTTGTGGATTGGTGCATCAATTGTTCATCACTTGGTTTGAATGTTATGTTACAGGTGCAAGCAGTTTTGTTGCTGTTAGGAGGTCAGGAGACACCAAACAGTATTCTCTTACAACTGAACCAAAAGGTATTGCCACTTTCCAGTTTGGTTTTGGCATTGGCTGTATGGATTAGTAAAGATTATAATATTTCAGCTATGGCTGAGGCTTGAGCTTGATTTCATGAGATGATGATATTGATGCTGATGTGTGAAATGGACTGTAGGCTGGCGATGATGTTTCAAATCGCCCTACTGTTTCCCACAGGATAGCTTCATTAGAGAGGTTTCGGGAGAAGCGCAGAGAGAGATGCTTCGAAAAGAAGATTAGATATATTTGCCGGAAAGAAGTTGCTCTGAGGTATTACTTTTAGATCAATTTGGTTTGGATATTTACCTAAAATGGTTGAACATTTGGTTTCCTATTGAAATCTGCCACAGGATGCATCGAAAAAATGGCCAATTTGCCTCTCCAAAGGATACTTGCAGAACACCAGATGATACTTGGGGTTCACTTGATAGCTCACCTAGTCCCGAACCTCTGTAATTACGAAACTGCGACTATATATTGATGTGCCTTCTTATCTTGTATCTATATATGTTCAGTTATCCAATTTCATTTTTCTGAAGTAGTTTACGCAAGTGTCAACACTGTGGGATTAGTGAAACTTCGACTCCAGCAATGCGTCGTGGCCCAGCAGGGCCAAGAACTCTATGCAATGCTTGTGGATTAATGTGGGCAAACAAGGTATGCATTAAATATAAAGTTCATTGATCAGACTTCTTCCAGGTTGTGTTCCATAGTTAGCTATGCCCCTATTTTAGGAGTGTTGGTTTAAGTAATTTAATTGCATTTTTAGGGCACTCTAAGAGATCTTGCTAAGGGTGGGAGACATATGTTTGATCGAAATGAACTGGTAAGTTACAAAATTAGAGTTTCTGTTAGCCTTCCACCAAAACCTGCATGTTCATATCACCAAAAGTTTTAGATTCAAACCTTCATTGTTCATGATATATCTGATATCTCCATGCATATGTATATATATATATATATATATCATGTATTCAGCTCAAAAATCTGTAGATCATACCTGCTGTGATAGGACAAATTATTTCCTATCACAATCCCAAGGACGATGTAATTAATTGTGCATTGCTGTTAAAATGTTTGTAAATCCTTTACCGTAAAACATTATGAATTTTATTATTGTGTATTACTACCTCCCCTATAACTTCTTGAGAATTTACGTAACCGTTGATAGATGGCAATGCATGACGGCAGGACATTTAGGAAACAGACAAAAAGTTTTGGAAGAAAATCAGATTATTATATTATAGTCATGTCCTACTTGGCGGAAATATGTTTACTACAATTCATCGATGGCGTAAAAAGAGCATAAGTTCTATTTTGGTGATTCAATGTAAAGCATACCTTAGTATCTGTGTTTGTTGGTGTTTTACAGAAGACTCCTGAACCTGAACAACCGTTATTGATGCTCCCGGGAATTCCTTCAGTAAGATCCAACCAGGTAAGCTGTCTGTTGCATCGATATTTTACTAGTAGTCACATCATAGACAATTCCTGATAATTAATAACCAACCGTATTGTTACACCTTCCCAGTAATGTTAACTGTACCGAATACAAAATTCTCAGCATCTATCTATGTTATAAATCTGATTTTCATTGATCCGAATCACAATATTGCGATTAATATGTGTGTGTGTGTTGTGATGGGTAGGGGGAAGAAGGTGCAGAGAAAGATGCAAATGCAGTTGCATCTGAATTTGAGATTCAACCCAACTTTGCTTAACAGGTATTAAACTCATGGGAGTTGTAGGATCAAGAAAATCTTTAATGTCCTTTCTATGACTTGTGTTTACATGCAGTGAATATACATACAGGCGAGGGACATGAACTCTGTTTGGGAACGATCGAAAGAAGAACTGGATGCTGCTTGACTAAACTACTAAAATGGATATCCAGAGAGAGATGTTTGTAAGTTGAAATGAATAATGATAGTTGTGTGCACAGTAAGTGTTAATTAAGTGATATCACCATATTATGACTGTCTGTGGACTCCATGAGCCCATGGCCATAATGATAATAAGGTAGGACTTGAGAAGATAGTTTCCTATTTTTGTTATATTATTTTCTTCAACTCGAGGACTTTCTAGGAGATCACCTATATCAGTACTACTCTCACACAAGTTCACGGCCCGTCCTAATACTATTCTCTCAAAAGCATGTTTAGTTTCCAAGTTTTGATGGATTGCAGTGAGTTCGGTATGCTAATTTCTATATCGATACCATACTAAAATTTTGGAATACCAAAAAATTGATAAATAAAAAAATTATGTATTTTTCGATAAAATATGTACAGTTTTGATATTCACTTATAGTGAAGAGTATGTCTTTGTATTTAAAATCTTCTGACATCTTCAAATATGTCCCTCTTTTAATATAATACTAATATTCTAAGGGTATTTTAATTTGTTTTTTATTACAATTCAATATAATATTAATATTCAAAAATTCTTTTTTAATATATATTACTAATATTTTAAAGGTATTTTAATCTTTTCTATTACAATTCAATATAATATTAATATTAAAAAATGAGTCAATGGAGGGAGTACTATAAATTTTAGGTGTTAAAAATAAAGCTTTTTTAATTAAAAAAGTTCACTATACAAAAAATATGTTGAAAAGCAAACAACCACGATCAAATTATTTCTGCGTGAATAAAGCAATGCCTACACAAACATTTCTTCATAACTAAACAACACAATGAACCTACAGACAGATAAATCAAACTAAAAAAGAAGCAAATGAAATGAAAAGCTTTCATAGAATTTGAAGAAGAAAGAAACACAAAGTCTGTATGCAGCAGCAATGCACACGAACTATCTACAAAAGCATAGTTTAAACACTTACTTTATCATGCTCAACTTTTCAAAACTAACTTACCAAGCTTGAGCCTGTTCATACAGAGCTCAATCGATTGGATCAAACAGATGTAAGCATGCTCTAACTCCTCTTTTATTGGAGCATTTGGAAGCAAAAACATATGTATTATTACGGAGGATATGGGGAAAGGGAAAGGGAAAGAGAAAGGGAAAACAATACTAGTTTTCGACTTGTGACCAAAAGAATGTCGACTCCTCAGCGCAATGATCCACATAGCATTCCAGAATATCAAACTGGGAGTCCTTCCAGTCCTTGACAAAATTATTTGTCAAGTTTAAAAGTCCACGGTCGGGTAAAGACCTGGCAGATAATTACGCCCACTTCCATTAGAATCTACATTATATGTTGACTGCAGCTCCCCTGAATGTGAAGACTTACGGGACTTTGCATGTTTGGGAGAAGATGCATATGATTCGGTTGAACTGCTGCTTGTGTTGTACATCGATGAGGTTGGGAGGCCGTGGATCTTTGGGAGGCCTGTCTGATCAGTACTTAAGTTGTAGCCTCTCTCAACTGTTTCGGCTTCGAGTGGAAGTTCATCCAAGGTCTAGAAAGATAAGGGAATTTTAAAGTTAAAAGACAGTTGGCTGAAAGAATTGTAAAATAATCATAGAAATTGGATACACTTCGACCTGCCATAACTCACAGAGCTTAATGTTAGAGCATTGAATTTGGGAAAATAACACTTACTCGAAATGCTTGTTGCAGGACTCGAAGGCTCTCTCTGGTGCGCTTTCTCATTTTGGCTACCTCATCTGGTTCCTGCAGCATTTCTTCAAACAAGTTGTCCCTGCTCGAATAACCGAACAAAACAAGCCTCATGAGTTAGGGTTAAACGAGAGCTATAGATTTCAGTAGGTCTTCATCATCTCCTGTTTTTGTTTGAACGAAACAGAACAAACCTGTAAAGTTTTCTGATGAAAACATTATGGAGCTCTCGTTTTGTGTGGTTGACCTGCATGACAGAGGACATGATCCCAGGTTAAGAAATCAAAGGTGCATTTTCAATCTCCTTTGAATTAATGCAGCGACAGTGAGTCGAAGTAAGAAAGTCAGAATGATTGATTGCAGATCTCCTTTCTTGAAGATAAAAGTAATCAAATGATTGATTGCAGATCTCCTTTCTTGAAGATAAAAGTAATAAAAAATGTACTCACTAAATTTTGAAAAAGTAAAATACATCAAGGTGCTCAGCTGAAGATGTAAATTTGCACTGTTTTCATTAAGCAACTACTTGAATATAGGCCGTGCAATAAATAATAAATGGAGCGGAAAATAAAGATTAAGTAAATGCAATTACCAGAAAATGCATAATCGCTTTGGGCACAGAATCTTCAACGTTCTTCCGGACAATATCATAATATGACCTTAATAACAGCCTTGTAACAGCAATCTCAACAGACTCCTGGTCTGAGTTGGTTTCAGAGGACTTCAATACACTAGGAGGCTATAAAGAATGACCAAAATGACAAGTTAGAAAGCAATTAAGGGCAGTTACTAAAACCCCGGGTTTCATACTGATTCGTGCTGGAAATCATACCTACCTCTCTCAAATAAATCATTGAGAAGTTGGGCTCCATGCTCTGAATGGGTTCGCTAAATGGCTTGTTATTGGTTGAGTTCTCTTTTACAGAAGTGCGACCATCATGGCCACCAAATATTGAAGATATTCCCCAACTTGACCCAGTATTGCTAACTGTTTCACAATTTAAAATTGAAATATTAGGATTGTCTACTCCTGTCATATACATTCTAAGCAGTTATCCTATGCAACAAGTTTACCAGAAGGTCCACTTTTCTCGGCATCAGGAGCAGGTCGAACAGCCTTGGAAAGGAGCAAGCATCAATAACAGAGTAATTAATCACCTAAAAGATTAAAATATAGTTATGGTTGTAGGTATCAGCAGACAACTTACATGATCTGAAACAATTCCATTTGCCTGGCGGCCAAGAATAGCACGAGACTTTAGGCTTCTCTCTGAATTTGGTGCTTTATCTGAATCTCCTGATTCCTAATTAAATGATGCAGATCATGAATTTAGTTACAAAATCATTGTTAAAATTATCAAGAACAACAAAAATATAAATAAACATTTTCCGCATTATGGATTTACCTTCCTTGGAATAGGCGTAGAAATCCGAGATGACTTGGTCTGCTGCAATGCTAGCTCTACAGCTTTACTCCCACCAATAAAATTTGGATGGGAAGTATTTATGTAGTCCATCTGCATAGTAAATAATAAATAATAGATACAGCAGAAATTAAATTAAGTATTAAAGACGCAAAGTTCATGTTTCACAAGGACAGAGACCTAAACAACAATATCAGGTCTGTTGTACACTACCTCCATTTCAATAATATGACCAATCATTGTCTCTGAGGGCCCAAGACCATCTCGCAAAAAGTTTCCAATGACCTCATCAATTCTCTTTCTCAGAACAGGAAATCGTTGCAAATCGCTAACCATACAGCGATGACTCATCTAAAAGACAACACCCAGATCAGTTTCCACATACAAACACAAAGCAATAATCAAAATGAGCTGTGTCAAAGCATACCTTTATTAGCTCATCATATATAAATCTAGCACATTGAAGACTTGGATCGAGTAAACGAGCTATCTGCCTTCTAACAAGAACTTCAAATGGGACCTACATGTTAACATACCATGTCAGACACAAATCCAAGATGCAGAAAATAGAGTATTGCATCTCTCATAAATTCCAAAATAAGATAGAATAAAGATGATAAACATGTAGTCCTAGCACCTACTTCTGGCACAAACAATGCAGACTTAGGACCAGTGGCATTTTGGATGGCAGTGCGAATGTCCTCATCAGTTAAGTCTTCACAAGGATCTACACTCTGCAAAAGAGCCAAATTCAATAACGATGTGTCAAAACATCCAACACAATTGCATTTTTCATCAATTTTGTGATACAGAGGCAGAACATGATTTAACCTTTTTATGTAATTGACCACTATCTATTTTGGTACATCAAACATAACTGGGAATATCCCCAACATAACCATTTCATTAGTGATGAAAAACGGAGCTTCTCTTCATTTAGAGAAGGAAAAGGCATTTATCAGTGTAAATTAAAATATAGAACTGACTTAATTGCAAAACAAGAGACTATGAAAACTGCCGATTCCATGTTTATCAACTCCGACAATACATAATAAAGCTTGATGTATCAGCAAGCTAACAATTATAACATATATAATTACAAAAAACTCCACAAAAACAAAGCAAGATAACAGCATTCTTTCATTTACAAAGCAAAAGATAATATGGAGACATGCCAGTTCCATGTCTACAACCTCAAGATTTTATATAGCCTGATGTATCAACAAGGGAACAATCATACCGGATACAATTATGGAAAAGTTCACAAAAATAAAGCAAGAAAAACAGACCTCCAAGCTCTTCACAAATATATTTTGGAAAATATAATGGATTCTTGCTCCGCCAGACAGCTCAGATGTTGACATTTCTTCATTTTTTCCATCTATCAGGGAAGAGAATGCTGGTGCATGCACAAAGTAGGAACTCCTCAAGTGAAAATTGGCAAAAGTTGACAAACAAACATAGAGGTGAGTGAACACACAAATATACTCCCTTATCGAGCAACAAGGGTGACCTTCTAGATGTCCAGCACATGGACTAAATGAGTCAAGCTGGAATCCAATTGTAACTTACAGCTAACACAGGACTAAATCACTCAATGTAGCCAAGGTACAACATATGTTGATTTCAACTGATGTGAGGAATGTTGGAGAACACCTCATCTAAAGCTTAAGCAAGGAATTGGCACATCATTCAAAATATAATAATATAACATGAACTCCTTAATAGACAAATAATAATGCGCACATGTTGACATGGCAACCCCACCCCCCTTTGAGACAATATAAATAATCAGTCAGATCCAAACTCAGGACCCTCATTTACACCAAATAAACTTAAGAATTAACTTTACAAGGTCCGTTGATATTTATTTACTTCTTTATTATTCTAACCAGATGTATCGTCAATTAGTTATCAACATAAAATCTGATTCACACAAGAATAAGAAGCAGCCATCCAATAACGTCAATAACTAATACAACAAAAAATGAACGAATTTGTCGTTAGTTGCTCAATCATATGCAATAGAGTGGAGTGAAAATATAAAGAGCATCTGAAACTAATCAAATGTGAAGGACACTTAATGAACGCACAATAAAAAAGTAAAAGAAAAATAAAAAAAGTGAAAGTACCATCAGAATATTTCGAGAGAATGTTAAGTAGTAGAGCTCCCTGGCCAGCCTGTAAGTTCATGAAAACAGGGTCAATGATCAGTAACGAAGACAATTGGCTGACATCTAGCCAGAGGAAAAAATACAGTAATCAAGGAAAAAATCAACTGCTCAGAAGTATCAAACTGCTACTAATGCTACATCATGAACGACAAAATCATCCATTCACAATAATCCAACCATACATTTCTTTTTTAAAATAAATAATTAGGTGGTGCAAACCTTTGATTCAGTAACCTCTCCGTAGCTAGCATGCTCTTTTGCAACAGAAACAAGTGCAGCACTAATGCGTGCCTTCAATCCTGGAAGAACTGTTCTAATATGTTGTACCAGTATCTGCATACCAAAGAGGAAGAAAATAGTAACAAAACACCTTTCAGATGCTACGTTAGTATAGTGAAAGCATATAAAAGGAATCAATAACACTAATTTGAATTCTAAAGAGAGCATTAAGTTTTACAATCAGTTGTCAAACAAGACCATATAAAAAACAAAAAGGTATTGCATTAAGTTAGCACAAGTATGCAACAAGACCACAAAACAATAAGGAGGAACTCAAAGTATATAAATCATTTATAGGTTGCCCACCTGATTCAACTTCTTAGCCAATTGAGGGACTCCACATCGATCAGCAATGTCACTGTATACCTGCAACAAGGAATTATTCAACAAACCTGAATGTGTCACAAGGAAAAATACAAGATCAAACTATTCTTGGAAAAAGTTTTAAGGTCATACTGGACGGCTGCGAAAAAACTTCTCCTCTGCTGCAAGGGCATCCTTAATGCTTCGATTCGTTTGAATATCCTGCTCAATTATGATATTAACAACATTAGAGTGTCTTTTGCAGTGCATAGTACAATTCTATTGAGTATGAATTTACTTGGTACAAGCACAGTACAAGAAAGTCACAATCCAATAGTGTCAAAATTGGGGAAGATATAAACAGGGGATAATAGAACAGAGAACAGAGTACACAACCAACCCTCATAAGGAAGGAAATATTATATAGTCCTCAAAAGTGCTCACTTGTCAACATTGAGACTCTAGAACCTATGCATGTGCTCAAAAAGAAGCTGGGGGAGGGGGCAGGCTAGAAAAGCCTCAACATTGGTAATTGCAGTGTACTGTAGGCTGAAAAAAAAAAATGATACATCTAGACTATCTATGACTCAACAACCTGAAAGACCTGCTAATTAAAATATGAAAGAAAATGAACCTCAAGAAAGGCCAACTACCAGAATTTGGGATGGTATAAAGAGTCTTGGCCAATGAGTTCAAAACATAGCTTCCGAAATAACGGAAAGTTTAACTGAGAATATAAGATAAAATCATGAAGGAAACATTACCTCTTGACTACGATTCACAACACCTATATAACCAAGTCGAAGAGGAATAACTTTTCCAAGCAAGAAATTGCGGGCATCAGTACCCCTGTCCATAATGTCCAACTAAAACAGCAAAGTAAATAAAAAGCCCGTAGGCAAAGCAAATGCCACATCAACATAAAGCTCATGTTAGCGTAGTGCAAACACATAGCCCTAATGGAACATAAGAAGCTGCCGCACCTTAGTAATTACACCAATTGTTCTATTACCTGCAAACAAAAAGTTTAAAGCTTAAGCAACAGAATCAGAAGTACAACAAAGTAGGCCGAAAGTACTACATAATCAAGAACGCACTAAAGTTGAAAGTAGAAATGAGTGGTTGACAAATTGTTATGTCCTATAGCAGATTTTACCATCAGGGTCAGCAATTCCAGCCATTTGCAGTGCATCAGAATTTGCAAGATCAGAATTTGCTGGTGTCACAGCCAGTATCAAGCAACTCGGAAGTTTAATGTATGACATTATCATTGTTCTGATACGTGCTTCAATGTCAGAAGGCTGATCACCAACAGGAACTTTTGTCAAGCCAGGAAGATCCACGAGAGTAATATCAAGGACATTTGGGGAATAAATCTTTAGACGAATCTGTTTGTCAGAAACACCCTTGTTTCCACCAGCTTCTCTCTCAGTTTCAGCCTGAGCATAAGTTCAGAAGTAAACATTGAATGACAGTCAAATCAAAGGGCTCTGCAACCCTATTTGTTTCATGATATAATAAAGTATGAAATGATCTAAGGGAATAAAAGTCATTGTGATATCTAGAGATTCGTAAATTAAATGCCTATTAACTCAATGTGAGCATATAACACTGGCATATGTGCAGTCATTCAAGCAAAACGCATTGTTAAAGTTAAAGAACACTGCATCTATTTCAGGTACCAAAAATTGTGTTAGTTTGTAATATTTCCGAGTTTTCGAGAGAAACTATTCAGTGTTAGAATTTTCAGGGAAAAAAAAAACCAGAAAAGATCTCAGCATATGTCTGAGGTTTTGGATTTAGCTGCCACTCTCCCTTTTCAGAGGACTTCAATCAAATTTACTATCGCCCGGCACCTTTATCTCTCCCCTCATTAACAAATATTTAACCTACGCCCTCAATTGCACTTTTCTCACACTGAAGAGATACTGCATCCAATATACAGCCAAATTTCAATTAAAACACCATACACAAGAAAACAACCTGAATCTCTCTCCGAATATCGTGGAAATCGAAGAACCTCTTCCCAGGCAAATGCAAAAACTCCCCCCACTCCTCATCCGACCCATCCCCCTTCTTCCTCTGAACGAGCTGCAGCACGAGCGGGCGACGCGTACAAATATCAGAGCCACGTGGCAGGAAATCACGCCCTACGAGAGCCTCCAAAACACTCGATTTGCCGCTGCTCTGGCTTCCCACCACCGCCACCTGCGGCAACTCGATCGTCGACTGACTTCCAAGCTGCGCGAATATGTCTTGCAACTTGTTCACAATCGGTATTACCGAGTTCCCCAGCGGCGCCGCCTCAGCCCCAGCCCCAGCCCCAGCCCCGTTGCTCACCGCCGATTGATCCTCCGCCATTGAACCCCAAATCTCAGTATAAAAAATCAAATGAATCCAACGAATATCTACAAAGTGGATATTCGAAACCCACTGGAACCCTAGACTAGACGAGAGGGTTTTTTAAATTATAATAGTAATAATTTCAACAGAACCCCCGGAAAGGGATGTTCGTATAGCGCAAGCCACATTTCTTCGAGGAGAAGAGATTTGTGCCGTTTTATTCCTAAATTTCATAGAAAGTCCGGGACTCCGGGTCCTCATCCATCTCACACCGCTGATCGTGCTCCCTCCCACAAGCCCACGATCAGATGCACTTTAAAACGGTAAAAACCTGGACCTCACAGCTGTTTCAATTTTTCTTTATTTATTTTTTTTCGCTTTTTCATTTTTTTTCTAAATTTAATTTAATTGTTTTAGTAATAATAAATTATACATAATTAAAATTTCAAAATGTATTTAATAATATTTCGATTTTATATAAAAAATTAAATAACCTTAATTTTAAATTGTTCCGTAACTATAAAACACAAACAAACGCACCCTTAACTCGCATGATTAATGATTTATATGTGGTTATGGGTTGGGACTGCCCCACACAGTAGACCCCAAAAATTGCTCCCTATGTATTTATTCTAACCAAGTAGTAATTATGGAAAATTAATTTACGTATCATTTTAAGATATTTATATGAATTTGGATGAACTACGAATCAATTTAAATCAAATTGAATTGAATCGATATTGTTGCTCAAATTTTGGATTAAATTTTATCTAAATTGAATTCAATGTAATTGTTTACCCAGTCATTTTTTTTATTGTATTTTTTTGAAGTTTGTAGAAAATGCATGGAATGTAAAATTGAATTCAATGTCTATATATTTTTTTTTATCAATAATACGTATTGATGTAATGTTTTGAATGTAAAATTAATTTTTAAAATAATATAAAAAAATAGATATTTGATTTAATATTTTTTTAAAAAAATATTTGTATAAATAATACAAATCTTTCAAAATCCTTCAAACAAGCGCACCCTAAAAATTTAAACTTTATTTCACCAATTGTTATTTTACTAAAAAAGACATAACTGAAGAGTGTCATCACGAGACATCTCATCTATGTTCATTTGTGTGAGCTTATATGAGTTGTGGTCGTTGCACGTTATAATCTCAACCTAAGTTGTGTCTGTTAGCTTGTAAAAATTTAGCTGCACATAATATGCAAGATTATGGGTGGTTCGGTACAGTATATCAAAAATTATATTGCATACCGTATATCGTATAATTCGGTATGTTAAATTTTATGATATATATCATTATATCGAATACCAAATATTTAAATAATATATGATATTTTTGGTATACCAAATACCGAAAAAAATTTGGTATTTCAATATATATCGAAAATTTTACTTTACATACCGTTATCGTACTAAAATTTTAGTATATCAAAAATTTCGGTATTTCGGTATTTCTTTAACACTGCTACTCAAGATCTTGCACCAAATATGAATTGTTTTTTCATTTAGGGTCTTTATTTGGGTGTTTGAATTTTTCATTTTTTTTTTATTTTTGTTAGATTTGAATAGTAAAATTTTTGAATTTAAATAGTCTAGTGATATGATATATAAATAGATGCTAATATGATATTTTGAATTTAAAATTGATTTTTAAAATAATTATATAAAAAAAAAGAGATGTATTATTTGATGTGTTCTGAAAAAAAATTAGCAAATAGTATAAATTTGATAAATGAAGACACCGTGTTTAACATAATCATAATACATCTAGGGGTTAAGATTAGCTTTTAATTGAATTTACAAAATCTCCTTAAAGTGTTAAAAATATAAAATTAAAATTCTCTATTTCAATCATAAAAATATATTTATAGTGATATACAAATCGTCTAAATAAAACAAGAATTCTACGAATCTCTTAAATAAGATAACTATCATAAATATAATATATTGCTTCTGAATATATTTTAACATCCTACCTCAAACTCAAGATATTGAGTTTGTCAGAAATGGCCGAAAAAGATATAGCCGAAATCTTCCACGTACGAATTTGAATTTGCTAAGATTGATGTAGCCGTCCACTGATCAGAGTCAGAAGCAGAACTCTCATCAACACCATTAGAGTTGGAAATAGGACTCGCTCTCTCACAACTGAACTAGAGCCGAAAACAATGCATATCTCTTAGTTATATTAAAAATTCTTATTGAGTTATTGTTTATATATTATTGCTGTGAGTAAATTGTTAATATAATATTGTTGTATAAATTAACAAGCGAGTATGATTTGTTTTAGTTGTGATTTAAAATAAAATATTAATTTAAAAAAAAATTTGCATAGTATGTTAATTTGATATTTTGTAAAAGAATATATCGTGTTTTTTTAAAAAAAAATTGTTTAAAAGAAATAATATTGATTTTTAATTGAAATCTCGAGAGAACAAAATATTGATTAAAATCCTCAATTATCAGATTGATTGATACATAATACTGACAATATATAACATCAATTAATACAACACATATTGTGTTAATGCCATAAGTTTACATTTTATGATTATACAATTTTTATATATTTTATCGTCAATATAATATGATTATATATTAATATAACACATATTGGGTCAATATAATACTTCCTCGGTCCACAAACTAACGTTCTACTTTCCTATTTGGAATGTCCAATAATTATTGTCCAATTTCTATTTTTATACCCAAAATTTACTCTTTTACCTTTACTTTATTTACTTTTTTATTTTTTATACATACGATTAAGGACAAATTTGTCATTTTATAATAAAAATCCTAGTTGCCTAAAAATACGTGTAAATATCAAATAGTCCATCAGGACTGAGTTAGTATGTGTTATGTGTGAATTATTTGTCTTCTCCTCCTATTAATATGAATTATTCAATATTTTGATTACATGCTGATTAAAATATTTATTAACAGCAAAAAGTATTAAATTTTTTTATTTAATAGATAAACTATTCCACTAATAATAAAGAACAAAAATGATTCTCATATTTAATTAGGATTACACCAGTTAAAGAAATGCACTGACAATTAATTAATTAATTAATTATTAATCCGAGAGACATGGTTGTCCCAATATGAGTGGAAGAGAGTGAATAATGAGTGGTCCACGTGTCGGTCATGTACTGGCCACACCGTCAACGCCCCAAACTGCACCTTCTAAACCCTAAGACTGATTAACTCAATTTATATATATATATGCCTCGATTTTGAATTATTTAAATTCCGTTTACATATATAATTTCGTATAAAATCTAAATAAATAGTATGTTAAATTAAAATTATTTTAAAATAATGTTGGAGCAAGTTTGAGAACATATGTAATAATCCAACCTAAATTGGAAACCCTAAAGAAAGAAATCCTTCCTTAATGTAAAATAAATTTAATTAATTAATAGTAGAAACCATTATTGGTATGCTAAAAACCACTTAACTTACATCTCCGCAGCTCCATGTTTTCGCGTAGCGGTTTTAACCCTACCTGACCTCTCTTAATTAATTTGATATATATATATATATATATATATAGAGAGAGAGAGAGAGGAGCTATGACCACGAGGTTTATCGTCTCTCTTCTTCAATTCATGGCTAAAATCTGAATCCCCAATATATAAGTAAGCTCTCTTACCTTTGTTTTTCTCTCGATTCATTATTCCATCATCCTCGACGCGAAATCTTCTCATATCCTCATTTCTTTTGAATTCGAGCATTTAATTTTGATCCAATAAAGGCTGATGTTGAAGTAGGCGGCCGGTGAGCGTAGAAACACGGAAAAAGGAATCGATCGATGGAAGCTGAAGCTGGAGCAGGAGCAGAAACCCTAATTTGTTGAATTATGGTTACAGGTAGATAAGGTTTGGGAGCATAAATCAAAATCAAAATCAAAATCAAAATTAAAATTAAAATCGAAAGTGTAGTGAGTTAAAATGGGGAGGGGGAAGATTGTGATCCGAAGAATCGACAATTCGACGAGCAGACAAGTGACGTTCTCGAAGAGGCGCAGCGGATTGATGAAAAAGGCGAAGGAGCTCTCAATCCTCTGCGATGCCGAAGTTGGATTGATCATCTTCTCCAGCACTGGAAAACTCTACGACTTCTCAAACTCCAGGTACGCTTTCCTTCTTCTTCCTCTTCGTCTTCTTCTTCTTCGTTGAGATTATATATATATATATATATATGTATTCGTCTTTCTGGTTCTGATTTTAGGTATATATATATATATATACAGCTTAAGATCTGTAACCGAAAGATACAAGAAAATTAAACAAGAGCAATACCATCTACTCAATCCTGCTACTTCTGAAATCAAGGTATCTTCCTGTTTTTGTTTTTCTTTTTTTTTTTTTTTTGAGAAAAAAAAAATCATAATATTTTTTAGATGGACCAGAAATATCATATTAAGATTTTATTTAGTTAATTTAATGCATACTGAGTATAATTAATTGATTAATTTACCTTAACATCATATGAATTTTTTTTTTTTTTAATCATATATATGAATTGTTAATTTCCCTTTATTATTTTTTTATTTAAATTTTTTTAAAAACATCTATAATTTCTTTATAAATATGCCAATCACTTTATTTATTCTTTTGTGTGTGTATATATATATATATATTCATCTGTTATTGTTCAATATTTTATTTTATTTTTTAAAATAATATTCAATCTTGATGTTTTATACAAACGTGACATTAATAAATTATTTTAACCTAAAAAAAAAAAAAACACTAGGAACACCTTCATAAAAAATTAATATTTAATATAATTTTTTTTATATTACTGATTAAAATTATTATCTTATTTAAAAAAATACCTCAAATTAAAATACTAAATAAACAAACCAACAAGCTTAAATTTCAATCCTATTGGATTATGCTTGGCTATCAATTTTAGTTTCATACTTCGTCAAATATTGGTTATATTCTTTGTCACTCATTTTTATTTACTATGTAGCTACAATATTTCTTTTTCTAAAAAAAATATATTATACTAATATAGTTTTTATTTAATATATTATGTATAAGATTTATTTTGAATTCAAAATATTATATTGATATTATTATATAGCACCAAATGAAATTAAATCAAACTTTTTAATATTTCAAAAACAAAACCCATTCGCGTTTTTTCATATCCATTTCATGGAACATGAATGATCATTTTTCTGTGATTTTTAGGTTAACAAACAAATATAGGGTGTGCTTGTTTTGCGTTTTGGTTTGAATAAATTTTTTTAATGTAAAATAAAAAAAATTGTATAGATAATATAAAAATAATTTGTATAATATATTGTAAATTGAAATAATATTTATAATGTTAAGTAATAATATAATTACTAAAAAATTAAAAAATAAAAATAAATACTTTGTTATGAAACGGACCAAAATAAAAAAAAAAAATATGAATAAATTATTAAGGGACGGGGAGAGTATTAGTTTATTTCTTGGAGGAAATCAAATGTCCTACTTGAGGATCAAAGGATTGAAGATTTTACCATTAGGTTACATCATTCCCCACATATTGTTTTTTTTAGGTAAATAATTACTTAGTATAATATTTTGTGAAAAATATATATATATAATTTTTTAAAGAATATGGACAAAAGTTTCTATTAAAAATTATGAAAACAAATAAAAAACCCAAAAACTCAATTGGTTCTATGTTCACTTTGTATTTTTTAATAGGTTTTTTTTATATTAGATATGAGAAATTATGTTGATAATATCAAAAATAATATTTTATGTTAAATTGTTAATTTTTTGTAAATGAATGTATTAATGTGTGTATATTATATTTTTTTAATATTTCCTTCATCCCGGCTATAGTGTCCTCTTTACCGTAGACACGTGAATCTAAGAGGAATATAATCAATAAATAATTAAGAATATATTAGTAAAATAATTATAGTATGATAAAAATAATTTTTTATTAAAATTAACATAAACAATTAGTATAATTAAAATTAAAAAAATATAAATTAAATTTTTTAAATGAGATTATAGTGTATAATCCCAGTGGAATAGATGAAAATGAAAGAAATGAACAGGATAAATAGGACGGAGAGAATAATATTTATTGGATATCATTCCACTTGGGAATACTAAAAGTTAAAAAACTTTGATTCTTTTTTTTTCATTTTTTTTATTAAACTATACACATAACAAATATTCATAAGAACATTTATATACAAAACTAACATCTAATTCTTATCTTAACCAAAAATTAAAATATTCTTTTATTTCAATTTGAAATCACTATTGATTATGCATGTTTTTTAATTAAAATATATTATTTTTTCACAAAATAATATATAAAAAATATTGGATTTGTTTGTTAAGATTTTGATTTGAGATATATTCTTTTACCTGAAGTCTATAATAATTGTGTAGATAATATAAAATTAATATTTAATATTAATTTTTTTATCAGATGATAATATATACATATTATATATATTAAAAATTATGTTAAAAAAAGTTTGTTGGAAGAATAAATCCACTATTTAAATAAGAAAAAATTAAATCAATATTTTATTTCAAATCAATTTCGATAACAAAATAAATTTTCTGGGTGTGTTTGTTTTGTAAAATAATTTAAATGATATTTGTTCATGTGAAATATAAAACAATATGTAGGTAATATAAAAATAATAAATATGTGTAATATATTATTTTTTTAAAAAAATATGTGTATTTTTTTTATTTTAACAAAAAAACACCCTTTATTCACTAATTTAAATATTTCCTATTTCCAGATAAGAATACATTTTTCTTTTTTTTCTTATCACAAATATTAACTCAAATAATTATTTTACATTAAAAAAAAATAAAAAATCAAACCACACAAACACTAACCCAACACCACCTGCTAATGTACACATTAAAAAAATAGTGTCAAATAAAAAAATAAATGAACAAACAAATTGATTTCACAAAAAAATATATATATATATATTTAATTCACTTTAATTTAAAATATTATATTTAATAATTATTTCTATTGTAAACACATGATAAATATACAATATACAATAGTATGACCCTAAACATACATTTGCATACCAATAATCATATATTAGTAATTGAGATTTTTCTTTTAAGTTCATAACCATGGATGGTTTGTTTACCACCTATTTGAATTAGATGAAGTATTATTACCCACATATATGATTTATATTCAGTTTTATATGTTTATTTCATTTTATCTTATTTTTGTTTGGCAAGCTTTGGCAAAGGGAAGCAACAAGCTTAGGACAACAACTCCAGTATTTGCAGGCAAGACACAGGTAAGTATACTTTTTGCCAAAATTTTGTGAATATATAAATGCCAACTCCTCAACGGTCTGTCATAAGTGAACAAGATAAGCAACATAGATGATATCATGGAATTTTCATCTTCCTATCGATGAATTTCTTATGGAAATTGACGAAGGGGCTTGATGGAAAACCAAAATGCATATTTCGAACTACTGCAGATGTCTTTTGGGAGAAGAACTTACATGTTTGAGCATCACAGACCTCCAAAATCTGGAAACTCAACTAGACATGAGTTTGAAAAGTGTAAGAACAAGAAAGGCAAGCGCCTAATTCTATCTGGTTTAATACTAATTTGTAATTGTCTCAGCTGATTTTCCATATGAAATTTTAAGAATGTTTCTCCTGGATTTGTTTTTATCCATGCAGGAAAGCACTCTGAACGATGAAATCAAAGAGTTAGATCGCCAGGTGTTTTTGCATGAAGCAGTGAAATATTTTGATTGGTGTTTTTCAGTCATTTTAAGAATTGGGATCACACTATTTGATATCTCAGGGAAGCCTCATCCAACGTAAAAATATGGAACTCCACAAGAATTTAAGCCTTGTCCGAAAGGAGAACACAGAATTGCAGAAAGAGGTACCATCGAAATAGATCAAGGTCTAATCAAACATTTCACTACAATACTACAAATTCCAGCCAGACAGGTGAAACTACTGTCTAGTTACTCTTACCTCAAAACTTTGATCCAGGTTTATCGTCAGGACAGTGTCACAAGCGATGCACATAGGGTCGAACATGATGTGCATGTAATCACAGCTCTTGGGCTAAGCCAACCAAAATACCAAAATGAAAGCACATTACAAAACATGATGAAGTTTGGGTAGCAAAGTACACATATCTCTATTCATGTAATGACTGACTCAGAAGCTTATACTCATTTTTATTATTATCTTGTCACTTAACTGTCAATTTTTTTGTGACAACAGGCTTCTACTGCAGTGACTTATCAGAAGAAATGAAGACATATTTATCTTGTGTTTCTGATGCTTAATCCAAAGCATAGACCATTTTAGTAGTGTTACAACATGAATTTGTGTGCATATAGAATTGCATGTATCCCGGTTTGATTAAATCATATTGAAAATATTTACTGTGTGTCGTGGATATATTCGATGAAACGGTCTCATAATAAATGCAATAGAAAAATATGAGTTGTTGCATTTGATCCAAAATTTTAAGTAGTATGTGTTGATTTGAAGGTATGTAGGGATGAAGTGATCTTGCCAAAACAATACTATTTCTTCATGCATGTCAATAGATCTATCATCATGTAAACTCATCACAAAAATTACACAAACAACTATAATTTCAAAGGTAATTCAATACAAGTTTCAAGCTTTTTTCCAAACAACTCCACCTTCAATTTAACTCATACAAATATCTGTATCCCACGCTACACAAACACGTTAACTATTATACAAACAACAAATCATTGCATTAATATTGTATAAACAATTGTCGTATATTGTATTTGCATTGCATTAATATAAATCATGCATTATTTGTCAATATATTATATGTTGTCTATCATTCACTATTATGGTAAGATCTTGTTGTTTAAATATTTACAGTGAAGCAAAAGGTAGTTTTGCATTGACTGCACACCTCATGAAGTTGAAGACTCTGTTGAAAGTAGTGGCAAACTTGGATCAGTTACTTTGTACTCTCTCTATCTCAAACACCGTGCAATGACTTCGGCGCAGCAATTTAGGTGAATAGGATAATTAGTCAATTAAGTCATGTAATGAGAGATAATTGATATTTATTTTTTATTTGGATGATGTGATGAGATAAAATTTAAAGTAACGATTAAGTATATAATTGATTATTTTTTATTTCATAAATGTTGCAAAAAAAATTTAGGACAACGCAAATAAAACATATTGCAAAGTATTTGAAAATATAATAAACTACCTATCATATTCGATATATCCGGACAATGAATATATGTTACTTTCTCCATTCATTAAAATTAGTTTATTTGGGTCCGATATGATAATTAAGAAAAATAAATATTATATTAAAAACAAATAAAAATAAAAAGATAATCGGAGGTATTATTGAAAATTTAATTAGAAATTAAAATAAATAAAAAGAAAATGTAATTAATAAATTAATGTAGTAATATTTGTTGTAAATAAACATTGAATGAATGATAATAATTAAATATTAATTTGTTGATTTTGTAAAAATTAGTAATAAGATAAATTTAGCGGACGAACTAATGAAAATAAATTTGGTACACAAAGGGAGTATGTTATAATACAATATACATTGTACTATGTAAAAGTATGTATTATTTATATTTATTACTATATGTGATCGAATGAATAAGTACTATGTTTGATTTTACCCAATTTGTTTAAAATTCTCAGTTATTAAATCAAATAAGAATTTAAATAGTAATAATTATTTATTTCGACTTTAACTCGAAAGGTGTCGTGGTGTAGTTGGTTATCACGTCAGTCTAACACACTGAAGGTCTCCGGTTCGAGTCCGGGCGACGCCATTTTTGTGTTCGATTTAAATTTTTTTAAAAGTCTTACACAACATTCAAGTCGAAATTAACGGTCTCCCACGTGTTATGTAATTTTTACCGACCGTCAGTTATGTACCGTCACTGCTCCAATAATATTCACTTATTGCATCATTTGCTCCCTTCCCATTGGTCTGTCATATTCACGTCATCACCTCTTGTCCACAGGAAGTTGATTCTAGAAATATCCTCGACGTTCTTCTGCTTCGTTTCAATTGCTTCAAGAAAGGAAGAACAATAGTTGGTAGAGGAATCAATAATCCGGTCTTTTTCCCTGCTCGATTCTTCGGCGCAGACGTCGTTGGCGAATCCGATCAAGCATCTCGTCTTCGATTTTTGTGTTTCTGTCTCTTTTTTTAAAATCAAATCGATGGATTTGAAGCTAAGATCGCTAAATATTGTAGTTTTCATTTGTTTCGTGTCGATTGCACTTCAATTTTCTCATACGACCGCCGCGGTGGCCGCAGAAGATTTCGATCCTCCTTATCCAAAAGCTATTTCGGTATGTGTTCAATCATTTATCGCTTAATTTGCCGTATTTGGGCTTCGATTTGTGATTTTCAATTTAGGCTCATTTTCATCATTTTTCGTAGCTGTTTTGTGAAGTTGAGTTTCAATTTTGGGGATTTTGTTTGTTAATTTCACGGCGCTATTGAATTCCTAGGAAGGGAAGATCTTATAACGTATCAATTTTTGGTGTTTATGCGCGATGAATGCTGCTCCACCCTAGGTTTTAATCTGAACTGGATTTTAATTTGCTGTTCTGTATGCCTGCGTTTATAGGATCTGAAGGAAGCGATTGTGAAGGGATTAGGATTGCAAGCAGATGATTTTAAGATATCAGGCTTCGATTTGAGAGATGCTCAGGTGGGGAAATCGGTAGCATATGAATTTGATGTGGAGATTGATAACAAAGTCATGCCATTCAAGCTCCTGGAAGATATAAAGCGTTGGGAGTATGTCGATTTGCCTATTTTCCAAGCAGAGGATCCTATCAAGCAAAGCAATAAAAATGGATTGGTAGAGAGTAAACAAGTAGATGATCAGATGCCTGTTCTTGCACCTTTTCAATTGGCAGGTCCTATGGAGCTTTGGATTCAAGATGCCAAGGACATGAGAATCTCCTTACCTGTAAGTTTCTTCTCTCTGCTAATCCTTCTGTGTTTTGCAAAATGGAATCAAATTTTCTACAGTTTCGTATTGTGAATCAACTTTGAAGTTACACTTCTACAAATGGAATTCAAAAACACCAAATTTTAAACAACAATCAGCAACTTCTTCAATGATCTGTTCTTGATCCTTCTTATCAAACCATACATTGTGCCAATTACTCTCTTTCAGTATTATGATCTGATAATGTAGGCTGATGATATCTTCTAATTCTGAAAATTGTCCACAGCATGATGTCGACGCTGGTGTGTTGAAGAAAGTGATATTAGCCGACGGTGCTGTCGTCACCGTCAAGGGTGCAAGATCAGTCAGCCTCCGCCATCAGGTGGAGCTTCCCCTCCCCCTGAACCAATCCAACTCCGGCTTTGCATCGGGTCTTTTAGCGCTAGCAGAGCATCTACGAAACGCCGCGCGCAGCCAAGATGGCCCTCTCCTATCCCTCCGCATCGTTGGCCCGACGTCGCTCACATCTCCAACCTCGTCGCCCTCCAACAATCGCTTAAAGCTCAAGCGACTCGCTCCCGGTTTAGTCGAGCTATCGTCTGCAACAAAAAGAAAATCCATGGAATCCGATGCTGAAGCGCCTCCCGCCATTGATCTTCAAGGCGAAGCCACTTCCCTTCTCTCGCCGGATCAATTCAGCACGCTGTGGCCCGTCACCTCCATCCGTGGCTCAAACTCCAACTTGCTCGGGTTCGAATCGCTGCTGTCTTCGGTGTTAGGTCCTAAAGCAAACAAGAAAGGCTCTTTCAAGCTACTCAAGGCAGATGTCTCTGCCCAGACTTTTATAAAGATTGGGTTTGGTGTGGAGAAGAAGATCGCGAATGGGGATGAATTTGGGTTCGAAGGGTTCCCAGAGTGGAGGACGAAGCCGGAGAGTTTGAGGATGCATTTTGAGGTGTTGGCTAAGGTGGATGGGGACAAAGTTGTTCCGGAGAGGGTTGTGCAGATCGATCCGGTGGCGGCCGAGGACAGCGCGGCGCCGAGTGTGCTCGCCGGTAATGTGTCGATGTCGAAGGTTCCGGTGGTTCACCAGCCCCCGAGTCCGTTCATGCTGTGAAATCTCTCTGAGAGAGAAAGAATGAAAGAGAGAGAGAGGGTTGTCTCTTTTTCATCTTTTTGTTGGTCTCTTTCTTTCTTTCTTTCTTTCTGTTGATATTTGAAATTCTTATTAATGGATACGTTATATGTAACACATGTTGCTACTGTTATATAGGAAGGGTTTTTTTCTTTTTTTTTTTTAGTTATATAGGAAGGGTTGTGTTGATGATGATGATGTGTTGTACAGTACAACGAAAAGAATCCAATTCAAATTTAGGAAAACGTTATTTTAAAAAATAATAATAATTATATATATCTTAGAAAAATGCATGAAAATTGATGAAATATCTAAGGGTGTGTTTGTTTGAGGGATTTGTTTAGATTTCAACTATTCATCCTATTTTTTCCCCCCAAAAATATCAAATCAAACACCTATTTTTCATTTTTTATATTATACTAAAAATCAATTTTACATTCAAAACATCACATCAACACCTATTTATATCACATCATACAACTATTCAAATTCAAAATTTTTACTATTCAAATCCCAACTCAAAATCCAAACCCTCAAACAAACACACCCTAAATATAATAAGGAATTAGTAGTATTATTTATACTATTCTAAGGCTTATCTAAAGTTGGATAACAACGTATTCGTGGTTGGATTTGAACTATTTACAAACTATTATGTTCCAAGAAACTCTCGTATCGGCAATTGTTCGTTTGGAGTCATAATTTATTTCTTTTTGGTTTTGGTTTTCAATTTTGATGTTAATTAAATTAAATTTGTATTTGTTTTTATTTTTTGTGTGTTTATAAAAATGTGCACGTTTTATTTATAGCAAATAATTTTTACAAATTCCTTCATTTATATTTTTTAATATTATATTTATTTACAAAAATGCTATAACTACTTACACTTTTAATCTAACTCAAATGATTATATTAATATTTAGGGAATACTAAAAATCAGTATTTTAAATCAGCAGCTGTAATATATATGAATAATACACAATTTTATTATACACAACACATGTTGGTATAATAAAAACAGATGTTGTTAGTTCATAATTGCAAGTATGTTGTGTAGCAGTATCTGATGTGCTGAAATCAAATATTATTTGTGTTGTATAAAAGTACGTGTTGTGCTAAAATCAATTATTATTTGTGTTGTTGGTTCATAATTACAAGTGTGTTGTATAACAGTATGTGATGCGCTGAAATCAACTATTGTTTCTGTTTAATAAAACTATAGCATATTGTTAGTTCATGTGTTGTATTTGTATTATATTAATACATGTGCGGCCTGTAGTAATACCGTGTGTTGTGAGCATGTTGTGGTGTGCTGTGAGCAGCCGCAACCTAATATTTAATATTGAAATGTTTTATGTAGTACTATAAAATGGTATTTCATTTTAAAAATTTTAGGTTTTAATTTTTTTATATTTTTAAATAGATTAATGATTAATTAATTATTTTAATTTTAATTTAAAATTATTTTTATTATATAATAATAATTTTTATCGATACATTTTTAGTTATTTACTAATTATATTCTTCTTAAATTCTTGTGTTTACAATAAAAAAGATGCCGTATGGACGGATAGAGTAATTGTTAAGTTTATTGTTATAATGCATATTGTTGAATTATCCTATGATCTATTTCTATTCTAACCTATTAAACTCATGTGAATTGGCCCAAAAACTTGTGATCCGGCCCACAACTCCACCCGATATCAGTGAGAGTAAATCTGAGCCGTCTATTTATGTATCTAGATTTAATGAAGGCCGTTGATCCTTCTGATACACTATCATATTTGTCTCTAATTTTTATTTTTTTTATTTTTTTTTTATAATATGGAAATCTGCAGTTGCTACCTGAGTTTTCATGAATTTCATTTTACAGCACATGTAATATGTTTATTTTTTTAAAAAAAAAAAACAATTATTTCTATTTGATTTAGATATATAATGACAATATATATTTTTGTATCTGATATTCTTGTGAAGTATGCTCATTTATTATAATAACAATAATTTGTATCAATTGACTATTTAGTTTTAATATAATTTATAATGACATATATATAGCTAGGTAATCATTCTTAAATGAAAACTAATAAAAAGTTGAATTGAATTTGTTTGTATAATTATCTCTTATTAATACATACATGTATATATATATATACATGTATTCTCCATTAATTTATTTTTACAGAAAGAGTCGTATATTACAATTCCAATGTTGAATTTGTTGTACCTAAATTTATTTTTGTATCAAATGAATACACAATTCCATGGATGATAGAGTGAGTATTAAATATTTAATTATTAATTATAATTCTATTTTATAATTTATTAATTATAATTAATTGAAAGAAAATAAATTTATTAAAAAAAAAAACACAAACACGCGTCCTTGTATGAGTATGATCGAAATGTGAATTGTGTGGTATGTAACTAAAACAGAGGCAAAGAAAAAAACCAACGGCTAAGGACGGAAAGTCAAAAGTCTGGTAATGGAAGTCAACCACCATGGCTTCTTTGCTTTTTGACCCATTTTACAAAGTCGTCTCCTTTTATTATAGAATTATTTTTATGTATTTTTTTTATTAATAAAAGTCATCCCTCTTACCTGCATGTGAATTACTTCATTCCTTAATTAATTCCGTGGCTTCTTATTTGGAGAAATACCAAAACAAATATTAGGCTCTCCTACATGTGACTCACAATATAATTATCCTTTCATTCCATAAATATAGTTTTAATTGGGCTAAGCACGGAATTTAAAAAATATTGATATTATATTGGTAGTTAGTAAAAAGTATGAATAAAAAAAAAATTGCTCTTATGGGTGTATTACAGTAAAACTTGTGTAATAAAAATAAAATAAAAAATAAAAAATAATTTTATGATGATATGGTTATTTATTAAAATAAAACTATTATTTTAGGACGAAAAGAATATCTAATTTTGTAACACGGTAACACATCAAATGAAATATTTTGCAAGTGAAAAATATGATTTACTAGAATTACATGTTTAATTATTATTATTATTATATTAGATCTAGTTTTGATCTCATATTATTTTATCAATTTCTTCCATCTCAAAGTCATCAAATAAAACATATTTTTTATTACTATATTACAAAATAATAACTTTTCTATTAAACTAGTCTAAATTGCACAAAATTCACCTGTGGTTTTACGAAATTGCGCCAAATCCCTTATACTTTTAAAACTGCGTCAAATTCTTTCGTGGTTTCATAAACTCTGCATCTAACCCCTCGACAGTTCTTATTTAACGGTATTTGACCTAAATGTGAACTGCGAATAAATTTTAAAATTCCAATTTCTAAACTCCTAAAATTACAAATATATTTATTTATTTTTATATTTAGCCTAAAAAAACAGTAAAAATAAACTTTTAAAACCTGAGAAAAAAATTTATTTTTTAGTATATTTACTATTTTTAAGCTAAATATAAAAAAAAAGAATATATTTGTAATTCTAAGGGTTTATAAATTGAGATTCTAAAATTTATTAGCAGTTTGGACGCATTTAGATCAAATACCATTAAATAAAGACTATTAAGAGGATTAGACGCATAATTTATAAAAAATTTTATGCAAATTAGCATTTAAACTATTATATTAAGTATTTATTTATATTGTATGAAATATTATATTTATGAGTATGTTAAGTGGCAGAATCAATCCTGAAAATTGAGAAAGTTGACGATCAATTTACTACTACCAATATGATGTCAATTCTTTTTAGTATAACAATAGCATGTGAAGAAAAAATAAAATAAAATATAATATAATAATAAATTTATAATTGTACCAATACTCTACAATTAAACATAATTTTATAAAAAATAAATAAATAAAAATTGGGAGCAGCACCTCTTGGGCCTAGGTAGGTCTGTCACTGGGTGTGTTTGTTTGGATTTTTTTAAAAACTTTCACTATTTAATACTCCCTCCGTCCTCCATACCATGTCCACATTACCATTTCTATCCGTCCCACATACTATGTTACTTTCATTTTTTGGAAAATGATTATACACTTTAATCTCATTTTAAACTTTTTTATTTTATTTTTATTTTTAATTTTAATTAAACTAATTAGTTATCTTAATCTTAATTTATAATTATTTATATTATAGGATAATTGTTTTCACTAATACATTCTTAATTATCTACTAATTATACTTCTTCTAAAATACCGTGTCTACAGTATAGCACACAAGATATATGGGATGGAGGTAGTAATATTTTTTTTAAGGATAAAATAGGCTTTTGGTGAGAGAGATGTAAGAGTTTAGAATCGCTTCTATTATATTTATTTGTTTGTTTTTCTAAATATAATTAGATTTCAAGAATATGTAATGAATATTACTTATAGATTATATACAAAAATGTATCACAGTAGATTTATTTAAAATGTATTCAGGGTGTGTTTGTTTGGATGATTGGATTGGATTTATACTATTCATTCAATTTTTTTCCCCCAAAAATATCAAATCAAACACCTATTTTTCATTTTTTATATTATACTAAAAATTGATTTTGCATTCAAAACATTACATCAACCCCTATTTATATCTCAACATACAACTATTCAAATTCAAAAATTTTTACTATTCAAATCTAAAGTCAAAATCTAAACCCCCATACAAACACACCTATAATATATATATATATTCTTCTAACAATCCGACCTTTATATATTTAAACCGGAGATTAATAATATAATGTGCGCGTGTGTAAACATCAGGCACCGTTAGTTAGTCCTCATTAATTTGGCGGCTACCAACTTTACCATATGATTGTCATAATGTCCAATTGAATTTAATCATAACATATTATTATTATTATTATTATTATTATTATTATTATTATTATTATTATTATTATTATTCAATTTATATGAGGAAATGTACCCAATTCAACCCAACTTCAAACGTACGTTTATATATTGGTGTCAACCCATCTAATCCAAATGTTAAAATAGATATCATTTTATATAAATTCATAGTTAGTGTAAAATCTACTTAAATTAAATAGAATTTTGATATAATAGTTTATAAGATAAAATAATATATTTTTATTAAAAAATATACCCAATAAATATATATAATATTTATTTCACTTTAAAATCATAAAATAACAATCCCCAAATATTCCAATTGTGTGTATATGTAAATAGGCTTATTGGTCAAGAACTAACTCTGATTTTACTTTATTAGGTCCAACTAAATACATTTGCTGTAAAGTAAAAAATAAAATAAAATAAAAAACTACAGCTGACTAAATTATCAAATTAATTTTATTTTTTTCAAACATTTGAAATAGGGTTTTTGGTTATCACTGCTGTTTCTACGTGGGTTTATGTTATGTGTATGTTTTTATTTAAAAATAATTTATGAATTCCTTACGGGAATGTCTGGTCGTGACTTTTTGGCCTAACATAAATATACATTGAAAGTTAGTTAAATTTCTTGAGCTTTTACATTACAAATTCCATCATTGAAAACCACTTTATTTGTTTGAATTTATTTTAATTTATAGTATATTTTAGTTATTTTTATTTATATTGTGGCAAAATTTTATGTAGCATTAAATTATTTTAGGACTTAGGACTTTATATCAAATTCAATGAAAGTCTGCTAAAATTAGAAGTAGGCAAATTAAATATCGAAAAAAATAGTTGAACCTCTTAATTGAATTGAATCAATGTATTTCTTGGTTAATTATTTTTATACAAAATGTGTTTAGAGGTATATATATATAATTATATATATATGTGTGTGTTTGGTTGAACAATAATTTGGATATTATATTTTATGAAAGTGAACAGTGTATTTTTATTAAAAAAACTGTGATAATTGAATAATAGAAAAAATTATCAAATAAACATTTTGTTCAATTTGATTTAGTGTTGATTTTTAATAATTTTCTTTTCATCAATTAATCAAGCTTAATTATTTTGTTAAATATAAAAATTTATATTAATAAATATTTGATTATATTAAATAAAATAAATTACAATATTTATTTCATATCTCTAGCAGAGTCTAGTCTATTACTCTATCCCATCTAAATTTATGCTCTTTTTTTTTTTTTTTTTTTTTAATGTCGTATACATATATTTTTAGCAAAAAAAAACACTAATTTTTTTGATTTTTTTTACTATAAAAAATAAAAAAAAGTAAGAATTATTACTATATTATATTTTAAAAAATATATTAATAAATATATTTTACTATTATAATAGTATTATCATATTATGTGAATTAATAATTTCAATTTGATTATTACTATTTTATATTTTAAAAAACAAATACGACTCATAAAGGACAAACTCTGTTTACTTTATGATTTTCCCCTATTTTCTTCACAATTTACTATTTAACGCGCATAAAAAAGAAAAAAGCACTAAGTAAAAGCACCCAATATAGTTTATCATTTTCAATAGGTTATCAAGATTTTAAAAACTTTCTACTATTTAAATTTTACATTAAAAAATATTATATTCAAATCATAATTCAAATTTAAAACTAAAATTAACAAAAAAAAAATGCCAAAACGGATATTTTACTTTTAAATGATATTTTAATAATTTTATTTATTTATTTAACCTTTTTTAGTATATTTTTATAAAAAAAAATTATAAATTCACAGAAGTTTTTAAGATTAAAAATAGCAGCATTCTATATTATTATTATTATTATTAAATGATTCTATAATTACAGAACTCCAAATTATATTATTTGTAATAAAGTGCAATAAATTTAACTTAATGCGATAAAGGGGACATTATTAGAATTTAGATTACGTGTAAAGAACTTAGGGTGTGTTTGTTTGACGGTTTGAATTTTGAGTTGGGATTTGAATAGTAAAAATTTTGAATTTGAATAGTTGTATGATGTGATATAAATAGGTGTTGATGTGATGTTTTGAATGTAAAATTGATTTTTAGTATAATATAAAAAATGAAAATAGGTGTTTGATTTGATTTTTTTTAAGGGGAAAAAATAGGATGAATAGTGAAAATCCAAACAAATCCCTCAAACAAACACACCCTTAGAAGAAAAATAAATATTTTATCTGTCGTTTAAATTTATATTCACTTTTATATTTAGATTGTCATAAAAAAAAAAAATTATTTCTTTTTTAAATAAAAAACTAATACAATTTTTTATTTTTTTATTATAAAAATAATAATTATTATTTATCTTCATTAAAACTATAAAACTATAATAAAAAACTAAAACTATTTATCTTCCATGGCGAAATATTAATGGGAAGTAGTTTGGGAAGCGTCACTATTTCCTCAATGTTATTAGATCTGAGATGTCCACCAATCATATGTCGCAACGTGTACCATTATAAGACCAAAAAAAAACTACGTGTATTGTGCACCAACGTCTCGTAAGCTGCGCCGTACAAGTTGAGCCGGCTCGGACACGTTCGGCGAGTCAGCGCCGAGCCGTTGAAGCCGGCTCCTTTTTCCGCCTATATATAGGGAGCGGTTACCGATTCCAGTGGGTCACAGATTTCTCGTGCGACGCCGACCCGGGAGAGAGGGGAAGAGAAACGGTTATCGTCGTTTGCACTTCCGATCGTCATCATCATTGCCGCGAGACGTTGAGACGGATCAGAAATGGTGATGATCGATCAGTACATTCTCGGCGGTTTCGTTGCGTCCTTGTTTGGATTCGTGTTGTTGTACAATTTGCGAAGGAATGTACGGAGGACCAAGGTATCGAAGGCTGTGCGTAAAAATGAAAGCGTAAAGGGCTCCGCCGCTGGCGGCGGACGGACGGTGGATGACGGTGGAGATGCCGACATTATCATCGTCGGTGCTGGTGTTGCAGGAGCTGCTCTGGCTTACACCCTTGGGAAGGTAAAAAAAAAAAAAAGTTTGAAAAATAATTTCATTTTTTTCTTTCGCCTTAAAATATTCTTAATTCGCATGACCTCAAGAATAGAAATCTTGTATTCGTTTTGATGTGGAATAAATGTGTTTAATCTGTTTTTTTTGTATTCGTTTTCTGTAGATATTCGATGCCTTACAGGTGTTTTCTCGTGCTATTTACGCTTTACAGTTTATTTGCTTATGAAACAGCAACATCTTCCTGAAAAATGAAAAAATGAAACTTCAAAGTAACATAGTACTACTATTGTATTCGTATATCTTCGCATTCAATAATGATTTCCTTGTAAGTTTGGAAAGGGAACAACGTGAAGATGGTATTGTTAACGTAGCGACCTTGTAGAAGTTAAAATATTTTAGGGGTAGTGGATGTCATTTTTCTAAATTGAACAAAACGGTGGAAGGGAAATGAGGAGATCCCTGATTTAAACGTCACTATATTCGATTAGATCTCCCTCGTGAATAAATTTATGTGTTCTAAGTTACAATTTTGTCCAGTAGTTGAGGTCGATTGATTCCACCTCAAGGATCTGAGTTTCATGTTCAATCGTCAAGAATTTTTTATATATTCAAATGAACAGTCGCAATTTGACTTCTCAGAAATTATATAAATTCCTATACTGTGTTTGCACTGTAGCGTGTTACTAATTTTTCCCATTGATTGTCTCCAAATCCAATCAGCAGTGATTTTGCGTTAGACGTTTCCTCTTTTGTCAGTATTAGCTGGAAATCCAAACTTCTAATCAATATGAACATAGCCAAGGAAAACTGAGTCTGATTGTTCTTACATACGTGGATGCACCAAATTGTGTAGTTTGTCAAAGACTATCAATGATGTTGCTATTAGTCAGATTATCATCAACTTAATTGCTCTGGCCTAATTCTAGGAGGGACGCAGAGTTCATGTCATTGAAAGGGACTTAGCAGAGCCAGATCGTATAGTGGGAGAGCTTCTACAGCCAGGAGGGTATTTGAAATTGATTGAGTTAGGCCTTGAAGGTATGCAGGATCCGAAAGTTCCAACTTCCAACTGAATATTTATGCCTATAAATGCCTTTTGTTGCATTTATTAGACGGCTAGGTCCACAACAATTAGCAGCTGTCAATGTTTGGCAGCTATATTGAATCTGTGCCATAGTTGGTTGTGATCTGATTAATTTCGATGACTATGTGTGCAGATTGTGTGACAGATATTGATGCTCAGCGAGTCTTTGGCTATGCCCTTTACATGAATGGACAACACGCCAAGTTATCTTATCCCTTGGAGAAGTTTGATTCGGACGTGTCGGGAAGAAGCTTCCATAATGGTCGATTCATACAGAGGATGAGGGAAAAGGCAGCAACACTTCCAAAGTATAATTCAAAGCTCAACCATATTTTTTTACCTTCACAGTTAACTGCAATTTTTATTCATACAAATGGAAAGAAATATCTTGGTATTCTATAATGACTTGAAATTGGGTAAAAACTAAAGCTTTTTACTTACTGCTTGAGTGTTTTTTGCAGTGTTAGACTTGAACAGGGAACAGTAATATCCTTGGTTGAAAAAAGGGGAATTGTTAAAGGAGTAAGATACAAGACTAAGAATGGTGCAGAGGTAACTTCATCTGCTCCTCTCACCATTGTTTGTGATGGCTGCTTTTCAAACTTGAGGCGCTCCCTTTGCACACCTCAGGTGACTGCTTATTAAATTAGTGTTCTTTATTGACTGATTAGTGTTGTTCAAGAAGTCCTAAAAATGTCGCAATTAACATTCATTCTGTGTTTGTTCTGCCTTTTAATGCCAGGTTGACATCCCATCTTGTTTTGTTGGCCTACTCCTAGAAAATGCTGAACTCCCATTTCCTAATCATGGGCATGTTATTCTCGGAGATCCTTCACCCATCTTATTCTATCAAATCAGCACCACGGAAACTCGCTGTTTGGTTGATGTCCCTGGGAAGAGAGTACCTTCCATCGCCAATGGTGAAATGGCTACTTATTTGAAGACTTTTGTAGCTCCTCAGGTACTACATTAAGTTCCTTTATTTCATAAGGATTGGAACAGAATGCAATTAATTGATTATTCAAAATCCTGACACAAACGTTGCTTCTTCTTCAGATTCCTCCCCAGATACGAAAGGCATTTGTGGCTGCGGTCGAGAAAGGAAATATTCGCACCATGCCAAACAGAAGCATGCCGGCCAATCCTCATCCGACGCCGGGTGCACTCCTAATGGGAGATGCATTCAACATGCGCCATCCCTTAACAGGAGGAGGAATGACCGTCGCCCTATCAGACATTGTTCTCCTCCGCAATCTTCTTGGACCTATTCAAGATTTAAGCGATGCACGAGCCCTTTGCAAATACCTCGAATCCTTCTATACCTTAAGAAAGGTAAAAGAAAAAAGCTCATCACAAACATATGATATGATCAAACTCAAAAAATAGAAGCTCGACATAACATATAGAGTTGTCCTCGTGCAGCCAGCAGCATCCACCATTAATACATTGGCGGGAGCACTTTACAAAGTCTTCTGCGCATCGCCTGATCCAGCAAGAAACGAGATGCGGCAAGCTTGTTTTGACTATCTAAGCATGGGAGGCATGTTTGCCAATGGCCCTATCTCCTTGCTTTCTGGTCTGAACACGAAGCCTTTGACCCTCTTCTTCCATTTCTTCGCGGTGGCTGTGTACGGGGTCGGCCGGCTTATGCTTCCATACCCGTCTCCACGAAGAGTGTGGCTCGGCGCCAGATTGCTTTCAGTGAGCCTCCCTTCTCTCGAATATCATATTGTATCGTATCATATTATATATATATATATATATGTATATTAAGGTGGTGTGGTTGAATGGTGGTGCAGGGTGCATCTGGGATTATATTCCCAATACTAAAAGCAGAGGGAATCAGGCAGATGTTCTTCCCAGCAACTGTGGCAGCCTACTACAGAGCTCCTCCCTCTTAGTGAGATCATTATTGATTGGTACAACACTTGTTTCCACTCGTTATTGTTATTATTACTATTATTATTATCATTGTTGTTGTTGTCATGGTTTAATTTTTTACACTTGGGAAGAAATTATGAGGAAAAGGATATTATATAGTACCATCATCATCATCTTCCCGGTAGTTTGCATAATTTGTTGGATCTATAAAAGTAAACTCTAGGGGTTGTAACTGTATCTGGAACTGTAAAGCATTTTTTAATCTTCTTGTATGGTATGGTGCATGTGGAAGTTACAATGAATGAAGTTCGGAAATGTCTCTTTCTGTGTCTTTTTTATTTTTTACATGACGTGAGAATCCGCACTGGGCAAACTAAGCTCAACATGCAAGTCACAATCGGCGAACTATTTGTGGCAAGTGACCTGAGGCGTGGGGGCCCAAGACCTCACACGCCACCACCGGGATGTCCTAGGACCCCTTTCTATTTTCATATTTAATCGGCAGAGTGCCAATTATGCAAATAATATATAAATTAACAATATATAAAAGTGTATAATTGAATGCTTTACTTATTAAATTTTTTTTTTTTTATATGAAAGGTGAATTTGGAGAGAGAGTGTTTTCTGAAATTTTATTTCAGTTTTTTACTCATCATTTTTAGTAAAATTATATTATTTTATTTGTCCACCAAATTTATGTATGTATTTTTAATTTATAACAAACTAACTATTACATTACACACTTGGTTTTATTATCATGCACTTTCTAATGCTCTTAACTCTGAGGAATACAAGGTTTGTGTCATTTGTAGTCATATATTATTTGAATTTAGTTTGATTGATTAAGATGTGAGAATGTGTAATACATAGAGAAATGTTGTTATTAATTGTGCAAATTAAATTTAAAAAGTAACATTGGTACATTTGCAGCTTTCTATTGAAGTTGTGGTGAAGAATTCATATTCATATCAATAAATATGAATGCTCTATGATCCATAAAAATTCATAGTAATTATTTATGTCGATATTGTCGATGATTTATTTTTCCGGAAAATTCTCATTTGTGAAGAGTCCTTATGGGATATTAAAAAGGCATATTCAGGAGGTTGAAAGCATTGCATGAAGTAGTAGCTATAAGCCTATAAAGTTTTTTTTTTTTTTTTTTTTGTGTGTAAATATTACTATGTCATTAATATTGTTGGTAGTAATTATGAGAAACCGGAGAGCCTATACAAGAGCAACCGGTTGCTCTTTACAAAGAACACAATTGGGGTCGATATCAAGAAATTCCAATCTCCCTTTAGTTTTGAGCTTGCCCAAGGTTGTCATCTATTTGTTTGTTAAGTTGTCTGTTTGTCTTAATTGTATTCGTGTTTAAACTAGTTTTGTTGATTATTGTAATCATTCAACTTTTGTGAGTTACTAATATTTTTATGTATATTTGCTTGTGAAAGATAATGGGTTTCTTCACTTAACAATTAGTTTCATTACAATCTTTCAGAAATATATTTTACAAAATATTATATTTAAAAGTATTATTTAGATAAAAAAACTAAAATCAAATTAATAATAATAATAAAAAAAATACAAATTACGGTTGGACTTCTGTATTTTCACCAATCAATATTTGTTACTTATTCTGTCCAATAACTTAGCATAATTTGCTATGGCGCAAAACAAAAACATAAATATTTTTATTGAAAAAGAATAAAAGAAGTCAAAAGATATTTGATAATATTTTTTAAAATTTAGTTAAAAATAAAAAAATAATAATATAATAAAATCAATGATATTTATTGTTAATAAATTTTAAATAAAGGATAATAGTTTTGTCAAAATTATTAATCGGCTAAATTTAATTGAACATACTAAAAAAAAAAATAAAATAAAAATAAATATATCATAAAATTATTTCAATTCAAATTTCTTATTATTCAAATTTCAGTCTAAAATTCAAACTCATAAACAAACCCACTCTATATTGGTGATGAAGAATCACATAATCCGTCGACCTATTAATTACTTACTGTTTACGGATAATACCAATCAGTTACCTAACAAACACTTTGTTTGGGGATTGAATTTTCAATCCACTATTCATCCTATTTTTTTCCCAAAAAAACATCAAATTAAACACATATTTTTAACACCTATTTATATCACATCATACAACTATTCAAATTCAAAATTTTTACTATTTAAATCTCAACTCAAAATCCAAACCCCCGAACAAACACACCCGGGTCATTTTCAATCAAACTTATGAGATACAATATGACTTCTTATTATACTATTGCAACATTTTGCATGTGCAACAACCACAAACACACCAAAAAAAAAAAAAAACCAACAATAAAAATAAATTCAAATAATAATAATAATAATAACCTTAATGGCGTTATTAAGGCAACTAAGCTAAACACCACAGCAGGTTTAGGCCTTAATTACCCCAAATTGTATTATTAAATAAACCTCTTCATTACCACATGTGCTTTTGTCTCTTCCTTCTACTCCAAATGCTGCTTTGCTTAACAAATCTCTTACATACATTATTATCATTATCTGTATCTATATATTTATATCTATCTTATTGCATCAACCTACGCCTCTATAATTTGCCCAAACTAAATTTTTTTATCAAAGCTACACTCTACACCTAATCTAATCTTAATTTAATCTTAATCTATTTCGAACAAAAACACACATATTTATTTGCTCTATGTGTAACGCTGAACTCTTCAATAACCAACTATAATTAGTTATTTTAGTGAGCAAAACAAAAACGCATGAATTAAATAATAGGAGTAGCAACAATAATTATTAAAAATACATACTCCTATTCTTTAAAATTTAATGTACTCAGCGAAAACGCATTACTCGGATTGGACCCACGAATTCCGCCTGCCATAATCCCAACTCCCGGGAACTCAGCTCCAAAACGAATCCAAACCACCGAACTCAGCAAAAATTTGATCCGACCTGTTTCACCTTTGTAGGTTTGAGTTGAAATTTTTGATCCAATTAATAATTGAATTTAATTTATTTAATCAATTTAATGAAATGAGTCAGATTTAAATTCAAAATTTCAACCTGAAAATAATATGTTTAATTTTATAAAAATAAAATAAAATTTAAGCTAACATTTTATAAAATAAGAATTAAACAAATGATTGTGTTGCGTACGATTATAAAGTGTTTGTAAATTCGACTCTTTGAAATTGGTTTTAATGATACAAACAAATAGTTTTTGTTTTAATATGTATATATATATATTATGCATTTGAAAATTTTGTTAATAGAAATTAAAATTTTAAATTAAAATTTAAAAAATTTAGACTTAAATCGATTATATAGATCGAATTCAATTAATAAAAGATCATATTAAGATTGTATATATTAACCGTCTAATTAAATGAGTTTTGTTCAAATAAAATTTTTTCTAATGGTCTGTATAACAGCAACAATAATTCTGGTGCGAAGGTCCCTGGCGTCGCTAAAATGTCTACAGACCTACCTCCCTCTGGTAAAGAAAAGCCGCAGCCTCCCTTTCTTCCTCCAGCCTCGATTCGCTTTCATAGAGTGAGAGAGACACAGTTTCTCTCTCTAAAGATTCGTTTTGACGCTGGATAACGCTCACACCACTTTCTCCTCAACGCTTTTTGCACTCGCTCACTGTTCAGTAGCAGCATCTTTTTGCTCATCTTCATCTTCTTCGTCTTCATCTAATCTATGGCGGAGCAACCCTTCTTCTTCTTCCTAATTTCACCTTTCATTATATCCATCTAATTCCTATTTCCAGATTTCGCACCACCATGGACAAAAACAAGCCCCAAGGAAGCTTTTTCGCGGAGGTCCGGAGGAGCCTCTCGCCGTTCCGCCGGAGAAGAAAGGACCCCGCCGATCCGGACCCTCTAATCGCAAGGTCCGGCAGCCTCCGCCCGGCGGGGGAAGCTCTCACGCCGCTAATGGAAGGCCCGGACTCCGACGGCCCGGAAAACGAGATCGGAGGGTCGAAACGCGTCGGGTCAGGATTCGGGGAATGGGTCCGGACCCAGCTCAGCCGTAAAGCCCCTCCGGCTCTCCTCGCCGCCGATGAGAATGGGCTCGGCTGTAACCGGTCCGACCTCCGGCTCCTCCTCGGCGTCATGGGCGCCCCCCTCGCCCCCGTCCACGTCACCACCGCCGACCCCTTACCCCATCTCAGCATCAAGAGCACACCCATTGTACGCCCCCCCAAAATTTATAAAATAGCAAATTTATTTCTCTAATTTTTTATTTTATTATTATTTTTTTTAATTTAAAATTATTGAACTCTTCTTCGTTCATATTTGGATAGGAAACTTCGTCGGCGCAGTACATACTGCAGCAATACACAGCTGCTTGCGGGGGACTAAAGCTCCAGGCCACCATAAAAAACGCCTACACCATGGGAAAGCTAAGAATGGTAGCAACAGCATTCGAATCCGCCGCAAAAGTAGTCGTAAAGAGCCGGAGTCCATCTCGAGCCGCCGACTCCGGCGGATTCGTCCTGTGGCAGATGAATCCCGACATGTGGTACGTCGAGCTCGCCGTCGGCGGCAGCAAAGTCCACGCCGGCTGCAACGGCAAGCTCGTCTGGCGTCACACTCCCTGGCTCGGCTCCCACACCGCCAAAGGCCCCGTCCGGCCCCTCCGCCGCGCCCTGCAGGTCGTCCATAACCAAAATCAACGAAAGTGGTAGAACATATATAATCTGAAAATTGAATTTCGTGGTGCAGGGGCTCGATCCGAGAACAACAGCCTGTATGTTCGGGGACGCGATCTGCGTGGGGGAGAAGATCGTCGGCGGCGAGGAGTGTTTCGTGCTGAAAGTGGCGGCGGATCACCGGACATTGCAGGGGAGGAGCGAAGGTCCAGCGGAGATAATAAGGCACGTGCTGTTCGGGTATTTCAGCCAGAAGACAGGGCTGCTGGTTCACATGGAGGATTCGCATCTAACCAGGATTCAATCCAACGGCGGGGACGTGGTGTATTGGGAGACGACGATCAACTCCTTCCTCGACGACTACAGAGCTGTGGATGGAGTGATGATCGCCCATTCCGGGCGATCCGTGGTGACCCTTTTCCGATTCGGGGAGACGGCAATGAGCCACACCACGACGAGGATGGAGGAAGCTTGGACGATTGAGGAGGTCGCGTTTAATGTCCCCGGATTGTCGCCGGAGTGCTTCATCCCTCCGGCGGATTTGGGGTCGGAAAGAGGAGGGCGATTGAAGATTAGCGAGGAGAGTTGGAAGATGGAAATTTGACACCAAATGTTCTTGTTGATACCCTAAACAAACAAACTTATCTTCCGTAGGGATGCCATTGTTGTAATTTTTCTAACAGAGTTAAGGTGAATTTGTTGGTAGGGATGGAGTATTACTAGAAGAAATGGAGGGGTCTTCGTTTGTTTTTTTTTTTGTGAAGTTCTTGAACCTCCCTGCAATCTTTTGAGTTCTAACCTATCCTGTCCTATACAAGGAAGGGAATAATGCAGAATATGTTGTTGGTTTTAGTTTTAATCTTGGAGTTGGTTTTGTTTTTTTTTTTATAGATATTTTTCATATTTAAGAATGACGTCATCAATAAATAGGTAGTGCTGGGTGCTAGGGTGTTGGCCTAATAAATAATCGAATATTAATAATAACTGTAATACTGTTTTTAATTAAGTACGGTTACAGTACGCCTTTTAATGCAAAAGCGCGTTTCTGGGTGGGTATTGTCAAAGTAGGATTGGTTTCTTTTAGTTGTGGAACAAAGCCACGTGGTTTTCAACACCACCCACCCTCCCACCCTCTTCTCTCTACATTTTTTTTTTTTTATTATTTATTTATTTTTAAATATCGTAATATAAGTCCTTTTCCAGCTACAAACTCATTTAAGTGTATAATTTTCAATTTCATTTGCTACTCTTATTATCAACTATTCTTTCACTGGCTTTAAAAAAAAATATTTTATGGGCCCCGCCCCACCCCACCTGGGAGAGAAAGATTCTTACCTTGCCCTGAATCTTTACATCAGATCTGTATATTATTTTTCAATACTTCAAATGTAAAAATAATTATACTGTTACTCAATCAAGTTAAGAGTATATTTGACTGTATTTTCGACCTAACCAGATATAGAAAGGATTTCTTATTTTCACTAAAATTAGTAAGTGCAAAGAAATCTATAATATTTTTGACCTGTGATATAAAACAAAATAGTGGATTTTGCCAATATGCAAATTTTTACAATAATATCTACTTTTTCCAAAAGTGCACAAGGAGTGAGCACACTTTAGTATTACATTTTAAATATTTCTTCTCATTCAAATTATTAAAATCAAAATGATATTTATTTAAAACATTACAAAACAAATCGTTATATCAAACAAAGTTTATTAGAACAATATATATTAAGCTAAATGATACGCAAAATTAAATTTATTGAACAACATACTATAGTATAATAAATTAAAACACTGAAACCTATAAAAAAAATAAAATCACATGTATGGTTTTTAGTTAATTAAAGATGATGTTTGATCTACAAAGTAATAATACAACAATTAGCTGGTTGGTTCTTTTTGTTTATAATTTTGGACCCTTGTCTGATATAGTTACTACGTGGTCCTCAAAAATAATCAATCATCTATTTAATTAAAAAATACGACCACATTATAATATATATATATATATATATATTACTACTCTAATTTTGGACCGTTGGTTGGTTAGATTCGAGCAAGCCTCGCATAACACAGACACTAAAACAAACAAACAAATAAATGCGGCCACACTAATAAGTATATTATGTGCTTTTAATATTTGTATTGCATTGGCATTATATTATTATAAATAAATATATTTTTTTATATATGGACGTCTTTGGCAATTAATTGATAGCTGTTAGCTGATTCAATTAGTTGGTTTGACTAGCTGATTCGATTAGCTGTTTGTATTAACATGTTTGGTAAAACAACTGTTTAATATTAGCTGTTTATACGTAAAATGACAATTAAAGACATTTATATTTTATTCTTGTTTCTAATATATATTCAATTATGTTCTTTTGAGTTTAGAATGTTTAAAATTTTTTGTTATTAGTTATTGAAAATTGTAAAAGTGTTATAAAAGTATTTATTTTTATTACAGTTAGATTTAAAAAATAATATATTTTTATTAAAATATATAAATAGTTTTTTTTATTGAAAATGAAGTAAAATATAAAATAATAAATTTTTCGTGTATATATTTATTATGTTAGTTATCGATTAGTTCATATATTTATAATTTTCAATAAATTTAATTTATTTAATTTATTTTTAGTATAAAATTTATATAATGTAATTTTAATAAAAAAAAATAAATTATTAATATTTATATTTTTTATTTTATGTTGATTTTATAAATTTATATATTTTACAATTAAAATAATTTTTATATAAAAATTAATTATTTTAAATTTATAAAAGTAAAACTATAATATAATTAATAAATAATCAAAATATATTTATTTGTGTAAAATGTATAATAAATTTTTAAGGGCTTATAAGGAATAAAAAATTTTTTACAGAAAAAACTATTTCAAAACATGGGTAAACTTTTCAGAAATTAACTTTTTGACTGGTCAAAAACTGTTCAATAAGCTAAAAATGTTCAAAAAACTATTTGCCAAACACCCCATAGACATAATGACAACATGACTACGAGATGTCTGGTTAAGGGAACATAGCATATAAAATAATTAATTTTTTATTTAAAATATCGTATCAAATGTTATTTTAATTTAAATATTATTTACTATTTCCGGACCCGAAATACAAATAAAGGAACGGACTAAAACAATGTTTTTCGAAATCATTAATTAAATGATACCCACAAATCTATCTATCTAAACTAAAATAAAATAAAAAAGTGCAATAAAATCTTGAATAGGTTGGAACAATATCCGATCATGTTCTGTCCTGAATCTTTGAATAAACAAAAGCTGTGTCATATTCTTATTATTTTTATTAATGTCTGGATTCCTTCTTCATCGATCTTATCTATCATCAGATTCACAACCCACCATTACCATTACCATTAGCATTGCCATCCATAACTGTACCATACCACATCACACCTAACCTAACCTAACCTAAAAGGATTCCATATAGTGGACTAATAAATGCTACTAGTAACTAATGGTATTTCTCACACAGCTTTTTACCACATTTTAGAATTTAAATAATATTTCATCATTTCTTTTTTTTTTTTTTTTTTTTTTTTGTTGTTATCTAAATTTATTTTTATTTTTTTAGTAAAATAATGCTACTTTTTTGTTTTTTTTTTTTTAACAAAAAAAAAATTATATTTTAATCTATTTTACTTAAAATGGCTGGTTAAATGAGCACACAATTGTATAACAGTAAGAGTATTAATGTTATAAGATTAAATATTACCCATACCACATGGTAACACGCTCCCCGTCTTTGCTTAGAAGACGAAGATAGTTGTTTGATTCTCTGAGTGTGAGTTTGATATAGAAACTTGATAACAGATAAATAAAAATATTTTTACTTTTTTGTTTGTTTGAATCAAATAAGTAGAAGTTGAGAAATAAGTGTTGTAATATTATTATTTTTTTAATATTTTTATTTCTTTATACTATCTAATTTTTATAATTTTTTAAATTATATTATTTAAGTTTTTAAAAAATCACATTAAATTCATTATTTTTTTATTTAATTTTTCCAATTTTTTTATACTAAGTATTTTTTTAAAAAAAAAATCAACAAAAATACTTTATAATGAATTCTCATTTATTAAAATTTTCATCCAGTCTTATTAATTATTTATTATTGTTCGATCCATTCATAGTTGTTTTTTTTTTATATTTCTCTAATTAATTTTCTATTTTACAATATTTAATTCTTATTCCTTGTTCAATTCTTTATTTTTTTTTTTTTTCTGCAATTTCATTCTCTATTGTCATTTCTCTTCAATTTCATTTTCTCAGTACCATACGTCCATATTCGCTTTAACTTAATTAGGGAGTCTGGGACTTCACATATATATGTCAAGTGTCATTTCTCAATAAATAACCTTAAATTATTATATGAGATAATACATACACGTCACAGCTGCATGGAGAAGCCATTGATCTGAGCAATACATCATTAAGGAACATTCATATAGTAGTAGAAGTTTTTACAATTTTGAAAAAAAATTAAATAATTTATTAAATATTAAAAAAATTAAAAACAAAAAACTATCAGTACTGCATGACTGTAGTGTCTATAAACAAACTGGCCTAGGTACTATCTACACATAGAATTTCACTTAAAAAACCAATACATTATTTTTCAGTAGTGTCGGTGACGAAATAAAAAAAAATGATAATAATAATAATAATAATAAAAGGAGTTGCGTGGTTTAGGCGATCCCGGGTGTGCAACACCAGATAGAGATCACCGCCATTTAAGTTCACCCACAATTCATTGTCTTTATAACGCGCGTTTGGGAGCTAGCTAGCTACTAGCTAAGCTAATCGAAAGCTAATTTTATGCTTCAAATTCCACATGAAATTCTAACCTATAATAAATACTAATACTCTCTAGTATGAGTAGAAAAACTGTCGGTAGAGGAATGGAGAGTGGTGGCGTATTAAATGAGCCTAAATTAATTTTTTATTTTTATTTTTATTTTTATTTTTATTTTTTTAGCTATGAATTAAATTAAATGAAATTGTGGTAAGGAATCTGCAGTAAAGTGACCACGCTGGGTCATGAGTCCACATACTCACTCAACCTGACACATGCATAGATTTAGCTTTGCCCATTTTGGCAATTACCATTCTTTTCTATTCCGTAACAATTTTTATTTTTATTTTTATTTTTTTTAAATAACTATTCTATCTGCCTAACATTACAAATACTTTTACAATTTACAATATATTACACAAATATCATTACATTTATATCACACAATACTAATACAGTTATTTTAATCATTTCTACTTTATTATTACTACATCTCGATATAATATTAATATTTTTAAAACTTCGCGCAAAAAACAAATAAATGCGTGTGTAGTTATGGGACAGAGATATTATTTCACATGTGCCCAGTGACGAAATTAGTATATATTTCGAGGGTGGTAAAATGTTATAATTTATTTAATATTTAACTAATAAATTTAAATAAAAAATACTGAAAAAAAATATATATTAATTTAGATAATTTTAGAAAGACAAATTGTATATAAATAAATAAAAATTAATAATTTTAATATTATAAAAAATTGGGCTGGGGTCAATTGCTCCCTCCAAGCCCTAGCGTGGCTTCGTCCTATGCCAGCCAGCCATCTCAAGTAACTCAAGTTTTTTTATTTATAAAATGTAATTCTCGTACCATTCACCTACGTTATTTAAGCTCCTTTTTTCTTGAAATTTTTAAAAAGCAAATTTGTTTATAATTTAATGTGGTTTGGAAAGTTGACACACACTCTTCAGTGATTTAGAAAATGCACAAAATTATTTTGTTTATAAAAATCTCTTGTATATTTTAAAAATATAACATAGAATCCTCTAAAAAGAGAATTTTGTTGAATATTTCAAAATTACAAGAAAGTCTCATAATATTTAAATAATAAAGAAAAATAGAATTTTGTTGAATATTTCAAAATTACAAGAAAGTCGCATAATATTTAGATAATAAAAGAAAATAGTGTAAACTTTTCAAACCATCTTCCTTAATTTTGCCTTTCTAAAATTTTGAAAAAAAAAATGTATTTAATGAAATGCTTTATAAAAAAAAAATTACTGTAGATAAATAACAAGAGTAATAAAAGGTCCAAAAGTATCCATGTAAATAAAACCTTAGACTTTGTTTATTAGGATATTTTTTTTAAAAAAAAGTACACTATTTATCAACATTAATTTTTTTTTAAATATTATATCAAATATATATACTCCTTCCGTACAATTTTTACCATTTTCGTCATTCAACTTCAAAATATTTATTTCCTATTTTAGAAAAAATAATTATATATTAATATAAATATACATTTAATTTTTATTTAAATTACAAATAATATACCAATACACATTCAATTATTTTAGGAATAAAATCAAACGCCAAAAATATCAAAAACTATTACATACTCCAAAAGGGCCCCTTTGATTAACGACTCGGAGTTATTTTACAGATCATCACAATAAATATCAAACTTCTTTTCATAACTTCCTAAGACTTTTATTCAAACTGGCATTATTTGCCCAGGTATCTACCCAGCAACTATAAGGCCCATTACGCAGCTAAAATTGCTAGAGGAAGGATCCTTGTATGGCTATATCTAAGCTAAATTTAACAAGAACAACAAATCTTGGGCCGCCAAATTCGTTGTGGATCAAGAAAGAGTTCTTCACAAGTTTCATCCACTTGCCTAGTTCTGGTTCATATCATTTTGGAACCCCAAACCTCACTTACTCAACAATGGGATATAGATGTAAAAAATTGTAGAAAAACCTCAAATTCACAAAACAGAAGTAGTTAGAAAGTACCTGAGGCAATGAAGCCATTGGAGATGTTAGATCCTGGACAAGAGCAAGGCTAATTCTTCGTCGGGAATCTTGACATCGATGCAGGTTCCAATGGAGGCAGCAAGTCTGGCTGCTAACTGATGCTTACACTGGAATGAACAAAAAGAAAAAAAAGAATCAACAAGCAAATGGATCATCAGGAAAAGAATGTGGGAAATACGAATAAATCGTAGTGCAATTATATTATTTTCTCACACAAAGCTGTTCTCCTCTGTTCACAACGTCGTAGAAGAACGAATAGCAAGCACAATAGTGCTCGGCAAAGCATAGATATTGCTCCTTCCTCTTTGATTCTCCTACAACCTAAGGAAGATCTAACATTAGACCTAAGCACAATACAGCTAGTTCTTGATTAATGAAGTGACTAAGGCTGAGAAATTGAAATGCAAAACAATCGAGGAATTAAAATGAAGCACCTGAAAAACAAAGTGACCGCTAGGTTCACCGGAAATTCTCTTCACGCCTCTCTCATCTACGATCCTTGTTGCTCTCTCGAAATTTTTACCAAACACAAAATGCAATCTGTGGCGATGTAATTCCAGTTTTACCAAGCAGATTGTTTACCATATAGAGATGTAATCACTGAAATATAATTTAATTCTGTCTATGCAGCAATACACTACTCACATGGAGAGGTGATCGTCTGTCACTGTGTGAAACCACAGCCACCATAAACAAACCCGTGGAGTAGATAAAAAAACACAGAGGTTAGAGGCAAAGAAGAGGTTAAATTTCTTTAAAAGTAACTGAAATTAAGTAAACCTGAATGCGTGGATTCGATCTCCTGCCATACCGATTCAGCTACAGATATAGAAATGCTCATCCCAGATCCAAGTCTAATTTAGGCTTTGCAAATGAAATCAAGAATGCAACAATAGGATATCATAAGTATAATAAAAACGATGAAACTCTTCACACGGTTAAAAATCACAAAAAGAAGAATTTCAATTGCATAGTTATTATCGAACCCGAATCGAGCAACTTCTCCCACTTGCATTCCTAGCACACCCTCATCCCATCCTGCACCATTTATAGACCAAATGCAATCCAGGATTAGCGACAAAATCTCCACAAGTGCATCCGAAATTCGTAATCCCAAACACAGAAACACAATCATGTCATTCAAGATCCAGCAACACTCAAGCTAAGCAAGTTTGGTGTAAAAATTGTTGCAAAAAGAGTGACACATCAAGCTGACTTGGTAAGAGAACTTGTTCATCAAATCAAAACTTTATAAATCAATTTTCATGTATTCACAGAACGCAACAGCATAGGGTTTAAAAAAAAAAGAAAAAAGAAAAAAGAAAAGAAGAGAGAATTCGTAATTAAATCCTCAAATCACCCAAAGAAGAATAAACGAAGCACGATCAAACATATCGAAGAGCGAAAACACAACAAATTTTAACAAATATCGAAATCACTTCATTATAATTACCTTTGATAACGCTGCCCTTGCCGATTTTGAAGGTGAAAGGCTGCTGCCCTGGATGATCCAGTGGCGGAGGGAGGGGGGGAGCTGACGGGTGTTGTCCCCCCCCCCCCCCCGACTAATTTATATTTTTTTAATAATATATGTATAATTTTTAAATTTTGAGTGATACCACTTATTAATTTAATAAAAATATTATTATTGTAAATTTATTTAAATATACTATTTAACATTGATCAAAATATTTAAAAAATATATTTTATTAAAAAAATTATATTAAAATATTATTTAAATTATAATTTAAACAAAAAAAATAAACTCAAATAAAAATATAAAAGAAAAAACATTCCTTACTAATTTTTTATTGTTATTATTTACGTTTTTATAAAATATAATAATATACATTATAAAGAATTTTTTTTATTAAAAACGTTTCAATGAAATATACAAACCCAGTCCCCGTGAGTCGCCCTAATTTTTTCACCAAATTTGACGTCTCCGGCTTGCTTACTAACTCACCGATTCATCGTCATTCTTCTTTTCTTTTCAACGCAAGTCGCCGCTCGCAGCTGACGTTCTTCACCCAACATTCTCCGGTGAATTATTGTTGCAAAAAATTTTCGCTATTTAGTGTGTTTGCACTGAGCCAGAGATTAGAAATATTATTTATTGATTTTTTTTTTGGCAATCTGCTATTTGAAACTTCAAGTACAATTTTCAACTTTCAAGGTTTGAAATATAAATATATATATATTTTAAAATATCGGAATAACCGATTTGAACAACAAATCAGTGGTGCAAACTGGAAATTTAGAATTTTCCAAAACAAAAAAATTGAATTTTAAAAAATTCAAAATTCGGTTTCGCATGAATTTAGCTAAGTTGAAAATTTTGCAAATTTAAATTAATTTATTGCTTCTTATATTTTACCGTCTAAAATTATACAAATGTACTTATTTTTCATTTGTTATTTTTATTTTAAACTTTATCTTTTCTTTTCTTATTGAATGAATTAAGATAGTGAAATTGAAGAATATTTTATTATTGAATTATTTTTATTGAAAATTTATATTATTTTTATTTTAAGGTTGCTTATTGAACTATAGCTAAAAATTTGAAAAAAAAAAAATAGATTCTCTTTTCTTAAAAAAAAAAAGAAAAAAAAAAAGACAAACTTATATTGTTGATACCGAATGAGAGTTGGTACCAAATGAAAAAATTTAAAAGTCTTATGATTTGAATAAGGGAAATGAACCTCTGTTAAAGTAAGCATGAGTTGACACGAAACATCAAATATTTATGAATTGAAAGAACCGGAGGAGATGAGTCATAATTCTATAATGTGTGACCCGGGATTACGTCTTTAAATGTGGGAGTATCAAATTGCAAAGCGAGATGAAATATGAAGAGTTTATATCAATCTTGGACCTTATCAACCTTTTGTTGGATTATCCCGGTCTACAAGGACATCGTCATAGTTTTCAAATAGTATGGTTCAAAAATTTTCCTTGGTCCCATATTTTGCTATTTATTTATTTTTTACACAGAAATATTAGTATTATATTGAAGTATAATAATAAAAAAAAAATTAATATTTTATAATTGGACAAATCAGAATGAAAAAATAATAAATTGTCAATAGATAATAAATATTTGCAAAATAAATTGGGGGTACCAATAGTGTCAAAATTGAATATGACCCGTAAAATTTTCAAGTTCATGAATCATGTTCAAGTTCAAGTTTGGATGATTTGGATTTTTAAATTTTGGGTCGATCTAAACTCAAAATAAAAACTAAAATAAATTCACGTTCGATGAAATTGGATTTCGGATTGACTTAATAATGTGAAAGGTAAAAATCAGATTATTGGATGACTTCAAATTTAAATCCATCTTGATTCATAATTTTATTATTGGCTATCACCTTCTTCTTAATTTTATCTTTATTAACATCATCCTTTTCTTCTTAGTTGTCTTTTTTTTTTTTTTTTTTTTTAATTTAATATTTATTATTTTTAATTATTTTTATGCATAATTTTATTTTTTTTGTAAAAAAAAAAAATATATTTAAGATATCAAATTTAGTATCTATTTATATTACATTGAAACATTTAAAAGTGTTACTATTTGAAAAAACATCAAAATACAACTAAACATACTTTTAAGTTTAAAAATGACATGTATAATAGTGGCTCGCTCGTAAAAGAGCTTGTGCAAGAAATTAAGGATGGTTCGATTATCAAACGTATGTTTTTAAGTTTAGTTTGAGAAGATTTGATTTAGATTTTGTATTTAAAAAATATTTGATAAAATATTTTGTTTAAAAAACTATATTTAAAAATAATAATTATAAAATTTTATTTAAAAAAAAAAAAAAGGAAAAAGTATAAAACACCCTCTATCTCCCATTCTCTATATATATATAATGTGTAATGGCAGGCACATGCTACAGTGTCTTATTCTTCAAGTTTTAGAGTAAAGCAATTCTCTGTTTTGTCACATTCATCATAAATAAATAAATAAATCACAAATTATGAAACCAAAGTTCAAAACGATAGATATTAATAATGTATAAGTTGAAAAGTAATAGTTGAAAGCATAATAAATGTGAAAAAATAATATTTTGTCTCATTACAAATTACAATAATCAATTTTATTTTCGTTAAAAAATAAAATAAAAAATTGATTAATTTTAATTACTCCCTCCGTCCCATATAATTTGTCTCTATTTTCTATTTTCGTCCGTCCCACATAATTTGTCCTTTCTATTTTTGGAAATATAATTATGCACTTTAATCGCATTTTAAATTTTATAATTTTTTTAATTTTAATTAAACTATTTACTTATTTTAATCTTAATCTATAATTATTATTTTTACTAATACACTTCTTAATTATTTACTAATTATACTTTACCTAAATTCCCGTGTTTACAGTAATACACCCATGTTACATAGAACTGAGGGAATACATTTTGTACTTTAAATCAAAATCAAATCAGTCACACCATAAGAGGAGTGTGTGTATAGCATATGTTTTGATTTTAAAATTTGATTTTAAATAGTAAAATTTTGATATGAAATAATTGTTTGATGTGATATAAATATATATTGATATGATATTTTAAATTTAAAATTAAATTTTAGTGTAATAAAATAAATGAAAATTGAATGTATAATTTAATATTTTTAGAAGAAAAATAAAATTAAAATAGTAAAATATAAAATTTTAAAGTAAACAGAAGTATACGATGTTCTCCTACAAATATTTTTTTAGTCTCATAAAATATCTAATTTTCTTTACTAAGCTTATAGTATTATTTAAAAAATTGCATGAACACTAAAAATAGTGAATATTTTAAGGCATAATATTTAATCTGGTTGTGTAAATTCGCACTTAGATTCAATTTGAGTGATTAGTAAGAATATAGTAACTATAATAATTTAATAATATATTTATTTTGCTAAAATATAAAAATCTTGTATGAAATATAAATGATCGAAACTTGATTTTATTAACGAAAATATGGTAAAAATCTTGAACTAGTTTTGGTTTTAGACTCAGTCTTCAAAACCACTTATTCGACCAAAAATCAACACAATATACACCCAAAATGTGATGAACACACAAAAAAAGACAAGATGCCACACAACAAAACAGACGCCCACATGATTAAAAGAGACCCTAGCGGTTCTAATTAACAAACAGGGGAAACAAATCATGGCAAAGAACTCCATAGAAAGGAGAAAGACAACGCTGCCAAGAACCTCACCGGAAACTCACCGAAATCGCTCGCGGTTTCTCTCACCCTCTCCGTCACTCTCTCGATCTATCTCTTTTCCGGTTCACACTTGGATAGAGTGATCATAGCAACCCACAATCTAATATAACACCTAGGATGTGTTTATTTATGAGATTTTAGTTTTTTGTTTTGATTTTGAATTAAATAGTTGTTTGATGTGATATAAATATATATTGATGTAGTACTTTGAGTGTAAAGTTTAATTTTAGTAAAAAAAAAATTTGAATAGTAAAATCAGGTAGAAAATTGTACAAGTAAACACATCCTTATTAACTTCCCCAAATTAAAAACCACACACACGATTATAACCAACTTAACAAATAGACTTGGGGTTTGATATATATATATATATATGAATTTGGGAATTGGGTTTGAGTCAAAGGATTTGGGTCACATCCGACGGGCCGGGCTAGGAGTTGGCAACTAATTATTTATTGAGAGACTTGTTGGGCCCCTTCATTGTCCGTTGGTTCGCCAGAGTTGGGCGTTGCCTTTGGAGAAGACAACCGCCTTCTTTATTTGTTTTGATAATCAATTTTTTTGTCTCTGATTTTACCTTCTTTTTTTTTGTTTTAGTTTCGTTTCGATTCAATAGTGTAATAATTTGAGTTTATTCGATAATTTGTTTCTGCTAATTCATATTCGTATTTTGTATACAAGAAGATTCGAGAATAAATTCCCAACAAATATTTTATTGCAGTTACAAGAAGCCTTGTGTATAGCATGTTGAATACATACAAAGTTCGAATTATTAGAAAAATCTATAATTAATTTATTTATTCGCAAACGAAAAATACCGACACAAATGTCGAAAAAATTTGTTGTAAGAACGATTCGAGAGTAAATAAAAAAATTTGAAAAAAAATTTAATTATTGTGCAATTAAAGAAGTGAAATTGCCTCGACTAAGAGCATCAGCCTCCATACACAAGAGTCTTCCCATCGGTAAAGTTTTTTTGTTTTTTTTATTACTCCCATTGTATATATTTTAAGTTTATTTTAGAGGATCTCTCACTTTTTTAAAGGCTTTTATTTAACCAAATTGTTGAAAATTTAATACGCAATAGAGTATTTATTCAGGCTGTAATTACAAAAAATTTGGATAAAGTGGGTGCACAAGGCAATTGCAATGGAGATGTGTAGAAAAATAATAAATATATAATATATTAATTTTTTTAAAAAATATATTAAAAAATTTAGACAAAACAAACAAATTCTAAAAATTTATTTATTTTATAAAATAATTTTAAAATAAATGTTTATTTATATAAAAAATATAAAAAAAATGATGTATATAATAAATATTTACAATATATATATATTTTTTAATTGTCCCACTTCGAAAATTTAGCCAAGCTAGCGCAGTGAAACTATGAATAGTGGCTGGCTACTCATGTGATGTGCCCTTACTTACTGATCTGGACCTGAGGCCCCGGACCTGTCAAGAACGAAAATGCATTGACTCGGGCAAGAAAAGGACAGCCCCTGTGGCCTGTGTCCCACTAACTTATTAACTTTTCGTCCATCACTAAAAACTCATTAAAAACCACCCCCAAAGTTCCCCTAAACATCATTAAAATATCAATCTTGATTTGATTAAGGAAAAAGCGTAACGTCTCTCCAAAGTTTCGCCTTCGCTAAACCCACTCCCCAAAACGCCCTCTCCACCCCCCCCCCCAACCCCCCTCACCCCACCTAGCTTAGCTTAGCTAAACTAAACTAACTACTAAGAAAGAAAAAGAGAGAAAAACGAACGAACGAACGGACGAACATTCCCAAAATCTCGCCGCCCCTCCTCTGATCGCCGGAGACGGCCGCGAATCTCACTCCGTTCAGATCAGCGCCGGGAAACGAATCCTGAAGAAAAAAGGAATGTGGAATCTGTCAAACCCTTATTCTGGGTTCTACTGCTGTGTTTCTTAAAAGTCGATCAGGGTTTCTGAAACGATTGGGTTTTTGTTTCTGAAAAATTCGCAATGTGAGGTGAAATTCCGGCGATTTGGGCCTGAATGCGTTGTCGATTTTGAAGATGGTGGCTGCCGTTACGGGGGCGCCTTCAAACCCTCAAAATCCCAAAATCGGAGACGAGCCTTCGCGCAGATCGCCGTTGCTGCCGTCGGAGAAGGACAACAGCAATGGCGCCGGAGGAAATCACCGGAAACCTAAATCCAGAGTTGTCTCTTCGAGGTATATGTCTCCTTCGACTTCCTCTTCCACTTCGACTTCGAATTCGAATTCGACCCCAATTTCTTCTAGAAGGCATCCCTCCCCTTTAATTTCGAGGAATTCGACCTTGCCTCCGAGCCTATCTTCTTCAGGCTCCAAACGCGCCGTTTCCGTCGACCGGCGGCGTCCGGCCGCCGCCAGGCCTCTGATTCCCGATCTGGATTCCAAACACGGCGGCGATTCTGAAATCTCCGCCGCGTCGAAGCTTCTCGTCACGTCTACTCGTAGATTGTCAGTTTCTTTCCAGGGAGAAGCTTTTTCGTTACCTGTTAGTAAGGCCAAAGCTGCGCCTGCTTCCCCTAATTTGTGCAGCATTCGAAAGGGCACTCCAGAGAGACGAAGGTCTGTAACAGCTACGCCATTGAGAGGGAAAATCGACGGAGCAGAAGATCAGGCGGAGGGTTTTGCTTCTGCCGAACGCCATCGATGGCCTGCAAGGAATCGACTGGTTAATTCACTGTCGAAGAGCTTGGATTGCAATGGTGGGGATAGGAACAAGATAATAGGATCTTCCGATGCAATTCGAGCCCTGCAGCAATCGATGTTCGACGAAACGGGGCCTCTCGATTTGGGCAATCCACGGCCCCTCAACGGAAGTTCCGGCAATGCCGAGGCATCATCCACACCTTGTGATCTTACAGCTTCCGATTCAGACAGCGTTTCTTCCGGCAGCACTTCAGGAGTTCAAGAATGCCTCGGGGCTTCCCGTGGTCGTGGAATGGCTGTCCCAGCACGATTTTGGCACGAAAGTAATAGTAAATTGAGGTTTCGTGATCCCGGCTCGCCATTATCGACGAGCCCTGGTTCAAAATTGATTGCGCCGCCGAAGCTGAAAAGGTATTCGAGCGATGTTGTCCCGTTGTCCACCACTCCACGGACAATGTCGTCCCCTGTACGAGGAGGTGTAAGGAATGCGTCGCCTAGCAGACTTATTGCACCTGTGGGGTCATCTCCTTCGCGGGGCTATAGCCCGTCTCGGATTAGAAATGCTGTCAGCACTATTAGCAATAATTTTGTCGAAACGCCTTCGGTTCTTAGCTTTGCAGTTGATATACGAAGGGGGAAAGTTGGGGAGAACAGAATTATCGACGCGCACTTACTTAGACTTCTTTACAATCGGCACCTGCAATGGCAGTTTGTTAATGCAAGAATCGAAGCTGTCTTGTTGGTGCAGAGACACAGCTCCGAGGTGAGGCGGTTTTTATTATGACATTTGATGTCTTAATTCTTGAAATCACTGAGTCGATGATTTATTGCAATACATTTGGTGAATACTAAATCTAAGGAAGCAAATGTGTGAACTAATTAATCTTGTTTTTTCGAACAGAGGAATTTGTGGAATGCTTGGATAACGATCTCGGATCTCCGCGACGCCGTTACGAAAAAGAAATACCGATTGCAGCTGATGAGGCAAAAGTTGAAATTAGCTTCCATTCTAAAAGGACAAGTAAGCTCTTGTCGTAAAATTTTGCAGAGTAAAAGGAATTCCCTTATGTTAGTGTCTGATGATTGTGGATTACTTCTTTGTATAGATGAATCTTCTAGAAGATTGGGCTTCTCTAGAAAAGGACCTCTCGGTTTCCATGGTTGGCGCCATTGAAGCATTGAAGGCTAGCACACTCCGTCTTCCGGTAGTCGGAGGAGCGACCGTACGCGCCATTCCATATTTCGATTGCAAACCGTATTTTCGTCTTTTAGCTTTAGCATATAGTCAGAAATTTACGATTTTTTTCCAGGCTGACATCCAAAGCTTGAAGGATGCAATTGGATCAGCCGTCGATGTTATGCAGGCAATGGCTTCTTCGCTCCGTCCTCTTCTGCCTGTGGTAATTTGCTTATCAAAAGTTCTTGTTACGTATTTGTTGTAATAAGAAAACGAGATTTTTTAAGGCTATGATCGCAACCCGTTTTTTTACAGGTCGATGAAGTGAATTCTCTAGCGACAGAACTTACGAAACTGACTGCCAAAGAGCGATCCTTGCTTCTACGATGCACGGGGTTTCTGTCATCGTTAGCAGCCTTGCAGGTACTCTATTTCATTACACGCGCGATGACGACGCTTTTCCTTAACATCATTATTAATCATTTCCGTCGACAGGTTAAACACAGTAGCCTGAGAACACACGTTGTACAGCGGCGCGGACCTAACTCTGTATCGTCATGAGCCTGACAACAAGTTTTTAACTGAATTCGGACATTCTATTCTATGGTAGATTCTAACATCATAGACTACTACGACGACGACGACACGACTGCCGGCCGGCCGGATTCTGGTGTGCCAATTTTTGCAGCGGCATTTGTTTGTTTGTTTGTTTGTTTGGGAGTCTGAATTGAGTCGAGTCCTGTTGTGGGTCAGGTATTGGATAGCTAGCTATTGATCGATGATCATATCATATCATCTTCTTATTCACTAATTACTTCTTTTTCTTTTTATCTTTCACTCTGTCTTACATGAAATTCGTTTCTTAGGAGAATGAACAAACTGATGTGTGTCTGTGTGTATGTGTGAGAGTGTGATGTAATATTCTAACTGCTTTAATGTCTCGAAAAGCATTTCTTGTTCATGCCCTCAAGGTTCGGATCTGATCGATCAATGGTGTGTGTGATCAACGGTCAGGATGGATGGTGGCTCGATAGCCGTTGGATTGATTTTTTTTTTTTTTTTTTTTACCCATACACCATTCCGCGTGATTGAATTTGGAAACCTCACAGCAGCATGTCAAGGAGTACTCAGTTATTTTGTCTTTTTTTTACTATAATTCAATACAATACTCATTCTGTTCTTTAATAATTTATCTATTTTTTCACTTTTTGGTCTGTCTCAAAGTATCAATTTTTTTTAGTAATTATATTATCTATTTAACATTACAAATATCCTTTTAATTTACAATATATTATACAAATATCATTATTTTTATATCATATAATACTAATAAGGATAATTTAGTTTTTTTACTTTTTATTTTTACTATATTTCTAAAACTTCGTAAAAAAGTAAATAAATAAATAAATATGGGAGAGATTGGGATATTAATATTTAAAATTTTACGTAAAAATAAAAAATATATTACTATTTTATTATGACAGAAATAATAATATTTTTGAAATAATTATTTTATAACTGAAAGAACCCAAAAATAAGAACCCATAAAATAAGTATTGTACTTTGTGTGAGTTGGCCAAGGTAGTAATAATTTAGCTCATTTCCTTTTGGTCTCCAATTTAATGGGTTATGTTCCGATATAGTATTGTGTATTTTACTTTTTTTAATTAGTGATATTTATATTGTGTTTGTTCGGTGGGTTTATTAGGATTTTCATTATTCACTTTTTTTTTTTTTAAAAAAAATATATATCAAATCAAATATTTATTCTTATTTTTATATTATATTAAAAATTAATTTTATATTCAAAATATTATATCAACATTTATTTATATCACATCATACTACTATTTTAATTCAAAATTTTTACTATTTAAATCCAACTAATTCTATTGAAAATATCTCCCAAGAAATAGATTATCAATATAAATTCTATTATTATTATTATTAATATTATTATTTTATTACCTTTTTAACATTGTGAATTGAACCTCCAAGTTTACAAAATTAACTTAGAGTGTTTGTACAGAAAAATTAGGACAAATAAATAGAAATATTTTTTATTTTTTCGTTTAGTTGAAATAAAAAATTGAGAGTTGAAAAATATAATTAAAATAAAAAAATTAGAAATTAAGAAATAAATTATTTTTCATTTTTTAGTTTTATTTCTCTACCATATACATATAAGCAGAGAAATAAAATTGAAAAAGTGGAATGTGAATATATTTGTTTTTTTTTTCTTGTTCAATTTAATTTTTATAATTTTGTCTGTATTAATTTGTTATTTTTTGGTTCCTATTATTTAACTTTAAATTATTTCAATATAATAAAATATCACATCTAAATTATTATTAAAATAAATTATTAAACTAAAAAATAATTAAATTAATACAATAATATTTTTCTATTCAATGTATTATTGTTTAGTGATCGATTTATTTTTTGACTAGCAATATATTGTCTTTTTTTTTTTTTAACACCATCAGGCAATTTTTTAAGAGTCAGCAATACACCATCTTTTCTTTATACATATAGTTATACTCCTTTCGTCCCATAATTAGGTAACTGTTTGCTTTTTTATACGGTATTGTGTGATATAAATGTAATGACATTTGTGTAATATATTGTAAGTTGTAAGGGTATTTGTAATATTAGTAGACAGTATAGTTACTAAAAAAGGAAATGAATACTTTGTTATGGAACGGACTAAAATAGAAAAATGAATAATTTGTTATGAGACGAGTGAAGTATTTTTTTATATTTTTTTAATTAAATTATTTATTTTACCAAACAAAAAGTCAATTTTCATTACGTGTGTGTGTGTCCTTTTTTTTTTTTTTTTTTCCTTCAATTCCTGTACCAAACTCACCGTGGGTTGGAAAATTGAAGACTTCTACACTAGATTACATCTTCCTTTCCAATATAAAATTATATTTTAATACTATTAATATAAAAATTGAATTAATTTCACATATATATATATTTATAAATAGTGAAAATTAAAATTTACAAACATGTATAGCGTGACGTCCGGATAGGATTTTTAGAAGTAAAGATTGGTATTTTGTAAAATGAAATAAATAATTTCGTTTTGAGGTCTTTTAAAATACTAGTAATAATATCAGAAGTATATATATTTTTTTGTGTATGGGAACGATTACTGTGCTGGTTTGAAAACATCATACAATCTTATTATATACAATATATATTGTGTACAATAAATACATGTATTGTTTGTTCATAACTACAAGTATATTGTCTAAAAACATGTGGTGTGCTAAAATTAGTTTTTGTGTATTACATGAGATTATAATATGTGTGTTGTTTGTAATAATATTGTGTGCTGAACAACTGGAACCTTTTTGTATATATAATTATATAAAGAAACCTTAATATTCCCTTTTATATACTTAATTGTATTGTAATAATAATAATTTTAAAGTTAACAGTTAACAATGACCCATTTCTTGGCCTAAAGAATTAAGGATACGCATAGGAAATGGGTTGCTTAGGTGCTGCCCCTTGCGCTGATGAAACGTCAAAACTCATCAACTCTTCAATTTTATTTTTGTTTATTCTATCCGTCGGAGAAAAATAAGTTTATTTGTTTTTTACATGAAATTGTAACAAAAAAAAAAATGTTTTTTTTTAAACAGAAGAGGAAGTATTTATTTTCAAAACAAAACTGAATCAATTTGTTTTGTGTCCAGATACATTTCCAAATTTGTAAGAATAGTAATAAAATATTTATTTAATAATTAGCAAGTATGAGTTAGATGGGGCGCTTTCTTTTCTTTTTTGTATACAATATTTAGTATGATATTTTTAAAAAATATTATATTTTTTGTTTATATAGATAAACAAGTTACAAGCCAAATTTTGCATAATTTACTGGGAAAAAATAAAATAAAAAAAAAATAAATCTGCTTATTTTGTTATTATGATGCATAGTACATATACTTACACGGAGAGTCTCCATGCAGAATCATTTCCCCAAAATTGTGGAAAATATTAATGTGATAAATGTCCATTACAAAATAGTATAAAAATCCAAAGGGTCACATTATATTATTTAATTAGATTAAATTAAATTAAATTAAAAGAAGAGGTGCAAGAGTTTGGTTTGGGTTCCATTGTTTTGGTCAAAAGCTTGATTATGAAGAGGAGGGTATAACAACAAACCGCTCTCAAACGTCGTCGTTTCGGACTCATCCGACGGCGTAGCCTGCCGCTCATGTGCTCTCCCTCTGCAGCTCATCCTCGCCGCCGGCGCCGGCCGAGGATCGACCACGCCGCTCACCTCGAGATCCGTCTGATCGAATCCAGCTTTCCGCTTTATCCCCGAGTTCAAATCACTGGATCTGTACAGCTCATTGCTGTTGTAATTATCTCCAGAAGCTTCTTCGAATTCCGGCGAGGCGCGGAGGACTCCGCCTCGGAGCACCGTCTCCACCGCCGACTGGCACACGTGCCAGTTCCCCGTCCACAGCAATCCGACGGATCCGCTCACCGGATTAACTGTCCTCCCGCACGCCTCGAACAATAGAGACTGAAATAGCGCTGCGAATCGGAAAAACAGTTTCAATTTCAAATTCGATTTAAAACCTAGCAGAGCGATGCCTCCAATCGAAGAACAATACAGAGAGTTGAAAATTATTGAAGGTAGGTAGGTAGCATAGATATGTACCAGGTCTCTGCGATTCAGGAACGGAGGAGAGGAAAGAGATGAGGCCTGCGCGGCCAAAAAACTTGGCGACGAAAACGGTAGCGTAGGCCTGAGCTTGTGGAGGATCGATTCCTTGTATACTCTGCCTCAGAATGCAGTTATCGTTGCAGCCTTTGCGGAGTATTCTGCATCCATTGCAACTCATGATGATGATGATGACGACGATGACGATGGCTCTTCCAAAAACATATATATATATATATAACAATTCTTCTTCTTCTTCGTTGTATCAAATTGATGAAGAGTTTGATTTAGGGTTCGCTGCCTCAGAGGGAGCCTTTCAGGAGAATAAGAGACGTTGAGCCAGATCCTATATATATATACACACACAGTACACAGACACAACCCACTCTCCTAATTTTAATTTAATTTAATTAGCATAATTACTTATAATATTAATATTAATATTGTTATCGTGATGATAACGAATATTGATGCACAATTAATTAATTACATTAACGGCTCAGATTTTGTCGGTTATTTGAAAGTTCCAAAGGAGTTGGCGCAATATATATATATATATATATACACAATGTGGCATCCTGTTGCACGCTATGGATAAATTGTTGAAATAATATTAAATAAATAATTAATTATATTAGCAAATATTTTGTAAAAATATACAAATATTATTCAGACTGATCAATATTTAATACTAAATTTATTATGTGACTATTTTTTTTTTATTGTATTTATAAAAATATAATTAGTATTATATATATATAGATATATACACAATGCAATACAATGAAGAAGACAAGGTTAGAGCGGCTCCGTGTCTCCGCGAAAGGCCTATTTAATGCTTGGCCTGCTAATTAATTACCATCTTATTATTATTATTATTATTAAACTTTAATAATATATACAGTCCATAATAAAAAAATTGCTTTATAATTTATGAATTGAATTGTAATGAGTGAGCGTAAACAAGAAAGAATTCAAAGCCATTATTATTACTCCATCCGTCCAGATGCCATGTCTGTTATACCGTAGACACGGTATTTTAGGAGGGGTGTAATTAGTAGATAATTAAAAATATATTAGTGAAAATAATTATCCGATAATATAAATAATTATAAATTAAGATTAAGATAACTAATTAGTTTAATTAAAATTAAAATAAAATAAATTTAAAAGTTTAAAATAAAATTAAAGTGTATAATTATTTTTTAAAAAAAGAAAGTGACATGGTACGTGTGAGACGGACAAAAACGGCAACATAGACATGGTATCTGCGACGGAGGGATTATTATTATTATTATTATGGAGAATGAAAGAATTGGCTTTTGAGGAGCATGTAAAGCTGTTTCCTGCTAATTACACAACACAACACACATGCATGCAACTTTATATATTAATTAATTTTTTATTCGTTAATTAATAATACTATAATTTTGTAAGATTCCTTGTCCACTATGATAATTATATTATTTATATTCCTCTGGTTTAATAATTATCCGATACATTATGAACCTTCGCTATTCTCTTGATTTTAATTTAATTTTTAATTTATTTTAATACATGGGTTAATACGGTAGTATATAAATTAAATAAGGATAATTTGGGAGTTAAATTGCATTATGGTTTTTATTAGTATGTTCGATTACACTTGCACACATTTGTACGTATGATTCAAATGTTAGAGTTTGTTTTTTAAAATAATGTATAAAAATTAAATATTAAATGTGATGATTTAGGCGGCCATTACTATGCTGAATGAGAAAAACGATACCGTCTTAACAATACATAATAAAAAATACTCCCTCCGTCTCAATACAATAGTCTTGTTTATTATTTTTGTCCGTCTCAAAATAATAGTCTCATTTTCATAAATAACCATATCATCGTAAAACTATCCCTACTTTTTCATTATTGTGACAAAATGACGGCGATATCTTATTTAATCTATATTGTGAATGTATCTAACAACTATCCACAGCACCAAATGACGGCGATATCTTATATATTTTCTGTAAACATTATATATTGTATTCTTATAATTTATAAGATTAATTAAAAAATATGTCACAAAATTTTGATTGAGTGAACAAAGCTTGTATATTTTTTAAAAGAGAAATAAAATAAAATTGTATTATTTTATAAAGAATGCAATGACTGAATTTAAAAAATAAAAGTAAAAATGAACACCTCCAAGGTTAGGTTGTTTAGTTGTGTTTTCTCCCACTTGTCTTCACTGTTAATTTATAATAATTTAATTTGCCTCTTAAAACATCATATTATACATCTATTTTTTATTTAATATACTTATATAAAAAGTATATATTTTAAAATATTAGATCATAAATCAAATACCTATTTATATTATTTCAAAGAACAAACAATTATTATAAACACAAAATTTTATTATTCCAAAAATAACCAAACATAACCAAATAAACAAGTTCAAATTTTCAATAGTTTGTGGGATTATAGGTAATTGGACAACTACTATTGTGTGTCTAATACTCTGCAAACTAAGTCGGCGTCGGGGGTTTGAACCTACACTTCCAATCCCCACACCATCACACCATCAGGTTGTCCCTTAATATTTATATATATATATATTAAATCAAATAATTATTATCCAGATATATTCATTTTGTAGTATAATTTTTTATTTTTATTATACTCCATTCATCTCATTGGAAATGTAGCATTTACTTTTTGCACGTAGATTTGTTAATATTAATATTATATTGAATTGTAGTAAAAAAGACAAAAATATCCCTATTAGTATAGTGTAATAAAAAATTAATGACATTTGTGTAATATATTTTAAGTTGAAAGAGTATTTATTATGTTAGGTAGGTAATACAATTACTAAATTAAGAAATGGTAACTTTATTTTGGGACGGACGAAAATAGAAAATAGTAACTTTTCAATGGGACGTAAGGAGTATAATTTTTCAGACCATATAGATTTGTTCATATGGTGTATTTTAGATGATATGAAATATTATTAAAAAAAAATATACAATATATACATATTTACACACTATAATATATATTATTTATTTATATTAATAATTCAATACAAAATATTATTTTTTTTACTATCAAAATAATTATCCATAACTAACATGAAAATCACATCCCTCCAAAATACAAAATGAACATATATACTCATAAGAAACTAATTGTCAAAACAATTATAAATTTGCCATAAAGGAAGGTTCTAGTAAGAATGTGCACTATTGTTTAAATATGCTAGTATAAATTTTGACATGAATTTTTTCCAATTGTTTATATTTTGTTATAATAAAATATTTTAGTTGGCCAATATCAATGTTCAAAATAATTTAATAATAACTACTACTATTAGATAAAGTATCGATACGTGTTTTTTAATATCTCCAAATGTGTGACTGAGTGGAGCATATTGTCGTATGTGTGTGCATATATATACATACATATATATATATATAAGCACCACGTATTCAATATAAAATAAATTTAAAATTTTAATAGTAAGTTTTTTTTAGATATTATTTTGAAATTTAATTTTATTATATTTAAAATATCGAAACTTTGAAAACATTTATCTGAAGGGAGCCAAGAATTTTGGCCTTTGTGTAGCAACCACAATTACAAAACATAACATAAGATATATCGTATAGCATAGGACAGGTGACCTTCCACGTGCCAGAAAAGACATTTTGTGTTTTACAATCACTAGAGAGCCACCGCACCGGCCAAATAAAATTAATCAAATTTATTTATTATTAATCGGGTGGTGTTATGACGTAATCAAAGCCTCTGTTTTATTATCCACTCAAAATGTGGTTGTTTTTATTTTTTACCACTTTTTTTTTTTTTTAAAAAAATATATTCTTTAAAATAATTATTTGAATAATAATATAATTTAAAATATATGTCAAAGTGTTAAAATTATACTTCGGTAAAATATTTGAAATATTATTAATTAGTATATAAAAAAATAAAATTATATTCACTCTATCTCAAAATTTTCCTATACTTTTTAATCTAGGATGTCTCAAAGGTTTTTTTTTTTTTTTTTACAAACGGTTTTGAAAGAATTCTTTTTATATGAAAAATAGGTGTACGATGTACTAATTTTTTTTGAAAAAAAAATTATTTTGAAAAACAATCATATGATTTGTATTAATATAATCAGAAAATGAATTAATAGCACATGAGATAGTGTAGACTACTCTAGTTAATTGCTGCAAAAAGTATACCGCATATATCTTCATGCAACATACCTAAAGTATAAACAAGAAAGTTTATTGACTAGGTCCACCTATCCCGCATGATCTTCAAAAGATTCACATGGTGAGTTCTATGAGAATTGAGGCCTCAATGCATGTTTCTATGCCGTAACAAAATTATTTTATCGTTACGGAGCAATAAGTGATCAAATCATTAGATTTTTAATAATTCTTGATGAGAATACTTAACCACAGGGAATAAATTCGACTAGAAATTCAGACCTCGTGCAGGCGGTCTTGGCCAGTGATCTGGAGCAATGCCATCATCAGGTGATCGATACTTTGCTACTTTATGGTCGGCCAATTGTAGTTTGCTCATTCTTCAGGATTTATGAGTATGAACTAACTGAACCAGAACGATGATGACCACCAAATTCAGAGCAGATTGAAAACAACTCATAATCAAAGATCTATTACTTGTAACAGCATACCTCTGCCATTGCTGTTCGATGCATTGGTGAAGCCTTGTAAGCAGCAGATTTGGCACTGGACAGTGCTGGGAAACTGTCGACAACTAGCAAAATCCGAGAAATGGAATTTTCAAAGTACTGCAGAATGAGAATTTTATGGGAATGGAATAGACAGCTATGGTGATCAACAGAAATCACTAAAAAGAAAATCGACACAATTGCTGAACAATGGGGACGCCTGCTTCCACACCTCTGTGTATAGGATGTGTTTCTTTAAGATTTGGATTTGAATTTGGGATTCGGAAATAATAAAAAACTGAATTTAAATAGTGTTTGATGCAAAAACTAATATGTAATATATAAAGAGTACCCAAAAGGTATCGGAAATCTTTTGCAAGAGAGTGATTTGAATACAAGGACTGGCAAATTTACCTGGTCCAAAAGGCACGTGAATACAACCACACCACATCTCCAGCAAGTATGACGGGCTGCTCAATAAAAAGAGGATTGTCAACATAAGCACACGGGGGAGAAAATAGTACTAAGATACATTACAATTGCTTCCAACATAAAAGTCAAATTGTAAACATGTGTGCTAATGCTTATGGAAGTGTCGATGTTAGATTGTTGAGTAAAACTTAACATAATTTTAGCATAAACGGGAGATGCTAATGATCATAGCAGAAATCCACTGACTCATCATCACCAATGTAATCCCTCAAAATGCAGCACATGAATCTATGAAAAACGTTCCCAAGAAATATTTCAACCATAAGTCCAAATGACATTAGTTCTCTGATCCAACTGAATTAACTGGAGTTATAGCAAGGTCATCGTAAATACGCCACAAAATTTTCAGCCTGAGTTTCTTAAGAGTAATATACCCAAAAATAATGGTTATAGAAAGCATGTACACCTGTGATGATAACAAAGTACAGCATATGAATTCGATTACCAGTGACTAATATCTGCAAATGAGATGAAGATATAGAGGCTCCTTTAGACAGCCTAATTGGCCTGTAGATTCAGAGGATTGTTGGCTTTCTTGCTGCAATTCTGCCATCTGTGCATCAGGTACTTGTTTTTGAGATCAAGTTTAATAAGGCAATTCGAATATTGACTATCAAAGAGTGACCAGACAAGAGTGCCAAAGGGTATGCAAAAATGGAACTCCACAACTTGGCGGATACCTTTGATTCATAAAGCTGCCGAGAGAAGCTTGCTCATACTCAGTATATTGTATGCATCCTTAAGGGGACGAAACAAAGATTCTGTCAAGCCTGAAGAGTATATGAAAACAATGATCAGTAAATGGTTTCACAAAATATCATACATCAATATCCCAAAATAAAGCTTACCATTTACAGTTATCCTCGGTGAGACTAAGTTGAGCAAGGCAGACAGGAAGCCAAGGTTTTAGTATCCATTTTGAGAAACTCGCTTTCTACAAGCTTTTCAGGTATCAAAGGCACGACTTATCAAAATTACAGAAGTCAAGAAATAATCATCATAATAACAAGATCAATATAAACTTAGTCGCTGAAATGATAGGTTGAATCCTCTTTATCATTTGAAGAATACTTATTTAGGCACAAAATATATTGAAGATAGCATTATATCACAACAAAAATTCATGAAATAGCAACGCCATTTGAACAATAGGGAAGGAAGAAATAAAGAGAAAGAAAGGTGAAAACTAGCAGCCTAATAGGCATTGGATGTTTCCATTTGCAAGCTTTCAGCCGCAGGGGGCGGCGCAGCGGTGTCGACGATTTCTTGTGGCTTGAACTTGTTGATGTAGTAGCTGAGAGACGGGCCCGAATACTCCGTCGTGATCTGCCTGTCCGGCGGGCTGCTTTTGCCTACTTGGAGAAGCACGGCAAATGCCGCAGCAATGGACACAACAGCAATGCTCGAGACAACAGCCACCGTGTTCTCTGACCCTTCAGAGGAGGAACCTGCAGTTCCCGAACTGATTGCGCTTTCTGCGATGTAAACTGCAGGCTGAACAGGTGAAGATCGTTAGATTCAGGCACATTTTGGGATTGTATTTATCACCATCAAGTATGTATACGAAGCATAAAACGAGATTGTAATTCTTTCCCATTACAAGAATTTCCATACAACTGATCTCACCTCGACAGAATATATGTTCGTCTGCCCGGCTGTGTCCTTCTCTACATAACCGGTCCAACCCCGGCTCCGAGGGGGAAAGGTGCCAACAACTCGGGTTTTCTCTCCGGCTAGCCATTCCATGCTTACTTTACCAACCTGTTTCATTTGTGCCAAACCGATATGTTAGAATTTCTAGGAATGAATGCACCAACCCATCTTTCTGGAGATATCTTTGCACCGAGACACTGAATGATCACACCAGCAGAACCTTATCATACAAGAGAGCTAAGACAATCATTGGCCGAGTGAATCATTATTCAAAGTATTTCTCAGAATTGAAATCAACAACAACAAAGTAACGATGACTTCACATTTTGAACACTTCTTCTTTAAATCCATCACTGTGTTTGGACTTCCGGCTTCAGATGATGTTTTGAACAGAAAAGCAAATCGAGAAACACACAATCCACCATACATAAAATTCACTTAATAAAAATCTCACCCTCTCTTTCAAAATCATAGATCAAATAAAAAAAGAAATGTACTTGCCACACTCAATCTAAACCTTATATTCAGATTTTTTCCTACATGGTAGGCAACACCATATTGCAACAAATCACTGTAACTAACCCATTCTCTTATTCAAAATTAACATTATATATTTTATGATCTTCGAATTGGCTTGAGCGAAGTGAGTGGAACGAGCAACCGAGCATAGGTCTTACACATATGTAAATGTAAATTGTAAAAGAGATGTAATAGCCTTGCAAATTCAAAGGAAACTCCATGGAAAACCATGTAAATTTGATCCTCTTTTTCATTGTGTTCGGTTTCTATATGACATGTTACCTTATCCTCAACAATTTCTATACGAACACAAGTCGAAACCCTATCTATCTCATTCAAATTGAAGTGAACGTACTAGAATCATATATCTATCTTTCTATGTTAGCAGCACAAGCACGTACGAGATATGATCAAACCAAGGTTGTCTATCTCTCACAAAAAAAAAAAAAAAAAAAAAATCATCTCCAAACACCAGACAACATATATATTGGTTTCGATTTCACAACGTTTCATAGTATCGTTGGCAAAAGAAGGAAATGCAAAAATCAGTAACTGTAAGTAGGTACCAACCTCCTTATCGGGGGCACATTCTTCAGTGTTGCAGTCATCATTCAGCTCCCCCTCTTCGGAAGAAGCAGCCCTCACTTTTTGATATCTTTTATTGGGCATCCACGCCGTTAATCCGGCTCTGGGGCAGCTCGCCAAAATGCTTCCGGAGAAAGCAGTCGCCATCGCAGCTACTTCTGGAGAGGAACAATGGCGATTAAGGATATACGATAACAGGGGGAATGTGAGTGAGTGGAGGAGTGTGTGTATGGGATTGCAGGATTTTTGGGCTCGTTTTGGTGAGTTTTTTTGTGGCTGGTTTTTAACGAGACAAAAGTGATTTATTTTTCTAATTACTCCAGGGTATTTACTCAACATCAGACATTAATAATAATAATTATTATTATATATGATCTTCAGGCGGGGTTGCAGCGACGGAAGCGCAGACGACGCCATAGTAACGGCGGGCCGGCGGCAGGGGCAGGGCCGAGTTCTTCTAAGACTTTCCTCGGTCTGGTCTTGTAGATTTGTCAAATTGGTTCGAGATATTCTTTGGTCGTTTTCGCTTCAATTCCGACTTCTAAACCATATTATTATTATTATTATTACTATTATTATTTTACCTGCAATTTTCTTGGACATATTCATATCACACATGTTTGTTTATTATTTATAACTTGAAGTTTATTTGTTGCTAAATTGGAAAAAATGGTATAGATATTATGAGTTATATAAGAATATTAGTAGTATTATATTCTATTTTCCAAGTATTATTTTTGGAGAATTGTATATATGATACTCCATTTGTCATCTACTCACATACTTCTGATAACCCGTAGTGTGTATGGTTTTAGTATTTTATACTTTCTATAGTAAAAAAAAAAAAAAAAAAAAAAAAAAAAACAAGTTTATTTTTATGACAAATTTAAAAATAAATAAATAAACAAACCTAAAGAACGTGGAATTTTATTTTATTTTTTTAAATCCTAATAATTAATAGATGAAGGAAGCCCAAACAAACTCAATAAGATTTCCAATAAACTGTGGATGACACGAATCATACTCTCCAGCAAGAGAAGTATTGAGATATGTACGTGTGTAGATTGCAAAATAGCGAATACACTGTACACTATTAACAACAATGGGTGTCAATATAAAGATAGGAACTGATGAGAATTATGCAGAATAGTAAAAAAAAAAGTAAAAAAAAAAAATGGATAAATGTGTGTGTGTGTGTGTGCGTGCATAAGAAGCATGATTTAGCAATTTTACCTGCAGATGGTCTCCTATTATAGCAGCAGTAGTTTTACCAACACCACATACACGCAGCACCCGAATATTCGAAAACTGTTAAAATATTCCATCAACACCTTCTCTTAACTTCACACTATATGGAAAAAAACAGAGCAAGCATTGATATATAATATGATCTTATGATCCTTGAAATAATGTGGATGTAACCTCACTAACCTCAGAAATGTTCGACAATGCAGCTTAGAATCCAGAGAAGTAACTCCCCTTTAAGGATTGTCGAGTTTACCATCATCCTTAGAAAAAGTATCCAAGTTAAAGGGAAAATCCAGTGAGTTAGATAAACAAAGAAATCATTGAGAAAGTTGAATCTCACTTCTTTCCTAAGGTCAATTAATTCCATGCAGTAATTCGTAAACAATGACGAGAATGCTTCTACTTAATTTTCAAGAGTTAGGCCATAAAATATTAAGAATCATTTCCTCTTGTCTCCTTCAGAAGCATCAGTGTCTTCGTGTGAATAAGATGGCAGCAGTCAATTGACAGAAATTTCCGAGAAAGGCATCAAATAAGAAATTACCCTTCATCATGTTATGGATATGCATATTGCTGAAATAAATAGATGCCCGAGTGTAATCTAATTGAAAGTACAAATACACACATACACATCACCTTAAAGTCATCAATATTAAGAACAGGCAGCTAGGAGAGGGCTGGTGGAGCTTTATTAACTCTCCCGGTTCTCCAATCTGTATTCTCTTCAATCTGAATCAACAGCAACATATCAGAAGCAAAAGTAAATTGAGCATGTGCCAAAATAGTTAATAGCTAAAAGGCCCGCATAATCAACCTAATTATGTCCTGCACATATATCACTAAATTTTGTAGCTCACAACAAATATATGAACAAAAGCATCCTGAAGATCGAGAAGGTACCATAAAAACAGCAATTTAATCAGCTAAACAATTCAAGTTCTCAAACAAGGTAGAAACCCAAGTTATTACCATTTGGGCCATACCTCTGAACCTGTAGATTGACACAGAATCAGGGATCATAGAACCTCCTCAGCTGCGGACAGACGGACAGCAACCAACAACCATGAATACCACAAGGAAAGTATCTGTGGTAGGAAAAATCAACTACCCAACAGCTAGAAATATTTACCTGCAGTTAAACCAGTGCTTAAAAGCACTTTGACTGCCCAATTATATGCTAATAAATAGGTAAACTTACATACTTTTTAACGTTAATTAAAAAGAAACATACAAATTTCAAATATATATCTATGAAGAACTTGAGAATAAGCATATAGTGGAAATTGAATGACACAAATTACCAACACTAGTAGATTCATTCATCCAACAAAGGCAATGCCATGCGCCATTGCAGTGAAGTGAAAAAGTGATTAGGGGTATAAAAAGTGTACATCTCCAATTCTCCATTTCATTGATACTGATACATGATAGAATTAAAAAAACAACAGGGACGGTGGAGATTGCTGCTGCAGATTTCTATCACATCCTCTCTTCTGTTACAACATTTATCTCCATCACTAGCAAATCCACATATACAGCTAGTTCATCTTTTCATTCAGTTAGTAGCTTTGAGTCGCATGCAACTATCTTAACGGATTCGACAGTTTCCTGGATTTCTTCGCTTTTAAGCTGTGCATTTTGCACAAGGAAGGTCCAGACATTGTCGCAGAAACGATATGTGTGAAGATGCCCCTATATCAACAAGGTGAAGGAGAAAACCCAATTCGTGAATGATCACTCTAAATCAAACTTTTAGGACTGGAATATTGAATGTGAAAAGGACAATATAAACATGCTACTGCATAAGAAACAGCCTCCCAAACCATATGCTACATGAGTCGCAAACTTCTCCTTGAGTTACATCAAGCTATTCAAGTAGGGAAGGTGATAAAGTTTATTGAAGTAAACCAACCATGGCATAGTCCAATATTACAATTCAAGACAACACAGGACAAGTTGAGGAAGAGATAGAAGTATAGATTCAGAAATTGTGGAATTCGTAACATATTTCAGCGAGGGAACAGCACTCTAGTACTCTTCAAGTATTACCCCGTAAAACCTAGCTAAAGAACTAATTTAACATAATGTTTCCACTTGTTGAGATTTGTACATCAATACAGTAACAGGGATCCGCAGGACCACATCACCCTTATACAATCAAGAGAGGAAGCACATATGCTAGTAATATTACCAATTATTTTTACTACAGTTCTTCATATTTAATTTGTGATAACTGATACCCCATTGTAATGTTGTGAAAGTATACTGAATACCCACCAAAAAGCGAAACATTGATGTCAACTACCAAACAACAGACGCTCTACACTACATACCCAGATGATAAACACAAGAACTATAAGCCATGCATATCAAAACAAGTATAGTCTCCCTCATATACTTTGATAATTCACATAAATACAAACATAGCAGGTCTTAAAGTATCATTCCTCTCAATTAGAAAGCCATTTACCTTAACAGAAACTTTGCTCTTCACATCACTCTCTAGAACTTCAGTCATTGACTACGTACAAAGAAAGAAAAGGTTAATGCAAAGATCATAATGAAAGAGTGTGGCAACATCTAAGCGTTTTCTTACTCAAGCAATTAGAAACAAACAGGACATCGGTAGCTAGTTAGTACCATTTATGTCGCCAATAAACCAATTATGAGACTAAAACCAATTCAAAAACGTCAATTCGTTGAATCTTAGATTTAGAATAAGTGTTGATGCTCACTTCAATCCTCCGAATCAACTAATCCGTCTAACTTCGACCAATTTTTATATAATTCGTTTTCTTTTATATTTAATTCAATATTAATCAGGAACATCGTCCATCCAAAACTTACGCATGCCATTATTGTCTGTATAATAACAATTATTAGTAACTAATAAAGGATCAGAGAGATAGAACCTTATCGAATTGAATCAGAACTTGAATGGCGAGTTCGGGCCTGAGAACTCCAGTGGAAACCATCTGATCCAGAGTTTCCGTCAAGCACATCCCAATCGTCGATCTCCGGTACAGTTCGAAAGTAGTCATTCTTCCTGGTAGCAAGACAGTGCACGATACGAAAGCAAATTTACCCGATCGAAAATAACACAGATTCAAATCCAAATCATCGAACATAATTCAAATCACATATAACGAAGGCATATCGACAACATATTAAAGCAAATTTACCCGATCGATTTGATCCGATTAGCACTTATTCCAGTGTCCCCAGATGGTTAGAGCTGAATTTGGAGAGCGAAGAAAAACGAGGGAGACGAAATGGGGCTTTTTATACCCTAGAATTTATAGACGGGGGATTATATAAGCGAGATCTGAAACTGCACAACTGTAATGACGATAATACCCTTCTAGAGTTCCATTGATTCCAGCTGTGACCAGGGTCAGAATAGTATTTGCACTTTTAAGATTGTCACTGAAATTGTCTATAGAGTCGGGCGGGCCGATCGACCCAGCCCATTTTAATTCATCTCAATATCGAGCCCGATATAATAATGTCGAACCTACGTGCCTGAGCCTAGTCCAATATTTTATTATGGCCCAGCCGGCTCATTAATAAAAGATTAATTAAATTTATGATAAATTATATAACCCTGTATTATTAAAAATGCATAAAATCCTAAATTAAGTAAATTTTATTAAATAAAAAACGCAAAATGTGAGGCGTCCTCATAGTCATAAGTTAAACTCTTATGCCACCGCCAGATTATTCCTTACGGACAAGATAAAAAGGGATAAAATAAAATTAGCTTTGCGTATACATAGACCTGATTGGTACAAATGATGAAAAAGGTAAGGGAAAGAAGGAAGTGAAAGAAATATTAAAATTTAAATAATTTCTCTAATCCAAATCAAAGGGATCTTTAAAGTTTTTAATAAATTAAAAAATAATAATATTCTATTATAGTAAAATTGTGTAAATTTTGATATTTTTATCTTTTGACTTTATGTATAAATTATTTGTATATATAATAGTATGTTTATAATTTAAGTAAAAGTTAAAAGTATTTTGGTATTAGTATATGATTATTTTGTAAAAAATATAAAATAGATACTTTGAAGTTGATACACGAAAATGATAAAAAAAAAAAAATTACTTTGAACTGAGACATAAGAAAATGATAAAAAATAAAAATAAAAATATTTTGAATTGAGACAAATATAATTATTTTTGTATTTGATTATATTGGTTGATTCTCAAATATAAATTAATGATATGTATCTCTAATAGTACTTACACGAAGCAGATAATTGAGATAAATTAAGTTACTACACAAAATGTAATTTGTTTTTATCATATACATGTATATTCAGAGTTAAAAATATAAATAAACAATAAATTTGTAAACAAATAGTAGTAACAAATATAATAGAAATCATATAAACAAAGTCAATTATAAAAACTCATTCTCATAATTTATGTCAACTCAAATTGATTTATATAGATTAAATTCATTATTAAAGCAAAGTTGAATAATTTAAAACAGAATCAATTTTATTTTTTTATTTAACTATTTGTTATTATAAATATTGTTAAAATTCTAAAGATCAAACATCAATTAAACTATTATAGGAAGATGATTGACAAAAAAAAAAAAAAAAAATTAGTATCAATATTTGATTACACATCTTAACCAAATAAACTATGCCAGTCTAATTTTTATCCCCAAAACTAATTTAAACAAAAAGTCTTAGACTAACATCCAATATTTCATAAGTGTAAAACTATTATTATGTTCCTTTAAGGGATGAAATGACCTGATGGTGTATTGGTTAAATTTGTGATCAACTTGTCACCTGCTATGCCTGGTGTGACTTTCCCATTGAGTCTGATTTGCAGAGACGGTCGTTATCGGAAAGTGCACGCTGGGTAAACACTTGGCCGATTATAAAAATATTTTTAATAATAAATCATATTTTGTATTATCTCTCAAGTCTAACTTGGTGTAAGAAAACATTTTTGTTCATTCTGTGTTGTTACGTATAAGTGTTTTTCAAATTAGATATAAAGAAATGTATTAATAATATAAAAATTAAAATTTTATTTTTAATTATTAACTTTTTCGTGAATAAATAGAATATATATATATATAATATATATTATTCTAATTTGCATATATATTGTATTTTTAATAGTGTTCATTAGGTCCTGCCCCGTGCTAGGGCCATAGGCCCAGACCCATTGTTATTATAGGGGTCATATGGCCCAATAATATATTCTATTGTTACTAAACATTTATAGAATATATAAAATAAAATATTTAAATAAAAAAAATTATATTTACTTTTAAAATAAATTATTCTTTATATTAATTTTGTATTTATTTGTATATCTTAGTGTGTTTATTTAATTTTATAATTTTATATAATTTTGTTGCTAACTATATAAATATGTATATTTAAATTTGTATATCCTTTAGTAATGTTTTAAAAAACGGAGTATTCTATAAATACTTTTTGTTTGGAAATTTTTTGAAAAGATTTTTTACCTTTAAAATATCTTAAATCAATTTTATTTTTTTTACTTTTTATATAATATTTAATATATATATATATCATATAGTGTGTGTGAATCTAATTTACCAAAATAAATGTACCGCGAGTCAACTATAATAAAATTCAATCACATTGAAAGGCAACTGTAATTTAACAACAAACAAAAAAAAACTAATAAAAAAGGAAAAAAAAAAAAGAAAACACGTTCTTAACTCTTTCTTCATCCGTGGCAAATCAATCACCAAATATTTCGTCAAAAAAGATAAAAATAAAATATTATAAATTGATTTCAACAAACTAACAAATCCGATAAATAAAATAAAATAAGATTTACAATATATATTTACATGTGTCAATACGTTGACACGATCAAATTAATCCACCGAAAAAGAAATAAACAAATAAAATAATAATCTACAGCCTCAAATCAAGCTCCGGCGGTGGCAGCAGGTTCAAGTCCAAGTCGAAATCCAAATTCCGGCGGAACGGAGTCACATCGCCGCCGTCGGTGTTGTCGGAGGACGACGATGTTATAATCGAGCCGCTTCCAACCTCCGACGAATTCACGGCAGCTTTTTTCCCGGCGCCGCCTCTGCCGATCGTACCTTCGTAGTGCTTCCTCTTATGGCCGCCCAGCGCTTGTCCCGTCGGAAATGCCCTATGACAAATCGAACACTCGTGGCTCCTCCCAGTCGGTTTCGGACCGCCGCCGCATTTACTAGCCTCAACCACCACCGTCTCCGTCACCGGCGCCGCCGCCGCGGCGGCGGCGGGGGCGACAGGTGGCCTGTCGCGGTGGCTGGCTTTGTGGCCGCCGAGCGCCTGGTAAGAAGAGAAACCCTTGCCGCATACGGTGCACTCGTAATTAGTTTGAGCCGTCGGATTAGCCGCCGTTTGGATCAACGATTCCGATCGCCTCTCCGTATCAACTGCCGCCGAGGATGAGGAGGAGATTGAGTCGCCGTCGCCACCTCCGGCGGCGGCGCCGCTTCGAGAGATCAAGAGGAGACATCCGGCCAGGTATTCCTCGTCGGACATTCTCTTGGTCCGTTTGGCTTTCCTCCATGACTCGAATCCCTGAGGCTCCTGGACGACGACGTCGTTTGAAGCGCCGTTCAAATGCTCAAACGCCATAATTGAGAACCAGTGAAACTTCTCCAGAAAGAAGAAAGAAAAGAGTTGAATTGAAATCTCAGACTGGTTTTCGATTTCTTGAAGAGGTGTGAAGAGTGAAAGACTGGTCGACTTTCTTGGCCATATATATATATACACATATATATAGAGAGAGAGGGGAGGGGAGGGGAGGGGTGGCGTGGGGTGGGGTGGAGGGTTAGGGGGTTGTTTGGCAGTTGCGTGGCAATGGCGGTGAAGGAGATACAGATTCAGTAGAAGTCTAGATTATGTGTATTCTGGTAGAAATTGGGTCTGTAGTTGATTTCTATGCCGTCACCGCGTCAGTGTGTGATGTCCGAATGCCGACCGCCATGACAGTTCACACGAATTCACTCCCATTTTAAAAAACTCCCGGACCTCTTTACTCAAAACCCATCTCCACCGTCAGTAAACTCAGGTCTACATTAATCAAACGGTAAATAACTCTCCGGACCTCAAATCCAAGGACCGTCTAACACTTTACTTCGGGCCAGGACTTTTTCTAAGTCAAAAGAACAAACTTAGTACGGCAAACAACACCGAGCGACGCAACGCGTGCGGTAAAAGATAACAGTTGGGATAATATTGTGAAAAATAAATAATAACAAAAAAAAAAAAAAAATCAACCCTTTTTATTCTTTCTACATACTATTATCGTTAAAATTCAGATTTAAATAAAATCAAACTTTCACGTAGATAAGCATTTACAGAACCAAATTAAATTAAAGAGGTGGTTATTTTGGAGTGAAATTCAATTGGCACAAGTAAACCCAAAAAAAAAAAAAAAAAAATTAGGCTAGGCGCAATTAATGCTTATTTCCAAATTAATTAATTAATGCCTTTCTCCCCTCCGCCGCTTTAACACACACGCAGTAGCTTGCTTGTGAGAATTCATACTTATCACCAGCCACTGCTATTGGTCATGAGTTTGACCGAGTGAGTGTGTGAGTGAGCCACTCTCCACCGATCCACACCGTCCACTGAACGGGACCCACACACAAAACCAACGGTGCAGATCTACTCCGTCTCTGAAATCCACGACCGGGACAGTAGAACCCGGTTTGACCGGGGACCGTAATTGGGAATTAATCGCGGCCGGTTCGAGTTAGTAGAATGAGAAATTAAAGACAGATCTGATAGAGTGTGTGGGAGGGAGACACGTGTGTAATGATTGGGGGCGTCTGTCGATTTCTTACATGGTTCTAGAAGCACACGCAGACAAGTAAGTAGAAGGTAGTAGGATTGGAAGGAACAAGTGTATGTATATGTGTGTGTAAGAGGGAGGAAGTGATAACTTTACCGGCAGGCAAGCAGCTAGCTATCTGGCTCCATCAAGAGCCACGGCTCGACACGTTTCCTGTTTAAGACCTTCCTGACCGTACACGTGTCGCCCTCCCTAACCGCTTAATCAACCGCCGATGCCACTATGACGTGGCGCTTGGAGTGCAAGCCTCCTTCCCACATCTATACTTGGAATGGAATTTTTTAAGTTTTGTTAATTAGTAGTGGTATTGAATTGTTTTGTTTTAATATTTTGGCACTTTTTTTTTATTTGATTTAATTTAATATTTGATTTGAATAATATATTATATTTGATGTTTTATTGAAAATTTAATTATTTTTATTAAAATTGCAATAATTATCTATAAAATATCACTTTCGTTCCGCTTTAAAGTTTAATTTATTTTTTGAATATTTGATATTTGAATATTAATTATTATATATTAAAATATAATAAAAATTAAAAAGTAATTGCAAAAATATTTCCATTAGTTTTAAAAAATATATATATACAAATATAAAGATATTTTGAATGTTAAAAAACAATAATGCAAAAAGGATAAATGTAACTTTAGAAGCGGACGGAGAGACTCATTTTAAAACTTTTTTTAATCCAATTTGATTGTTGTGTAGGTGGTTGTTTAGGGGTTTAAATTTTGAATTGAAATTTAAATAGTAGTAAAAATTTCGAATTAATATAGTTATATAATATGATATAAATATGTATTTATATGATATTTTAAATATTAAGTTATCTTTTAGTACAATATAAAAAATAAAAATAGATATTTAATTTAATATTTTATGGGAAAAAAGAAAATTGTTGAATAGTAAAAATTACAAAAAATCCATCAAACAAACACACTTTTTTATAGTGAATATGGAATTGATGTAATTTAAATTAAAAAAATAGAACTTGAAACTACGAGTTTATTTGTTTATTATTTTTATTTAAAAAAATTTGTTTAACATGAGATCTAATGAATCATGCAGGTAATAATACAAAAAATAATAATTTATAGTGAATGTAGATTTTTATGAAATAATAGAATATATATTAAAAATTTATAATTGGATAAACAAACCGTCCGTGTTACACGTAGATCAAGTGCTAAAATATACAAACAAAATTTCAAAGAAACTATGCGCTAGCTTGTGTGTCCATGGTCTCATCAATAATCAACACTATTAATATAAATATTAATATAGTGTAATAATTTTTTAATCTACAAATATCACATAAATATTTATCTTCATTTAGAAAATATATAAAAAAATTATTATATTAAATCTATATGATTTGTTCACTTTATATTTTTCAATAAATGTATTTTCATATTAGATATAAAAAATTATATTGATAATATAAAGAAATATAGTAATATTTTATATTTAATTTTTAATTTCTACAAATAAATCAAATACATATTACATAATTTATGAAAATCGTTTCACTCAAAGACATTAATATGATAATTACTGTTACTGGTGAATTAGGTGTTGGGTAAAGTTAACATACAATCTTTTAGGTGGGAATAAATTAAGTTCTCATTCAAATTATATATATATATATATATTTATACTAATCATCCCAAAAAATTAATACTTGCAAATGACAGAAAGTTAAATAAATTAATTTACAATCGAGAGTAATTTTAAATATATATATATGAATAAAAGAATAAAGAGTGACACAACAAATACTCCCTTCGTCCACAAATTAACGTCCTACTTTTTTATTTAGAATGTCCAACAATTATTGTCCTATTTCTATTTTTATACACAAAATTTACTCTTTTACCCTTATTTTATTTATTCTATTAAGAGCAAATTTTATTATTTTATAACAAAAACCTAAATTACCTAAAAATACTGTAAATATCAAATAGGACATCAGAAGAAATACTGCATTTAACTAGTGACTTACCACTTAAGGGAGTTTGAGTTGTAGTTGTAATATAAAAACACATACGATGAATTGAAGAGAGTCAGAATGGCATTTTCGAGATTAGGAACAGTTAGGTGTCCGGTTGTGGCAACAGAAACTTTTGTTTCATTATAAAACAAAGAAATTCGATTGAGACAGCCACCCAAATATCAACATATATATATATATATATACATGGATTAATTTAATTTAATTTAATAATTGATTAATTACTCAATGGATTAGGATTTAGACTAATAGGTGTTTTAGGGCCACGAACATCACGCAGTTAGGCACATTGATAAAGGTTCATTTACATGTAATGAAATTTAGGTGCGGTTTCCGTCACCACTATTCACCACTCCCATTGAAATTGTGGTTACGTTTAAGCAAGAGATTTTATTTTATTTTTGGGGAGTTTCAAAATTTTAATAATAATAAAAAAATAATATTAGTTTCATCCGCTAAAAACAATTCATTGGAATTTGGCAAAAAAAAAAAATAAAAAATAAAAATTAATATTTTATCTCAAAATGATCATAATCAAGAATATTTTTGAAATTTAATTAGTAATTAAAAGTGAATATGTAATAAATACAGTGACAACTCTAGTAAATAAATATTGAATCAAATGTAATATTTTTTTTTCGTTTGGGTCACGTTTATTTTTTTGCGTCATTGTAGTTGACATTAAAAATATCTTCATATTTGTATGATGTTTTTACAAATGTCATTCTATTAATATTACAAGACACTAATAAAAATATTTGACAATTTTTTCTTAATTTGCACTATGTTTTTTGATAAAATAATTAATATCCAAAGATCAACACGCAAAAAGTAAATGAAACACTTAGAGCCGGACGGAGGTATAAATTAAATGTTGAAAATTTAATTTTATCAAAATTAATAAAAGTCGAATAAAACAAATAGATTATACTACCTCCATCCAGTTCTAAGGGTCCAATTTACTTTTTGTATATTAATCTTTAAATTTTTATTATTATATCAAAATGTAATAAAAATTAAAAAATAAATTATAAAAATACTTTTATTAGTGTCTTAATAATAAATAAAAAAATAAAGAATAAAAATAAATTTGAGTGATGAAAAGATCTTTTTGAGTTGAGACTGACCAAATAAATGTTAATTAGAGGAGAGGATACTCAAATAAATAAAAATAAAAATATAATGAAATATATAAGACTGACACTCCACATGCCTATCTCCATCATATTTCCCTCTTTACTCACTGAATAAAAATCGTGATTTATTGCGTCTAGATATCATAATAAAGGAAATTATTTAATATTTCATGAAGCTATTTTTAGCTCATGAGACTCCATTTATATTTATTTATTTCGTAAAATTTGGTAAGGTAGTCCAAATAGATAAGGGTATGTTTGTTAGGAATTTAATGTTTTTATGGTGTTTTTTTTTTCGATTTTTTTTTTCTAAAAATAAAAATTACTACTACATTTTTTTATTTTCTCATTGCTCCTTGTTAATAAAATATATTTATTGTTAATGTTTGTAGGCCGATAAAAAAATACTAATACTCCCTCCGTCCCAGATGCCGTGTCTGCTACACTGTAGACACGGTATTTTAGGAGGGATATAATTAGTAGATAATTAAGAATATATTAGTGAAAATAATTATTCTATAATATAAATAATTATAAATTAAGATTAAGATAACTAATTAGTTTAATTAAAATTTAAAAAAAATTAAAAAATTTAAAATGAGATTAAAGTGTATAATCATTTTCCAAAAAAAAATGTGACATGGTATGTGGAACAGACAGAAACGACAACGTGAACATGGTATTGGGACGGAGGGACTATTATTTTATATATGATAAATAGTTGCAAAGACTAAAGTGCTAAGAACTAGGGTACATATCTAACATATAGTGTAGAAATTGGAAATAAAATATATTCTTCATGTAATATTAAAAAATTTTGAGCTTGTTTAGTTTTGATTTGAAATTAAAATTTTAATGGTATTTGAACATAATATATTATAAAAAATATAATAATATATTTTTATTAATAATCGTATAGACTAAATATTAATAATTTTAACTTTAAGTATAACCAATCACAAGCTCTAGCAATATTTTTCCACACTCAATAACAAAAAGTCCTTTTTTATCAATGAATAAAGAAAATAAAATATTTTAAATAAAATTAATATTAAATATAAATATATTTCAATGAATTGTTTTTAGATATTGTTACTATAAAAATAAATATAAAATTACTAACAACGGGGTACTTCAAGAGTACTAAGGGATATGGAAATGTAACATAAGAATACTAAAAATTCAAATCGAGGTAATATTTAATTCAATATAAATAAATTTTGATATTAATACTTTGAACCAAAAAAAAAGAAGGAAAATATTGTGAAATATTTTATAAGAAAGATGATTATTTCATTTAATAATTTTGAGGAGACAAAAAATGAATAGTACGACACAAAATCAATATTGAGAGTATGTTTCTTTTGGGTGAATTTGAAAAAAAATTGATTTGAATTGGTATTAGAATAGTATTTAATGAAATATTTCGTGAGAAGAAAAAATATATTTTTTAAAACTTTGTAAAATCTAAATAGTAAAATTTTAAAAAATTTAAAAAAAATAAAAATAAAAACACATTAATGCATTTCGATGTAGGATTGTTGGTTGGGGTTCGTGGTTGAGAATATGTAATTAATTTTATAATTAATAAGTGTTTGATGTAAGATTTTGGATAAAAAAATTAATCTCGTGTAAAAAATAAAAACTTAGAATTTGATTTAATTTCATGTGGTGTATTGTAAGATAAAAATAATACTATTTCCGTTTCATATAAAGAACACCACTGGACTTTTACGTCATTGTATTTAACACTAAAAATATATTTATATTTGTATAATTTACTCCACAAATGCATTATATTTGTATTACAAGAGACTAATAGATATATTTTTGTAATTTCTTGATTTGTACTATATATTGACAAAACTATTCATATTTAAAAATTAGCACACAAAAAAAAACCTATGATACTCTTTTTATGGGCCGGAAGTAGTATTTGATTTGATTTTTTTTTTTTTAAAAAGCAACTATTAATGAACAATATCAAAAATTTAAAATACGTATGTAAACGGTGCTGAATTCATCCACCGCTTTCGCTGTCCACCGCTAAATTTATTGTACTTTCGCCGTATAACCACCAATTTTGATGTCGCCACACTATTGCTAAACTAGGTTTGGAGTTATTTCTATTTTGGCAAATTTATAGTATTTTTGTCGCGACGCCATTATTCTTTTCTATTTTAGGTTAAAAATGACGATTTTTAGTAGGTGAAGTAAGGTTCATGATTCACTTTGCAATGATAGTATTCAAACAGAAAATTTCAGTGAAACTAGAAAAGATTTTGACATGCATGTAAAATGTGGTCGAGTTGTTACGATGGATAAATTTTTTTGATTTAAAATTCACCGATGCTCGGTTGGTATTACTGGTCACATATAATTTACCTTGTATGTGTTATATTAATGACATAGTTTGCATGCTATTGTGTTAAGTCCTCTTTAATAAATATTGCACTTGAAATGATAAAGTGATAAGTGGTGATTGAGATAATATGTAGATACATTTTATGATAAAAATTTTGTAATATTTGTTTATTTGGGTTTGATTTTGTGATTTAATTTTAAGTTTTAGTTTGAGTAGAATATGTTGTAAAGAATTATTTAAATTATATAGTATAATAGAAAAATTTATATTACAAGTAAATAAATAGGACCTAATATGTCTTTGATGTATAAAATCATGTGTTAGGTGGTAATATGGTTCTTGTCATCCTCTCCATTCAATTAACATACACAAATAATAATTGTCTTGGAAGGGATGACTTGTTTTATTTACACAATACTTTTGAAAATTTGATATTATTAAAATTTTAAAAATATAAAATTAAATATATATATTTTTTATAATATATCATATTAAATATTCATTTTTTAATTTTTAAAAAAGTTTTAAAACTTACAAAAGTCCTCGTGTAAATTCATAGCATTGCGTGTTATTTTCAATTCCGGTTCAAGTTCTTGCCCGAAGCCAATATTTTGAACCCTGCCCGGCCCAAGCTATTCTATTGATGGGCCTAAAACAAATGAAGGCCCATATATTTAAAAATTAGATAGGCCCAATTAGAGCAGTAAAATAGAGGCCCAATAATTCTGCCATCCCCATTCCATCATCGATCGGCAGCTTCTCTTAATCGAATTATTGATTTAATCGTATTTTTTTACGCTAAGAAATCGTTTTCTGCGATTCTGTGGCTTCCTTTCACGTTCCTATGGCTATGGCGTCTTCGTCTCTCTCGCTCTCGCCGCTTTCGTCTGCGACTACGTTAGAAAGCCGTGACTTGAGCTGCAATTTTACTGGTTCTACTTTCCTGGATAGCACGAAGCTGTGGTTCGCTGTCAAGCCGCGGAAAAGCGTGGTTCGAAGATGTGGATTGAAGTCTCCGGTGGCTAGGAAGTCGCTCGACCGCATTCCGAATCAGTTCCGGGAAGAGAACCTCAAAGATGGGTGTGAGTTTTTCAGTTCGCTGGCTCTCGATTTTGTGGCTTTTGTGTTTAATTAGGGCTTCTCTGTGGCTTTTGTTGGTTACTTTTGAAGATAAATTAATTGAATTACGAAAAGCTTTTGGGATTTTGCAATTTATGGAGCTGTGTTGCTTGTATAGATATGTGCGAATGTGGTATTGGTTTGTGGCGTTGCGTAAGAATCCCTGCAGATTGGAAAAGCTTGTGTTCGATGTCCAGTAGTGAAAAATTAAGGTGAAAAAAAAGGTTGGAAATGATCCGATAATTTAAGTGATTTGTTCTACGGTAGGAGTTGATTAGGGAATTGGTTTTAGCAGTTGTGTTTCTTGCACTTTCTATCTGTATATGCTCTTTTCACTCACCATAGCCTTCTTAAACTTATTGAGGTAGTGTTCAAGTTCTTTCACGTTTTAAACACTTCCGTAGTTTTTTTTCGCCTTCTTACCGATCTGGCTCTTCATTGTAGTGATGGACAATTATAAGAATACACCCAAGTATCTCTATGGTCTTACGCCATCACAAATGGAAATGTTCATGACAGAGGATAATCCTGTCAGCCGACAAGCCGAGAAAGTCACAGAAGTAAGTGTTATGTTACGTACTCATTAAATTTGCAAGTGAACTGTTAACAATTTGCTTAAAGATGTTTATGAATAGGTTAATGACTTGTAATTCTCTTTTTTTGAGGTATTATTGGTTTAGCATTCACTGTCATCATAACCATCAAAGCAATTGAATTATACTTCTTAATTATTTCCACAGGAGAGCATTTCGGCAGCCTATAATTATTTGAATGATGGTGGAATGAAGAGTTTGGCTTCTGTGAATAGAAGAGGACCATACAAGTATAGCATGAGTGCCAGTATGTACCGTGGTGGTGGTGGTAGAGGAGGGAGGCCAAGAAATGCTCCTCCTGATTTGCCATCATTGCTTTTAGATGCTCGAATTGTCTACCTTGGAATGCCGGTACCAAAGCTTTGTCTCCAATACTAACTACTTTTGAACATTTTTATTCTTGTAATATGCTTTTTCATTATTGTTTACCACAGATTGTACCTGCGGTGACTGAGCTTTTAGTCGCTCAATTCATGTGGTTGGATTATGACAACCCTGCAAAGCCAATATATCTTTATATCAACTCATCCGGAACACAGGTAAGAGCCCTTATTGTCTGTCTTTCTGTTTTTCTTTAATTTGGATGGATTGTTACCTTTAGTGCAAGTGTTTGTTTTGTACCATTCACAATCCTGTTCTCTCCTTGCTTTGCCTAGAATCAAAAGATGGAGACTGTTGGATCAGAAACCGAGGCATATGCGATTGCTGATGCTATGTCTGTATGTACATCTACTACTTATGCAGCGTTCGGGTGATTTTTTTAAATGAATCATTATTGGAACATAGATAAAGACATATATGTCTAGAAGGTATCGGCTATCCTTGGGTGTTTTATAGTGGGATTTTCTTGGGGATGGGTGTTTTATGAAGTGTGGTTAAAACTAATAAACTTAGATGGTTGTGTACAAAAGATGTACAGTTGTATAAATACAAAGAGTGGAAGATAAAATGTTAAGACGGTTTTACATATGTTATATTTCTTTCTTCATACCTGATTATCTAATTGTTTGTTCTTCACAACCCACCCCGCTTCCTGATTTACAGTTTTGCAAAGCAGATGTCTATACTATAAATTGTGGAATGGCTTATGGCCAAGCGGCAATGCTTCTGTGTCTTGGGAAAAAAGGCTTTCGGGGATTGCAGCCACACTCTTCCAGTAAGATTCGACACAAGTTTATTTTCTTTCCATATGCCTTGAAAATCTTGTGCGGCGTTCATTGTACTGCAGTCCTTGCTGTTTACATAGCCTTATGAACTGGATCAATTACAGCACCTGGTTTCTATTATAAATACCACAGACAAATTGTAGGAATGTATTATCTAACCTGATGTGAAATTTGTCTTGGTTATTAATCAAGCAACATGGAATTGGTGGATAACCTATTGGAAGACATTTCGCTAATCTAAATATTTTTAGTGTTTTTCTAAGTTTTATAGCTTGCACTACTGGGGTATTCAGTCTCGTTACAATCTGCTCTGCCAGACCAGAAACCAACAAAACAGAGAACTAGGAATTCACTTTCCAGAAATAGCACTTCAATGAAATATGTGTTAATGTATACGACTTTTTGTGTTTACCCTTTGCTTTTGATTCTGTCAATACAACCCATGAGAATTTCTCCATTGAGCACGCCTTCAAGTTATGAAATGAGGCAATTTACAGTGGGCAATGTCTCTATAACAGATATTTGTGCTTGAATAGTTGTTTACAGTAAATATTGTTGTAAATTGTAATTGCAATGTATTGAGAACACATTTGTGCTCTTTGCTTGCTGAAGAGGTTCCTGTAGATCATCACCAAATATGAAAATAATTTTGACTATGATACATTTTATTGCCTATGTGCATAGATATAAGTAGGTATATACATACATACATATGTATATGTATGTTAAATTGTTGGCATCACATAGTTTGTTCTGGATGCAGCGAAACTGTATCTTCCAAAAGTCAATAGATCAAGTGGAGCTGTCATTGATATGTGGATTAAGGTCTCTCTCTCTCTCACTCTATATGTATATCTAATTTCTTATATTCTAATATCATTTTTGAGTGACCAAGAATGGCTTTGGTTGTTGTATTGTATTGATCAGGCGAAAGAACTAGATGCAAACACAGAATCTTACCTGGATCTGCTATCGAAAGGTATAGGAAAGCCAAAGGAAGAGATTGAGAAGGACATCCAACGTCCAAAGTACTTCCAAGCCCAAGAGGCCATTGAATATGGCCTGGGTGACAAGATCATTGATTCCGAGGATCCTGCCTTTGAGAAACGGGTAAAACTTGCATACCCCATATATATATATATATATATGTATGTATGTATGTTTGTATCATGGTCCGTTATTGGCATGGCATAGTAACAATGTATGCAACTGGTTGGTTATTAAACAGAACTATGATGAACTACTAGCCCAGTCAAGAGCAATGAGAAAAGGTATTGGAGCCGGTGCCGGCCCACAAGCAGGTGCTTCACGATTCAGGTAAAAAAATATCAATCTTTATTCTCTCTTGATGTTATTTGAATGTTTGCAATGTTATTGAGAGAGAGAGGGAGTGATCTAGCATTACAACAATAAGTAGTGTTGGTTGTTTTGATATTTTTAATGATATTTGAATGATTTTGATAATATTTAGGCTGATCCATCAAATTTGTACATAAAAAACTCTTGTGTCTTCCTAGATCTCTCTCTACACGTCTTCTATCAATGTTTTTTGTTTTATGTTTTTTGGATGAGTGGGAACACTGGTCAAGAAATTCTAGGGGTGTGTTTCTTTTGATTTGGTGTCTAGGGGTGTGTTTCTTTTGATTTGGTTAGGAAAACTTTGGTTTGAATTTGATATTAAAATAATATATGATATGTTTTGTGAAGAGAAAAAAATAAATACAAATAAAGTGTGTTTGAGGGTTTGGATTTTGAGTTAGAATTTGAATAATAAAAATTTTGAATTGGAATAGTTGTATAATATGATATAAAAAGATGCAAATACTATGTTTTGAATATAAAAGATGATTTTTAGTATAATATAACAAATGAAATATAAATATTTGATTTGATAATTTTTAGAGAAAAAAATTTAGTTAATAGTAGAAATTTTACAAAATTTGCCAAATAAGCACACCCATAGTAGAAATTTGGGTTTGGGTGTTCGAGGTTCCAAAGACGCGGTCTCGGCCCTAGGGATGTCGCTGGCGGAAAGCATACGTTGCAATATTCGCTCCACTAGTACATGCAAAATGATTCTCCCTTCGGACCTTGGGTGTTAGAATATGGATGGGGCGTGCATTTATGGTCTTCTTCTTTCGATGGCAATTTCTCTTATGTGGCTGGCTATTGGAATGGGGGGATGACATGCTGGATCGACGCAAGCGTCCACTTTTATTAAAGAGATGATGTATTTACGATGCGGTTTATGGTTTTTTGTTTTTTTATTATTCTCCGGAAATTGTCAAGGTCGTTTGCGAGACATAGTGTCCCAGTAGTAACACCCTTTTGATTGCCGTCAATGAAGTGTCGATCTCTCTCTGCGACTTGGTGTCTTTGGCGGGTCTCTCTATGTTTGGCTCTTTTTACGACGAGATGGTTTTAAGCACAAATGTATTTTACGGAAGTAAAAGAGTTTATCCCCCGTTCGTGCAGATAGCGTTGCATGCTTACCACCTTCTCCTTGCCTCAAGTAGGGGTGCAACAGGTATATGCACGAACGGGGGATAAACTTCATATCTTCTTTTGTACAATTTATGCGCTTGGAACCATTTTCTTAAAAAAGAGCCAAGTATAGGGAGGCCCGCCAATGACACCAAGTTGTGGAGAGAGTTGACACTTCACCGACGACAATCAAAAGAGTGTTGGTACTGGGACACCACGCCACGCAAACGGCCTTGACGATTTCCGTAGAATAGTCATATAAAAACAAAAAAGCATAAATTGCATCATAAATGGATCCTCTCATTAACGAAAGCGGACACTCGCATCGATCTAGCACGTCCTCTACCATTTTTAATAGCCGGCCAAATAAGAGAAATTACAATCAAAAGAGAGAAGACCATCCCATCCCAAGTGCACTACCCCTTCGGCGCCCAAGGTCGGAAGGGGGAGAGTATAATTTGGCATGTGTTGGTGGAGCAAGGATTGCAACGTATGCTTTCTGTCAGCGACATCTTGAGATTACGTCTTCAGAACCTCCAAACGAGAGCGAACGGCTACGCATCCTACGAGTGGTGTATGAATCCGTAGATGGGTCGTCTTGTTCATTGGTTGGCGTTCAAACTAAAAAATTGCCAATTCGGCATTATCGGAGGACTAGAAGATATTCTTGAAATAAACTATCTTACCTACATAAAATAAAAACAAGGATCAAAAGAGATGAAGAATAAAAGAAAAAAAACCTAAACAAAAGAAAGAAACCTACACTTGAGGGAGGAGAGAAATCTAAGTTATAAAATTTTGAGAATGACAAAGTTCTTTCGTATAGAGATTTATATAGTGAAAAAAATTGAATCATGGAAAGATATGTATAAGGAAGAAAGAAAAAAAAAAAAAAAAAAGGAAAGAGTAAAAGAAGGAAAAAAATACATATACATTTGTATATATGAAGAAAAGAAGAAGAATACATGTATGTATATAATATATATGCATAAAAAAGAAAAAAAAATTTACAAAAATTATGGTAAAAATTGCCATAAAAAAATGTATGGCAAAAAAAAAAAAAGGCATAAAAAAAATGCCATACAAAAAAATTACAAAATAAAAAAAGTCGTACACAAAAAAAAAAGAGTTGCAAAAAAAATGCAAAGAAAAAATTTTTAGCAAAAAGAAACGCCACAAAAAATTGGAAAAAAAATTGACAAAAAGAATGACGTAAAAAAAAGGATATTTAAAACAAAATTGGAATATTTTGAGACTTATTCAGATTTGAAATAAATTTTGTATTGACTTAAACTGATAGGCATTTTGTAGGCATAAAAAAATAAATGTATAAATTCAATTAAATATTATATATTTTAGAATAAAACAAAATTTCAATAAATAAATATATGATATTTAACTATATATATACTAATTTTTGTACAATAAATATCAGCTAAATCTGCTTAAAATAGATATCATTGCATAGATGGAGTCATAATCAATTTGGTAATAAATTAAATAAATCTTTTTCAATAAAAAAATATTATCGTAATTAATATATTTTTAAAAAAATAATACTATACAAATTTTAATCAGAAAAGAAAATGTTCAATCAAATTGTTCAACCATAGAAAACTATATCGGACAAGAAAAGAAGGATTACAAAATATTTCCGTAGGTCAATCGGAACGCTCCACGTGACATCATTTGAAAAAAAAGTTAATGTTCGTTTGATACCGGAGTTATATTGAAGATTTTGCCAAGGTAAGTCTCTTTAAACTCTTTCTTCTTTTATGTCTTCGTGTCCTTTTAAGCATTCTTCGTCGAAAAACCATCGATTTGGACAAAATGATCCAACATTGGTCGACGAATCAATGAAGCTAACATTTTTCGTTATATGTCTGAGTTGGAGGAAATATCAAAACTCCAAAAGCCGTTGAAGAATCCGTCAAAACCAAAGGAATAACCTCCAAAGTTCATTTGGTCGCGTTCTTCATCAAAAACATCAATTTGACCCGTTTTGATCCAAAAGTCAAAGGAACACGACACAAAAAAAACACTATGGAATGCCAAATCTATCTTTTCAAGATCAAAGCCTCAAATCTGCCAAAAGAAGTAGATTAAAATCGTCCGCAAAGAGACCAAAGTCCTCTGAAAACCAACAAAGACAAATCAAAGTTCAAATTCGCCAAAAATTGGATTAAAGATCAAATCTTCAAACTTTTCTAAAGTCCGACCTAGCAAAACTTAAGATCAAATCCCTTTCGGATCAAATAAGTGATGCAAATCTAAATAAGAAAATGAATCGATTCGAAAAAAATAAAATGATCCAAATAAAAGATATGACCGTATTACATTTAAATTAAAAGTAATTTATACAAAATTTTGTGTTTATAAAATTAACAAAAAAAATTTTATCTTTACATTTTTTGCACGCCTATTAGGGAAATTTTATGTAACAGACAAAATCAAGAGGATATTGGGTCAATATTGTATTCTGCTTGTATTAAATAGTGAAATAATAAAATATTTAAATATTAAATAGTATCTTAAAAAAAGACTAAAAACAAACTCAATATTGTATTCTGCTTGTATATCTTTCATAGAGTTTATTTTATATCTAAACAAATTCAAAACAGTGGAAGATCCCTACCCTAAACCATCCCCAACATGTGATATAAAAAAAATTAATTTGTTATTCTGGGATAACTGGAATGAAATTGTGAAATAAATACAAATAAATATTTAACTTCATATATTTAAAAATAAAATAAAAAAATTCTGAATAATAGTAAACAATTCAAATCATCCAAACAAACACAACATAATTTTCTTCATCCAACATAATATAGGAATAGAGAGAAAATTGAAACTTCATTAGTGAAATAAAATATTTTCAGAAAAAAGTTAAAATAGTAAAAAGTCCCTAATCGACTCAAGAAACCATTTATTTGAATCATTATATTTACAGATGATGAGATAGAGAGAGCGATCCACATAATAATAACAAACAACAATTTAAATTGCAGAGTCTAACATAAACCTTTAAAAACCCCTTTTTTTCTTTTTTTCTGTGCTTTGTTCCAACAATGGAAGAAAAAGTAGGACAATGAAAATACACAAAAACACTGACTGTATATAATAAATCTACCTTCAAAAAAGTGCATTGTTTTGTATTGTACGTGGAAACAAATGTGTCATCATCAAGCATGATCTTCGGTCGCGTGATGCACAACCCCGTTTTGACTGTCTAGCGGCATGTACTGCGCCATTATCGCCCGTATCTCCGAATCCATATATGACTGCCTCGTAAAACAATAATATATCAAGATAGAAAAATATATATAAAATTATCGTCAAAAGTTCATGTGTTTTTGAGTAGAGAAGAGGAAACGTACCCGGATCCTATATTTGTACACAAGATACGCCCCGCAACCTGCCACGGCTAACCCGAGCATAATAATCCAGACAACAGTCCAGGCAGACTTCACACCAGCTGATCTTTTGCCTAAATCACAAGGAAAAAAACATAAATTGAAACGCAACTGAAAGTATCAAACAAAATAGATATATAAAGAGTTCAAACTTATGCAGGTGTCGTGTTCTTTGATGTATAGAAGGTCCCCGCTGCAGCTGCACTCGTAGCTCCCCCACGTATTCTTACAATGGCATTCCGGACATTGGCAAGCTTTCTTATCCTTACATTCATCGATGTCTGTAGGTTTGAATTGAAATCACGACATAGGATATGTAATCAGAAAACTCACAACAGTCGTCAAATATTATATCACAAGTGCATTTTAATTTTGAAAATTTCTCTGACCTTTACAACTTTTGCCATCGCCTTCGAATCCGGGAGGACATGTGCATTTACCATCCTCTTCATCCTATTAACACAAATATGTTAAAATCCAAAATTTGTCGTTCTAAAATAGCGGCACAAAATAGTTCAATTGACCAACCACGCAAGCTGAGAAGGTGATCCCGTTTCTGCTTTCGTGCCAACAGCCTCCGTGGTTGATTTTGCATCGCCCGGGTCCTCTTGCTGCAACCGAGAAAGTTTTATTTCAATGACAGGGACATCAAGGAAATAAATTTATTACTACAAAAACTTTAATGATTTGCATACCAGTACACGAGTTATAGCCGTCGCCCTTGAATTGGACACCGTTAACCACAGGGCATTGACATACTCGTCCTCTAAATGTGTCCTGAATTGATAGTTCGAGAGATGTAAGAATTTTAAATGTTATCAGCATATAGCGCGTATTATTTTGTAGTGTACCTTGCAAGCTGTAATATTAGCTGTCTTGTCTTGCCAGCAGCCACCATTGTTATCCAAGCACTCATTCGTTTGCACATCTTCAATAATAAAGTTAAACAAACCAGTAAATTATGTATGTTCGGAATTGAGTTTGATCTAATATTACGTACCCTCACTTAAACAAACAGATGGCTCTGTCGTTTCCTCAAAGCCTGAGCATATGGCCCTCAAAACTGCACCCTTTTCCAGCTTCCCTGTAAAGCAGACATGTTAGAGAGTACGATGCTAAGGCTGCCAAAATCGAAACTACATTAACCAACACACAGACCTCGATACTGTCGATTATTCACAACAAGTGTAGGCAATATGGTAACATCTCCCCGTGATCCTTTTCCAACCTACAGAACTCTTGCTTCTCAGCAACTTTACACAAATAGAAAACATAGATTGTTGATTCATAATTACACTCACTTGAGCATCCTGCTCTTCCTTCAGAACGGGGTTCTCTGAATCGTCCTCGGGGTTGCCCATGCATTTCTCAATTTTTTTCAAATCGAGCCCTGTTTCACAAGCAACAACGTATTAGTTTTTTCTTAATAAAGACAGCATTGCATACGATGATGTGAGTGAATGAGAGCAGCCACCTAAAGATCTGATGACACCATCAGCACATTCTTTGTTGTATTTCTTCTCCTTCATGGGGCATCTAATTTGGAAATCGGTAACATAGTCCCACCAGATCCATGGCTTCTTCGTTTCATTGGCCACTCTAAACACACACAGCTGGCGCAAATTTTCAACAACCACATCCTTTCCATCGTAACCAGAGCTGAAATCTTGCTCGGGGTCAGGGGCACAGTATCTTCCGCGGTTGATACATTGAGACTTGCATTGTCGACTTAGAATAAATGCCTGAGGGCAGTACCATGTAATATAGTGAGGTGTAAATTGAGTGTATCCACCTTTTTCGAGAATTTGGGCTGCGCCTTTGAATTCCTTAACAAACTCCATCATCATGTCACACTTAATCCCACACTCATCATTGCTGTTTGTCCACAGTTCATACTCCACTCGATCGTCCGGGTGAGGAACAGCTTCTTTCCAATCAAGATTCACATTCACCATTTCACCATCACTCAGTGCTTTCTTCAACTTCTCACCAAAAGTCTTGTCAATCAATGCAGATGGAATCGTTATGTTTTCAATATATTTTTCAGCTGCCTGATTCTCTTCAGGCGAGTCCATCGTAATTAATTGCTCATTAATGTCATCGGCAACAAGAACTGCAGCCGCTCCAGCTGCTTGGGCATTCCAAACCTTCAAAGCAAAAAAGCACTCTGCAAGACAGGGGAGAAATTATTCAAAACTGCCGACTTAGTTCAATAAGCATACAGACTGTCATTTCCTAAGAGAACACGGAATGTCATAGCAGTTGCTATTCAGATATTTCTAGTATATAACTTGATCCATACACCAAAAACAACTAAATACAAAAGTCAAAATTGCAATTGTTATCATGCATTCACACAACTGCAAAAGATTTGTTATCTACACATAGGAGCTAATCCCAGCAGTTCACAAATACCAAATGAAGTCGAAATCATCAGAACAGGGATTGAGAAGTGGAGCTGCAAATAGATGGATTCAAGTCAAGCTTTATCCTACAAGAGTCAGATCAACTCACAATTCTGTGAATTTGAGCCCATAAAGCTTTCAATATATTAGCTTGAGCTCGAGTTGAAGGTGAAAAAACTTAGAATCAGTACTTTTAATTTTTATACTAATTTACTATAGGTTCAAATAAACTGTAAATACAATAACAATCTATAAATTTACAACTAATATATACACACTCATAGATAAATTAAGTCAACTTGCAAGCTCAAGACCAGTTATTTTCCAACTTGAGCTTGAGATGAACTTTGACTTGAGCTGCTTGCAAGTCACAACATAAAAGAAGAAACCACACAGAGAACCCAATAATTCAAAAGTTAGGTAACTAAACTATGGATCCAAATAATATTAACATATCTGGCAAAAGGAGTCCCAAAGTAGCAAAACATCAGTTTTCTGACACAAGTAAAACTTGAACTTCATTCTAGGTCGATAAATTGTATTCTCACTCCATCAAAAAGAAGAAAACAGGCAATCCAAACTATAGCTTAAAGCATGGAACACAGTAGGTGAATCATTTAACTCTATCAGGAAATCGTCACACCTTCAATCATCGTCCAAAGAAAATATTGAATCCAAATCTCATGACTTACATGTAGCATTGAAAATTCAGTTAACAGAAGGATTAGCAGAAATACAGATAAAAACATTCCGAAAAATTACTTTCTTAGAAGTAGGAAATAAAAAGTAACCTTGGAGACTGAACAAATTCTTATCCCAATAAGAGCAGCAGACAAAACTAGCTAATTACAAAAGCTATCTGAATAATTCAAGTAGACATTTATGGAAAACAGCATAAACAGATAGTTAGATTCAAATCGAAGCAACAGATGCACTTGAAGACTTACAAAAATCACACCAGGAAAAGCAAAACGATAGCTAAAAACATCTGAATAAAATTTATGCAGAAAGAAACAATAGAAGAAGAAAAATCATGTACCTCCACGGTCAATAAGAACAAAATTAGGCAAACCCCCAGGTTTTGCCTTGAAAGAAGTCTCAAAATCCTTGCATCCGTTTCTATTATCCTTCGGATACACTACCGTTCCAGCCATACTTCCGCCATACAGAGGAACTCCAAAGTTGCCGATCGCACTATCATGATTCCCCTTTACGCTATCCGGCGACGTCACCTTCAAGCTGTTCTTCTCCACCACAAACCTCCCCACCGCCGATCGGGAGAAAATCAGCAACCAGAGCCCCAAAAACGTTGCAAACCTCAATCCGATTGAACAGTCCATTTGCTTTGGCTTCCACAAGAAGCAACAAAATCCGAGACACGATTAATATCAAGCGGCTTTAATCTCACTCGGATTCCTTCCAACCAAGCATTGACTCAAACCCCACCGCCTCTTCGTATCCGAGCGTGAGATTTGCGGCGTCCAGGCGTGGAAATTGGGCGAGGCCAAGACCTGAGAACTCGGCACCAAGGAACGGTTCCTTCGTATTTGTATTTTGTATTGACTGCAGAATGAACCAACGAACACTACATCACAACATGAGTTTAGTCAACGTCCAATTAAATATGAAATTGATGGTGCGGAAAGAGACACAATTTTTATTTTATTTAAAGTATATATAATATCGTGATTTTTTCGGGATAATTTTGTAATTAGGTAAAGTAGATAAACCCAGTCTTAAATTAATTAGCATCCCTAATAAAGTCGAACTATAATTACTCTAGTCAAAATTTGTTATCCTCTTTTAATACATGCAAATTGGAACCTGAATGGCCACCTAACACTTGTTATATGTCTAGTAATGTTTTACTTATTTTTTAATTTATTTTTAAAATTATCATATTTAAATTTTTTTTTATAAAAAATATAAAAATTAGATCATCTAAAGATAAAATGTGAACAAACTCATTTCATTGCCATTAATTAATTAATTAATAAATATCAGTGAAGTATAAGGGAAGGCCTTGAGGTCTATTTTCCAATAATATTGGTGAAGTATGAGTAAAGTACAATCAAAACCACAAGTTGATGTTTTCTGCATGTGTATATATATATATATATATCTCTCTTTACTAATCTTCAAGAACAAGAAAACTCTCAACTGTTTGTTATTTTTGTACCTACCAACCAAAGCAGAGTCACCTGTTAAGAAAAGATCTCTACAACCTCCACTTCACAATCACATATTTTTCTTCCCCAACATTGCAAGGAAGTTCTTCCCTTCATAGGCACTAATCTAGTCTGTGTTACAGTGTTAGTACTACTCTCATTTCATTGCCAAACAAATCTGCTATATAGATCTGCATTTTTTCGTCGGGACAGAGTCATATTTAAAATTCTGGATGTATCCGCCGCAGATTAATGTGGGGGAGAGTCGCGTGCTACTGTAGAAAAGAGCAGCCGATGGATGGCGTAAAAGATGTCTAGTTTTTCAAGATGTTTATATCTCATGTGAATGAACAATGTAACGAACCTTTCAGTGCGCGCTGCTTCTTTAATAACTGAGTCTTGGCTTTGCGGATGGCAGATCGGGTTGGAGAATGAGTCCTCTGCAAAGCAGGAAAGAGGAAACACAAGAATCAGGTCAAACCAGCAATTGTTGCAACTTACAATAATGATCGATTCTTTACGGAACAACAGGGGGAAAAATATTAAATCGTGAATAGACGAAAACAGTTGTTTAAAGAGGGGATAGAATAATGTTTAAAAGAAGATGTTGATGTGTAAAACTTATTGCCTCATACTCCCTTTTCTATCTGATACAATTTGTAGTTAAGTGACGTTGACCTAACTTGATGATCGAGCAAATTCTGCAAAGAATTTGAAAAACTTACCACTTCGTTCTCCTCGCCATCATTTTGCTTGGATTCTGGAACAAAAAGATGGACAACAACCTAAATTCGACATAACCAAACAGATGCTTTAGTTCCATGAATCCAAGGCCCTTTAAAATAACACTTGCGAAGCACTAAAATGTGCAGATCAAACCTCTTCTCGTTCAGAACTGTAGAGGTCATCCCCAGAAATTTGCATTCTTGGAGTGAAGTTGAAGACATCATGAAGAAATTCATTTTCCTGGCAAAAGTTTAAACCTGTAAGTATTATAACACAATAAGATTAATACAAAGGTAGTAGTATTACACACCAGCATGTGTGGTACAAATCCTCGTCCCAGAAATCGTTTGACAAAATCAACCTATTGAAATGGCAAAACGAAAAAAAAAAAAAAAAAACAGAAGAACGTGAGTAACTGCATATAAGAGAATAGACTAATATAATCACCATCTATATTCCAAGTACCTGCAATAACTGGGAAAGTGAATGTAATTGCAAAGTGTGTTTACCAATCTTCAAAGTAGTTTCACAAAAATAACCATCCTGGCAAGCAAAGAGGTAAGTAAAATCCAAAAAGAAAGAAAAAATAACTATACCAAATAGCATCACACTAGAAGGTATAACACCTTTAGAATTTCCAAAACATCCTTGGAAATGTTATTCCATCCATTCACGGCTTTAGTAGCTGCGCTATGAAGTGAATCTTGCCTCAAAAGTACCTGGGCACGATTAGATACAATTTCTTGCAATTCTTGTGCAGTTAACTCTTGGTTCGACATGCTCTTTCCTTTCTTAGATGAACCATCTATATCGATTGTGGTATCACTAGCGAATTTCTCGAGGGATCCCACTTCACATATCAAAGCAATAGCTTCACAAGCTGCCATGCTTACATGTTGATCATCTACTTCTAGTAGATCAAGGAAATAAGAATTTGCACTGGTAATAGGACAGGGAAGACATGTTATTGGTACAAAATTGTATTGTTAAATTCCAGAAGCAAATGATTTAATTTTTTGTAATGACATTAGATTCAGTATCCAAATCTTATATAGAAGTTCTTATAATACTGTAAAATGAAAGGTTCCAAAGTCCCATATCAAATTTACCCTTTCCAACTATGGTGACTAAGGTTCCATCCATTGACAGTTGTGAGAAGAAGTGACCAAGACAAAATAGTAGCAGAGAGGACCGGTGCTGAATGTTCCTTTGCTACAACCTAACAAACAAGCCAAAGATTGGGACTTAACATAATCAAATACATAATATACTGGACAGAAACATGTTGGATGCTATCACAATGTAGAAGCTATTATTAGAAGATTAGCTCAATGACAGGGAATCAAAGAGGTGGCATGAGAGGAATAGCAATAAACAAAATGGAAACAAGAGAGTACTTTAAAAGGTCATATACATCTCCTTATTAATGTCTATATACCCTCTCTGCCTTGCTCATGTTTCGGATGTAAAATACAATTAATTTTGTGGAAAAAAGATAGGGAAAGCTCGTTAACCCTTGTAGGGTATCAATTCATAGCTATCACAAGGTCATCTTACTCTTACAATGGCTCAATTAGAAGCCAGAAGGAACAATTTACAATATATTTCCTACCGTGCCTCAGTAATCAGTATAATGTAAGACATAAAGAGATATAGAAACTTAGAAAAGACTTGTTGCAATAGCCTCTTCAGAAGGAATGCGACTTTCGATATTTATACAACAAATACTACTGTTACATAGCCAGATATTGAATCTTTCCGGATAACCGTAAATGGCATATTAAAAATGATTCTGGACAAAGGGCACACATACTGTTTCACTTGGATCGGAGTAAATGAAGTCCCATATTATCTTCATGGAAGCTTCTGTTTGCTCAAAACTATCGGCTCCAACAAAAGTGACAACTGCTAGACATTCAATCACCTAAAATATCACAAAACTCCATCACTGCCCAAAAAGAAAGCCAAAAAAAAAAAAAAGAAACAAACAAGAGACAAAATCAGGTTAGTTCGGATGTTGTTTGTGAGTGGTTTGGCCGTTGTTTGGGAGTGGTTTGGACGTTATACAAGTTTGGACTGAAATAAGCTTTATATGTGGTGTAAAGATATGTTTGGTGGTTTTGTATAATGGAAAATGAAGGCTTGATATAATGCTTAAAATGAAAATTAATGATGTGATTGTGATGGTTCGAAAAAGAAAAAATGCAATGAATAGTACAAGACCTATCTGAGATCCCAAAACGAACAATGAGACTTAAAACTTACAATTATAGACAAGACTAAAATTATATGGTTAAATTGCATAAAAATAACAGATCCAGCATCAAGTATCATACATACAGATAACAACACTGCTTCGGATTTGGATTTTAAGGCTTGGGAGATTACAGGAAGCGTCTCCATGTAGAGTTCATTAGCATTATCCCCACAACCTATAGTGATGGCTAACAGTCCTGTAGAGACATAAAAGTAGCAGCATTTTTAATGGGGAATGCAATTCAAATAACTGCTGCTCCTCAGAAGTGAAACTAACCAAGGGCACGGGAAGCTAAGACAATCTCTATAGATGAACCCTTTTTGAATGAATTTAGGCAGCAGTAAAGCAAAGTTGCAAAACTGCAAAATTAGAGCCATCTAAAATGAGTATATAAACACATGTTAAATCAGATTTCACCTACAAGATCAATGTCATTTCACAATTAATTGATTCACCAACTTTTTCTCAGCGAATTGACGCCGGCAATTGAGCTTGAGCCCATCGACGATAGAAGATAAAGCTCCCTCTCTTACGGAAGCCCTAATCACAAAATACACTCAGCGAAACATCCATGGAATGGTGAACTAGAATGAAAAAAGCTCTTACGTAATAAAGTTTAATCGAAACGCACCTTTTAGCAAACAAATCGTCCAGTAACTTATCCATTGCAGTTAATCAGAACAATCAGACTAATGCAGTAATAACTCCGAATTGAGTGATACTGCTCAACCTAGCAACTGCAACAAGAACTACAGAATCCAAAAAAAAAAAAAAAAACAAGAACTACAGAATCCAATTTAACGTCTTAGAAACAAGAAATCAGCGCGCAAAAAGGCAAAAACCACATGTAATTCATGAAACAAGGCACGCAGAGAACCAACGCTCGTGATTATTAGCCGACAAATTTTCACCGCACACAAACAATCGCATAAAATCGCACTTACAACAGCGGTCCGAACCCAAACATCGCAACAAGAAATCACGCGCATGAGAATCGATGGATAGATTCTCGCATGAGTATTTGGGTTTAGGAATTCGATTTCCCAACTTCGAGCTTTTGCGAGGATCGTTTAGGCCACCGGATTCTGGTACGATCACGATCCTATATTAAAATGATCCTGAATTAGTTTAATTGTGCTTAATTAATAATAATAATAATAATAATAATTATTATTATTATTATTTTTCAAACAGTTAAACTTATATGATGCATATAGTCGCTCCGTTTTTTTTTAACATTTTTTAATTGCAATTTCTCAAATATGATAAAGTACTATAAAATATTTTTTAAAAAATTAAATTTAAATACTCTGTTATAAAAATTCTAAAGCTACTACATAGAAAAAATAAATAAATATATTTTGTAAAATAATATTTTCTTTTTAGCACATGTTAAAAATCATTTTATCCAAAATTATTGAATGAACAGAGCCAACGGATGTTGTCTTAATAATATTATTATAACATTAATGTAAAATATCGATAATATATGATTTTTTAAAAGATAGTTATATTATTTCAACGTAATAATTATTAATTATAGTAAGATAAATGTGATTTTTTATATTTTTAAAAATATAAAATTTCTTAATTAATTAAATCTAATTTCAATTAACGAAAGTATTTTTGAAAAAAAAATTAATCATCCTTGTTTCTGTAAAATATTTTTTTAAAAATAATCCTTATATAAATATTTTCTATTTTTCTTACTAAAAATTAATCAATGATTTATTTTCATATAAATCGACTTAAAATTTAGAAATACCTCCAAATTAATAACTTTCGAAATGTAACAATGCAATTATCATATATATTGTTGTTATAACACACTGACATAACGTTTATGATAAAATACCCACAATATATATTGAAATGATGCTTAGATAAACTGATGTAATATTCCCATAGACAAATAATTCATTATAAATTTGGTCTTTAAATCTCCTAAAATACAAAATTAACTAATCCAATCTAACCTCAACGGAATAATTTTCAATCATTTATTTATTTATTTATGAAATACTTCTTACATAAATATTTTTATTTATTTTTAATAAAAATAATTTAATGTTTTTTTTTCATATTTAACAAATATGGATAACAACTCAAAAAATAATTTTTTTTTTTTTTTAGGTTCAAGTTTGAGTATTTAGGGTTTCAAAAAAATCAGGACGACTCGAACTCGAAACAAAAAAAACTCGTGTTGTGTTTCGGGTTGACCTGATAATCTGAAATATATAAATCAGGTTATGTTTTGAGTTTCGTGTTTCGGGTTGACCTGAAATTTTTTTAATTATTATTTTAATCTATAATATTTATATTATTTTATATAAAATAATATAAAAAATAAAATAAAAATAATATTTTTTAGGTCAATTTAATTTTTTTTAAAAAATTTTCGGGTTTGTTTCGTGTCAGATTCGTTCGGGTTTCGGGTGACCTGAAACTAATTCAGGTCAACCTGAACCCGACCCGAAGGATTCGTATCTTGTTCGGATCTAGGGTTTCATATCAGATTTCGGGCGGGTTGACAGTTTTTTTTGTTATCCCCATGGCTCAATCTGACATGAACACGACCCAAAAACACGAATTGAAACGCCTAGTATCCAATATATCTTAAATATAACTTTAATTTGACTATATTTGTTTTGTAAAATAATTTAAAATAATATTTTTGATGTGAATATAAAGAACTAACGTAGGATAAAAATAATAAATATATATAATATATTAATTTTTAAATATATATATATATATGTGTGTGAAAGAAAAAAATACAGAAAGAACACTCCCCCAGTTCTTCACGAAAAGAAAAAGAAACTACATCCTTGCACGAAAACGCAACTATTTTTAATTCTTAATTAATGCCACCAATAAAGATTGAGATAAGCAACAATAATATTCAAATGAAAGTAGACTATATATAATTTATATTAATTTTATTTGCCAATTTGTGTAATCGTATTGTGTTGTATTATATTGTATTTTGCAGCGTTGACTACAAGACAAGACAAAACACGCAAAGAAAACTGAAATTAGGTGAGGTTGCAAGAGACATCAAAATCAACAGAATTACTTACAGCTACTCAGCCAGATTTTATTTATTTATTTATTTTTATTTATAAAATAAGGTCTATATTAATATATTTAGGGTGTGTTTGTTTGAAAGATTTTGGAGGATTTCCACTATTCATCCAATTTTTTTCCCCCAAAAACATCAAATCAAACACCTATTTTTCATTTTTTATATTATACTAAAAATCAATTTTACATTCAAAACATCACATCAAACTCTATTTATATCACATCATACAACTATTCAAATTCAAAATTTTTACTATTCAAATCCCAATCCAAAATCCAAACCCCCAAACAAACATACCCTTAATCGACCTAAATCACATTATAGTGTTACACTTCACTCGTTAAACAAACAAAATAATAAATTATAACGTCAATATAAAACTATAATGTGGCTGTGTTTGATTATGATTTTCGAATCCAAATTTCATTATTATTAATTCTTTAACAAAATATCACATCCATTATCTAAATTTTATGATATTAAAAATCAACTAGACACTTAAAATATCACTGATCAATTTAATACTAATATAATATTATCCATTTTAAGTCACAACAACACTAAGTTTACTTTTAGATTATTCCAAAGATGTCATACCAGTGGAAAAAAAGTACTCTCTCTGTCTCATATCTATATATCAATTTGTTTTTTTATTATATTAGGATAAAATAGAAATAAATGTAAAAAGATTAAATTACCCTATTAGTATGGTATGATATAAATGTAATGATATTTGTGTAATATATTGTAAATTTAAAGAGCATTCGTAATATTAGGTAGATGATATAATTACTAAAAACGAAAATAGATATTTTGATATGGGACGGACCAAAATAAAAAAAATGGATAGATGAACGGAGTGAGTATATAATTTGTCCAGTAAGGTATGAGCTCTAGGCGTGAGGGTGAATTGTTTTATCAAACTTAATTTATTTGAATTTTAAATTTCAATAATATTTAATATAACATAAAATATGCTAGGAAAAACAACCCCTATGTCTGCCCTATAAATTGATTTTATACAGATTTCGATTTCCATGGTTTTGCACATAGAAAGACTGAAAAATAGTGTTAAAAAATCATAAAGCAAGTCAAAAACAAATATGTAATTCAATAAAATGAAACGACAGACACGTCTATAATTATATATTACTAATTCATTCCATCGTTTAAGTGCTTAAGGCAGCCATAGTTGACCAACTTTACCCATGCTGTTATCCACTGCCATTCATTGACCTAAACGCCCCCAGTTTCAATCCAGACAAAGCCTAGAACACAGGGGCATTATTGACATTCTACCCAACCTCCACTGTCCTCAACCAGTCAGACCACTATAAATACGTTCATGGCAGCACATAAGAGATACTATCATCATTATTAGCTCAACAACCAATCAATCAGAAGATATCAAACCATGGAAGGCTTGATACCTTTTCTAGTCCGAGCTGTGAAGAAGCAACGGCCGCAGAACGCCTACCGCTGCCTCTCCGACAACTCCACCGGCCGGAGCTACCACCTCCTTGTTGCCGGTGGCGGCAGCGGCGGGGATGACGGAAGAATCCGATGCGATCTTCAGCCACCGGCCACCGCCGAATTACCTATCGCCGCCACCGTCTCTGCCTCAGATGCCGGCAATGGCCTGAGGCAGAGAGGTTTTAGCACCGGAGGAAGGATGCCGGCCTAAAGTCGAAGATTCCGACAATTGACATTCGTTTGTTCGTTGAATGTGAAGAATAAATTTGTAATGGATGAGCTAATTGTAAATCTATAGTAATGTGAAATGTTACCTTAAAGTCTTTAGCAATGTAACAGCAAAATATGGAAAATTTTCTGATAAAAAACAGATCTTTGAAAGATGTTTGGTGCAATTAATAGAAATGAAGTGTAAGAGCAAGCATTGGTACCTGTCCGGGGTGAGGAAATTGGCGATCGAGGGCGAGGAGAGCTTCAACTTTAGAAATCCAATGTTTATCGTTCTTTGGGGTAGCCTGAAGATCGAATTCATTCTAATCAGGTTGTAAGAAACCATGTTAAATGTAGTGGTTGCTACATCTAACTCATCAAATATTTGAAAGAATACACAAGCGAAATCGAAGCAAATAAATCAGGCATTCAACTGATGTTAAACTAAACTCAGTAATATTCATGACGAACTATCGCATTGTAAAGAATTCCCCGACTAATTAAGAAAGATGAAAGAAATAAAACCGCAAAAGACTAAAGTAGCCAAATAAAAGCATACCATTTCCAGTCCTGCGGCCAAAGGTTCTCCCATTACGCCCAACATCGGTCGCTATTTTCCTTCATTCAGAATTCAGGTCTACACAATCGACGAATGGTAGTGAAAACAAGGAATTTACTCTACTTGCACGAGGTAACAGTTTAGCCAATATCACAACCTGTGGAACAAACTAGCACATGCCGCAAAGTTCTAAATTATACCAACATTCTATACTTCAAACACAGCATATCTGCCTATGAAGTTATGAAAACAATATGCAAAGGAGTTTCGATTCCCATCCCTCACTGCTCTCTTGTGGCTTCAAAAATACAACATTCGTAAATGCATCATTTGAAATGGATGAATATCCGTCCAATTACATAACAAACAGATCGAAAAGAAGGAATGCTCAATGTACCTTAGCTTGGTGCTTTATCGCGCCAAGAATGGTAGAACTTTGAATCTGATACACAGAGTTCTTGAAGGTCCAATTGAATGGATCGTCCGAGGAAGAAAATCTTTTACGTCATTTACATTTACAGCAACTACTGTGCAGGATCACATACTTATTTGGGTGAATTCATTGATCAAATGAGCTAAACCCTTAAGCTTTGGTGCTGAAAACAATCGACGTAAGCAGGCAAGAAGAATATGCCATTGAATTAGATGCTCGTTTGTAACGAAATTCTCCAAAATTTCTTTGCAATCAGACATCATGCATACATTTATTCATTCAATTTGAGTCTCAGATTGTGTTTTGGGCTTGAATCTGGAGCACCATTTGATCATGAGGTGTTGAAGATCAGCATCCATACGAGTCCCCACACCTCCCCAAACCAGCATATGCGTTAAATCAGCAAGGGATGAACCAGTCACTTCATACACAGGATTGAACCCTAGCCTCTTGTAAAACCTCACAAGCTGCAATCCATGCATTATATATATATATATATATATAGAATTTGTGTATAATTATTAGAGTAGGTAGATAGATACAAATAGTTCTTCGACTCGAGTTGTACCTTAGGCTTAAAGTAGCGTACCTTGGAATGGTAGATATCAGTGTCGTTAATGGCAAGCAGCTCCGCTTTCCGGCAACCGCAATCGTATCCATGCCTAATCGCCGCAGCGCCGACGAACAATCCAATTCCGAAAATCGATTTCCGCATCTCAATCGTCTCCCGCCGTAGTCGCATGGAATCGAGATGCAGGATTTTTCCCCCAAACCAAACCCTAATCACGCCCTCCGCCTTCCCAAGCTCCAGCTGGGTCTGCGAGCTCCTGGCGGTGATTCGGAAAAAGGGACCCAGCGTCTGCAGCTGCAGGTCCAGATTTTGGGACTTGGATGCGTTCGCGATGTCGGACATGGTGGGCAGAGAAATTTCACGATTGTTTGATCGAACGGGTTCGAAATTCGACGAGAGTTTAGAAGATACAGTGCAGTAACTTCGGACGAGGAATTGCTGCCTGTGTGGAACGAACGACGAAGAAGGATAGCTCATAGTTCCCGCCAGCTCCATAGATGAGGTTCCGAAGAACTGGACTGGACTTGACGGACTCCAAAAATTACCCCACATTTTATTAAAACTATTTAAAATAATATTAATATTAACCCTACAACCCGCGTTTGTAGTCCAACGGTTAGGATAATTGCCTTCCAAGCAATAGACCCGGGTTCGACTCCCGGCAAACGCATCTAAATTTCGTGTTTTATTAAAACCATACGACATCGTTTTATAGAAGATAAACGATGGGTTTAGCTACAACGGTCCAATTACTTTTGTGAAAGGGTTTATCGCAAAGGCCCAAATAAGCCCTAAACCTGATTTAAATAAATACTTTGTGAAAGAAAATAAAAATTAAAAGTTTCCACAAATGGGGCATTCCGAGAATCGAACTCGGGACCTCTCGCACCCGAAGCGAGAATCATACCACTAGACCAAATGCCCTTCATGTTTAAATTATCTTAAATATAATTTTTAATAAAATATAGTTAGGCGTTGTGGAAATGAATAGAAAGGAGAGTTGAAGTCGCATTTTCGATTGCACAGGTTTGTATAAAAGCGTGGGATATGTACTGTGCGGTCTTCCTTGAAAATAACGTCTGTCAAATCTGACAGCCAATTGTAGTTAATAATTTTGTGTTCCCACCACCTTAATAATTTATTGCATTTATTAAATTAATGAGGTCCACTTGAGTTGAGTAGTTTCACTTCATCCTATGATAATAAATTATTACTATATTTTAATGTTTTAAAATTATTTATTAATGATAATTATTTTTATAAAATATGAAAATAGATATTTATTTGTGCACGATTTTTAAGAGTTTGTTTGGTTTTGATTTATCATTTAAATAATATATTTATACTTCCTTCGTTTTATATCTATATATCCATTTATTTTTTATACGGAATTTTAAAAATATTAGTATTATATTAAGATAAAATAGAAATAAAGTTAACAAAACTAAATTAACCCTATTGTAAATTGTATGATATAAAAATAATGACATTTGTGTAAAGGTAATGACATTTGTGTAATATATTAGATACTATTGTAAATTCTACTTTTTTATATGATATAAATGTAATGAAATTTTTTTAGTAATTGTCATTACCTTTATATTTTTTTGTACGGTAATGACATTTTTGTAATACTAGTATTGTATGATATAAAGAAAATGACATTTGTGTAATATATTGTAAATTGAAATGATATTTGTAATGTTAGGTAGATAGTACAATTACTTAAAAAAAAATAGATACTTTGTTATGGGACGAACTAAAATGAAAAAATTGATAGATTGTTAAAGGATGAAGGGAGTATAATAGGTCATTCGTCTTTTAAAAATCTAATCATTTTTCTATTTGGTGTGTCTCATAAATATATATATATGTTTTTTTTAGTAATTGTAGTATCTACCAACACTAAAATATCCTTCTAATTTATAAAATATTATACAAAGGTCACTTTTATATTATAAAATACTAATAAATTTAATTTAATTTTTTTAAAATTTCGTATAAAAAATAAATAAATATAGGACGGATGATGACTATTTTATAAAATATATATTAATTGAAAATTATAAGAGTAGTAATAGTAAAAGTTTTTATTTCAGAATAAAAAATTACACATACTTTAAAACTTTAAAACTCCAATTAAGAGGCTATAACCATCATCATCATCATTATTATTATTCGAATATTACAAATGTTGGTTGTTACAAAATGATAGTGACATGAATTAAACTTGTCTGTAAACCCCAAACCCAGTCGTGGTTGACTTTGTTTTCTTTCGGTGTGCACACAATCCAACGTCGGATATTCATACATAGGAATTTGTAGGGATGTGTTAATTTTACATTTGTCTATAAAATAATTTATTTTTATTTGTTTAATCAATAATTATATTTATAAATATATTCAATAATTTTATTTTTTTTTAGTATTTTACATTAATTATACTCTCTCAGTTCCGCACGAAAGTTATCATTGGTTTTTTGCGTGTTGACTTTTTAGTACTTCCTCCATCCCAAAAGTACAGTCTTACTGTGTTTGGCACGAGATTTAAAAAATATTGATATTATATTAGTAGTTGATAAAAAGTAAGGATAAATTATTTTTTTTGCCCGTCTAAGTATATTAGTGTAAAAAGTAGTGGCGATTGTGTAATAATAATGAAAAAGTAGGAATAATTTTATGGTAATATGGTTATTTATAAAAATGAAACTATCATTTTGGGACGGACAAAAATGATAAACAAGACTATTGTATTAGGACGAATGGAGTATTAATTATGATATCAATAATACAAAAACAAAAATGTGTTTATTAGTCTCTTATAATATTGTTGAGCACAAAAAATAATAATAATAATAAATAATAGCAGTACGATTCTGGATGAGTCTGGATATAAGTCAAACGGCCCAGAAGTCGGGCGAAAAAGAAGTATCGACAATCGCGGAGGTCTATCAAGAGGAAAGTCGGGCGGTCCGCAGTCGGTTACGTCGGACAACACGGAGGTCAGCTGATATGGAGGTCGATCGATGCGGCGTTCGGACCAAGTAAGGTCGGGTGTTATAAGGAGGACAATGAGGTCGGACCTGGTCGGGCCAAGCTTAAAGGTCGGGCGCAAACAGGCCGAATTCGAAGTCGGGTATGGTGAAGTCTGGTGTTGAGATGAGGCAGGATAAGATCGGGCAGTGAATTAGCATGTGCAGGTCGGGTGAGAGAACAGTTCTGGGACGGTTGGAGGAAGTTGCAACTGGCGAACGATTTTTGAAGGTCGGACGTGGTAGGACGGTTGACACACGTGTCAATAGAAGAGAATTTTTGGGACGGTTAACAGCGGTTATGGTAACCGACCAGATAGCGGTTCAAACCGTTTCTTCAACAAGGTTATTTAAGGATCCGGTGCTATTCAAAAAAGGCATCTTCAATAGACAAAAATTCAAAGAGAATTGCTTTTGGAGATCACCACTTTATTTTCCAGTCTTTTATTTTATTTTTCTACAGTGTTTAAAGATTCTTAATCTTAGACACTCAATTTTCTCTATTTTCGAATTTTACTTTTTATTATTGAAAAAATACATCAACAAATATAAAGACATTTGTAAAAATAAAAATTATACAAATATCGTCAGCAATACTTTCCAAGCAATAATTTCCAAGCGCATGTATAAGAACGACAGAACCTAATACATGTTGAAACCTGAATCTGAAAAAAAATTAATTAATTAATTAATTACAAATACTCTATCAATAATTATAAATTATAAAAATTAAAATAAAATTAAATAGTATGATCATTTTTTAAGAAAAAATTAACACTTATATGAAAAAAAAAAAAAACATTTTATGTGAAATTAGAAAACTATAATAAATAAAAATACCAAAATTGATGGGATGATGAGATTACTGTGAAAACCACAAATCTGCCAAACCTAGTGTATACACACACCTACCTAAAACCTTACTCAACCTTATCGTAGAATGTTTGATAACTTTGGAGTTCAAGAAACGTAAACAAGGGAGAGTGAGTGAATAGCACATGGTTTGACAAGAAGCAAAGCAAGGAATTCTCCAACAATTTACACACCAATTTGAAGCAGATAACAAACTCTGATCGATGACCGAGAGTGGAAATTCCGATCAACAAATAAAAATCCGAGAGGAATTCATATTAAAAAGCGACAGATATTACAAATATAGAACAGAGCAAGAAGATGAGAGCAGTTGTTTTGTTTACTCATGAATGCCGCAATGAAAAGGAGGAGAGGAGAGGAGAGGAGAGGAGTTATCGAATTCCTTCAATTTCTTCTTGTTCGTTAAATCAAATCAATCCATCTCTTCTTCATCAGAAGCACGCATCCAACAGGCAACAGCAGCACAGTGCAGCCAAGCTTCAAAAGTAAACCAACAAACAGTTAACTTAAAATTGAGAATAGATCGGAACGAAAAATCCTTAAGGAGAAGAAACCGCAGTCAGTCAGATTTTACAATCTACACAAATAAATCAAAAGATATATTAATCTCCAAGGATGAATCCGTCGGTGCAGTTAAGCCACAAACCGAAGCGTAAGAATGGAGTTCCGGTCAACTCATCTAAACAATCGAGATAAGCATATACAAGATCTTTTAGATCTGAATCCGCGACCAACATTTTTGCCATCCAAATCATCAAATGCACACAGAACAGGAAAAATTCAACAAAAGAGGCGAAACTAGACATATCTAGAGAATATTTAGTTGCGAGAGCGTACCATCCTTCCATAAAACCGGCGCTACCACCGGACTGCTGCTGTTGCGGCGGCGGTTGACCGTATTGCGGAGCATACTGCGGCGGATAGCCGCCCTGAGGAGGATACCCCTGCGGCGGATAACCAGGGGGAGGGTAAGCATCCTTCGGATAACCCTCCGGCGGATATCCTGCACAAAGGATAAACAATAAAAAAGATCAATCCAAAAACGATACGTTCCGACTGGATCGCACTACAGAATCGCCAAAATTGACTTCAAAATACTTACCCTGCGGAGGAGGAACACCAACAGGAGGCTGATTCTGATTGTAATAGCTCATGATCTCTTCGAATTTCCGGCGTCGATTCTCCCGAGCGGCGGCGAAAGGAAGAACTGGTGCGGGTACCTTGTAGAGAGAGAATCGGTGGCGGTTTCTATGAGGGCACGAGAGAATAGAGATAATCGATTATTTATTAGTGTTTGTGTCGTTAATGTACGTGTAGATTACGCGTTTCTGTCAAACCACAAAAACTTTATGCGAACCCAGGGTTTTGAAGTCCTGAAAAGATCCACACCGTTCACTTTTCGTAGCCGATAAGGAAACGGCTAGGATTGACTTTAGAGTTGGGCTCTCCGGAGTCGTGAAGAATCCACACGTGATAAAAGATATAGCACTGTTGCGCTCTCCATGTGATTATGCATTTTGTAATTTCCCTTTCCAACTCATAACGGTTACCAAATTATTCCTCTATTAGGTTTTTTTACTTATTATTATTCTTTTAAATTTATTTTTAAAAATAATAATATGTTAAAAAAATAATAAGAAAATAAACTTTATCTATTTAAGATGAATTTTAACTTTTTATAAAATTATTATTATTAATTCATCAAAATTACAATAATAAAAAATTATCAAACTATAAAATAGTTTTGCACACATAATTGATTAAAAATAGTGAAAAATATATGGATAAGTCGCGAATTTGAAATGTGCACCTGACGTGGTTTGAAAAGAACATTTATGTAGACAATATAAATCAAAATTTAATTTAATTTTTTTTTTAAAAAAAGAAAACCATTGTCTTTAAATATTCAATTTTAAGTCAAATATTTCGTATCTAGACAATGCATATCCAGCCCACAATTAAGTAAATTTGAGGCAAGTCATTTTTTAAATTATTCATCACAATTATCTTTTTAAAAAATATTAAATTTAATATATATTTTATTTAAGGCATTATATAAAAAATTACAAAATTTTCTATAAACATATCATATCTAATATTTTCCATGTCATAAAATAAAAGTTAACTTTTTCAATTACTATAAAAAAAATAAGGCTATTTCGTTTTTAGTAAAATATTATTTTTATTATTATCAAAGAAAAAATATATATTTTATACTCCCTCCGTCCCAAATATCATGTCCACGTTGCCGTTTCTGTCCGTCCCACGTACCAGGTCACTTTCTTTTTTTGAAAAATGATTACATACTTTAATCTCATTTTAAATTTTAAATTTTATTTTTTTAAAAAAATTTTAATTAAACTAATTAGTTATCTTAATCTTAATTTATAATTATTTATATTATAGGATAATTATTTTCACTAATACATTCTTAATTATCTACTAATTATACCCCTCCTAAAATATAGTGTCTACAATGTATCAGACACGGTATCTAGGATAGAGAGAGTATTAAATTTTATTCCAAAAGTAAATAAGTCTATTTCTCAATAATATAATAAATATATTATTAAATGTGTTTTTTCTTATTTGAAATTAAAATTACCATTATTCAATCCACACAATTTACAAAATAAATATATACTATTTTTTCTTATAAATATTTTATCAAAATACTAGTTAATTTAAAACTCAAACTAATATCCAATATCAGCTCAAAACCAAACAAATCCTTAATATTTACATTAAGTATTTATTTTATCAATTTTTTTTTTATATAATTAAAATTCTTCAAAATCTCAAAATACTTATATAATACATCTAAATACAATCTTATTATTTATGTAAAAACAATTAACATAGTATTAATATAAATACATGAATATTTTCGTAACAACAAAAAATACAATGGGTGTGTTCATTTGTGATTTTTATAAATATACTATTTTTTATATTAAGTATAAGAAATTGTTAATATAAAAAATTATGTAAAATTATTAACTTTTTATATAAAGTATGAAAAATCAAGTTGATAATATCATAATTTACTAAATTTTATTACCTTAAATAAGGTGATACTAACCCAAATACATAAGGTTTTAGGACAAAGAAAGTATTTGATTGTAAAAAAAATAAAAATAAAAATTTATCATATAATACTCTATGTTATATAAATCTACGCTCATTTTTCTTTTTGTATTGTCATTAAAAAATATTCTCGTTACTTTTTTAAATAAAAAATTATTATATTTTGTTATATTATTTTTTACTATAAAAGAAAAAAGTAACTATTATTATTCACTTTAATTAAAATCGGTGTCAGATCAAATGAGCATGTATTTGCACGACAGAAGGAGTACATAAAGTCCAAAATAGAGGTGGCAATCCTGGATCGACCCGTTTTTTAAAGACGGATTGACCCAGCACATTTTTAGTGTATCAAACATAGGCTCGGTCTAATTTTAGTCGGATCTCAAAGTTCAGGTTGGGCTTGATTTTAAACTATGCTACTCTTGACTAGACAAATTTTTAATTTTTTAGATATATTTTGTGTAGTTATTATATTAAAAAAAATTATATTAATGTAAATAAATATAATTATGATAAAAAATAATATTTTTTATTGATAATTTAAAAAGTTTCGGCAGCAGATCACGAACTCTTGGTGATCTAAATTTAAATATTAAATATATTTTTAAGTTTATGATATATTTATAATTTACTTAAAAATATTTAAATGTAAAATTTATTTGATAAATTAAATTGGGCCAACCTGAATTGCATAGGGGCAACCACAACCCAAATTTGCAAAAGACTGAAAAAATTTCAAACCTAATTTTAAAGTACAAATCTTTAATCTCCATCGTGTTCAAATTGAATTTTCAAACCGTAGTTATTCTTGCCCTCTCTACCAAAACAATAATTTCATGGTTTTTTATCCAAAAATAAGTTTTTTTTTAGGGTTGGGGGTTTTGTGTTTGGATATGAATAATAAAAAATTAAAATTCGAACAGATGTTTGATGCCATATAAATAAAAATTAGATGTGATATTTTGAGGATAAAATAAATTTGTAATATAATTTTAAAAAATATAATTATTTGATGTGAAATTTAAAAAATAAAAAATAAAAATCCGCGTTAATACTCGCAACCTAAATGTTTTTTTTGGGCCGTTGACCATATGTCAAATGTTAAACTGATTTATTTGAAGAGTATTTCTTATTTTTATTTTATTTTATTTTATCTAAAGGTGTTGAATACAAACTGTCCTATTTATAGTAATAGTAGTAATTTTGTTTTATTTTTTCTTTTTCCTTTTTGAAATCAATGAGATAAAAGAAAATTTTATAAATAATCTACAAGATAAGTCATACCATTTGATATACATATAGTTTCACGTAATATTTTGAATAATTTTTATATATATTATATATTAATTGAAAAATAAATGTATGATATAATAACTCTGTTCATTCAAATTTGTTTTTAGATGGATTGATGGTATGTGAAATTGTATAAAAAATTTAAAATATAATATTTCAAGTTAAATATTTGATTGTTTGAAACAAGTATTTAAATTTTCTCAATTTTTTTTTTTTAAAAATTGTATTATTTATAATTAAAACAGGGTTTTAATGCAATATAGACAAGTTTGATATAATACTGCAAATGAAAATCTTTAATATCATATTATAAATAAAAAATTTAATTTAATTTAATAAGCTTTAAGGAAACAATTATAGACAATTACTTGACACAGACACAAAGAAACAGAACCTAAAAGGAATTCGAAATTTTAATTTAAAATTAATTAGTAAAATATCTATCAAATTATTATAGTCCGTACATCCCATAACAAAATATCAATTTTTTTATTTTAATCTGTGTCATAACAATAACAAAGTATCAATTTCTTTTTCTTTTTTTTTTAAGTAACTGTACTATCTACCTGACATTGTATATATCCTTATTACACAAATATTATTATCTTTATATCAGACAATACTAATAAAGTTATTTTAGTTATTTCTACTTTATTTCTACTACGTCCCAATATAATACTATTATTTCTAAAACTTCGTGTAAAAAATAAACAGATACATAGATATGAGACGGATGAGTATAAACTCACTGCCTAAAAAAAAGTCCCAATGTAGTTAATAATGAATGAAAGTGTGCCTAATACTGAAACTAATTATAATTGAATTTAAATTACAATTACAATAATAGTAATAATAATTTAGAAATGGATATAATAGCATTATATAGTAAATAGGAATAAATAATAATTAGGGTTGGTTATGAGTAGTGTGTGACTGTGTGTAAATATAATCAAGGTGTGCTTCCATTGTCCTCCTCATCATCATCATGCATTCCTCATGTTCATGTTCTTCACCCATCATTCCTTCACATGATGATGATGATGATGATGATGATGCTGATGATGCATCATCCATGCCTATGGTCCTTTCCTCCTGTCATATGCATCATTGTGTTAATTATTACTACTTTCAATGATGTAATTATACTATCTACATATATATTCATACGTCATCTGTCTCAAAATTATAGTACGAGTTGTGTTTGATATGAGATTTAAAAAATATTAATATTATATTAATAGTGATTAAAAAATATGAGTAAAAGATTTTTTTGACCTTGTGAGTGTATTAGTGTAAAATGCAGTGACAATTGTGTAATAATAATAAAAAAGTAAGGGTAATTTTATAGTGATATGATTATTTATAGAAATGAAACTATTGTATTGAGACGGAGGGAATACTTAATTAATTAATACTTTATTTGTCCACAAGCTAACGTCATATTTTTCTATTTGAAAGGTAAAAACAATTATTGTCTTCTTTTTATTTTTATACACAAAATTTACTTTTTTATCTTTATGTTATTTTTTCTTTTTTTATACACAAAATAAAGGACAAATTTGTCATTTTATAACAAAAATCTTAATTATCTAAAAATATGTGTAAATGTCAAATAGAACATTAAAAAATGGACGAAATGAGTATACTATTTTATTTCACCTATAGATATAATAGGATGGTTACCAAAAATTAGTTGATTACACTAATTACCGGTTCTTTTAAAAAATAATTACACCTTAATAATATTAAGTAAATAATATATTTGTTAATCACTCATAGTAGAGTATATTATTCCATTTCTCTGTAGAATTTTTTTTTTTTCTTTTAATAAATTTTGGCACTGTTCAATTTTGAAAAAATATTACATTAAATATTATTATTTTTTATGATTTTAAAATTTTTTAAAATTCTAAAAATTTCCAAAAGTCTGTCATACGTTCGATTTGGTTTAGAAGCTTAAAGCTAAACTTTCTATTTAAAAATATAGTGTGTTCTTTCTCATTCAATGTATTTGATTTTTATTAATTTTAATAGTTAGAAGTAATATTTTCTATAAAAAAAACACTAAAAGAAATAATAAAAGTTTGTACTAAAATAAATTAAATAGACTTTATCTAATATATTATTATAGAAATCAAATTTTAATGGCAAAATTACAAAGTTCACTTTAAAAACAAGAACCAACAACAGTTATTTCTGATTTGAAATATTAACTCAGTTTAGTATAAATAATTTTGGAAATTGACGCTATTAATCAACAATAATTTTTTTAAAAAAAATATAATATTAAATATTAATTTTTTAAAAAATAACACATCAAATATTTAGTTTTTTATTGTTTTAAAAATGAAAAAAATGCCTGAATCAAATTAAATATATATGTATAATAAATGATAAGTAGTACTGACCAGAAGTTGAGTTTCCATGGGAGTGACGTCAGGAAACGCCGGGGAGGGACGAGCGAGAGCCGTCCGATGATGAGAAGATGATAGAAAATGGACGGTGATGATGATGCAAAGAATGGATGCGATATTGCTGGCAGCCATTTCTGTGTGGTTTCTGCAGAGGAATTCGTTGATCAAATGATCCGTCTGTCTGAAGAAGAAATGAGTTATATAATAGATGGAAAGGGCATTTACGTCAATTCACAAAAGCGCCATACACAAAATTTCAATGGCCCAATTTTTAAAAATTGTCATGAACATAAATGTATTCATTCTTTCCCCTAAATTTGTCCAAAGGAATATTTATTGCATATAGGCAATCCAAACATGTTCCTTACCCACTAAATTAAATTATTTTTTTTCTACATTTACTTACTGCCTTTTATTTATTTATTTTTTTCAATTGATTTTTTTTTTTTTGTTATTTTTATCACAAGTACAATGTATAACCTTGGAGAAAATCACGATGTTGACTTTTATATGTTGTGGGATAATAAATCATATGTATATGTTATAAATATTGATTAATAATTGTTGAATGTGTTTTTCCAACAATAAAAAATAAAATTCGAAAATAGAAAATTATCTTCAAATTTGATATAATTAGTGTTTGAGATTAGGAATCTCTAAACACTAAACACTACGGTACAAAAAATAAACTGGAAAATAAAAAACTGAAAATTTAAATGATAATCCCCGAATCACTGACTTTGTTGTCGTTTGAAGATGATTGAAGATAATTTGTCAGTTGCCAATCACAATCCTTAAATATTCTTCAGAAACGGTATTTGGAACCGTCGTCCAAACGGTTACAACGCCTCCTTTTAACCGTCTGCTAATTCCCCTTTTGCTGACACGTGTTCTCAAACGTCTTATTACCCGTGTAGCCCAACTGACCAAACTACTATTCTCACTCGCTCTCTGCAGCGTCCGACCTCCAAAACAAATGACTCGCTCATCCGACTACAGATCAACCGACCTGCCTGTCCGGCTACAAACCAACTGACTTGTTGGTCCAACCACAGACCAACCGACTTGTTGATCCGACCGCAAACTTTCCGACTTGCAGACCATTCGACTTGTTGATCCGACCGCAAACCTTCCGACTTGCAGACCATCCGACTTTTTGGTCCGACCACAAACCTTCCGACTTACGGGCCATCCAACCTGCGGACCTTCCGACCTGCGGGACCGTCCGACTCGCAGACTATTCGACCTGCGGGCCATCCGACCCGCGGATCTTCCAACCTGCGGACTATCCGACCTGCGGACCTTCCGACCTGCGGACTGTCCGACTCGCAGACTATCCGACCTGCGGGCCATCCGACCTGCGGACTTCCGACCTGCAGGCCATCCGACCCGCGGATCTTCCAACCTGCGGACTATCCGACCTGCGGACCTTCCGACCTGCGAACTGTCCGACTCACAGACTATCCGACCTGCGGACTTTCCGACCTGCGGGCCATCCGACTTGCGGACCTTCCGACCTGCAGACTATCTGACCTGCAGACCTTCCGACCCACCAATTTTTCTTAAAAATATGTCTATTTCACCCGATTATCTCAAAACACTCATTGATCAATCTAACAGACCCATTTATAGATCCATCTCTTCTTCTAACTTGAGCTTTTTAACCTAATTATAAATTTTATACGTAACAACAATATAATATTTCAACGTTCAATTTGAACCATTAATTTACTTTTATTATTATCAAACTTAAATTAAATTAAATTAAAAATAACCTTGTGACAGATAATGATCTTCCCTGTGTACACACTCAAAATTAATTGGACCGCCCAACATAAGTGCAGTCCAAATCCTTGAGATTTGCAGCCCAATAGAAGATCCAGATCAGCTAAGTCTGGCTTTGTGCATTTGAAGCACAGAAGGTGGAAGTGAAGGTGGTTGGAGTTCTTAAAAATAATTAGGTATTCAAAATATCTTATCCAAACATGATTCAAAATAAACAAATAAACAGAACATATCAAATCAGAAAAGAGATCCCAGTCCTTTTTTTTCATAATTTTTGTATGCATTATTTTTTCTGTATCTGTTTCAAATTTTTACAGTTTTTTCAATTAATTCCAATTTAATTTTAATTTTCATTTATGTTTTACCTTCTTCGTCAACTTTTTTGATTATCGGGAGATAGCCCGAATCATTTTTTGGAAAGGCCGGGGAACCCTATGATTAAATTAATTCCGATTAAGCCGTAGATTTTTTTACGACAACACTATGTTAATTAATAATTTTATTTTTTTATTTTTTCTATTTATGTGTTTTTTTTAATATTTAAGAAAAGTAAACTGCGTTGAAAATAAAAAAATGTGATGATTAATTGGTAGGGTTGGTTAGAAGATGAAAAGCAAAGCACGAATAAATAACAAGCACATAATACTACACTTACATAGGATTTATTATTTTATACATTACACGGTTCTCAATAAAAAAAAATATATCTTTTTTCACATAAAAATATTTAAAAACTATTTTATTAAAATAATATTAGTTTTTGCTCCTAAAAGAACTTTCTTTGGATAACTATTTTCTATAAAATAAATAAATAAAAGGGTAAAAGAAGCTTCTGTGGTTGAATTTCTGCCTCTCAATTTATTATTTTTATGGTCCTTTTTTTATGTTTTATTTTTTCTTTCAATCTTCACGAGATGTATGAACTTTTTGCATTTTATGAATTTGGTCAACCGTTTTTATAAAATATCAACATAAATATATTTTGGTAGTTAGGAATAAATTTTTAAGGATCACAACTTTTTACCTGTGGTTGTCGTTTTTTAGCTTTGCTTATATATCTATCGTGTATTCACTTTTGATCCCATATTTATGTAAAAAAAAAAAAAAAAAAAGTAAATATTGCCATTCTAATTTCGATATTTGATTCTAAATTTAAAATTTTTGGTAACATATCTGATATTGACCACTTATTTAATTATTGGAAATTTTCAAATGTCTATAGGTTTTTAGTCTAAAATTATTATTATTAATTTTTTCTTCTTTCCATGGATTATTTCTATCAATTATTATCATTGATTTGTGGTCTGGAATTGGAAGCTTCTTAATTAATTATCACTGTATTTACATATATATTGTTGGTCAGTTATGAATTTATATTCACTTTAGTCCTTCCCACTTTTGTCTTAAACCATTTTCGACCTCTCTAATTTTAGTAATATTTCTAACAATCCTTACAATTAGATCTAAATTTTGTTGAAATAAATAGTATTATTCCAATTTTACAAACATATTATTCTTTGCTTCAGAAGCTAAATCTTAAAAAAAAAAAAAAAAAAAATGTACAAAAGTTGGACTAAGATAAAAATAATTATTGAAGATGTTTCACCGTACGTATACAAAAATGCTACTCCCTCCGATCCAGATACCGTGTATGCTACACTGTAAACAGGAGGGGTGTAATTAGTAGATAATTAAGAATATACTAGTGAAAATAATTATCCTATAATATAAATAATTATAAATTAAGATTAAGATAACTAATTAGTTTAATTAAAATTAAAAAAAAATAAAATTAAAAAATTGAAAATGAAATTAAAATGTGTAATCATTTTTTTTAAAAAAAAGTGACATGGTATATAGGACGGACAAAAACGACAACGTGGACATGATATCTGGAATAATATTTACTCTAATTTAAAATATTCGTTAATTTCCATCCACCCTACATTTGTGTCCTTTGGTTGTAGTTTTGAAAGTTAGAATTTTAGTTTTAAATAATAAAATTTTAAAATTTAAATAATTATATAATATAATATAAACAAATATTAACATAATATTTTAAATATAAAATTATCTTTTTTATACAAAAAATGTAAACAAATATTTAATTTAATTTTAATTTTAATTTTTTTTTTTACATAGTAAAAATCAGATTCGAAAACCTACAAATCACAAACTATAAATATTTTCACCTATCTTTGATATCTCCTTCCAACTAAAATGTCCTTTAGATAAATTGTTTATCTAAAAAAAAGAAAAAGATAATTTTTATTGTTGAGTTAAAATTTGCGACAAAATTACTGTGTGAAATTACAAAATTCAGCTAACAATACATATTATAAAAATAAACATAAAATGTATTATATTAACATAACACAATTGCATTACATAAACAGAATATACACAACATATTCAAGAACCAAAAATACAAGACATAATCCCGCATAATTTATGCTACAATTAATTTCAGGGCAAAGAATATATTCGTACAACTTACATGCTTTTATTTAATACAATACATACTATTTTAAATAACAATATTTATTGTTTGTTTAATATGGTTATGATTTGTCCCGTCAACACCATAACCATTGAAAAGTATACCGTGAACAAAATACTTAATACTCAAACTCGAACCAAACTTATGCTTCCTAGCTATTTTTGGCGACCTCTACCAAGTTTTCTAACTATAATACAAAAGCTCCGTTATCTCATTGCAATGGGCGTAGTAATTTCAAGAATTGTCGCAACAAATCAGCCTAGAAATCACTAAATATGTAAATAAGCTCGCGCATACAATCATAGTGTCAGAAATCATTCCGATTTTTTTTACCAAAACTCGAGCAAGTCCCATCATAATTGAGTCTAATTCAGAAGTATTATTTTGACACAAACTCAACCTACTCGCCAAAGTTTACCATATCTTCACTTAAGCCAATCATTGACGACCCTACCATAGATTAAATAAATATGCATGATTGAGCGAAAATAGTGCGCCGATGGCAAGATTTATGGTATTTATCCTGACTGAAAAATGTCCCCTTTTAAGTTTCTTGAGATTATGAGCGATCAAGTTTAGAAAATAAATAAAAAAAAAAGATATTTCCCGGGGTAATAATTCAGAGTCGAAAGGAAGTGAATCTGACCGTCATCGACTTTTTACAAAATGCCGCTAGCGAACCTCTCCATCCTCATTCTCATTGGCATTGTGGCGCTCCTCATGATCATGGTAGTAATAACTCTTCCTGTGCCTCTTGCTTTGTCCTTCAAAATCAGCGTCTCCGGACCACCATGTCTGTTGCAACAAGAAACATGAATTTGATTAATTACATGATTTTCGACATTTGAGTGGAGGTCGACGAGGAGGGAATGTACCTGCTTAGGCCTTTTAGATTCTGTAGCCTGCCTCCGATATCTAGAAAAGGAATGGTCTTTCTCATCGTCATCGAAGCTTGAATCATCGTAAGAAGTCAACGGACGTTTTTTGAATTTCTTGCTCCGGTCCCTCGACCTTTTGCTTCCTTCCATACTATGTGGCTCGGATTCTGATCCGTTGCTGTCTGTTTCGTCTATCTTGTGTCTGTTTTTATTTTTCCTCCTTCCATATCCTCGTCTACGGTCCTTATCCTTTTCCCTCCTCTCCTTATCCTTGCGCTCCTTTTCCTTCTTAGCCTGAATTCATTTATGATCAGTGTATGTATGCGGCAAATTACGAACTATACAGCCCAGATGCGGATAAGCAACATACCTTCTCCTCTTTTCGTTTGCGCTCTTTTTCTTTAGCCTTCTCTTTAAGATCGAGAATAACTGTGTCGAATATTTCTTTAAAAAAGCTATCTTCGCCAATAAACCTGTACAAACCAATAGTACATTTTGAGAAGGAACGAAAAATTGAGGGGCAGGATTTGGTGATTATATGGTAAAGATAAGAACTCTTTACCTTTCTTCAACAAGTGGTTTGCAGTCCTCCCATTTAGATGAAGATGTTACTTCCTGTTAAATAGCGAAAGTTGAACAGAGTTATAAAATGAAAGGTAATACAAAATTCCGGTCACAAGAAATATTCATTTTGAGCTTAGCTCCAGTATTATAACCCATTTTGGAATCAAATGAAAAAATAACAAAACAGTGCCAAAACAGATATTTTTTATTAAGGAAAAAGATTAACAAACTAAAATTGAAATGAAATTTTCTTGTAGGACCAAAGGTGCAAATTTTTCCACATAATTAAAGGATTGTGAAATGAAAGACACTGTTTACTCTACGTACCTTCGAATTAAACAGGAACTCATAGACGTCTTCAGTCAGACGCTTGCGCTTCTTAGATTCTTTTTCCTCTCTCTCCTTGACGATGATCATCAACTCGTCAAATATAAACTGTGAAGTGGCATACAATTTAAAATCCGGTCTTTCAATAATCACTGCTTATAGCATTTTTTTATAATGAATGCTTGTTTAAAAAAGTATATGATCTGCAGTGTTATCATAAATGGGAAAGACTACTGTGGTTCACACTGTGGTTCACACCTTTAAGTTGACATCTGAAACTGATTTTGAGTCGATCTCTCTGGCTAGCGCACCCTTGAAGTCTTCAAATGCCCACATACTCGACAAAGATATCTAAAACACCACAAATTTGTAAAATTGACTGTAAATAAGTCGGAAAAAAACCCAAACAGGCAGCAGATACCTTTTCAATCTTCATGGCTTCTTCTACTTTCTCCTTATCATCAAAATACTGCAAGACAATTATTAGAAGAAAAAATTGATCATTTGAAAGACTAAACATATCGTTCGAGAAAACAAGAAAATGTGACCTATTGTAGACTACCTTTTTCTCAAGATCGTCTATGACATCATCAAAAAGGTCTTTTGCAGTGGACCCTGAGGTGTTGGAAGATACAGCCAGATATGGTGGTTCATCTTTAACCTAAAACCATGTCAATGATTGAGTTCATAATGAAAATAAGAAGATACTATCCAATTTAAACTCATAAGAAAAAGCAATGGGACCTTCATGCAATAGTCTCGCCAATGTGAGTTTGCAGAGAGAATCCCACTGGCAACATGTTCCTCCATCAATTTCCGAAATTCATCCCGATTTTTACGCTCTGTTTTTCTCTGTTCCTCCTGTTCCAACAGTTTATGTTTTTAGTTTAGATACGTCATCGGCACAGTGATAGTGGACGCACATTACAAAGTTGTACACAAACACATTCAGAGTAATCACCATTCGCAATTTTCTCTGTTCCTCTTCTTCCAGCTCTAGATCTCGAACGTATTCCTAAAAAATGAAGGCTTGACACTGGTAAATCACATATCTGCTGACAGATGATTTCAAAACTCCACAGAAGTGAATATTTGTTACTTGGAAAATTTCTAGGCGTTCTATTTTCTCAAGGCGTGCGCATCTCTCATCAGCTTCCAAGCGGTGTTGAACTTTTCGCCATTGGCTACTAGCCTGAGGATATATGTTAATAAACAAAATGGATTGCTACTGTTTGTGGTAAAAGATTATTCAAAGAAATACAAAACAAAGAGTAATACCTTAATGAAATCACAAGATTTTAAAAATTCCAAATATTCTACTCTGTGACGCTTGTGTTCCTCCATGGCCTTTGCTCGTTCCTAACAAAGATAAGCAGCATATCAAGCCAAGAATGAACAATAAGTATATTCACTAAATTACAGGTTCCAAAGAGTTGCATCAAGTTGATTAAAGCTCTGTTATATGTTAGCCCAAAGAAAAAGAAAAAACTACAAAGTAATGCTTGATGAAATTCAGTAATTGACATTGACATGCTCAAAGAATGCAGCAAACTGGTCCATTATTAAACTATTGAATAGTAACACTTCCAATGTTGGTATACATAAAATAAAATAAACTAAAAGTTGAATACTTCTTGGACATATTGTATAGGCCCATATTGTATTTAGATTAGTCCATCGTGTAGGCGCATTTAGACATTTGTTTGTCTATAGTGTAGGGTTTACGGATGAAACAATCATTAGAAGTTTCTTGTGTCAACTCTTCATTTCTAGGGTTTACGCATTTAGTTAATCCACAGATGTTACCTTCTTCGAGTCAACTCTTTATTTCTCTTCTTCGCCTACGACACCATCTGTCATTCATGTGCTACTAATTCCTTTCTCTTCCTCTCTTCTTCCGCATCACCTATTCAAGTTTATAGTCATCGTCCTCAACCTCTAGTGTCTCATTCCGACGTTCCTACTGATCATGTTACTACAGTCCCTTCAGACAGTCCTGACTTATGAGCCTTGCCATCGTCCTCTCCTCCTGCTGCAGCTCTATTCCTGCCTCATTTCATTCGTGCACCATTATGCCGAGGTACTCAATCTTCTCACAACCCACATCCTATTTACAATTTCTTTAGTTTTCATCACCCAACTCCCACTTATTACACTTCTGCTTCAACACTTATCTTCTATTTCACTTCCTAAATCACTTCGTGAGGCTGTTTGCTTTGCATATTGCATCTAATCCTGTGTTTTATGAGAGGACTAAGCATATAAAGATTGATGCCACTTTAACCATACATGTTACAGGGAATGGTCAACTTGTGGATATTATTGCAAAATATCTTAGAGGTCATCAAACCGTTTAGTTATTTGTTTGTATATAGTAGGGTTTACGGATGAAGCAGTTATTGGAAATTTTCTCGTTTCAACTTCACATGTGGAGCCAATGAAGGATACTGTAGTAAAAGAACCATCTGACAATCCTTTTTCAAGTAAAAACATTAACAAAAGCACTACCTTTCTCACAAGCTCTTCCATGTAGTCTTCAAAGAGGTCCTCTCGATCTCTAGCTCGTTCAACAGCTAGAAAACGAGTGTCCTTTTCAAACATTGCTACGGCTTTGCTGCAATCAAACAAATGGAATTAACTGCATCCAAATAATAATAATAATGTGTTTCAATTATAGCGATGTGAAGAGTGGAGACGGAAACTAACCTCCATCTAGTTGATGGTGTCAAATCTTTAGATTCCTGGGAGCAAGCATCATAGAGCCATAGATTTCAATAAACAAACCATAAAAGTTTTACATGCTTCCTAGATATGATTAGATATGCTTTGACATAGAATCGTAACAAAATTCCACTTACTTGTAACATATTCTTAAAATCTTCCCTTGCCTTTCTCTGTCTCGCACGCTTCTCTTCAGCTTCTCGTTTCTTTTTCTGCCCCAAAAACTAAGCAGCGGAAAACAAGCAGTATTTGCACGTGAACTTTCAAAATAATTACTTGACAATGTGGAGCATAATATAAAAGTCTGCCGAACTTTTAGTGGCTAAAGAGCGTACCTCGTTGAAAGCCTGCTTTCTCTCCCCAAGTGTTCTCAGTGCACCATATCTTCGGTCATTTATTATCAATCTCATGGCCTATTTAATACCCTTACTTAGAAAAAGAGGTTTTCTCATAAAAAATTAGATATGGTACAAAATAAGCAACAGACCTGGTCCCAATTCCAGTCAGATCCAACATTTACCGATTCCAGAAGGGCCTTGAACGCTTTTTTCGCTTCCTAAAGCGAATCGATACAAGTAGAAGTGAGGGTGATAAGCGATACTCGAAAACTAATCACATAGAGAAATGTGGCCAACAAGCTATACCTCTTTAGTCTCATAAACTGGTCCATGACCTACCTTTTTCCCTTCGGCAGAACTGATGCCGCCTTCTGGTGTGCGGATGTCTCCATATCCTGGATTTCCCACACTTTTAGTGGTTTCCTGCAGAAAGAATGAATTAAAAGTTTTTGTTGTGAAGGGTGATGCTTGACTGGCATAGGAGAAAAATAAATAAAATAAAACGAGTGTAGAAGAGGCATATATTCACCTCTGCACCTCCAGTAGAAGATTTTACAGCAGATCCGGCAGCAGCATCCTGAGGTGGTGTAGTGGAGGTTCTCCTGAAACAACAGTGAAAGCCATGAATACCACTAACCACGAGACTATTCAGAAGAATAGCAGTCAAAGGTAGCATGAGATACAGTGGTGGAGTCATGGCAGTGGTCACAGCAACAGGCACAGGTATGTCTGATACAGCCATTGATGAGGCAATTTCCACTGGAGTATGTTTCCCTGTGTTGTCTGATTTTTTCTCAGCAGGTTCCTCTTGCATGCTTGATGACCCAGGCACCACCACAGTTTCCAGATTAGCAGCAGATGATGCTAAATGTGGGCTTGGTGCCATTTCTTGAGTCACCAAGGAAGGTAAATTACTTGCATTGGGAGTCAATGACTCTGCTCCAGAAACAGATACAGCAGGGGTAAAACAAGAAGTTACATCCTTCATGGTCGATGCTCCCTCATATGAAAGCACACTTGCTCGCTCACGAGCCAACTGTACAATTAGTTACATGCATTTGCACATGAACAGTCAGGAAACAGGGTTGAAACAGAATTATATTTTTGTCATTAAGACAACATGTACCTTGACTTCTTCTGGCAAAACCCATTTTGATGTGTTTGTGACCTTATTATAATAAAATCTGCCAATATAAAAAATTGTCAGTATAATATAACAACTACCAAGATAAAAAGGCATCTCATCTTTCATTGCAACAACATAACAAACTTTTGAACTCAGGAGAACAGTTATATGTACACCTTATCCCGTCACGTGTAGTGACTTCTCTCCAGTCTGTGGTTGCATCAGCCCTCTGTAGTCATAAAAGCTGAATTAGCTACACATGCAAGAAGAGAGAGGGAAAAAAAAGCAAGAGATGAACTTTTTGAAATATGCAGTTGCAATGATGATTCAGTGGATGAATCTATCTCCCATTTTACATATAAACCCATATAGTACAAATAAATTAACAATTATAAGAGGTATATATATTGGTACCATAGAACGTTGAAGTTCTCAAGCTGCATAATAAACCACCTATTCATGATCATCTAGTGAATTGGAAGTAACAGCAATTAAATCATTATGTGTCCAAGAAGGGGTTCATTAAGAAGAATTTGATGATGTGAAACCCAAAGAATGACAATGTTGAATGCATGCATCTAATAAGCTTAACCAAACAGTAACATAATTATACAATTCAACAATAGTACACATTTCAGGATAATCCAATGGTGAACAACAGTCTAAACAATAAAAACAGAAGCAAGACGAATTAAGATTATGGTGTGCATTCAAAATATCAAGATGTAAAATGGAAAAATTGAACTTAATTTTCAATCACAAGGGATAGGCTTTCTGTTCCTTACATAATAGAATTCATTGAGTCATTAGATACTGCCACAATGTGTGCATACACACACGGATAGGCTTTCTGTTCCTTACATAATAGAATTCATTGAGTCATTAGATACTGCCACAATGTGTGCATACACACACCGACAATGATTTACACACACCGACAATGATTACACGAGATAAAGAGAAATGTCAAAGATACACAACTGCATTATCTCAACATCTTTCTTTGGACAATTTCTAACAAAAATATCTGTAAATAATTCTGGAAACTATGCTCATAAGGTGGAGCTAGTGAGTTGTAAATTACTAATCAATATATTAAGCATGAAACTCCAACTTCAAGATGACATAGCGGTTACTCACTCAGAACTAAATGGGATCAGCATGCTTCATTTGAATATTAATATTCAAATATACCACTGTGTCATATAATTTGAGCCCATTGTGAATTAATTAACTTGAAAAGCAGAGATCAGGTTAACAAGTAAAAAGGCCTTGATTGATGTTAGCTGAAGACAGGAAAGATGATGTTCTAAAGTGAATATTTAATAATTGTTCTATCTCGACATGAAAGGTATGCTATGTATATAGTATTCATCTTACTGCGACTCACCTCGATTGGTGTCATCAATTCTAGAGGCTTCTCCCAAGAAGAAATCCCTGTCCTTTTGCTGTAATAATATCTGCATTTCAAAGTTAGTGTTAAGACATCATCCGCTGGAATAGCAAAAAAAAAAAGAGTAAGAAACCAACAGTCAACTGCCAACAAGTTTGTAATTTTCCCAAATATAATTGGTTGTAACATAGCCAACCCAATATTCTCAAGTAAAACTTATAAAATGCCATGGTACTAAATGCTGCTTTTACAGACACAACATATGTCATAAAAATAGAAAAAAACTTCCACAAAATTGAAACATTTCACAATTAACAACCACATACTTATTGCCTTCCCGAGAAGTGTGCTCTATCCATTCTGATCGTCTGGTTTTTGCTGCATCAGGTTTTACACTCTTCTCTTTTAACTGAAAAGGAGATCTCCAGAATTTTATTTTGGCTTTAAATGAGATGATATGACAGAACAAAACAATATATTGCCACTAAACTCACCACACCACTACTTTGTTCCTCAGTTTGCACCGGTGTGCCAGAATGAACATTTTGATTCCCACTTGGAATCCAATGTTGCGGCCCAGGATTTTGCTCCCCATGTGGCTTCAAAGGGGTAACAGGCTTTGCAGTTGAGGCCATAGTTGAGAACCATGAAGGTCCAGCAGCGTTTTGTTCTCCAAATGGCTGCGTAGGCAACACAGGTTGTATTTTCTGACTGGGATGGGGAATCCAAGGCTGACCTCCGGCAGAGAAATTGGGAGCATCGGTAAGGGGCATTGCTGGATGCTGAACAGCAGAGACAACATTCACTTGTTGCTGGCCACCAGATGACAACTGGGAAACAAGTAAATATGTTGAAATACATTAGTTTCACACCCTGACTACCTACATCATCATCATAAGGAATTAAGATGAAAAAGAATTACATTGTACGGCATATTAGGATTTATAGGACCACCAAAACTTGGCATGAAACTGCTGGAAATATGAGACTGTGCTGGTGCAGGAATCATGGGTCTATTGGGTGGAACATCTGTCTGTTGGGATGGTAATCCTTGGGCCAGTGCATGTCCTGCAAGACTGGATCTTGGAGGTGGTGGTGGAGGAGGCAGAGGTGTCCCTGCTGGGGCATACTGAGGGGGAGGAGGCCTTCCCATATTTACAGGTCCACCAGGCTGAAATTGCTGAGAATGTACCGGAAATGTCTGCGAAGGTGGTGGAATTGCAGGACGGTACTAAAACAAAAGAATGAATTATAAGTTTGCAGTGCAAAATCAAGTGAATAAACTTTCAACCACTTCGTCTGAAATGAATAATGAAATAAAGGACCTACTTGCATCGTCATAGATGGAATAGGATTTGGAGGACCTACATGACTAATCATATGAGGCTGAACCGGATTTCCAGGTATCCATGCAAACAGAGAGACAAAAAGTAATATCAAACAAAGCATAGATGCATAACACAGAAACAGAGCAAGATCTAGAAGACAGTGATCTTTCAATGTGTATCCTAGAAAGATGATGGCAGACTACAAACATAATGCCAATTCTAATTCTATTTTTGGTAGAGAAACAAACGAAAGGGTTCCAGAAATTATAAAGAGTGAAATGTATCTGGCATCATTCAGAAACAATGATTAATTCTTAATGCTTGGGAGGCACATACAACATTTTTTACAACTTTTATGAGTTGATGGACAAGCTTATAGGCCATAGAATTTAAGCAAAATTACAAATACTAAAATCAACAATCAAATACAAGGTAAGACCTTATCGCACCATTATCACCACTAATAAGCCAAGAATTTAATAATGCTTTCATTGATACTAATTACCTATTTAAGCCTCAATGTCATTATGCCATAATTAAGAAATAATAGGAGTCTTTAATAATTAGTAATTGGCCAACTGGGCTAAATGGACTAGGTCTGGCTGCAAGCCCAAAGACGGCCTGCAGTTGCCACATCTGGTATACATCCAGATGGGCTGCTAGGGCGTACATCTGGTTCTGCCAGGGGTGAATCCAGAGGTAAAAAATGGAATCGTACACAAACTATAATCTGATGTTTATAGAACTTGAAAATTGAAGAATTCGTAGATGCACATACTTCGGCTACACCCTTATTACCATCTTCAAGATTGGATAAAAATATAGGTTTACAAGAACAGAACAAGCATTTGATTGACAGGTTAAGCTCAACCAAAGAATAGTCACATTTGTAAACCACTCTATAGGACCGCCGATAGTATCGTAATTCTCACACCATATTTTTCAGAAAGTATATGCTCACTTGTTAAAGTGTGAACAGCCTTACCAACAAAAGCATTCTTAAACATGGATTGAGGATATTAACATCAGGCGAGCATGAGACAACCATTCAATTTGATTGTAGTAAGAGTTCATCCATATAATGTATTTACAAGTTAGCATGCAATAAAAAGCATAAAAGGAAAATAGACAGCTTCAAAAACCGCTAAAAAGGCATCTCAAATACATACCAGCATGCCTGTGGATTGGGGGTTATTGGCCATTTCATTCAAATGGATAATTTCTGAAACAACCACACAAAAACAATTAGAATATTAGTTCTCTCATCTGGAAGAGGTAACAATAATTGACATAGTTTCTTAGAATGAAAAAGAAAACACCAATTAATACAAAAAAGGCAGCTTTGTAAAAGAAAAACACGACACGTGCCACGGTAGGACTCAGAACAAGTCATTCAGCTCGCATACAACAAACAAGACCGTTAATTTAGTTGTACAGGTAAGCATAAATTTCGCACGTGACGAATACTCCAATACTTATAAGCAATATCTCTATGATCTAGAGAATATTTTAGACTAATGCCGACAACAAAACAATCTGAAATAATTATTCTGCTTTATCAAACAAGGATATCACCATAACAACATTAAGTGTCTTCCAATAAATGCCCACATGCTTATTAATTTCATCGAAAGTCCATACCCCTTTTCAGTGGCATAGAAAGAACATAACATGAACTTCAATTTCATCGAAACAATCTGAAATAATTATGCTGCTTTATCAAACAAGGATATCACCATAAGAACATCAAGTGTCTTCCAATAAATGCTCACATGCTTATCAATTTCATCGAAAGTCCTTAACTCTTTTCAGTGGCATAGAAAGAACATAACATGAACTTCAATTTATGAGATACCCCAAACTTGACTACAACAAAATAAAGAGCCACAGATAAATTTCTGTTAATCACAATGAAATCAACCTTTCTGAGATACAATCTTGATTCTTCTTTTCTGAAAAACAAAATCCTCGCTTCCACTCAAGTTGAATCGAAGAAACACCTGAGAAATAAACCTAAACAAAGACAAACTACAATTCTTGACAAAAAGGGATCTCTCCCTCTCAAACCTTCCACAATTTAACGAAATACAAACAATCCTCCCAATGATCGAAACGATTCAACCCCAATAGAAAAACAGACAAGTAGCCAAAAATTCAACTACAATCCATCGCAAAATCCCAACCCCAATTTCAACAATAAGTATAAATGAACCACCGCCAAAGCTTCTCTCTCCCGTTCCTTCTCTCTACTCCAAAAGACCGAAAGCTAAAAAAAGGGCAAACTTAGACTTGAGAATGTAACTGCAGGGCGGTGAATTCCAAGATAAAAAAATAAAAAAAATTACAAAGCGGTGGAAGTTAGAGACTGGCGGCGATTGAGATTGGTGATTACAGGAAGGAAGGAGAGACGGAGAGCAGTAAATAGAAAACAAGAGGCAGAGTTTGTGGGTGGGGAGGGTTTAGAGAGGCGTTGGAGAATTTATATACGCCGTGACAAAAACCGAGAAGTCCATCATCATCATATCATATAATCACAACAACAACAACAGCAGCAGCAACAATCGACAACGTTAAAGTTTCAACAATCACCGAACAAAGCGCATTGGTGCGGCAGATTTTGAGCCCGTCGTCTGCCCGCCTGCGTGCCCCTCTACACTCTTTTGTTCATCACCTCTTCTTAGTTTCCATTTAAACTCTTATATATATATTTAAAATATGCAAAAATAAAATTTATATAAAATTATATTACAAAATATATTTGACATAATTTTACCGTAATTAACACGTATTCATGCTAGTACTCTATTATAACAGCATATATTTTTCACACGTATAATTTATTTTAAAAAAATATTACTCAGCGCTATTCTATTCACTTAATAAATTTATATTATTTTTTATTATATAAATATTAAAAAATATTTTTATATTTGTATATTTTTATTTTTATTTTTTAATTTATACTGTATTTTGATATTATAATTAATATTTAAAAATCAACTTGCAAAATAAACCAATATAAATATTCTAAATGAACAAAGGTAGTATTAAAGTATACTTTTGTCATAAGAAATAGAATAAGCTTAAAATTTTGAATAAATGTTTTATAATACATATATACTTTCTATTATTTTTCGATTTTATAATATCAAATAAAAAGAATAATACTATAATTTTTCAAAAAAAATAAAAGATAAGCATATGAAACAAAAAATTAATAAATATCCCTTCTTCACAAATCAATTCATACATTTTCCTTTTTAATCTATTTCATCTTAATTGATGTTTTCTATTTTTAATAAATTATACTCATTTAAATTTATTTAATAAATATAAATCAATTTAATTAAAATATAATAACATAGACTCATTTAAAAATTTTATATTTTTTTATTTTTCCTAAAAAATTAAATATTTTAATATTTATTTTTTTATTTATTTCTATAAATTTAATTTATATGAATTATTTTTAATAAATATAAATTAAATTAAATTAAATTATTAATATTAAATAGTGTGATTTGAACTTGAAAAATAGTAATTGTAGTTTAAAATTAACTTAAAATAAACTATCAACTTAATTTTTTGTTGAAACAATAAAAAAAATGATTGAAATAAAAAAAACAAACAAGACACATAATTTATTCTTACAAAATATTATTAAATTACTCTTTTGTAAAATTAATAAAATAGAAAAGATATGTAAAGAAAATTAATACTAAAAATTTGTATAAATAAAAATTATTACTTAAAAATAAAAATTTATTAAAAAATTATAAAATAAAACACTTTGAAATATATTAATATATGTGTGGGATGGATGACTAAGAACATTTTATTACAGTTGTCTTTTTTATTACCTCTCTTGTTACTTTATGAATTTTTATTACATGTAATAATCTTAATTAATAAATATAGTTAATACACAAATATTAGTCTTTCAATAAAATTTTCAACATGTCCTCTAAAAAAAGGTAATAATATACTATACATTTTTTACTGTTATATCATTTACACAATTTTTCATATCTTACATAAAAAATATATATATATATCAAAACACAAAATAAACATTAATAGTCATTATACAAATACAACTCAAATTTATTTCAAAATATCACATTCAAAGTAATAATATACTACACATTTTTTATTGTTATATCATTTACACAATTTTTCATACCTTACATAAAAAAATATCAAAACACAAAATAAACACTAATAGTCATTATACAAATACAACTCAAATTTATTTCGAAATATCACATTCACCTACATATTTTTCAATTATACTTCACATATCATTCAAAATTATTCTCATTTTTATTTTTATTTTTTGTTATCATCTAAATTAATTATTGTTTCTTTTATTAGTAAACATGTACTACTTTGTCTACTTTATTTTTACCCTAAAAAAGAAAATCTTTTTATTTTTACCTACTTTTTTAAAACACGTGTCCGATCAAATGGACATACATTTTGACGAGGGATGGAGTAATTTTTTATATATCTAATTTCAACATTATATTTTTCTTATTTTCATATTAGTCTTTCTTCAACTAGTTTTTTTACTAAATTTGTTAAAAACAAAAATTGTTCGAACAGTGTATTAATTCAAGTTCATTTTAATCATTTAAGTTTCAAATGTCACTTTTAATATATCAAAATAATAGTAATAAGATGTCTTATTGAGAGTGGACACGAGAATTAGAGAATAATACTATTTAATTGAAAGTGGATATAAAATAGAAAGTAAAAAACTAAAATACCCTTACTTTTTGAATGCTTTTAAAAAGTAGATTAAAGTAATAAATTAGAGGTAGCTTGAAAAAGTATGAATAATTTTGTTATAGAGTGGAGACCACGATTACTAAATAAGGAAACAAGACAATTGTTTTGAGACGGATAAAAATGGACAAATAAGACAAGTCTATTGGGACGGAGTGAATATTATATAATCTTATTACAAATTATATAAATTAATAATTTTAAATTAAAATATAATAGTATTATATATATACTCTCCCGTCCTAGGAGATTAAAAAAATAATAATATTTTATTGGTTATAAAAGTGCGTAAAAAATTTGATATTTTTGCTCTTTGACATTTCTGTACAAAGTAATTGTATATGTAATGAATTATATATTTTTAGGGTGTGTTTGTTTGGGGGTTTGGATTTTGGATTGGGATTTGAATAGTAAAAATTTTGAATTTGAATAGCTGTATGATGTGATATAAATAGGTATTGATGTGATGTTTTGAATGTAAAATTGATTTTTAGTATAATATAAAAAATAAAAAATAGGTGTTTGATTTGATGTTTTTGGGGGGAAAAAATAGGATGAATAGTGGAAATCCAAATAAATCCCTCAAACAAACACACCCTTAATTTAAAGAAAAGTGGAGAATATTTTTAGTATAGGAGTATGATTAATATTACTAAACGAAAATGAGTATTTTTGAATGATACAGACGAAATATTAGAAAAGATACTTTAAATTAGAACGGAGAGAGTATTATTCATATATTACTAGATAATAAAAATATATAAAAATAAATAATACTTATGAATTTTATAAAATTTAAAAGATCATGGAGTGGAGGTGACGATGCTATCATATATGTTAGAGAATAATTTGATGTAGAGAATAATTTGAATGTTAACGTGTACATAACATCGTGGATAAAAGAAATAAGAAAGATAATGGAGCGGAAACTCTAACTATAACAAATGCTCTTATAATAATTATTTTATAACTATTTTTTTTTTATCTTTTTAATCTACATTTAAATTTAAATTATTATTTTTAACAACAATTTTAATATTATTACCTACCATTTAGTACTTTTATTAAATTATTGAGTATTAATTACTTAATTAATTTAAGGGTAAACTTTTTTTTTTTTAGGTTCCGTAACTGACCCCTTATCATTTTAGTCCTATAAGTGGAGCCTATCGCAAATTAATCCCATAAGTAAAAATTTTTAGTTGTTTTAATCCTCCGGCGCCGGAGAACTAAAACAACGAAAACTTCACTTATGAGACTAGTTTGCAACAGACTCTACTTATAGGACTAAAATGATAAAGGGATCACTTGCGGAACTAAAAAACAGTTTGGCCTTAATTTAATTATTCACATTTAGTCCCAATACTCTCTCAATATCACTTACACATTGTCTTTGCTAGTATATTTAATTATTTATTCACATTATTTCTTTAAAAATTTATTTTAAAAAATAATAAAAAAGAGAATTTTATTTTAAATTTTATATTAAGAATACTACATTAATAATTTGAGTAAACTGTTTTTTTTAGTCTCGTAACTGGACCCCTTTATCATTTTAGTCCCGTAAGTGGAGCCTATCGCAAACTAGTCTCATAAGTGAAAACTTTTCGCTGTTTTAGTCCTCCGGCGTCGGAGACGCCCGCGTGGCTCGCCGGAGGTGACGTGTCGGTAGGTCAGCGATACCTGGCGGACACGTGAATTTTTTATTTTTTTTTCTCATTTTTTTTAAATTTTTTAAAAACTTATTTTTAATTTATTTTATTTATTTTTTTAATTTTTTTATTTAGTCCAATTTTAAAAAAAAATTAAAAAATTTAAAAAAAATGAAAAAAAATAAATTCACATGTTCGCCAGGTGTCACTGACCTGATGGACACGTCACCTCCGGCGAGCCACGTGGACATCTCTGGCACCGGAGGACTAAAACAACGAAAATTTTTCACTTATAAAACTAATTTGCGATAAACTCCATTTACAAGACTAAAATGATAAAGAGGTCCTACACGCATAAAAAAAAACATGTTACCCTAATAATTTGTATCTTCCTCAGGTACATCAAAATCTGCTCTGATTTTTCTTTTTTTGGTAATCTAATCAAATATGCATTTATTTATTTGGGTTCACTTACCCTAATCTATTCTCGATGTATTTTGTCTCTCACCAATCATCTTTTATCACGTGTATTTGAATTATTTTATTAATTTTTTTGAAAATTCGCTAAAAAAAAAAAATGCATAATAAGTAAATTACAGATAAACCTAATACCTTACAAACTCGAACCGGATCGTTTGTCCCAAATATAATCCTGTCCCACTGTCTCATACACACATTATGTATATAAAAATATTACTTTATACATACACACGTGTGTGTATATATTTCCACTATGTATGTGGGGATAGGAGAATAGAGTTTATTTTTTGGGACAGGTGATCCATGGGATAGTTAATGAAATTAAAAATGAATTATTACAATTTCTAAATTTATGGATTTTTTTAATAATTTAAAACTAATTTAATACATTTTTTCAATTCTTATTTAAACTTATCATTAATATTAATTATATTTGTAATTAATAATTTTAATTTTCTTTATTAATTTTAACACAACTCAAGAGTGTCCATAAAAATGCTATTTTCACACGTTACAAACCTTATCTCTCTCTCCGTTGCTCTCTTGCAATCTCCAGTGAAATTCTCGATGAATTTTTGAATTTTTCGATGAAATTGACATATTAAAATTTAATTATATTAGTTATGTATTATAGGAGTATAATTTAGTATTTATTTATAAAATACAAAATTTTAGATTTGATACGGCGGGCGAGCGTGACGAATATAGTACCGAAGGACCATTTTAGCGAAAAAAAAATTTACTTACAAGACTATTTTCACAATGATCTACTTAAAATTCTAAAATGATAAAAGTTAGCCAAATATATATTGATATGATATTTTGAATGTAAAATTAAATTTTAGTATAATATATATATATATAAAACAGATGTTTGATTTGATATTTTATTAAGAAAAACAAATTATAATAGTAAAACCAGATATAAAATCTTACAAGTAAACACACCAATATATTTTTCTTATTTATAAAACATTATAATTTTAGGTTTAATAACATATAACCAACAATAATCATTCTTTATCGTACACAATTTTCTTTAATTTTCAATAAAGATTAAAGTAGAGCCGCGACTTCAAAAGGGACACTCCCCGATGAAATTGCCTGGGGGATCGTAGCTACACGTGATAAACGTCCAACCGTTGGCGCAGGTGACCTTGCCACATCCAACGCACGTGGTGGTGTTCCACACAATCTGCGTATAATGCAGATAAGACATGTCATTCTCGTTGATCCTTTTATCTGCGACCGCATCGAACAATTTTTTTTCATCGTACCACATGTCCACGGCGTCCTTGGCGCTCATGTCCCAAGATCCTGAGGCGAGATTCTCCCCGTAAGGCCCTTGAGAATGCTCGATGGCACAATCAGGGGCTCGTTTCTCCGAATACGCTTGGGCATATGCGGCGAGGGTCTCGTTCCAGATCATCGGCCCGACCCCGACTTCGGCCCGGATGGTGTTGTGGGCGTCGATGTAGTCCTTAGGGCTGCATTGGGCCGAGGCTACGGCGGCCGTCGCTAGACATGTAATAATAATTAGAATTACTTGTTGGGAATTCATTTTCCCTTTGTTTTGGTAATAAAATTTTTCTTGTTTTTTCTTTTTTGTTTTTGAAAAATTTCCCTTTTCTTTAAGTAAGGGAATTCTTAATTGAAAACTGATGGTGAAGAGTAAAAGATGTAAGTTTGGGTGACAAGGACCATTGATATTTTTATGTACTAAAATTTCCTTTTTTTGGAGTGATTGATTGTTTATAATGTTTGAATTTGATTATAAAGTCTGAGAATAATAAAAAATTTATATTGAAATAGCATTATATGCAATATGTTGAAATTTTTTTAAAAAATTATTATTATTATTATTATTATTATTATTATTATTATTTTATCTCTTTCACCTATATTATATTTATTTCAATATTATTATTATTTTTATTATCTATTATAATATATCACCTCAAATCTATTATTTTTAATATTTTATAGGATTCATAATATTTTTTTTATTTTTATATATTTTTATTATCTAATAATATATAAATTTTATTTATAATAATTCAAAGTATATATTTTATTATTTTAAAAATTAAAATTATTCAAATAAATCATCGTATATATTAATTGAAAACAACATTGAAAGAACCATAATATAACATAAATGTATAAATTAAATAGTATTGTTTTTGTTGCTCGAAATAAATTCAATATATTGTTAATACAATATAAATTATAAATTATTATTTTTATTGAAATTGAATAAGAAAAAAAAAAGTAAGAGTAAAAAAATAATTTTAAAATATGATAGATAGATCATGATAATTTGTTAATAAGTCTAAAATATATATATAAATGATTTCTGTTAAATTTAGAATTGTTAAAATTATTATTATTATTTATTATTTTGAATGTAATCAGTTTTTTTTTTTTTAAAAAAAAAATATAATATACCCATAAGATCTACGTACTTTGAAGAGATGTAATGAATTTCGTTATAAAAAAAATTTAAAAAATAAAAACACGTAATAGAAAAATTGATTGCAATCTCTAATACTTCCTCCTGGGGTAAGGTTGTCGTTTATTTTTTTTTCACATAATTTTTTTAATATTAGTATTATAATGGGTTGTAATAAAAAAAGCGAAAATACACCTATCAATATTATGTAATATAAAATTAATGAAATTTGTGTAATATAATGTAAATTTAAAAGATATTTATTATATTAAGTAGGTAGTACAATTAGTAAATTAGAAAATAGTAACAAAATAACAACCTCCAATTGTATTGATTTGAAATAAATATTGAATACTCGATCACGTCTTTTAATAATATTTTTTAATTATGATTTTTCAAAATTAATAATAAATTAATATAAAATATTTTTTACAAAAATAAAAAAGTAAAAAGAATTATATATTCAATTTTAAATAATAATATATTTCTTACTTTTCAAGTAATTCCTTATACTATATATAAAAAATCAATTATTTAGAAAACGAAACCAATATAATAAAAATGAAGCAAATAAATAAATAAATAAATAAAATTGTATACTAAATATATACTCCCTCCATATCATGAAATTAGTCCAATTTCTTTTAGGTACAAAATTTAAGAAATATTGTGTTAGGTAGTTAATTAGTTTGATTAATGGATGTAATAAAGTGTTAAATTAAATATTTTTTATTTGATAAAATGTTAAATTAAAAGTTAAAATATTTTTTATTTTAATTTTTAAATATTGAATTTTTTATTTACTGATATTATTTAAAAATAATAATAATGATTGTATTTATTGCAAATTAATACATGCATTTAGATAAAAAAAAATTAATAACTTAAATGTAATTTATACAATAAAAAATATAATAAAAAACATTATATAAACAATACATAAAATTTTTCGAATTTGATTGTTGTTAGAGATAGTTCGTTATGACATACCAAATTTAATACCACATCGCAGACGTACGGTACAAAATTTTTGGTATGATATTTTACCGTACCGTACAAATATTTTGGTATACTGAATTTGCGAATAAAAAATACTGAATTACGGAAATAACCACTACAAAAAAATAGTATATTTGTAACAGAATTCCGTTCCTAAAGTTTACGTAGCTAACGTAATTTCGTCTCTAATATCATTAGTAACATAAAAAGTTAATTTAGGAACGAAAAGATCTCGTTACAAAATTGATAATTTCTTGTAGTGAACATGCATACTCGTAAAAAAATATCGAAAAAAATTTCAAATCTTCGATACAATATGATTTTTTTTGTATGATAAAGATATACAATAAGATATTTTCAGTGTATATTAGAATATAATATTTTATGTCAAATACTGAAATTAAAAATAAGTTTATAATTTTGCTTTATAAATAAGTTCTAATTTTTATTTATTTTGAACAAAGAAAAAAAAAATCAATATTTTATAATTAATTTTTCAGCCATACATTTTCAAATCAAACATCAAATTATATTACATTAAAAATTAATTTTAAAATTCAATGAATATTTATTTATGTACTATTAAATATTTATTATTCAAAATTTTAGCCAAACTTCTAAATTAATAATCACAAATAATAAAACTAAAATATTAGTAAGTTAATAAAATATAATTAAGTTTTTTTAATTAGAAGTATTAGTTATTAATTATTACTAAAATAGGAAAGTTGACTAATTTTGTGGGACGACTAAAAAAAATGAACTAATTTTGTGGGACGGAGGGAGTATAAGACAATTCCTTGTTTGACGAAGACCTACACCCTGTGTGATTGTGAAGAACATTGGGACAAACAAAAACATCCACATACGCTTTATTTACCTCCGCAACTGTCGGAAGAAAGTTCGGGCAAACAATAATGAAAATATTTTACCGTGTTACACATTTATTATTTTTATACTTTTTTATATAATTTTTTATAATTTATATAAAAAAAAAATTCTTTCCGATAATCTCAGAAAAACAAACACATCCTTTCCCTTTGATTTCTAAATATCATTTAATTTTTAATAAAAATATATTTATATATATATATATAATCAGTTCATATTTATTAATTGCAATATTTCATAAATAACATACACGTTGGGATGAGATCCTCAGACCCATTCATTTCCCGTCCATCCTTATATGGGTTTAAACTTACATTAGTCTTCCCATGCACAACGATGTAGACAGTGGCGGATCTGTATGGGGCTAGAGAGCAATTGATCCATTCTCAGCTTCCAAAATATATGTATTTTTTAGTGTAAAAAATAATAAAATTATATATTTTTGTTTAGTAATTTGTTCTTCTAATTTTTTTATTTTATAATATAAAAAATTATAGAAATTTTATCTGTTTGTTGATTTACACTTTTAGCATTTTAAATTTTATTTTTTATAGTAAAAAATATTAAATTTTATGTAATTTTGTTGAAATTTTTTCTAAAATATTTAAGTTTTCCTAATTATTTTTTTGTCCGGATGTGCTATGAATTAAAAAAAAAAACCAACAACATTGAATTGATAAAATAATCGATATTTTTGCCCCCCGAACTTTTACTGTTGGTTTCGTCATTGGATGTAGGTGGTGGAAGTGGCGGCGGTAAAGGCCTTCCAGGTGGTGGAGATGGAGGAGGAAGTGGCGGTGGTAGATGTTCCGGTGCATGTCTCGAAGGTGGTGAAGATAATAGGGGAGATGGCCGCGATTGTAAGGTACATAACACATTTTCTAAAATTATGTTCATGCCAAAAATATATTACAAAAAGTTTAATAAAAAACTATATATGTAACATGTCAACATGTCCTAATGTATGTGGTTTATTTCCAAAGATAGACTACTAATTATTGTGCATATAATCTTTTAAGTGCAAGGGCTTGCTTAGTTTGTGTTTTAATTTGAATTTTGGCTTAAAAATATTTTAATATGATATTTGTAGAAATAAATAATACTTCATCCGTCTCAATTCAAAAGTACTACTTTTACTATTTTCGTATGTCACATTTTAAAGTATTTACTTTTTAGTTTAAAAGAAGTAATCATACACCAGTATCAAAATACTCTTTTAACTTTTACTTAAATTACAAATATACTATTGAAGATATAATTACTTTATAAAGTAATTAAATGGACAAAAATATAAAAAAATTCTTACACACTTTCATTGATTTTATTAATACCACATGATGAGTTGAATAGTAAATAAGTGAGCTTGAAATTCAAATTCATCCAAATTCTTGTTATATAGCTTGTGGAATTTATTGGGGTTGTGGAAAAACACCATATACAGACGAGATCAGTCAATTTAACCATCGAATCAATCACGGAATCACACCATAACAATTGCAGATGATCTTTTCCATCTACTAAGAACAATTAATTAATAAATAAAATGAATCCCTTCCATCTCTATATAAACCCTAATCTCCTCCACATTCCAAACTCACACATCAAATTAATTAATTAAATAGCAGAAATACAGATGATGATGATGAGCCGAGCTGCAGCAGCAGCAGTAATCCTAATAATCACCACCACGACCGGAGCGTGCGTCCACGCGCAGAACTCCCGGCAGGACTTTCTCGACGGCCACAACGCCGCCCGGTCGGAGGTTGGGGTCGGCCCCATGACATGGGACGACACCGTCGCCGCCTTCGCCGAGAACTACGTCGGCGGGAGGCTCGGCGACTGCCAACTTGTGCACAGCCAGCAGCAGTACGGCGAGAACCTCGCCGCCGGCGGCGGCGAGGGGTTCGACTTCACCGGGAAGGACGCTGTGGGACTGTGGGTGGACGAGAAGAAAAACTACGATCACGTGAGCAACACGTGCGCAGAGGGTCAGGTGTGCGGGCACTACACGCAGGTTGTGTGGAGGGACTCGGTCAGGCTCGGGTGTGCCCGGGCGCAGTGCGCCAACGGTCAGTGGTTCGTCTCCTGCAACTACGATCCTCCGGGCAACGTCCAAGGCCAAAGCCCCTACTGATAATTGATAGTATTTATAATATTAATTAATTACTCATAATTATATATATATATATATATTAATAATAATTATTATTAGTATTGAATAAAAAGGAGGTGAGATATGAGCATTTTGAATGCTTTAATTCGCTATCCTGAAGTGAATATTGTATTTGGATGTATCGGAGGATCGATCTATACCTGGAGCTATGAACTATATATATAGGTTGCAGTAATTTGAATTACATATCTAGTCTTGAATTAATATACTACCTCCACCTCTGTCCGGCTCGGCTCTAAGAGTTTTATTTAAAAAAAATTTATAAAAATACTTCAATTAATGTCTTATAATATTAATAGAATGATATTGGTAAAAAAACAAATTATATAAATATATGAATATTTTTTATGTTAAGTACTGACACAAAAGACAAATGTAATCCTTAAAGGAGGACGGAACGAGAATTTGATATAGATATAATAGTTTTTATAAAAATATCAAAAAGAAAAAATGTTATGTTCACATAAAATAATATCACATATATGAATACGGGATGAGATCCTCTCTACTCCTCTCCTCTTCAAGTCGCTCCATTGCACCTGAGACAAAGTTAGATTATACTCCTCCATCTCGGTATAATTAACATTGGTTAGAAATGTAATTAAGGTAACGGTGTTTAATTAGTGAGTAATAATGAATTATTATACTCCCTCAGTCTCATTGAAATGTTATAATTTTCCATTTTCTTTCATCCCAAAACAGTTAAGGTTACCATTTCATAATTTAGTAATTGTATTACCTACTTAACATAATAAATACCCTTTCAACTTACAATATATTACACAAATACCATTACTTTTATATTACACCATACTAATAGAGTATTCTTGTCTTTTGTCTTTTTTTACTGCAATCCAATATAATACTAATATTCAAAAATCTACGTTAAAAAAGCAAACGTCATCATTCCAATGAGACGGAGAGAGTATTATTTTTATGTTATTAATAATATTGATAGTTTTAAAATAAACTTAATATACAGAGTATAATTTAAAAAATTAGAATATGTATTTAGATATTTTTAAAATTATATCATAATAAAAAATATACACAATATGAATATAATTTTATAAAAGGATAAAATTTTATATAATACAAGTAAGTTTATTTATTTATAATTAACATATATTAATTTTATAAAAAACAAAGTGGAGTTTTAAATATAAATAAAAAAGATTTGTTTTCCAGGAGAGAAATAAAAGTAATGAAGTTTTGAATGAGTTCTACATATATGATGTTATATATTATGTAGTTAATTAAATTGATTTATATTTGTTAAGTATATTTTCATTTAGTAAGTTTTACAAATGTTAATTAAAGTAGGACCAAAAAAATATAATTAAGATAGAATGAGGACAAAGGAAGTATAATGGAATACGAATCATAACGAGACCATAAAACATACCCAAACATAAATAAGAGGGTCAAAATCCCATATAAACAACAATGTTTATTTTTTTATTTATTTTTTTTGCCGATCAAAAAATAGAAAATCGTAAATTGTACCATTTTTTAAATCACCATCAAGAAAAAATAAGTGCCATAAAAATATTGGGAATAAGTACAAATAAATAGTCATTGACGAAAATGCCCCCGGCCCCCGACACGTGCCCACAATGCTGTTCGGCATAGGCGGCGGCTGCGGCTGCCTGAGTATCATTCAAGGTAATAGATTGAGAACCGATCTCGGCCTGAACAGAATCGTGCGCATTCACACTAATATTGGGTTTACATTGCGCGGATACGGACACAACCATGGCCATAGCCACGAGGGCAATTACAAGAACAATTCGAGCAACATGGCCACCCATATTCTTCCTCGTAATTATTCTTGCGGCGCAACACAACCGATCGGCGATCGATAATCGACGAGCTAGTTGTTTGTTTGCCCGATTGATGAAAATTTTGGTGTCTGTATGTCTTAAATGAGAATGTTTGTTGTCCGAATTGGATGTTGGAGAGGAAATGGGTGGAAAGAAGCTAGCTAGGCCATTCGTGAAATTTCGAAATGCTAAAAATATGGGCTGTCGCCTATATATTGTTTCATTGAGTTATTTGACAGATTTTATTGACATTTGACATGTTTTCTGTTTTTTTTTTTATTATTTTTTTTAAAATGTGTCTACATATATATTTTTAGTATATATATTGTTTGGTTTAATAATATTTTATATTGTTTAGTACTCTCTTCTCTCCATACAACTAAAAGTAAGGTTACGGGGGTAGCGTGACTTTTTCGTCGCGTCTAGTATGCAGGGTATTAGGTTCGGCCGGGGTTTACTCAGTGTGCACTTTCGGGTAGCGGCTGCGGGTTCCCATGTTATTAAAAAAAAAAAAGTAAGGTTATGGGATCCCGACACCTTAGGTTACTTTCCACAGTTCGCCTAATGTGTCTTGTCTGTCGGACCTAGTTTGCAGGGTATTAGATTCGATTGGGGGTTTACCAAGTGCGTATTTTCGAACTGCGGGTTTCTACGTTATCAGAAAAAAAATAGTAAGGTTATGAAATGACCTGATAGTACAGGGGTTAAACTTATGACCGTGAGGTTATGAATTCAAACTCCGACGCCTCAGCTCACATGTCACACATCGGGTTACCCAATAAGCACCTTCGGCCACGGCCACAGATAGAAAGAATGAAGACAGAGGGAGTAATAAATTTTATAGTTTATATTATTAATTGTTTTTGTTTAAACACACTATCATATGATTCATATTTGAAAATTGGTAAACCCTAGTTGACTCAACTCGTCTAAACGGTCCCCACTAAGATCGATACGGCCTAGGCTCGCTTTATTAAATCTGACTCTACTTAAACCTAAACTAAGGGGGAAAGTTTGGGATTGGACTGAAGTATATATTCGCCCGGCTCATGTTTCGTCTATTTTCAGAAAGTAAATATTTGTTTTTTTACATAAAATTAATAAACATTATATTTTAATAATAATTATAATAATTTTGGTATGTAAAAATTATTATACTCTTTGGGGAAAAATAATAACTTATTTATATTATATTTTAGTGTGTAATGGATAAATTATTTTAGTACCTTTGATAAATCGTTTAATTTTAATTAGACTAATTATTGATTTTAATTTATAATAATTTTTATTAATATATTTTCTTAATCATGGATACGGTTCAACTGTTTGAAAATACATATGTATTTGATATTCAAATAAAATTGAGTAAATTCAAAATTGTAAACCATCAATCTAATAAAAATAGTTATAGTCCCACCTGGGTAAGGATTGAACATGTTACTGTGGAGTCATGAACACGTCTCAAGTCACCTGTCGCACTTGATTGGTCCGTACATATAAATTGTCCCAATAAATTATTAATAGAAATTTAAATATATATTAATATACTCGGTTCGATTTGATGAACCAAAAATATATTAAAGAATAAAGATTGATCGAACAAATATAAATACTATATTTTGGGTTAAACGGTCGGACTTTCTGCCCTACCAATTTGGGCATCATTTTGAAGCAAACAAAAAATACCTGTCTTATCTTCTCATTCATTAACAGTGTCTGAGTCTGTGTCTGTTGATTGAGTGGCCAAGTCAAGTCTGAAACGTTATCCTGGAAAACGACAGGGCTGCAGGGATGGGATGCGAGCCGCATCTGCTGCACCCACCCTTGTCCAACGACGGACACGTATCACCCTTCCTCAATAATAATACTATTATAAAAATGGTTACGGTGGCAATATTCGCAGAGAATCGGTTCCGGCGAGTTGCTTCAATAATAATCCATCCAGTTTCAGCATCTTCTCCAGAATTTATCCTCGAATCGGTGGCCGGTATACCACATCGAAGGAATCCCGAGGCGGGAAGGATTCCGCAGCTGCTTTTTGGAGTGGAGGAGGTGAATGGCGGTGGAGTACACTTGTTGCGCACCGGAGTTTTTCGTGCACATTGCGGTCATCGTGTTCCTCGTCTTGTTTGCGGGATTGATGTCGGGGCTTACTCTGGGGCTCATGTCTCTCAGCCTCGTCGATCTCGAAGTGCTTGAGAAGTCTGGTACTCCCAAGGATAAACAGTATGCTGGTATTACATACAAACACTCATTTGGCTTTAGGTTTCACTCCTGATGTTGTTGATTTACTTCTTCGGTTTATCGGTGCTTTGCATTCAGTGTAGTTTAGCGTTTTTTGTTTTGATTGGAATTGATTATTGATTTTTGGATCGAGGACCTAATTTGACGGACGAAGTGATTAGGTCAATCAATTTAGGTTTGTGTAGAATTTGATTTCCGTCTTGCTCAGAAGAGTTTCTGAAGTTAGAATTGGTAATGGAACAGATTTTCGAAGCTTGGGGGATTACTTGAACTCGTTTGTGTGAACTTGAATGTTGCATTGTTCTTTGCTGGTTGTGGATAATGATTACTGTTAATGGTAGCTGTAAGCATAACTGTAGTGTTACATAAACACTTTGAATTAAATTCCATACAGCAAAGATTATACCAGTTGTCAAGAACCAGCATTTATTGCTTTGTACTCTGCTTATCTGGAATGCTGCTGCTATGGAGGTATATGAATTTGAGGCTCTGGTTTCTTCTGAAAGATGATCCTACTGTGCAAGATGAATTGATATGATATGTTTTCACCTATCAGGCGCTTCCTATTTTCCTTGATGGTTTAGTCACAGCTTGGGGAGCAATCTTGATATCTGTGACATTAATTCTTCTGTTTGGAGAGGTAATGGGAAATTTATTTGGGAAAGTCATTGTGATGCCTGAGCTGTAAAATGTTTGAAAATTGATGAGCAAGTCATTGAGAAATCTTACATAATCAATAAAGAAATGTTTGGAATTTTTAGAAAATGTAATAACGAGTTACATATTTCAAATCGGCATCCCAAATTTGGCGAGGATGTTAACATAAAAAAGAACTGTAAAAAGGATAGTTATTCAACTCATCATCCGTTAGTCTAGTGTTAGCAACTGTTGTAGTAGAGTAATCTTTCTTAAAAACTAAACTAAATTGGAATCACTGGTTAATATGTTTTGTGAAGTGTTGCATCATAGACTGGTGATTTGAATGCTGAATTTTGAGATTCAATTTATCAGATCATCCCACAATCTGTCTGCTCAAGGTATGGACTTGCTATTGGTGCAACTGTTGCCCCTGTGGTTCGTATTCTTGTCTGGATTTGTTTCCCTGTTGCATATCCGATAAGCAAGGTACCACTTTATCGGATCCATTTCTGCACAAGAAGATAGCTGAGAAACATTGGATGTATTAATTAATACTGTTGTCCTCTATGTCTGTAATTTCCAGCTGTTGGATTTCCTTCTTGGCCACAGGCACAAGGCTCTATTTCGACGTGCTGAGTTAAAAACTCTTGTTGGTTTACATGGCAATGAGGTATAATGGAAATTATGATTCAATTCTGCTCTATTGCTGCTGCTTTTTCATCGAAATTTGTTATGATCTGATGTCTTTTCCCCAGGCCGGTAAAGGCGGAGAACTCACGCATGATGAGACAACTATAATCGCTGGAGCACTTGAGCTTACTGAGAAAACTGCTAGTGATGCCATGACTCCTATATCTGAAATTTTTTCCATTGATATAAATGCAAAGCTTGATAGGTCATGTATACATTTTAACTGGGTAGCATTGGTCCCGTCATGATGATACTGTTATGCTGAGCATGAGAATTGCATTTTTGTTATTGTATAGGTTCTTGATGAATCTAATTTTGGAGAAAGGACACAGCAGAGTGCCTGTCTATTATGAACAACCAACCAACATAATCGGGCTTATTCTGGTACTTGTTTCAATACACATTGTTGTAACATATGTAATCTGTGGTAATTAATTGGTCACTCATTCTATGAAATGCTAGCAATGTAGTTTGTAATCTGTGATTAATATGGGTTTCAGGTGAAAAACTTGTTGACTGTTCACCCGGAGGATCAACTCCCGGTGAAGAGTGTCACTATCCGCAAGATTCCAAGGTATTCCTCACTTTGAACCTACATTGCATAAATCATTCAACTTAAGTTGGATCTGTTCTCAATTTCATATAACTGTATACATAAAAACAGAAAAATACGCACACAAATTGCGCGACTATGCTCATTATGTGTGAATAAAAAACTCATGAATGTGTTTCCAACTCAGGGTTCTAGAAACTTTGCCCTTATACGACATTTTGAATGAATTCCAAAAGGGCCACAGCCACATGGCTGTGGTTATAAGGCAGCATAACAAGGCATCGAATTCTCCAACCCCAGGTACCTCTCCATGTACAAAGTTCTTCTAAGTTAGCATTTCCTACAGCATGTAAATATCCCTTGAAAACATTTTTGTCGATGTAGATGCAATCAAGGATGTGAGACTTGAGATTGACGGTGAAAAGCCTTCACCCGACAAAAGTGTGAAGCCCAAAAGGCCACTGCAAAAATGGAAGAGTTTCCCAAACTCAGGCAGCAATTCTTTGAGAGGTAGCAGCAGGGGGAGAAAGTGGACTAAAGACATGTATTCGGACATTCTACAAGTCGATGGACATCTACTGCCGAAGCTCCCTGAAGAAGAAGAAGCTGTTGGGATAATAACCATGGAAGATGTCATCGAAGAGCTTCTACAAGTAAGTCCATTTTTATTTTTATTTTTTCGTATTCGATCCCAACTGCATGTCCACTCCTCCATTTTCTATAAAAGTGTTTTTACTGTATGTTGTCGTCATGCAGTCGATCTTTTGTTCTTGCAGGAGGAGATATTTGATGAAACTGATCACCAGGTTGAATATTCATAACACACACACACATATAAATATATATATATATATATGTAAGGTAGTAGGATTGTATTGAAAAGTGTTGTAGTCTAAATGTTAGATAGTAGTTGGATAGGAATGATTTTTTGTTTTAGATTTCACGTTTGGTCAGTAGTGTTGTTGGCGGATAAAAACACATCATATGATCGTTCCTGCGGTGAGACTGTGCAGTATAAAATTTTGTGTTACGTATTTTCATAATTTTCCCTGTGCGGTATGAACTTGTGTTTCTCTGATGAAGTTAAATTTCAATCATAAATTTTAAGTAGTATTTGATATTGGTGGTTGAGGCTCAATTCTTGATTCTGTCAATTTTAGTGAAGCAACGTCATAAAAAAAATAAAAAATAAAATAAAAGGATCATCCTCAACAGATTTTGGCTTTAATCACGACAGAAGCAATCCATACGTATGCAACTCAGGATTTGGGTCCTAAATCTTCAAATCTATCGAGAAAGAGAATTGGAGTAAGAGTATGTTAACATAATTTGTCTCCGTTCAATAGAGATTTTTCAAATATTTGATTTAATATTTAAAAAAATATTTAATATGATATTTTAAAAAAATTAATACTCCTCTTATTCACGGTGCAGTCTTTTTTTTTTTTTTTTATGATTAAACACTCGATCTTATTTAAATTTTTAAATTTTAATTAAATTTATTTTAATATATATTAATTATTTTTCATAATATATTTTTAATTATCTATTAATTATAATTATTTTAAATTTTCGTGTTTAGAGTAATTAGGATATCCAATGTAAAACAGATGTAGTATAATTTATACTTCTTTTGTCAGAAAATAAAATGCTTGTTTGATTTTATATTATATTTGTATATAATATAAATTAATAAAAAAAATTAAAATACTTATATTAGTATGGTTAATTACAAAAATAATATGGAGTAATATTTATATAATAATATATATCAAATATAATATAAATTAATAAAAAAAATTAAAATACTTATATTAGTATGGTTAATTACAAAAATAATATGGAGTAATATTTATATAATAATATATATTTAAAATATTGGGCATGTACAAATATAATTGCAAAATAAGAAAATGAATACTGACAATTTTATTTTTGTTTGTTTTAAAACAAAGTTACTATTACTATTTACCTAACATAATAAATATTTTTGTAACTTATATTATATTACACAAATATCATTATTTTTATAATACATAATGTTAATATGACATTTTTACCTTTTTCACTATAATCAAATATAATATTAATATTAAAAAATTTACCAATAAAAATAAACAGTAACCTTTATTAGAATGAGGACTGAAAGAGTATTTTATTTTGAAATGGGATAAAAATAAACGGATATCTTGATTTACTTCTAGTATTATTTGTTGTAAGCAATAATAAATTCGTGTCCACGTCATCGATCCACACACTCGTCCAAAACACCGATCTTCAACCATAAGATTAAAAGCCATCCAACGATTCAGAATGTTCCACGTCAGAAATCCGCGAGACTCCCTTAAAACAGATCTTATCTCTTGAAGTGAATAAGTGCACAAAAATCCAACGGTTCCGATACCATCACATCCCGCCACAACTTCTCAAAACCGTCCTTATATAAATACATAAAGATAAATGCAGCTTCGTCTTTCACAGCAACAACTTCTCAACGCTCCCAAAAATTCCCAAATTCGTATTTCCCTCTCAGATCTTCAAACCCTAGAAATGGCTCGTACGAAGCAAACCGCTCGCAAATCCACCGGCGGCAAGGCTCCGCGGAAGCAGCTGGCCACTAAGGCTGCGAGGAAATCGGCTCCGGCCACCGGAGGGTGAAGAAGCCCCACCGTTTCCGCCCTGGCACCGTCGCACTTCGGGAAATAAGGAAGTATCAGAAATCTACAGAGCTTCTAATCCGCAAGCTGCCGTTCCAGAGGCTTGTTCGTGAGATAGCACAGGATTTTAAGACGGATCTGCGATTCCAGAGTTCAGCGGTGGCGGCGCTTCAGGAGGCGGCGGAAGCTTATCTTGTTGGACTGTTTGAGGATACCAATTTGTGTGCTATCCATGCTAAGAGAGTCACGATTATGCCCAAGGATATTCAGCTGGCAAGGAGGATTAGAGGTGAAAGAGCTTAGATTAGTAGACGACGTCACCGATTGCTTGTGATAAAAATTCTGGTGATGGTTCATATGACTATGATATCATTTGATTTGTGTTTTTGGTAAATATGTCAATGGATTTCTTCACTTTTTTTTGCTTTGAATGTGTTGGAATGTGGTCGTTCCAATGAAATTTGGTAATTGAATTCTCATTTGATTGTTTTTTTGTGTTTGTCTATTAATCAATAGTAAAATGTGTGGGTAATACCAAAACAAGAACCGATGATCTTGTTGTGAAAAAGTGTATTGCAATTTATTGATGGATGAATCGAAACCAATACACAAAGATGTGATTTTAAAGAAAGAAGAAAATTTGAAACAAGATTTTATATGTTATGATTTGAAAGAGGAATGATGTATATAGTTCTATTAAACATATCTTTATCTACAGTGAAAAATTCTGAATATAAAAATTAATGAAAAATAATATATTCGTTTTAATTTTGAATTAAAATTTTTATTCTTTAATAGCTTTCGATAGAAATATGCTAATTTTTTATTATAAAAAATATAAGAAAATTACCAATCTCAATAATACTATTATTAGATAGATTAGATTAGATAGATTACATATAAGTAAACATCAGTATATTTTGGATATTGTTTGATTTAATTTTGGATATTAAATCCATATCATATTCATATTTTATCCGTATCTAATTAGATTAGGTAAGTAACCTTTTTTTTTGGATTATTTGGATTTATTTGTCTATCCTACCATCTATATATACGCTTAACTGCCATAAAGATTCATCTCACATTCTCCACTGCACTTTTTTGTGATTATTTCTGTCTGTGATGATGAACGCTGGGGGTCTCAATTTCATGCCTTCAACTGGCGCCATGGATTTCAGGTACCTTCTTCCATATCGGCGTCCCAGCTGGCAGTACCCTAATTGTCGAAGCCATAGCCGTTTAAATTTTGGGGCGCTTCCTGCAAGATATTTGAATTCATCATCGTCGTTGTCGGCAACGGGATGCGGTTCTGCAAACCATCCTGATCGTGACGACTATTATCTTCACAGGAACTCTTCCTATTTTTCCTCGTCGTTGTCCTTGACTAATATGCAGCTATGGAGGGAGGAGCTGAGATCACGTATTGATCTGATAGCCATGACTTCTGAGGGGCGACGATTCATTGAGGAAGAGTTGAGATCGCGTATTAATCTGGCAGCCATAAGTTCTGAGGGACGACGATTCCTGGAGAAGAAGCTGGAGGCGGGAGATCATGAAATCGTCGGAATCATCGTTGAGAAGCTGAAGCATAACATCCACGCCTTAATGGTACATGATGTCGCCAATTTTGTTATACGCAAACTTTTTGAGGTTTGCACCGAAGAACAAATGTCGGAGTTGCTTGTTGAGCTGCTAAGTTCCCACTCCAAACTCGTATACGTCTGCACACATTCGTTGGGGTGGGTAAACTCGTTACATATTCAATTCAATATTTAATTAATTGATGGTATTAATTTTCTGTTTTTGTGTGTGTTAAATTAATAATGTTTTTATATGTGTTAATTTCAGAGCACGAGCGGTGCAAACATTGTTGCAGAATCTGAAAATTTGGAACCAGAGATTGACAGTGATATTTGTTTTCAGCCGGATTGTCGTCGATCTCACAACAAATCGTTGTAGCCATCATATTATTATGCATTTTCTCAAGCACTTCCACTCCCAAGAATACAAGGTGTGTATTATTTTTAATTATTTACTTTTTAATTAGTGCGATGACGAGGATACTAATTTACTTCATAGCTTACAAATATTTAATCTGCAGCTATTCATTGAGGGTTTGGCCAACAATTTAGTCGACATTTGTACTAATAAAGATGGATGCTCCATGATTAAGAAAATAATTACTTATGTCGAGGTTGTTGGTGATCTCTCATCTTGGGAACTTCTTACTTTTGCAATAGCAAGTCAAGCACTCTCATTAGCCGAAGATGAATATGGGTACGCCACTTTCTCTCTATTTATATGTTGTAGTGTATATTATTTAAAATTTACTAATTTAGCGCATTTGTAATTGAATGAATCAGAAATTGTATTTTACAATACTTGGTGGAGTTAAGGATACCCGATCTAACAACATCAGTGGTTGCGTCATTGCTCGGGAGATTTGTGTTCCTTTCGAAAAATAAATTCGGTAGTCGCGTGGTGGAGGGATGCTTGCAATGCACGACATCGCCTTTAAAGGAAGTTATAATGATAGAGATAGGCGAACCTCTGCAGTTCCTATCTCTTGCAAAAAATGTGTATGGCAAATATGTGGCACGGACTGCACTTCAAGTATCACGAGTATGCACCGTCATCTTTTCATATCTCGAGTTTTATTTTTTGATTTATTTTTTTATAGACTGTGATATAATTTTGTAATAATATGCATGCAGGGTAGAATAAATAAACTACTCATAAGATGCGTGAAAAGTCGTTACACGATGCTAAAGAGTCATATCCATGGGTCGAAGGTGCTGCAAGAGATCAAGAAACTTGAACGCGGTCGCCGTCATGTCATCTGAGGAAGGATTTGTAAAAAATTTTGTGTAGATATGTAGAAAATTAATTAGGTGATTAATAACATTGATTTACTGTCGAGAAACTTCTCAAGTCATTAATTGTGTTATTTTGTATCTATTCAATGCAGAACGTTGTTTGTGGTAAAATTTTCGGTGATGGTTCATAGGTTTATGAAATAATTTGATTTGTGTTTTTGGTAAATATTTCAATGGATTTCTTCACTTCTTTTGCCATGAATGTGTTGGAATTCGGCCGTTTCAGTGAAATTTGGTAATCGGATTCTCATTAGACTGTTCTTGCTGTTTGTTTATTAATCGATAGTAGAACGTGTGCGTAATACCATAACAAGAACGGATGATCTTGTTGTGAAAAAGGGCGTATATTGTAATTTATTGTTGGGTGAATCGAAACCGATGCACAGATGATGTGATTCTAGAGAATGAAGAAAATTTGAAACAAGTTCTTATGTTATGATTTGGAAGTGGAACGATGTATACAGTTCTATTGAAATTTTTACATATCCTTATCTACCAAAACTGTGAAAAATTATGGATATGGAAATTAATGAAAAATAATGTACTCGTTTTGATTTTAAACTAAATTTTTTATTATTCAAAAGCTTTTGATACGAATATGCTAATTTATTTTTTTTTTTTTTGGAAAATCAAAATTAGTTTCAATATAACAATAAATTCTCAATTTTCGTTATAATAAGAAAAAACTTAGCAATTTTAGTCTCGTTATAAGTAATTTTAATCAATTTGATCACACAGTTGGAAAATCAACTGGCGAGGTAATAGCTAGTTTTGGGATGTTGGGAGATATCATTATTGTCGAACCCAACTCCTACATTGCATTTGTGGGTAAAAGAGTAATTGAACAAACATGGAATAAAATAGTTCCCAAGAGTTCACAAATTTCTTAATATTTATTCCAGGCCTAATCACGTAATTTTTCAAAAAACGTTCTGAGTGAGTTATTTCAAAATAAGTAGTTAACTTATGGAATTTAAGTAAATAAGAATCAAGTTTTCTTTAATGACTTAAGATCGAATTACAGAAAGATCAAAAGTTGCGAATAACTCTTTTCTATCGGGATTCTTTTCTTTCGGCGTTAACGTCACCCAAAAAAAAATATAAATAAATCAGTAGCCTTCTCCCCACTGTTATCCCCTCCAACGTCAAGAAATAGAATTCCGACGGAGGTTCAGCACCAGAGGCGTCGAAACCACTCCCTACCCTGAATATTGGTATGTTTCTCTCTTTTTATATATATATATATATATATAATTTAAATTTACTAATTTAATGCTTGTTTAATTGGATGGATCATTGTCTCGAGAGATTGACTCCTTAATTTGCTTTAAGGGTATTATTGTCTTTATAAGTTTAGAATATTATTAAATTGAAAGTCAAATTTTGCTTTTTTGTCAAATGAAATTCCTATTATTACCATTTATAGCTTATTAATAATGAATACTCTTTATAATTCTAATTAATAGTGTTTGTATCCTAAGTATATCATATATTTTGTATATTTCATCCCAATAACAAATGAACAAATACTTCTAGAAAATAGAAAACTTTTATAATTAAAAAAAAAATCAAAACAATACAAAGAACATTGCATCCATCAAAACAAAAAAATATAAATATAAAATATTAGCCCAATTCGAAATAAACTCAAATCTATTAAATCGAAACGAAATCAATATAACACAAAGACTAACCAAATCGTAAACTGGAATTTGGAATCAAAAGCAAACAAACAGGAAGTAAATCAATTTGAAGCAATTTAGAATGAAAGCACTCCCTGTTGTCGCGATGCTCTTTTCTCTGTTCGAGCTTCGGATATCTAAACGAGATTCAATTCCACTTTAAATGAAATCGAAGCCACCGACGACGACGACGACTGTGGATTTCGACAACTTTGCTCCGACTACCGTCGACTTCAAGATTGACAGCGTCTACCCTCCGGCAGCGGCGAACTCCGGCGCACAGCAGCGACTAGATCTTCACCGGAACAGACCCGAATGGACTGCGGGAGAACTCCTCCGGCCAGCAGCTCCTCCGATCTTCTCCAGCGAAAGAACAGTGGCTTTCGGCTCACCGGAATCTCTCGGCTTCTCTTTTCTCCCTCTCCTCTCAAAATCGGTTTTCACTCACTGAAACTATTCTCCCATTCTCCCATCGGTTGTAACTTCTTCACCTAACTATTCACGCTTATATCTAATTGGGTTTAGGGTAAATGAGCTTGGGTTTAAGAATTGTGTTTGGGTTGATTCGGTGGACCGGGTTACAGTGCGAGCCAACTTATTTTATTTATCGAAAAATTTGTGGGATTAGGTCTCGAACAATCAAATTTTCTAACAAATAAAAGTGTAGGCGAAACTCTGACATCCGTACAAAATAACAAACAAATCAAGTCTAGCTCCACAACATATTATTCACCTCAACAGATCGAGTTGCATGCATAATAAGCCATGAAGACATGATATAATTAGACAAAAATTGAACATTGTTATCTAACTGTTATCTTTTCACACATCCTTTAATTATTTATTTATTTTTTATTCTCTTAATAAATAAATTGTTTTTGATAATTTGAGATGATAATAATATGATGGATAAAAAATACGTAGAATTTTTAATTGAAAAGAGGCTGCAATGGATGGATGTTCATTCTACTTGATTGCAAAATAGATAGAAAATGAATGTTTTCAAATTATTTAAATATGATTATCTATTATGATTAGACATTTATATATCGATCAAATACACAATTCCCAATATATGTATCGGATATTAAAGTTTGATATTGTTGTAAGAGTGCTTAGTTGTTCAAACAATTTTCATATTGCTAGCTACCTCTTAATAACAATAATAAACTTTAATTAATCGTTCAATGATTATTTTATTTTATTTTTTTTTAAAAAGAAAAAAAAAAAAAAAAAAAGATTGGAAAGATGAGTGACTATGATACCATATCGTGTTTGAATTCTTCTATCATTTATTTGTTTTCAAATATATATGAAAATCAAATGTCGGTATAAAGAATGACAATAAGAGTACCATTACCATTAAGTGCAGTGTATTAAATTATTTAAAATGATTATTTATACAAAAATTCTATCTAATTTTTCCATTAATAGCTAATTATGCTCCCTCCGTTCTGCATAAATTGTTTAAGTGACTGTATATACGAGAATTTATGTAAAATATAATTAGTAAATAATTAAGAAATTATTAGTAAAAATACTTATACATTAAAATTAAAATAACTAAATAATTTAATTAAAATTTAAAAAAATTAAATTATAAATTTAAAATGTATAATTATATTTCTAAAAAAAATAATAATAATAATAATTTCTGGTAAATCACAACCAAACACAATCTTGTTCCTCCTAACGACTAACTACCCCCAATCAGGCCCATTGTTATTAACACTCATTGACAAAATCAAATATGCAATTCATACTTCCTAGTATTTATCGTTACATAGCCATTAATTAAATAATAATAATAATAATAATAATAATAATAATAATAATAATAATAATAAAGTGATGTGAGGTCACACTTCGAGAAAATTTTAATAAAAATAATGGAGCACACCTTGTTTGGAGTATTATATTATAATAATAATAAAGAAAAAAGAATATTTGACTTGTGTTCTACATTTTTTTAATCGTTGTATTATTCATTTTAAAATGTTATATTAAATGTAAATTTCTTTAACTATTTTTTTTATTACAATTTAATATAATATTAACATTAAAAGATGAATGTGAAAAAAAAGTATTACTTATTAACTAGACCGATTACAATTTAATATAATATTAACATTAAAAGATGAATGTGAAAAAAAGTATTACTTATTAACTAGACCGAGAGAAGATAATAATAAAAAAAACCATAGCTCACAAATTAATAATAATAATAATAATAGCAGTAGAACTTTCGCCCCATAGCAGCTACCCAGTCCACCACACAGCCACCACTTATTTGTATGTATATACATATTATATTATATATATATCTGTATGTATAATCTTGCTTCTTGCATTTATATTGATTATTCGGCGGCGCTAATTAATTTTCAAAACCCCCCTACAGTCGTCCGACGGTTTCCCTGTAAATGTTCAGATTCTTATCCCAACCCTAAACCCGATTCCATGGCGGACCCAGATGAACCGCTCACCCCCGCCGGCCGCCTCTTCGTCCAGCCTCTTATGGATCAAATCATCAACTCCTCCGTCGCCCTCCAAAATCCGATCGACGCCGACGCAATCAAGGCGGCCATCGGAGAATCCATCATGGTCAGGCATCCACGATTCTGCAGCCTCATGGTGCGCGACGCCGCCGGCCGGGAGCACTGGCGGAGGACTCCGGTCGACGTCGACCGCCACGTCATCGTCCGGGATGCTCCTCTCTCCGACGATCCGTCCGTCTCCGACGAAGACGCCGTCAGCGATTACATCGCCGATCTCACCGTCTCGTCGCCGCTCGCCGCCGATAAACCGCTCTGGGAGGTTCACCTGCTCCGGGCCCACAGGACCGCCGTGTTCCGTGTGCACCACGCGCTCGGAGATGGAATCTCGTTGATGTCGTTGATGCTCTCCTGCTGCCGGCGAGCCGACGATCCGTCTAAGGTCCCGACTATCGGCGGCGTCGGCGCGTCATCGGCGCCGCCGCCGTCGACGCCGGAGAGGAGGAAGCTAGGCTTCTGGACGGCGATGATGATGGTTTGGTACACTTTGGTTTACGTTCTTGAATTCCTATCGAGAGCACTGTGGAGGAGCGATGAACCCACCGCCATCATCGGTGGCGCCGGAGTGGAGCTCTGGCCGCGGAAGCTAGCGACGGCGAGGTTCCGGCTAGACGACATGAAGATTGTCAAGAGAGTAGTTGAAAACGCGGTGAGTTTTTCCGAACCGTTGGATTTTAGATGAAATTAATCACTGCCGTCCGATTCTAACCTCGCTTAGCTTGCGGCGCAGTTTGAAATTACCAAACTACCCACTTCTATACAATAAATCTATCATAAATAAATTTATATATTATTTACTAAATACAAACTAGTCGCCTTTATTTGCTTATTTAGATAAAAAAATAAATAAATAAATAACACATCCCTTTCTAATTTCGTGTCATAAAGATTGCAATGTCCAATCACTACGAGATTGAATTTAGGCCACAGACAATTGTTTAGAATTAGATAGAAGTATGTAATTTTATTATTATTATTAATTTGGCAGAGCATGCAATGAAGATGTAGTAGCAGTCATCTTCTTGTGCTGGACCATTTTGGTAATTTCCAGATGCTACAATTAGAATGGTTACGATGCCTTAGCGTATGAGACGAGAATTCTACTAAAGTTGCGTCTTAACGCCACAAATCGCTTCCATTATTTGTTTTTAAATTAAATTTGGAAATATTGATAGAAATGTAAATAAATAAAAATATTAATTTTATCATATTTTGGTTAATTAACAGACCATCAATGATGTTCTATTTGGAATAATATCGTGTGGGCTTTCCCGATACTTGGACATGACATCGCCACAAGGACAAGGTACGTACAAATAAGTTGTGACAAACATTCAAATATATATATATATATATATACATTTGTTATTTAAAATAAATTATTGAAACAACTAATTTAATTAAAGCAGGATTGAAGGACGGTGTTGGGATGACAGGATTGGCAATGGTGAATTTGAGAGCAGAAGCAGGATTGCAGGACGTATCGAAGCTGATGGATGGCAAGTCCAAAATACGATGGGGCAACAAGTTTGGAATGCTTCTCTTGCCCATTTATTACCACAAAACCGACTTCGATTCCAACTCCGATCCGATCGAATTTGTTAGGAGAGCCAAAGCCATGATCGACAAGAAAAAGCTCTCGCTAGAAGCCCCTTTCTCATACGCACTCGGGAATCTCGTCATGTCCTTATTTGGCGCCAAGGTTTTTAATTAATTAATTTATTATACATACATATATATTTGTATTATAATAATATTTTTTTTGTCATTTTTTTTTTATTGTCATTCAAATTTATTTTTATTATTCTCTTTAATAAAAAAAATATTATTTTTATTCAATTTTTTTAAAATTTATATACGATCAAATAAGCTTATTTTTAATAATAATAATAATTATTATTATTATTGTTATTATTATTATTATTATTGGTGTGCAGATTGCAAGCATTCTGAACTACAGGATCGTATGCAACACGAGTTTCACATTATCAAACGTGGTTGGGCCACGCGAGGAGATCACTATGGTCGGGAACCCTGTCAGGCACCTCAGGGCTACTTCTAGCACACTTCCCCATGTAATCATTTAATAATAATAATAATAATAATAATAATAATAATAATAATTGATTAATTAATATTTGATTAGATGATTTAATTTGACTATCAGGCATTGACGATGCATATGGTGAGCTACGCAGGGAACGCAGATTTGCAGATATTGGTAGCTAAAGACATCATAGCTGACCCCAAAGTTGTCGCCAAGTGCTTCCAGGATTCTCTGCTCCAAATGAAGCAACTTGCACTTCAACGCACCAATTCAAAATCCTAATGGATAATGGATTATGGATTATCTCCCGTAAGAGATAGTCCGGTGGTACGAAGAGTGACCGTGACGTCATGAAATCAAACCTTGATATTTTTAAATTTACCTGCCACACATGGTTCGTCTAATATAATTAAAAAAAACTTTAATCGGTGCAACACATTTAATTTATTTAATTCGCCATTTTATATACATAATTAAGATAATAGTTCAAATTATAATATTTCAAACAATTACAGCAATCAATGATTTTGTTTAGTGTTTGTTTTTATTTTGTTTGGTTGTACTATCTCCGTCCAACTTTAAGGGTTCCATTTATTTTTTGTCGTATTTGATTTTTTAATATTAATTATTATATTAAAACATAGTATAAATTAAGAAATTGCAAAAATATTTCAATTAGTGTCTTATAAAATCTATATAAAAAATTATACAAATATAATAATATTTTTAATGTTAAGTACAATGACAAAAAAATAAATAAATTGGAATGAAGATATAATTTTTTTAATAAAAATAAATAATCAATGAATACTCGGTACGTGTGCCTGTTGCATGCATGTTAGCTAGTACAATACCCAAAAAAAACATAAAATGAAAATATGTGCTTATTTTTGACCCCATACGTAGGGACAGTTCCTAGGGGGAAGTACTATTTGTTCATATATTTATTTTTTGGATAATTTTTCAGCAGTATATTTTAATTAATACTCCTTTTTGGATATCTTTTCCTTTACTTGTTATTCAATATTTTTTATAAGTTATTTCTAAAAGGATAAGAAAACAAAAACTGTATAAATAAATAAAAAAAAAAAAAAAAAATTGAAATATTTCAAATTAAAAATAATAACAAAAATTGGGAATGAAGAAAGTTAATGATTATACATAAAGGAAAGGGGGCAAAAAGCAAGCCTACTTGTGTTTGTTCGGGGATTTTACTTCAAATTTACTGTTAATCCAAATTTTTTAAAAAAAAATATCAAATTAAATAATTATTTTTTATTTTTTTATAATATATTAAAAATTAATTTTACATTCAAAACATCACATCAAGATCTATTTATATTACATTGCACAACTATTCTAATTCAAAATTTTTACTATTCAAATCTCAACTCAAAATCCAAATTTCAAACAAACACACCCTTTGTTTCTTTCAATGATGCAATATTCATAATATTATTCCATTAAAAAATTAATTATATACATAAATAAGTCTAACATAAAAATACATTTATCTAAAAATAAAAAATAAACCTACCCAAAGAATTAGTAGAGAAAGGGTGCAGGCATAATTTACAACATATTACATATGGATGAGATGTGACCATTTTGAATCCCATCCAATATTATGATGAATTTTGTATAGCTCCATTTAAGATTATTTTAGTTCATTTCACTTCTATTTTTTACATCCCAATCATTATTTTTGTTTGGTTTGTTTTTTGTACAATTTTTTTTAATGGTACAATTTTTTTTTCATTTTTTATCTCTATTTTTTGCTACTTATGTTTCTATAATTTATTTTTACATGGGTAAAAGAAAAAAAAACACATGTAAACAAATAAAATTTGCAAATATTTGAAACATCCAAATTAAAAATACTAGCAAAATTTTAAAACATAGAGTATATAATTATATTATAGATATATATATATATTTTTTTTTCTATATGTATATGCCGATAAAATATGAGAAATTACACAATTCAGTTGTTTTATAAGAGATGGTCAGATAGTGAAATCATGAGTTCAAACCCACAACGTCTTCAAATTTTGTCCGTGTGTTTTGAACCTTAACAAACGAAGCTCAAAAATTTAAATTTCAATTCAATTCATCTCTGTTAGGAGGTCTATTTTTAAGTGATAAAAAACTAAGGCGTGTTTGCTTATGTGCTTTGGTTTTTAGGTTTAGATTTTTTAACAGTAAAAAATTTAATTTGAATAATTATTTGATGTGATATTTTGAATGTAAAATAAATTTGTAGTATAATAAAAAATAATAATTATTAGATGTGATTTTTTTTAGAGAGAATAGTAAAAATCTGTCATATAAAGGCAACCATAAATGAGGATTGGGCCTTTTATATTAAACTTGGGCTGGCCACTTCTATTATTTGTGTAATGACACATAGTCCAATAAGCTGGATATGTACTTTATTTGTTGAAATAATAAGATTTTAAATAAAATATTGGATTTGATATTTAATACTCCTTCCATTGTTCAAATCTATTCTCACTTTCATTCAAATTTATTCTCGTTTCTTTTTTTAGTAAAAAAAATCATTTTTTTTTCAAAAAATAAAAATAAAAATTTCTATTATTATATATTTTTCTTAAAACTCGTGTCCGATCAAATGGACACACAATTGGATGACGAATGGAGTATTTTATACAAAAATGTGTTTGGATGGGCTGTATTTGAGGCAAAAATAAGTAAATAAATTATTGTTCTTTCTAAAACGCGACCAAACAGACCCACCATTACTGACTTTTGTTTTTTCAAATAATAAAGGTAGTTGTGGTGATGGGCTTCATACCTTTTTTTCCCATCATAGACAAAAATTTAGGCCATCATAGACAAAAATTTAGGAATTCATTTTTATCTTTATTTATTTTTTGTGTCTAAAGTTAAAGATTCATCATTAAAGTTTGTTTATAATCTATTAGCGGATAAAAAGGTTTCGATTTAAATTATATTAAAATAAAGAAGTAATATAGTTTCATTTGTAGTACAATTTTTTTAAAAAGAAATACTTATATATATATATATATAATGGGAGTAGTTGCTGAGTAGTTTCATTCAATAAATTGTAATGGCTTATTTCTTCATCACAAATATTTTACAATATTTTTTATTTTGTCTATCTCACATATTTTGCAATATTTATAAAATAAAATAATACTCCTTTGTCATTTAAATTTATACTTATTTTCTCTGTTGTTATAAAAAAAAAATATTCTCATTTTTATTTTAAGTAAAAAATTATTCCACGTTTGTACTGTTTTTTACGAAAAATTAACAATTATTACTCACTTTTATTAAAATTTGTATCCGATCAAATAAACACACGTTTGCACGATAAATGGAGTAATTAATTACAATTCATCTCATTTCATTACTCAAAAAAATAAAAAATAAAAAATAAAAAAAGTACAATTTTATCTTCTCTTATCACTTAATTCACAATTTATTTTATTTAATATTATTTACCTAAATTTTAGAACGAAAAAAGTAAATATTACCTCGTATGTATGTATGTGAGATGGAAGGAGTAGTATAGTATAGTACATAGCTATTGTCTGTATTTGCTTGTTGTAGGATGTGAGAATTGAATTCATTATCTAATTTAGTAAGACAGGAACTAAATTATTAGATTATACATTTATTATATTAGTATTTAGTAATTAATGTATTTTATAAAATTATTTATTTTAAAATATATTTAAAGGGTCGGACTCAATCTTGTTCATCATTGTGCCGGAGTCGGATAGTCCAAAAAATTTTGAAACTTATTTTTTAAAGTTTAAATATGATTTTCTTATATCGAATTTAAATTTTCGAATCCTATTTATCTTTTACTGTCAATTATTTAAAAGGGACAAAAAAAGAAGTCTCCGAATGACTTGGTGGTGTGATAAGTTTAAACTCCAATATCTCCAAATTTACCTGTTAGATATAATTCGTCTAAGTATAATTATGAATTTTATTAAAAAAAAATTAAAAAATACACTATTCCCAATGCAATCTTGTCATCATTTATTAATAAATATTTAAAAAAGCATATATTGTAATAATAATAATAATAATAATAGTAGGAGTAATAAATATCTGAATTATTATTAAGTTATAAAATCACATGTCTCTCCTCCATGTGAACTTTGAAATTGAAATTTGAAAAAATCATTTTCAAATTTTTTTCTTTTCATTATATATATATATATATATATTTCTAAAGCTTCCTGCACTCTGTTATGAAGACCACCACCAAGTTCATCGTGTTCCACCCTTCCGTACAGAAGGCCGCCGGCGCCGGCGCCGGCCACCGCGCCTGGCTGGTGGTTTTCGTACTCTTCTTCATATTCACTTTCGTCTTCACTCTCGTCACCACTAAGGAGTTTTCCACCGCCTCCGCCGCCGATTCAAGCGGCGGAGCCGCCGCCTCTCGGCTGCCGCAACCGCTCGCCGATGCGCTGATCCACTACGCAATCGAAAACTCCACGGCGGCGACCTCCGGACGCATGTCTCCGGCGGAGATAAAATCCGTCGCATCTGTGCTCCGGCGCTGCGCCGCCCCGTGCAACCTCCTCGTCTTCGGTCTGACGCACGAAACCCTACTCTGGCACGCGCTGAACCACCACAGAGGCGGCGGCGGAGGCGGCGGCCGGACGGTGTTCGTCGGCGAGAATTCGTACCAAATCTCGAAGATGGAGGAGGTCCAGCCGTGGATCGAGGCGTACGACGTGCAATTCGCGACGAAGGTGAGAGAGCTGCCGGAGCTGATGGATCACTACCGGCGGGAGGCGAGGAAGGAGTGCCGGCCGGTGCAGAACCTCCTGTTTTCCGATTGCAGATTAGCCATTAACGATCTCCCCAACCACGTGTACGACCTGGCGTGGGACGTGATTCTGGTGGACGGTCCGCCGGGGTACGCGGCGGAGGCGCCGGGGCGGATGGCGGCGATTTTCACGGCGGGGGTTCTGGCGCGGACCAGAAGAGCGGCGCGTGGGACGCACGTCTTCGTCCACCAAATTGAGAGGGAAGTGGAGAAAGTGTGCAGCCAAGAATTTCTGTGCCCCCAAAATTTGGTAGAGATTAAAGATTCATTAGCACATTTTCTCATAAATAATAATAATAATAATAATAATGATAATTATGAAATGGGATTTTGTTCGAATTTAGAGTCATCTGGAAAATCAACAATTTGAGGTTTAGGGTTTGGTTTTTAAATTCTCATTTTGAGAATCTGTGTGGATTAATTCGTTTCTCAACTGTATGTATGGATGTACTGTGGAATAGTAATTTATGTGTTTGGATATATGAAAAAGCAAGTGTAAAAAAGTACCATTTAATGATAGTACTTTTTATTCATTTTTGGTCATTTTTTCAAATACATTATGCTTTTTTTACAAAATATTCGTATTTAAACTATAAAAAATTAAAATTAAAAAAACAAATTATCAACCAAACACACTAATATTACTATACACTCATTCAGCTTTCCTATAATAATAACAATTACATTTAATAAAACACTGATTAATAAACCTTATTTAATGACATTGAAAGAGTGTATCAAATAGTACAATTTTAGATTCATTATCATGTGAGCAACAATAGTATTTCTACAAATACTTTTAATTTTTTTTTATATTACTTACTTACAGTATTTTTAAAAATAAAATACCATATTAAATACTCCCTCCGTTCCGCTCTAAGGTCTCATTCACCTTTTGCATAATTATATTTCATATTAAAAATATTTTTATATTTGTATAATTTTTTGTATAAATTTTATTATAAGACACTATCATAAGTATTTTTTTTATTTTTCTTTAATTTGTATTATATTTTCATATAATAATTAATATTTAAAAATAAAATAAATGAGACCTTCAAAATCGGGCATAAATAATATATTTTTTTTTTATAAATATCACATTAAATATTAAATCTTTTGTCTACCTAGTTAGCTAGCAAAGCATATATATATATATATATAGGGATTAGGGCGGCAGTGCGTCCGTACAGCAATAATTTAGATGCTACTTTAAAATAAATAAATAAATAAATAAAAGAAGAAGTAGAATTGAGAATCAATTAAAAAAGGACAAATGGAGAGGAAATTCATCCGTGACCGTGTCCCTGGAATCTAAAGGAGTGTTTGATCTGTGTTTATATTTTAATTTGTACAATAATTTAATTTCATGTTTTATACTTGGAAAAACAATACATATACTTTTGAAAAAATACATATAAAATATATGCAATAAACCAAAATAAAAAATAAAAATAGAAAAACAAAACCTAATAACTCAACCGACGGCTGACACCTCATATTGATTCAACATTTACAAATAGTGTCGGTGGGCGTGCGCGTGCGTTCCCACGTATCTATCACATTATTGAATTATTATTATTATTATTAATTCATCTGAGGATTTTTGTTTATGTCGGTTGATTTTTGTTTGGTCAATGTGTACATACAACGCAAATACAAGGTTGTTAAAATACACTTGTAAAAATGTTACACCACTGTCTAAGTGTAAATATTATGTTTTGATTGAAGAATGTAAGTAAATAGAGTACTAGTAATTGTATTAAAGGGTATGGCAATGGCAGAGATGGGCAACACCTTTCATAAATATAACACCTCCAATAATTAATGCCTCCTTCCATTTCATTTCATTTAATATTTTATCAAGAATCTATATAAATAAATAAATATACATATCTCCTCGCTCTCCTTCCTCACATTTGGGTACGGGGTACCCCACCCCACCCCACCCCACCCCAGTACATACATCACCAATTTTCATTTACATACATATATACTTCATATATTTTTATCATCTATTGTTGTAGTGAATGTCATCAATTTGTAAAAACTCATTTCAAAACAAGTCAAGCAGCTAGCCTAATGCTGTTAATCAAATTCACTCACCCCAATTCAAACACAATTGTAGAGATTACCAATTCCAGATGAGATTAGCCTGCCTGCAAAAAGATCGAAATAGCAATCGGACGGCTTAAACAATGAGCTTCTCCGTACCATCAAATCAAACACAGCTCCCATATAATTACAGCCTAGGATCATGTTCCATACCGCGACTAGTTACTTCATTTTCAGTCAGTCGAAACACGAGGAAGAAAGATCAACCTCCGCGCATGTGTGCCCCGAGCTCGCCAAACTGTTCGTCAGTCTCCACTGTGTCTGCCGACAGCCTAACAGCATCCAGCTTCTGTTTAAGAACTTCTATGGCATTCAGGAACAACTGAGATGCTTTTATTGCACCTGTTGTCTCTACGGTGAATATGAAGCTGTCTTCTTTGGCTTGGATCGTTACGAGGCCGGGCTTCCCCATTGCATCAGCTTTCTTAAGAACTTCATCGTCATACGTATACGCCTCAGCATCATAAACGTAAACCTGGGTGAGGTGAGAATTATGGATAACGGAATTAGAATTAGTTTCACATTGTCATAATAGATATAGACTCCTCTAACTTCAAGCTGGTATGTGAAACCTCGAACACTTGGTCACTGAAACACACATCATTGACGAATGGACCTCAAACGTAATCAACCAATTATGTAACTGAAATTCTAAAGTGGGCAATCTAATGAGAAGTAAGATATTGTGATGTTGTGTAGAGAGTCAAATTCAGATCGACAAAAAATATAACTAAGAAAACTATACAGAAACAAGCTATGCGGATCTCATTGGGTTACGCTTGCCCTACGGTATTAGAATTCAGTTGGAGGGATTTGAAATATTTCCAGGGATGTATTTTCATCATTAGAGAATAATACCAAATTCCCGAAAAGAATGTTATCTTTGGCCAGTTGTTCTACAAGGCTTCTCACATTCTCACACAAATTTTTAGATACACACTGTGTATTCAATACCTGACACTACCGAGGAACTTTACACTAAAGAGGTCGAACATAAATGGAGGAACTATGGGCATCCCAAACCATAAACAAAACATGGTCCCTATCTTTTATCAATTTCCCTAACAAAATGTTTTCTTTGGTAAGTTTTCAGTTGAGCACTGACATATCATATCTAACAATTGGAAACAGAAAGTAATTGTAGCTGGCAGCCTCATAGCATTAGTAACAAGCCATGAGGATTCTATACTCATAAGAACCGGCTCAAAAGATACTCGTTTGCATTAATGTCAAAAACATGGTACTGAGATAAATATCAACCTGATGAGTGTTTGGATTTATGTCGAACACTTTTGTGGGGCTGCTTTCAACAAACTCCTTTTTCTCCTCGAGGGTTAAAGTCTCCATCAACTCTTCATTGATATAAATATCAGGCTCATACATAAAAGTGACAGTTGCGGCAGGAGACCATTTGGCATGATCCTTGCCTATTCCTTTGCGAGCTATGGCTCTTAAAATCAGCTCCTGACCACGGCGCAGCTTCACAATAATAATTCCCCTGCATCATGAGAAAGCTCAGTCATATTATTCATACATGCAACTAAAAACAAACAAACAACAAAGAACACCACATTCAATTGCAGATAAAAATGAATCAAGCATTACAGCGAGTCATGCTAAATCATAGATAGTCAATTGATGCTAAGAAATGATGGGTATTCACAAACATATAAACTGGTCTTGATTATCCAACAGTTTGGTTCAGTTTAGTTGAGTTCTACAAACCCCTCTATGGAAGTAGTCAATCGATCAGAATCTGCACTAGCTAGACACATGAAATACATAAGAGAACGCTCCCATTAACCCATCACTACAATGCAAAAGCATCGCAATGTTTCACAATACATGATTCAGATGAATTCTGCCAAATTCCACCTAGAGCTTTTTGCTTTAATACTTACAACTCGTTTCACTAGATAACAAGGATCCTCACTTATATATATATATATATATATAGTGCAATCTGATTGTTAAAGCATTGTCATTATAACATTTATTTTACATAGAGGTATATTACAGAACTCCTAAGCTTCGATTCCCTACATCTTAAATCCATAATCCCCGAAGATAAAATGTCAGTCCACATTCATCACAAGCACAGCATTTCAAGCAAAATCCATTGACTAGCGCGCATATGAGTATACCCAAAAGTAAATTACAAAAGGAAAGGTCACCTGTTTTCTGAGCCATCGCCGGTCGAGGAATCGGAAAAATCAACTGGAAGAACGGTAGAATCGGAGCCAATCAGGTCCTTGGAGGTCACATCCAGCGTCTGGTCATTGATACATTTGGCGCGCAGATGGAACTCGACGGAGCAATACTCGCACTGGCCATCTCCGTCGCACGCGTCGCAGTCTCGGGAGAAGCGCATGCTCATGGCTCTCTCGCTGGTGAGTGGAATGAGGCCGAGCCGGTGCGCAATGAACTCGTCGTTAAGGACAGACGAATTCACCTCGATTTCCACCAAATCGATGGCAATTGTAGGAACTTCCGCAATCATCACACGCCGAAGCGCATTAGCGATGCTGGCATCAGTTTCACGCAGCTCGAACTTCATGAAATCATCCTTCACCGTTCGAATTTTAATTTTGGGGAATCGCTGGTACGACACGCCCTCCATTTTCAAATTCAACTCTGCTCTCCTCTCCTCTCAGCAAAGGAGTTTTTTCCATTACAGGGTACAATCTAGGGTTTTTATGGTGAGGCTATGGTGGGCCTAAAAGCCCATTATCTAATTGGGCCTGAATTCATTGTAGGGCCCATTTAGTAATAATTGCACGTACACCTTGATCAAGCACACTTTTCCTATACTTTCCCAAAAGTACGTAGCCAATACTCTGCCTATAAACAAAGCCTTTCCTTTCTATATATGAGTAAATCAAGATTATTCAAAATTATTCGATACACAGAGAAAGGATCTAACAAAATGGCAAAAAAACACAATGCCTTCAAAAGGGCATGTCAAAAATGCTTATTCCCGAGGGCCAAAGATGCCAAGAATGCTAGCAAAAGCATGTCAAAATCAAGAAAATAGCGACGACGAGTTACCGCGTTACAGCTTGACGTAAACAATCTCCTCGACCGCAGGAATCTCCCCGATACTATTCAGTGTCTCGTTGCTCGGTTCCTCATCGACTCCAATCGTCATCACAGCGTGCGTCCTCGGAGCTAGTCTCCCGACACTCATAAAACTAACGTTCACGCCGCCATTAGCAAGAATGCTGCCTACTTTACCTATCATTCCGGGCTGGTCGACTTGCCTGCACAGTATAATACTGCCTTCCAGGCTCACGTCAACTTCGAAAGATCCTACCTTTGTCAAATGCGGGACTCCATCTCTAACCCGGCCCTCCACCGTGATCTCTCCCGAGTCTTCATCAAGAGCGCTTGCGAATTTGGATCCTACATTTGGAATTGTGACCTGGATCGACGCCAGTGGGCTTTCCGGTGAGCCACTCACGGGAGTTCGTTCTTCACGGATGCGGAGACCTCGTTGTTTTGCAGTGTAATCAGCATTGACCAAGTTCACGAAGTCACTTGAGATTGGCTCGAGTAGACCCTTGATGATCATGGCGCGGAGTATCCTTGTGTCGAGATCGTCTGGAGATCTGGCGGATGTGTATTTGACTTTCACGGTGTTTACGCCGTTCCCACCTGATACTAGTTGGACTGCAAGTCTACCGAGTTTCTCGGAAAGAGATACAAAAGGCTTCAGCTCATTAAGAACCTGTATTAATAATATAAAACCCGGAAAAAAAAAAAAAAAAAAAATTGATCATAATGTTCTGAATAACAGAATCGAAATATAAAGAATGGGCTAAAAGGAAACAGAGATCATGAACCTGAGCAGGAACCATGGGTGCATTAACTGAAGTAGAAGCGAGCTCTCCCTTCAATGCTCCGACAACAGCTTCGGCGATTTCAATAGCCACCCCTTCCTGAATGCACATCCGATAAAAATGGCAGCATAAAATGAGAATTGTCGAATGTATATGAACAGGGGAAGAGCATAATTCGGCAAAAATTACCTGTGCTTCCATTGTGCTGGCACCAAGATGTGGAGTTACAATCACATTTTCATGCTGTACCAGTTTGCTGTCCTTACCTGGTGGCTCCTTTTCGAAAACATCGAGCGCTGCCTGCAATAATGTTACGAATAACTTGGATAAAATTTATGAATTTTCAGTGAATTTGGACAAGATTCTCTCAAATTATAGATCCTTTCATTTTTCAAGAAGCGGAACAAGAACCTGTGCAACGATGCCAGCATCAAGTGCCTTCACCAATGCATCTTCGTCAACAACTCCTCCACGTGCGACATTGATGATCCTGACACCCTTTTTCATCTTTGCAAAAGTTTCGTCGTTTAGCATTTTCGTTGTTGCTGGAGTAAGTGGCATGTGGAGAGAAATGAAGTCAGCTGTTGTAATAGCTTCATCAAAGCTCACAAGCTCAACACCTACTGCACGGGCACGGTCAGCTGCAGCATAGGGATCATGTGCAATGACATGCATACCCAGACCCTTGGCACGTCTTGCAACCTCTGATCCAACCTTCCCGAACCCCATCACTGCAAGTGTCTTGCCAACAAGAGACACACCAACATATTTGCTCCTCAGCCATTCCCCTGAATTCACAGAATGACGATAACTGCCTCAGAACTCATCACTTGTATTAAAACAAAACTCTAGCAACCCCAACTGGTTCAGATGCAATCTTACCCCAAGAGATTATTACATTATGAGAACACTATGCTAATTTGTTAATGATTTAGTTTCCACAAAAGATAAACCATAAATCAAATGGTAATGCAGGTTCTTACGGAGCATGCTGACATGCATATGGAATTTCAAGGAGACAAACTATGGTTACATGAATTTAGAGTGTGGAGAAATGATGATAGAGATTCTATTTCTCTAATTTATCTCTCTCCCCTATGTACTGAGAATTGAAAATTTGAGAAACGCTGTGAGTTTGTTCATTTAGCAATTTTTTTAATACTTGACTTTCATGACCCTTTCATAAAAAATATTATTCCATTTCATAAAACATAACATTCAAAGCACTATTCAAATAAAAAATAAAAACCAAAATGAAAATAAATAATCACCAACTAAACACATCAACATTTATCGATTTAGCTTATCCTCCCAGCAACACATCGTCTCGTCATCTAGATTTCTCTGTTATATTTCTTAGATGAACTCTGTATTTTACCAAATGTTAGAATTCCTTTCTTAACAATTCCATTCTTGATGTCATTTTCTATAGTTCATACCAAAGACTGTATAAGCTACCTTTTCATGTTAATAAAATTCAAAAGCTGGAACTGATACAGCACATCATGTTCACTTTGTAATTTCAGCATTCCTATGCAATGCTAAGAAGTTTCTCCAACAAAAACAAATATAATTTCTACTCCTAAATGTAGTCTCTCCTAAACATCGCATCCATCTATGGTTTTCTACTACAAAAGATTCAAATACAAAACAATATAAAACGCCTTAAATCCCAAGACAAACCAGATTCAATTCACCATATTACATACCTGTCAAATTTACAATCGAAATAAATAAATATAAAGTAGGTTTGATGAAAATGGCATTCTAAGTTCACCAATCCACGCATAAAACAGAAATTGACCGAAATGTGACATGATATCGGAAGAAAACGTTCTTGTTATCACGTAAGCAGGATAAACTAACCATCTTTAACTGATGCATCTGCTTGAACAATGTTCCTAGCCATGGCGGTCATTAGCGCGATTCCATGCTCGGCGGCGGCGATGGTATTTGCAGTCGGCGCATTCACGACCAAACACCCGTGCTCAGTCGCGGCCGCCAGATCCACGTTATCAATCCCGACTCCAGCCCTTCCGACGACCTTAAGCCGTCCGGTAGACGATTGGAACACCTCGCGGTTCACTTTAGTACCACTCCTCACAATCAGCGCATCACAGAGCGAGATCTTTTCGCAAAGCTCCTCCGGAGTGAGGTCATACGAGCAATCGACATTCGCGAACTCTTTCAGGAGATCCACCCCGGCCTCGCCAAGCTTTTCGGCGACGAGAATCGTAGGCTTCGCGTCCATTGCGAGGACGACGAAGCGGCGCGTTTGGTCGCGATTGTGGCGGACGGACAGGGTATTGACGCCGAATACGGTGGAAAGAGGCTGCCGGCGGCGAATACCTGAGACGGTGGTTGACGATTTAACGCCGGCGAAGGAAGCTGAGGCCGCCATCGCTGAGACAGTATTCGAGAGTGATCGGAGCAGAATATTTCGCCGGGAGAGGATCTGTGGGGTTGGGGGAGCAAGGTAGGTAGGAATTAAACCTGGCTTTTATACCATTTATAGGCATTAGATGTTGCGAGTTTTGTGAAGCTCCGGGATTTTAAGACCAGAAAAATGTATACCGTCTATTATGCAGGATCAATTGCGTGGATCTACTCGGTCCTCGGGCCCCCGTAGTTTCTAGGATTAACTACGCTGTATTTGGCTAGAATTTACAAATATGGAATTTATTTTAAAATTAGGGGTTTGTTACTTTGTTTACATACAAATTATTTAATATTCACTGACTCCATTCAGAAAAATTGGCATATTTATTTAATTTAGTTAGTAATAAACAAATAATAGAGAATGTAATAAAAATTGTAATATTTATTGTAAATAAATATTAAATTTAGAATATGATTAGATATATGACTTTGTTCTTCTATAAAAAAAAAATTTAAATACATTTTTTTGAAGAGAATTATCTTTCCGAGCTACTGTGTCTCTTTTACCGTAGAAATTTAGATGTGATATAATTAGTAAAAAATTATGAATGTATTAATTAAAATAAATATCTTATAATAAAAATAATATTAAATTAATATTTTTTAGTTCAAAAAAAATACTGTCTTGAACTACCGGTGTCTCTTTTACTATAGTCATTTGAATTTAGAAAGAATATAATTAATAAATAATTAAATGTATTAGTGAAAATAATTATTATATAATAAAATTATTTCTGATTAACAGGATAACTCATTTGTCTTATTAAAATTTTTAAAAAATTATAAATTACCGTTGAATTAATATATAATTATTTTCTAAATAAACAAAGCGATTGAATAAGTGGAATAGATCGAACTGAAAATATGAACACTGTAAATGGAACTTTAAATTTATTTATTTTTAATGATATTTTTTTTATAATATTATACTATAAAGTATAGTGTTTTTTATTAAGATAAAAAATAAAATTATTTAAAAAAATGAATTCAGTGTTTGGTATAAAAAAATGAGAATATGAAAATGGAAATAACCTCATTTTTTTTGTTTGGTTAAAAATTAAATCATTTTTCATTTGAATATTAATGCAGAATATATATATATATTTTTTTAATTTTTTATTATTTTTTCTAATTTATATTATTTTAGTTTTACAAAATATTATATTTATTTATTATTCAAGTATTTAATTTTTACTATTTTCTAAAAAATTACACTATAATCTAAATGTAATGTGGTTATATCTAATTTATTATTCAAACAAAAAAGTTGGAAAAATATTTTTTGATGGATTCTCGTTCTGTTAAAACTCTCTAATTTTTCATGGATTAAAATTCTCTATTGCTTTATTAATTCTTGATTGATCTTTCATTATATACTGAATTCATTTTTTCTGCTATATGTTCTCTGCTACCGATGGCCCTCTAAGATTAGACATGCTAAAGTGAAAAAATAAATACATTAGAAGTGGAAAGAGAATTTAATTTTGATTTTAAAAATGTTCTAAAATTTAAAAAGATTTTAGTTAAATAAATATTATAATTAATATAATATTAATATAAAATATTATTTTTTATATTATAAATATAATTTATTATACCTCACATAAAAAATAAATTCAAATTAAAAGACTAAACAAACAAATCCGAAGTGATTTTATTTTCGTCATCTACTTTTTTTTTTCTTTGTTTGTTTACGACGTAAAAATCTGCAGCAGCAGGTTCCGCTATCTACCTATAGAGCCGTATACCAAAAATTATTTCTATACAAAATTGTTTAAGCACATTAAAAACAAAAAATAAAACAAGTATAAAAAACAAATGTTATTATTTCACACAACAAACAACATGTGCTGTCTGTAACTTGTATCGGTGCTGATCGGGAAAATCAGCAAGCACCGTAACAACTCTTATTTAAGTAGTAGCTATCATAAACTGTGAAACTTCTAATTTACTGTCCATTTTCCCTAAGCAGTTAAGTTCATGGCAATTTCATTTCATAGTTGTCTGTTTTTATTAAAATCATCCTAAAATATAGATAGTAAAGATATACATCAAAATCAATATATAAGTTTAAAGACACATCTCATTTTTCCTGTCAATTTTCACCCAAAAAAAATTACACCACCAATCCCGGGTTATCTATACAGAAAATTCAGTGTGCATTAAAAAAAAAAAAAAATCCACAAAATTGGCAAAGAAAATAAGTTGGAAATGAATCCAACAACCCAATGAAGTGACTTACAAATCTTCTCTAAAGTAAGAAGTGATTCAACCAACAGATATCGAGAGGGATACGGCTAAGCGAGCAGATAAAAGAGCCTGTGAAGAACAAAAAACATAAGAAGATTAAACTTTAAGACAAAGATAATACACAGGTTGAGAAGAACAGCACAACCGCTCCCTTGAATATTTGAAAAAAGCGTACTTGAAATCTAAGCTTACATTGCAAGAATGTGGAAATGTGTAGGCGAGGAAAGAAACAAGAAGCTAAATGTATTGACATAAATTGATAAGTTTAGATGCCTTAGAATTATAGATAGAAAGCTAGAAATCGACTGTCATACCCAAACTGAATTTTCCATCCTAACAACATTTTGGCTGAGTTAACCTCCAACAAGTTTGCAGAAATAAGATTATGGCAAAGAGGAGAATCGTCTTCCAAGTATGAAATTAATATACGGCGACTAAGTTCTCTTATTTCTTGTTCAGATTCGACTTTTAATTTCATTTTTGGCCTAATGAGAATACACTGTGGGCCTCAGGATCAGATCTAATCTACTGCTTCTGTGTCCCACAGCAGTGATGTTAGAATCCTATTAATAAACTAAAGCACATTGTAGATATATGAAGGCCTTCAAATTTCCACAATTGATATTTTCCCGCATTATAAACTTCAAGAGCATGCATATTTGAAGCATTAGTTACCGTAACGACATTTTTAGGCAAGCAGATGAAGTGTCTAATCAGGCGGGAGTCACATATTGCAATGGAACATATATAGTCACACACATATATGAATATTCATAGACTGCGAGAGGGAGATGAGAGAATACATCGCATCTACTGGATCTTCTTGTCATTTGAAAATAAAGGAATCTTTTGCAGTATCTTATTATCGATTTTATGGCATTGTTCTGCAGCTATATTGCACACAAAACCCAGCTTTTCATCAATTGTTTTTTGGTAGCGGTCATACAACACTGGCACTGATAAACTAAGAAGAGTACCTGTTATTAAAAAAAATAAAAAATGAACAAACGTCAGAAAATTACTGAAACAGAAGTGAAATAATAATAATAATAATAATATTAAAATAAAATAAAATAAAAGACTTACAGAAATACACCAGTGAAATAAAATTGAAGAAACTGCCAACGTAGGAAACAACCCACAAGCCTATAGTAACCTATAACAAAAGCATTGAGGACCAGGCACAGTGATAGAGTATTGTTCAAGTAGAGGTATAATCAAGATCAATATGCAAGTCATTAACTGGAAAGGAGAGGCACCTGTGTAAAGAGTTTCAAATTTCCACCAATTGCAATGTCATGTGCAACTGATAAGGCATAATTAACCTGAACTCGCATCTCATCAGCAGCCTTTGCAACAGTGGCTTCGGAAAGCTCGAGATTGGGGAGAGGGGGCAAAGGTCTAAATTAAAAGAAACAGTTCCTATTATTAAAGCTTTGATGACTCACCCAAGCAACTGCAAATAAAATAGTGCTTAAAAATGGATGGCATATTCTCAATCATCCTACACCACCCAAATTTAAGCCCATGCTATTTTCTACATCCAACAATTAAAATCAAGTAAGTAGGGGCATCAATATATGTTGAATAATCATATAATTTGACCCAAGTGCAATTCAACTTCAAAATCAAGTCAGGCTGTTACTTAGTTTCAAGAATTTAGGTGAATAACATCTTCTAGGAAGTATTATAACTATGTATCTGTCAAAACTAAAAGTGATATATTTGATGCAAGTTCAAGTTCAAATCATGAAAACTATTTATAGTATGTATTGCAAGTTCAAGTTCAAGTGACATATTTACAATATATGTTGAATAATCATATAGTTTGACCAAGTCCAGTTCAAGTTCAGATCCTAGCTCAAACTCAAGTCAGGCCATTCCTCAGTTTCAAGAATTGAAGTAAATGACATCTTCTAGGAAGTATGACAACTTTGTATTTTGTCAAAATGATAACTATTTAGAATATTTGATGTGAGTTCAAGTTCAAATCATGATAACTATTTAAAGTATTTATTGCAAGTTCAAGTTCAAGAATTCTGGCCAAAAGGAAGTATTTATAGTTTGACACAAGTACAGTTCGAATTCAAATCCAAGTTCAAACTCAAGTAAGGCCGTTCCTGAGTTTCAAGAATTTAAGTGACTGACATCTTCTAGGAAGTATAATAACTCTGTATTTTGTCAAAATGATAACTACTTACAATATTTCTTGCGAGTTCTAGTTCAAATCATGATAACGATTTACAATAGTTATTGGGAGTTCAAGTTCAAATCACGATAACTATTTTAAGTATTTATTGGGCGTTCAAGTTCAAGTGACATATTTACAATTTATGTTGAATAATCATATAATTTGACACAAGTACAGTTGAAGTTCAAATCCGAGTCAAGCCATTACTCAGTTTCAAGTATTTAAGTGAAATAACATCTTCTAGGAAGTGTGACAACTATACATTTTGTCAATAGTGACATATTCATTTTTGAGTGTCCTAAAGGAAGAATCCAATCCTAAGTGTTTCTGCATATACATTTTCAGCATCTGACTGGTAATCAAGATACGATAATTAGATTATCCATATTCATATTCTCATGAAAACAAATTATCTTTCCTATTCTAGCCCGCATACCATAATACTTTCCAAAAAGGATATCAAGTCATCTCCAACAACGAAATAAAGCAAGAAATTAACTATTCCAATAGTATAAACTCGTTAAAGTAGACACAAAAATCCAGGCAAACCAAATCATATATATATACCTATTTAGAAGTGATGCAGATTTAGCCCAACAAAACAAGATAACCACGAGCAACAGCAGAACATTCGATATAAAAGATAGTAGATTGTATCCAGCGACCTCTAAGAGGAACCACAGGGCAGTTGAACCCACGAGAAGAGCCGCGCTTGGATACCATTTCTTCCACAATAATATATCAGCAACTGCATCGCAAGAAGGAAAATTCCATAGAGGTGAAGCTGAATACAAATGAATACAGAGGCCAAACCTAGTCCCCGAAGAGTCAACCAATAGATTTATCATCGATCGATTGATGATCTCGCAGAAAATAAAAGAAAAGCAATTACAATCTGAAAAGTAAAGGTGTACTAATCGTACCGGCACCACCGCCCAGGGCGTGATGAACAGAGCGTCGACTAGAATCTGAATCTCCCATGGTGGTTAGGGCTTACAGAAAGCAGAGACAGAATCGAAAATCCTTAACTAATGGATTGACCACCGATCCCGTCGCGTAAGAGACGACAGGACAGGACAGGACTTCTTCGTAATTCTTTTGCAAGTCCAAACTGAACGCCTTGATTTCTCACTCCCCCAAACTGCGTATATCGACTCGGGTTTCTTTTTTCTTTAGTTTTTTACTCACTAGTTACACTAGATACGAATTTTTTTTAAAATTAAATTTATCTTTCTATTTATTTTGTCCTCAATTCTTTTATTACTGTTATATTTGATTATTCTTGTAAAATTTTGTCTCCGGTCATCATCACTGCAAATCACCGTAAATATTTGATTATTCTTGTTTTTAAAATTAATATTTTTTTAGCGCTTTAACATTTACTTTTTTTAAGTATTAAATTATTAAATAAATTATATATATAATTTTTTTATAAAAAAGTTTTTCGAGTTGACCCAGAATCCGAAGAGTCTAAGGCGGGGCGGATTCTAGGGTCGGACTTAAGCAAGGCAGATCCTAAAACCTAATATTTTATAGCTCGAAAGGTCCCGGGACCTACAGAACCCATCCCCAACTGGCTGTTGACATACCTACTCTCTCTCTTTTTCTCTCTTGTTGTTGTTTTTTTTATATACATTTTACGGGATTTTGAGAAGCTTGCTCAATCAATGAAGTTGCTTGATGTTTTGCAACAAGCTAACTAACATAAATATTGGAATTACATTCATTTTTTCCTGATGAATACTTTTGTGTTTTGCTCTTGCCTTCTTGTGTGGATGCGCTGAAGATGGATATAATAAACAAAGCATGATTTTTCTCCATTGTATCCTTATTCCAGTGCTTAATTTTTTGATCAAGAAAAATGAAATAAGAAATTTAAATTTCTACACGACACCAAAATTTTATTTCAATTGAGATGGATCCATATGAAATTTTAAAAGTAAAACCAGATGACATTAATGACTAATATTGAAATGTTTGCAACTCATTTTTCATTTTAATGATGTAAGAATACACCGTCGCTAGCATTGAAATATTGGCAATCCATTTGTTACTTTCACATAATGTGACATTTCATATTAATAAAGTAAAACAAATAAAGAGGTATTGTATATTTTGGTAAATATATCTTAGATGTCATTCGCTGCAAATATGATTTATATAATGCGACTTTTATTTTAAGACGTGGGAAATAATCATATAGCATATCATCGCAATAAATTCAATCTTATAATATCTCAACCGACCTTTATAAATATTAAATTTGATGACAAGATAAAGAACCTATATCATAAGAAGTTGTGAGTTTCATAATTTAAAGTAGATATTTGAGGAATCATTAACTCAAGTTGGTATACAAAGATTATGTAACTAACTCCAATAATATTTCTTGATAAGCTTATACTTTCTTTTTCATTGATATATATGTTTATTTGACTGAGAGTGAATTTTTAAAAAATATGATAAAAATAAGAAACTTTTCATATTTTATAATAAAGAAATAGTAGAAAAATAGTAGTTTTTTACTAAAACAATGCGGATAATTTTTGAAACAACAACCAAAAAAAAAATCGGCATAATTGGAAGGCATAAATTTGAATAACAAATAGAGTAATAAACAATACACAATCAATCACTAGCGATCTATAGATGCCACAAAAAATTGTATGAATTTAATTACTTCCTATAACAATTAAATAAAATCAAACATTTCAATGTCCCCGATACCGACACCAACACCGGCACTTCGAGATTCACCTATAACACATAGTTTTTCTAGTGTGACTTATTTTGTAGAACTTAATTTGCATATCATTAAATTCGACCGAGTAGTGGCTACAAATTGTCATGTTATTTAAAAAAAAATTAATATGATAAAAAAACAAAGCACATAATTTAGCATAATAAGTTTATTCAAACAATATAGTACAATATACAAACTAAACAACAAATATTTTTATGTACACATCAACATCATTACATTGTGATAACTTAATTAACCCCACCATAAAGAACAATAGACTTCATAAACAACACACCAAGTAGTTAAAAAATTATTGTTGCGGTTCTTACGTCATAAAAATAAATAAATAAATAAATAAATTATTAATTGGATTGAGAAATTTTGAGAAAGGGTGTGTTCACTTTTATTAAATCCAATAAATATTACTCCATCTGTCTCAAACACCTTTGCAACATTGATGTCTCAAACACCTTGCAACATTTTCAAAATAGAAAATAATTAATTATACTTAATACTATTTACCTAAAAACTCGTGTCAAACATAAATGTTGCATCTTGTTTGGGACGGAGGGAATAATAAATAGATGAATCCAAACATAGCGTGCATTGAGCAACAACTAACAAGTTTAACTATAAACTTGTCTTTTCAATAAAATAATTCAAACCTAAACAAACACAACTAAATTTGTGTTAAATAAAAAATTAATTTTTTGAAAAAAAAAAAAAAATCATTCAGAAGATTAATGTTTTTTTTTAAAATTGGCCAGTACTACAAAAAAATAAAAATAAAAATCATTAGTGATAGTTATTTTGATAAATTTCAAAAGTTTATTCCTTTCCTTTTTTTTATTATTCTTAACTCTTACTATCACAAAAACTATACAACTTATAATAAAATTTTATATCAAAATATTATTTAAATAAAAATTAAAATTAAAAAATAAAGAGAATACACACAAATCTATAATTAGTTACAAATCTATTCATACTTACGTAAATCTGTTATATAAGGTATTTAAAAAATCAAACTTCTTCGTAAGAATTATAATAAATAATTAATTAATTAAACAAAATCCAAATATATATTAAAGAAAATCAATCTAATAAATATAATAATAATAATAATAATAACTAACAACTAATCGTTATACATATCTAATAAATCTGAAAGAGCCGTTTCGTTCCACTAAACACGTCCAAATCAAAAGTAACTTTCCATAACGCACTACTCAAAATTAGGTATCTAAACGCTCCCGAAATTTCCATGTGAGTCGCAAACCAATCACATATCGACACGTGTACTGACAGCTGTTCCTCACAACCACCCCTACTCTAAAACGGTAACGGCTCTTGCCGTTACAAAAGTATTTTATTATTAATAACTCACCACTTTTTTCTCTAACGTCCGTCCGAGTATCTCTATATATAAAACAGTACATCGTTTTAGCAGTTAGGGATTTACTTTAAGAATGGGTTCAGCGGAGGCCTTTGCGGCGGCAGAGGAGGCGCAGTCGCCGGCGACGGCCAATCATAAGGTCAAGGGGCCGTGGAGTACAGAAGAGGACGAGTTATTGCGGAAGTACGTGGAACAAAACGGCCAGAAGAATTGGTCGATGATTAGCAATTATATTCCGGGGAGATCCGGAAAATCGTGTCGATTGCGGTGGTGCAATCAGCTTTCTCCGGAGGTGGAGCACCGCCCGTTCACGGCGGAGGAAGACGAGATTATTATCCAAGCGCACGCCAAATTTGGGAATAAATGGGCTGCAATTGCGAAATTACTCGAAAGAAGGACCGACAACGCTGTAAAAAACCATTGGAATTCGAAGCTTAAGCGGAAGTTCAATCGGACGGCGAACAACACGGCGGATGAGCGGCCGAAGCAGGTTTTGAAGCGAACGCGAACGGACGGCGGAGATGTTTCTGTTGCAATGAAGATTGAAAGCACTTCTGAGAATTCGAATGTCAGTAATCCTAACGTCTTTTTTCTGAAAAAGCCTGATATGGAAACACCAATGGAAAAAACGGACGAGACTACGGCTGACGATGGAAACAACGAAGATGATTATGCTTTAACAATGTTGACATTGAAGTTGCCGGGAACTAGATTAGATGATGGTGATGAACATTCGACCAGTGAATTTGAATTTCAAGCGCAGGTGAAATCCGGCGAGAAGAAACAACTTGATCCAGAGCTGCGGGCAGTAATTCAGGATGCAGTAAAAACAGAGATTAGAAACTATTTTTCTTCTCTTTCGTTCCGCGGAGGCTAATGGTAAGTTTGAATTCCTTTGCGTTTTTGAATTTTTGAAATGAATAGGTTGGGAGTTGGGAGCAATATGGATGAATGATCAAATTTATTCTCATTGATCTTGAAATTGCATACATTTTGTTTATTTTTTTGTTTTTTATAAAAATATATACATATATTTTAGTTTAAATTTATAATAATAATTATATTAATATACTATATATTTTATAAGAGAAAAAATATATATATTCAAAATGCTAGGATATTTTTATCTTTTTCATAATATTTATTAAAAAATTTATAGGGAAGGAGTATTTTTTTATTTTGTTTGAGAGTCCAAATTATCCTAATTTTTTAAACAAGTCATTAATTTTTTTAAAATTAAATTTATAAATAAAAACTGTTTTTGTTTTATTATTATTATATTTATTAAAATAATTATAAATTAAAGTGATTATATCATATGATGTATATTACAAATATTATATGTATATTTTTTCAAATTACAGAAAGTTTAAAAAGAATAGAATCCTTCTTATAATAGACCTTATATATATTTTGTTAAAGTGATTTTACAATTTTTTATTAATAATAATTTTTTTAAAAAAAAATATCAAATATATATTTAGATCAAACACCTATTTATACTTAAAAAAACATATATTTAAAATTAAAAATTTTATTATTTAAAATCAATCTTATTATATATTTGTACAAATAAAATTAACATACTTATTTTTAATTAACAAATAAGTATATGCTTTTATATATTTGCACAAATAAAATTAAGTAACATATATACTTTTTATTAATAAATAAGTATATGTTTGTTTGTGTATATTTTAAATTTTATCTATTAATAAAAAGTATACATAAAAATATTTTTAATATAAAAATGAATATTTAATATAATATATATTAAAAAATAAAAACACTCAGTGCAAAACAGAACAAACACATACAACCTATCATATCCATTTCTATTCATTTATTATATATATATATATATAATAAATAAAGTATTCTATAGTTTTCTTGAAATAATTAAATGGTTTTAGAAAATACTAGAAATTTTAATTATATCTTTTACTTCAATGAAGAAATGGAATATAGTATAAATAGAAATAAAAATATTTTAAGTTATTTGTAATATTCTTGTTTATTATACAAAATTTATTACTAAATAATACTTCGTACCATGTCACGTTGCCAGGTAGTATTAACTACTTCTTCTGTCCCCGTACAAATGTATTGTATGATAAAAATTTTAAAAAATTTTATAAATTAAAAAAATTTGAAATAAGATTAAAGTGTATAATTTTTATTTTTTTTTTAAAAAAAGTAACAAAATAAATGAAACAAACAAAATAAAAAAAAAGAGTAAATACAATAGAGGAAGAATTATCATACTCGACTCGTATCACTCGATTTTGGGTTTATTTTATGATGGATGATTGGTTTATTTTATGATGGATGATTGATTAAAACGGTGTTTGGGAAATAATTTTGTCATTAAGAGTTATAGTTATTTGATTTAATTAAAATGTTTGATAAATTAATTTTTTTAAATAATTTTTTTTTACTTAAAAAATTAATTTCTAAGAAACTAATTTATCAGACTTTTCAAATACAAATTTTTTTCATTCCAATTTTTCTTTTTTTAATTTCTTAATTGCTTTAAAAATTAATTATGGATTTAACACATATATAATATATTTTAGTTGAAATATTTATTAATTATTTTAATATATTTTATTTATGAAATTATAATTTCTTTTATAAATTTAAACTAATTAAAATTATAATTTTTACTTGTAATTTAGTTTATTTGTAATATATTTTATTTGTAATATATGTAAATTTATTACAATTAAATCAAAATAGAAAATATAAATATTAATAAATTTTTTATTATTTAAATTTTATATTCCCTCGCTCAACAGCCAATTTTTCATTTATTTTGTATGTTTATAATTAAATACTCATTAATTATTATATCAAATCTAATACAAATTAAAAAATAAAAATAAAAATATTTTTCAATATTTTATAATACAAATATAATGATACAAAATATAACAAATCATACAAATATGAAAATATTTTTAATTTTAAAAATAATGAATCAAAATGTAAATGAAAAAATTAACAATGGACAAAAAAAAGTATTATAAACATATAAAATAGAATAAATTTATTTAAAGTTATTAATATAATAAATTTAATTAACATAACAAATATATATACAAAGAAGTTTATTATTTTATACATTCCGCAATCCTAATAAAAAATTACTTATATTTTCTTAATAAAAATTATTATTTTCTTAAATTTAAAAATAAAAAATAAATAATTTATAACACATTCACAATTTTTAATAACTAATAAAAATTTTAACCCAAGATAACACAATTCAATATTTAAAAAGAAATAAAATATAAATATTTTTAATTGTTATTTTTATAAATAAACAATTAATATCAAAATATTATTTTACTAAACATTTTACAATAACAACTAATTAAATAACCCAGTCAGATCAACTAACAACTAGTCTAAGGGGTTACATTTACATTCTTGTATAATTTTTTTTACTCATTATATTGTATTATATTTTTTTTAGTTGGGACCTAGTTGATACTATACTTTCAATTTTTATTTTTATAAAAATATTACATTGTATAGAACTCAATTAAAATGCATTTAAAATTTTTTATTTTTATTTAAAATTCTTATTTATTTTCAAATTAATTTATCTTTATCATATTTAAATTTATACTTTTATTTATTTATATTATATAAACTTTTATTTTCTTCGAAATAATATGCATATTATATACTCTTTCCGTCCACAAACTAATGTTCTACTTTCCTATTTGAGACGTTCAACAACTATGGTCTATTTCTTTTTTTTAAACACAAATTTTACATTTTTATCCTTAATTCATTTATTACTTTTAATCTCTACCATACATTAAGACAAATTTGTCAATTCATAACAAAAAGACAATCACCTAACAAACCGTACAAATATACTTTAAGACAATAGAAATTGGACGGAGGAAGTACTATATTTTATTAAAATAGTTAAACACATTTTTAATTTTTTTAATCTTATATATTAAATCATAAATAAAATACTATTAATTAGATAAATCACTTTCAACTCAACTTTCATCTCAATAAACCAATGCACTTTAAATTTTTTTACAAAATATTACTCCTTCCTTTTGTGACATTGTACTTTAATACTAAAAATATTTTGTGTAATTTTTTTATACAAATATTAATTAAAATATTATTATAATTTTTTCTTAATTTGTAATATATTTTGATTAATAATTAATATTTCAAAATATCAACCTTAAAACACAAATAAGACCGCCGAACGGAAGTAGTACATCTTACAGGTTGCAGACTATTAAAATTAGTTTAGAATGTATCCGTTAAAAAACAGCGCCTACCGTAGACTTTTATGTAGTAAAAAATAATAATAATAATAATAAAAACCAAAATATCCAAAAACACGAAAAAGAACACACCTTGGCACTACTACTTGATTTAGTAGTTTGAAGACATAATGCATCATGAGTTGAAAAGAAAGTTAGGGTGTGTTTGTTTGGAGGTTTGGATTTTGAATTGGGATTTGAATAGTAAAAATTTTAAATTTGATAGTTGTATAATGTGATATAAATAGAAGTTGATGTGATGTTTTAAATGTAAAATTGATTTTTAGTATAATATAAAAAATAAAAAATAGGTGTTTGATTTGATATTTTTGGTGAAAAAAAATTGGATGAATAGTGTAAATCCAATCCAATACTCCAAACAAACACACCCTTAATTGATCATATGTGGTGTCAAACTTAATAATATTCGATACACTTCAAACCGAAAAATTGCAATACAACAAAAATAGGAATCTTAAAGAGACAGCCCTCAGCTAAACATGGTTCAACATTGGAGAAGAATTATGTTGGAATATTTTTATCTCTTACTTTTGTTGTGGGGCTTGGGAGGACGAAGAAGGTTCCAATCAAGTTTATCGTGCTTTTGGGGATGGCGACTGTGAGTACGAGCTGAACCATGGTTGCCCTTGTTATTCTTTTTATTTGGGAGCTGTGGTTCAGTGGCGACTTCGGCTTGCTTCCTCTTGAGATCTCCATTTGCAGCTGAATGAGTCGTTTCCATGTTGTCCGTTGCTGTCGAGGATCCATGTTCTCTGTAGTTACATAAATATAACACTGCTCAACATATCGATGATCATGATAATAACGATTAACCATTCACATAATAAACAAAACCATTTTTAGTGATAATGCACATCTGAACTCTACAAAATGAATGTACAGAGAAGGCGAAGATAAAGGACATACATAGAAACATTAACAGTACGGAATCGTACCAAAAGTTACCATGGTTTGTGTTTTAACAAGCATGAAAGTCAACACCCATAACCACGGACCATGATTAGCATTTGGCACAAATAAATTCCGCATGTCCAAATCTAAAATGATATTTTCAATGTGGGATTTCGAGGACACTGTCAATAAATTCATCAGATAGAGCTCATCAACAAGAACTACCATAGCAGGCTGATAAGGATTACTTCCTCCAACAGGTAATGCAATATATCATAGCAATTACCAGACTCCGATTAATTTCAAGAATATATATAGTAGAAATAATAACCAAAATACTACTGAAATACAGAAATAATTCAAGATCACTAAATTAATGGCAGTCAACTATACATATAATTTAGTACTGATTAACATATATATTTATCAGTATGCATGAGAAATAATTGAGGATCTGTTTGGTTTGCAATGCTGTTCAATATATTACTGCATTCACAGATATTGGGTGCGTTTATTTTGTATTTTTTATGGATGTGTTTCTTACATTAGGTATGTAAAATTGTCCGTAATACAAAAAATAGAACTTCCTCCGTCCCACACAAAATATTCATTTTTTTCATTTTCGTCTGTCCATAATTTGTCCTTTTCTTTTTTTCTTTTTTTTTTTTATTAAATCATTAAATTTCATAACCTATAATTTTCTTAATTTTAATTAATTTTTTTAATCATCTTAATTTTAATCTATATTATATTTACTAATACACTTCTTAAATAATCCAATTACAAGAAGTCTGCAGGACAACACAACTTTTGAGGGAGAAAACTCTAACCTGCTAGATGATGTTTCATTTTTTGTTGCAGAACTTGCGGCAGTATATTCGTTTTTGCCTTGGCCAGTAACTTCCTCATTGAGTTTCTATGAAAACAGGCCCTTGACGTGAGAAACAAAAAAAAAAACACATGATAATGGAAAAAAACCCTCATGAGATTCTAATCATTAAACCTTTTACACTCACATCAATGGATGGGTTAAAACTTAAAAAGGACATGCGACCGCTCTTTTGCCCAGGATGAGGATCGCCTTCCATTATAACGACACTGCAAAGCATTTGACAAAAATAAATAAAGCCTGAAACAGCATTTAACAAATATAAATAAGCCTGAAGCAGCTTTCAACAAAAATAAATCAAGCATAAGCAGCATTCAACAAAATTATACTCCCCCTCACATTCAAATCAATGCTCACTTTTTTTCCAGTTATCAAAAAAAATATTCTCATTTTTCTTTTTAGTAAAATAACATACTACCTTTTGTACTTATTTTAACTAAAAAAGACAAACATAACAAAAAGAACGCACACATTCAAACATGTGTCTAAAAGTTTGAGCATATAGTTGGATGACAGAGAGTGTATTAAGCAGCAAGGGGAAAGCTAAAGGCGTGTGCCAAAAACATGCCTTTCCAAACAAAATGGTGCAAGTTGTATGGATTTATCAGAGGACCTGAAGGAATGCTAGGTCTTTTTCTTATTCGATTGGAATCTAAGCCTAAACCTATGCTTCTATCAAGGAGCTCTAACTAAAATCACCTGCAAGAGGAGATGTCCTTATCAGCTAGCTAAGCTTAGGGTTTATGACTGGCCTTTCAGAGGAATTAGCAATTGCAAACCTTAACCATATAGTTTACCACGACAAGTATCACCTATGTTGTTCAGATATTCTCAATTGATCTAAGCATCTAAAGGCAATCGTAAAACAGACTAAAAGAGTTATTTCTTTGAAGAGATCATCAAGGTCATTAATACACTTCAGGAGGCTAGTGCAAATTCCAACAAGGTTGTCTTTTTTCAAAGTTCTGAAGCTTCCTAATTCAATCAGGACAGATAAAGATTGCACCATTAAATTGGTTCTTGCGAGATAATAATCCAAACAAAATTTCTATACTCATGCATCATATCTTGCACTTCCTATGAAAGTTATTAAGTATCCTAAAAATCATTAGCATCCACTGGCCAAATTTTATAAATAAATGCAAAAGCAAATCGAACAATTCCAACACAAGCCAAGTTCGAATGTTTGGCTAGATCTTTACAAGTGTTTTATCAGAAAATTATTGTTACAATAAATAAGTCAAATGAGCAAATTTCATAACAATTTTTAACCCATCCAAAACTTCCTTGAAGGATCTACTGAATAAATTTCCTCAGCATTTGCAAAAATAACATGGTTGAAAGCAACAATCTATATAACCTAAAAACATTCAAGAACCATCATTGTTTCAAGTTACAAGAACTCAATAAACATCAGAATCCAACAAAACGATGATCTAACCATTTCCTAGCTGCACTACATGAAGGAAAATCTCCCGCCGGCAGGACCTCTTCTTCTTTCTTTTCTTTCTCGTCTTTCTGAGCTGCTCTTTGCATAAACTAAACACAGAAACAATAAAAATTAAAAAATAACATAACCTAGCATCTCGATCACATAACTCTAAGCACAAGCAAGCAAAGTTAAGGAAAGAGAGGGATAAATATAAACTAAATCAAACTAGATTCAAGCCCCAAACAAAAGGCGTAAGGATCAACCGGAAGCAACCCAATTTAATTAATGATTATTGCTCGTACCTTCAAGTTCTTCAATGTACTAGAAAGCTCCCGCTTAGCCATAATATTCTGCCCGATGGCGCGTTGGAACGGGGCGATGTGGTGGCAATTCCGCTCAGCGATTTCAATATTGAAACTTCTGAGATATCGATTTGAAGCTAGGGCAGGCAGATTAGGTTAAAGACTAACGAGTTTCCGCTTTCAAGTGGTGAATGGTTTATTAACAACAATGATTGCTCAAAACACAAAAGAAGAAATAGGTAGGGTTAGAGGAGAGCGGAAGATAAGAAGTCGATGGTCACGGTGGCTAGAATCGGGGAAGAAGAAGAAAAAGAGGAGAACCTGGTAGCGGCTGCGGCGGCTGTGGATGTGTAATGCATTAATTAGGCATTAGGCCAAAACGTGTATTAAAGAATAATACTGTAGTAATATATTTATAGTTATTTGTTTATAAAATAAAAATAATATTAGCTGGATATATTCAATTGAGATATTAATGAATTTTTTTAAAATTTTAAAAAATATATGAATTTAAATAGATTTTTATATATTTGATTAAATTTTTTGAAGATTTATACTAATTTTGTAAAATTGTAAAATAATTTTATTTTATAAATTATATCAAATACAAATTTTATAAATATAATATATTTATAATTAAAATTACTTCTATATTATTAAAACATAAGTTCTTAAATGTAATACTGATATTTATAATTAAATTTATTATATATTATAATATTTTTAGAAAATAAAATAAAATATTAATTATTAATGATGTAAAAGCATTGTAATATATGTAACATTACTATATTGTATATTAGTATTTTTAATTTTATAATTTTATTATTATATTATTATTCAATATATCAAATTAGTTTTATATTTATTATTATTATTATTTATATAATTTTTTTTACATAAAAAATATAATATTCGATTTTTGAAAAAAAAAGTAAAAAAAAAAAAATAAATTAACGGTTTAACGTATATATTTAAATATTTATTCCACTATCACCGGAATGATAATATAGTATATTCGATAATTGAAAAAAAAAAAATAGCATCAGAATGACATATATTATATTCGATAATAAAAAAAGAAGAATGACACTGACAATATAAGTATTATATTCGATAATTGTAAAAAAAATGACAATAATACATAGGAGTATTTATTATGATAATAATATTTTTTAAAACTATATTTATAATATAAAAATATTATTTTTTAAAATAATTGATAATAATTAACTAATATATTTTAGTTTTTAGTTATTATTTTAATTAAAGGTTATAATAATATTAATAAATATTATCATATTATTTATCTCTTATACAACCACAACAACAACAATAATAATAATAATAATAATAATTTTAAAAATTCATCAAAATCTCTATTGACAATGAGAGATTTTATACTGTACTTTCATAATTTTTCATTAAAATTCATAAACAAGTGGATGGTTGAATACCTCAAATCAAATCTGTATTATTGAATACCATCCAAATCTACGTTCATATTCATATAAACATATTCATAAAGGCACACTCAACTACCTACAGTTTTTAACCGATTGAATATCTCTAAATTTTAAAAAATTTCTAAAAATCTGAATTAAATACACATATGTTTTAAAAGTTCAACAAAATTCTACGAAATTTGGATTGAATATATCCCTTTGATATTAATAAAAATAAATCATTATTATGCAAGTATTTTTTTATATTTATATCTTAAATTTTGTAATTTTTAAATTATATAATTATATTTAATTTGAATTATCTTACTATCTAAAATACGTAAATATACGTAAAACTTATTTTTATTTATTTTAATTTAAAATTTTTAATCAATTACTATATTTATTATATTAATTATTTTTATATTATAATAATATAATTAATTGTTATTTACAATAAAGAATAAATATTTATAAATAAAATCAAAATTAATTATCTTTAAATAAATTAAATTTAGAAAAAATAAAAAATAAAACATAAAAATATTAAAAACGAATATATATATCTGCGGTTTAAATCGTAATCGGCGGTTTATAAACTGTAATCAAGCCGTTCAAAAAGTTTGATTTCAGTTTGATGTTTTGACAGATCGTAACTTGGAGTTTGAACAGTAACTTGCAGTTTGAACTTATACGGTGATTTTAAAAAGTAAAATAATATTCCTTCTGCCGGTATAATTATATATGTTTGTAAGAAATATTTAGTGTGTTTGTTTTATGTTTTTTATTTGAAGGAAAAAAAAAATTATTTGAGATATATAAACTTATTAGGTAATATAAAAAGAATTAATGTATATAATATATTAATATTTTTATTAAAAATGTGTTCAAATTTTTTGTGAAAAGAAACAAATCCAATGACTTTAATATTAAAGTGAGATATATAAAAAATAAAATGAAGATACTATAGAAAATTCATTAAATAATTGATAAGAAAATAATAGCGTAATAGAAAAAATAGTTACTAATGAGCTATAATTATTTTTCTTGGGACTGGGACAACTTGGAGTTCACTTTGGACTTACCCAACCGAAGGACCTTCTCTGTCCACTTTGTACCGCCTATCACAAAGAGAGACCACCTCAATCGGGACCGACCCAATACCGCCAGGAGACTTTCGACACAAGGCACATCTGCAGGTCACGAGGGCGAGCCCACCACCACAACCAATGCCCAATGCCACCCAATCCACTTCACCATCTAACCGGGCTCTGATACCACTGTTGGGACTGGGCCAACTCAACACCAGTATGATATTGTTCGATTTGGGTTGAGCCCACACGGATTTGTTTTTGGACTTTCTCCAAAAAGCCTCGTACTAGTGGAGTTCACTTGGGGCTTATAAGATGTAAAATTTTCTTCGCAACTTCTGACGTGGGACTTGAGTTTGCACCACAACATATTTGTTAAAATACATATAATAAGATGGTTGCGGATCCTATGTTGATCCGACACATAACCGGCATACATTTATATATAATACAACATATGTTGAGTTATAATATAAAATATACTTAATTATAATATAAAATATGTTTGTATTATAAATATATTAAAACACATATGTTTAGATTATATATATATATATATATATATAAGAGAACGTAGCAATATGATTCACACATAAATTAAGTATTATATCTATTACAACACCACCCGCAGCTCTTTTATTTGTAAAGTAGTTACTAACATGCATCGTTACTACACTTTATAAAAGGCCTGTGGACTAAGTTCTAATAATTATGAAATATATAATCCTTAATAAATGACTAATTATATATATAATACATAATTAACGACCGACTTATCCGTCATGGTCTTTCTCGATCCCAGACTGGAGTTACTTCAAGTTGCCCGGACCTGCATTCGAAATTCAGACATCATATTTTTCTCGAAAAACCTTTCAAGTATTTATTGTGGTGATGTCCTGAGCCGGGACTCGGCCCCCTAGTGTTAACGCTCCAGACTCCATTTCCAGTGCCGGGACTCGGCCCGGACCTTTCAGGCTCGACAACAATCATTAGCTGTCGGGCAGTATAAGGATTATAGGAACTCGAAGAAAGAGATGACGTGGAAAATAAAAATAAGATTAATAATGATCGAATGTTGAAGAGTTTGGATAAATTTGGAGACTCCATGGTTGTGTTTTAATTTGTATGGAAATATTTGCGACAATGAGTATTATTGAAGATGTGATGAATTTTATTTTAGATTTGAGAATGTATTTATAGGGTGAGAATGGGATCAATCAATCATTCAGTATGTTCATTTTGGAATAATTCTTCATAAATATTAGTATTTAAAAAATATAAATATATACACATTAATATAATATATATCATTTATTTATAAATACATTAATCATTTAATACAAAAATATTATTTTTTATATTATCCACACAGTGCTCCCTATTACACACAAAAAAAATATTCATCTAAAAATATTGGATCAACAGACTTACTATTATTCGAGGGAGATGAGATCGGATAAAAGATTTTATGATGGATAATTAAAAGATTTAGGGATTGAATTTTAAATATACCATTCATTCCATTTTTTCCCACAGAAATATCAAATCAAACACTTATTTTTCATTTTTTATATTATACTAAAAATCAATTTTACATTCAAAATATCACATCAACGCCTATTTATATCACATCATACAACTATTCAAATTCAAAATTTTTATTATTCAAATACCAACTCAAAATCCATACCTCCAAACAAACACACCCTAGTGGAGAATTAAGTCATGTTTGGTCATTTTCAACAGATAGATATGTTACTATTATGAACACTTTAATTTACTGTTTGAACATACAAATGCATGCATTTTGGCTATTACTTTTCACTCTTTCTTTCTATTTCGATTCCAAATTATTCGGGCCTTTTAATGTTTGAATTTAAGTTTTAATTTAAATAATAAATAATATAATATTTTATTAAAAACAATATATTTTATTTAAAACTTTGAAAAAAATTGAAGGACAAAAAAACAGACCAAAGTTTCTAGTCCCTACTCCAACATTGTATATGCATACAATTTTTTGTAGGGAGATTTTTTGGTTCGAAATAATTTTTACAATGTTTTGGATTTTTGAAAAACTCGAACCATCTCCTTCTGTTCGGATCCAAATTATTCATTTGAGTTTTTATAATAAATTAAAAAATAATACTAAATATTTTATTAATTAATAGAAATGTGTAATATAGTTTTGACATTTTGTCATTCCTACTTTATATATAAATTAATTGTATGTATAATAGTTTGTAATTTATGTGAAACTTAAAAGTAATTTAATACTAGTATGTAATTTACTGTAAACAAAAAATAATATTTTAGAGTGAGATCTACGGAAATAATAAAAGAGTACTTTCAATTGGAACGAAAAGTGTATCTTAATACACGTCCCTACTTGTAATTGAATCGAAACAATTATAAATAAATTCGTAAGGTTGTAAATGGGCAAAATGTTGAAACAAAATTCTTTGCTTGTGATTTTCAATTAGGGTAAACTGTCTTTTTAAGTCTAGTAACTGGACCCTCTTATCATTTTAGTTCCGTAAATGGAGCTTGTCGTAAACTAGTCACATAAGTGAAGAATTTTCGCTGTTTTAGTCCTCCGGCACCGGAGATGCCCGTGTGGCTCGCCGGAGGTGACGTGTCCGCTGACCTGGCGGACACGTGGATTTTTTTTTTTAATTTTTTAAAAAACTTATTTTTAATTTATTTTAAATTTTATTTGTATTTATTTTATTATTTTATTTGTTACAATTAAAAAAAATTAAAAAAATTAAAAAATAAATTCACGTGTCCGCCAGGTGTCGCTGACCTGGCGGGACACATGGCGGACACGTCACCTCCGGCGAGCCACGCGGGCGTCTCCGGCGCTGGAGGATTAAAACAGCAAAAAAATTTCACTTACGGGACTAGTTTGCGACAGGCTCCACTTACAAGACTAAAATGATAAAGGGTCCAGTTACGGGACTAAAAAAAACAGTTTACCCTTTGCAATTAATTTGAAATGAATTTTTGATTTATATTTTTAATAAAAATTGTACTATATTAATAATATTGATTTCAATTTAAAATTATAAAATAACAATGCTAAAATTGTCAATTTAATATTTATTTAATCTAAAGTACATAAAATCAATGATATACTGATAAAAAGAAAGATATATTGTATATATTTTGTCTTGTATATTTAAATGTTATAAATAACTATAAAACATAAATACACGTGCTTGTTCCATTTGAGTTTATACACTTTTTTAATAAAAAATATTTACACACTTTTTTAATAAAATATATTATATATATATATTTAATTGTTATGAAACATTATAGCAACCTATCATTTTTTATTTTTTTTATTATATGATGTAAATGTTTGTCTAATCTAACAACTTAAATCATTAGAGATAAACATTATTTATTTATTTATCTACGGAGTCAACCAACAATTTTATTTTTGTGTTGTATTTAATTGATTGTAAGTTAAATTATGATTTAATATCTATTTGATTAAAAATATATTTTAGATATATTAAAAACTATTATTCGATGGTATTTTTAATGCCAGTAGAAAGTACAATTACTTAAAAAAAAATAAAAATAAATACTTTGTTATGAAACATATCAAAATTAAAAAAATGAATAAATTGTTAAATTACAGATATAATATATATATATATACATTATTAACATAAATTAGTTTATATTAAAATATAAAATCTTAAATATACATAAATGATATCAAGTGTTATGTAAACATTTTTTTTACTTCATGATCACGAGTCTAACCGTTCTTTTACTGGATTTATTTGTATTGTTCTTTATTTATATAATAAAAGGATAAATAACGAGACGGATGGATGCTTGATGCTTGTACGTAAATACAAAAAATCCTTATATATATAAAATAATTATATTGCATGCAATTGAGTGAAGATATTAAATTATAATAACCAAACCCACTTTGGACTTTAATTCATTAAACGTTTTTTTCCCTAATTTTCCACTTCTTGTCTCCCGCATCACTTTTATTATTATTATTATTATTATTATTATTATTTGGATGACGTGAGAATCCGCAGTCGCTACCCGAAAGTGCCGAACCTAATACTCTGCAAATCAGACTCGACGAGAAAGTTACACTAGGCGAATCATATGTGACAAGTGACCTAAGGCGCCGGGGGTTTGAACCCTTGACCTCACGTCTAACCCCTACACCCTTATGGTGTGTTTGTTTGAAGGATTTTAGTGGACTTCTACTATTCATTCCAATTTTTCCCCTCAAAACATCAAATCAAACACTTATTTTTTATTTTTTATATTATACTAAAAATAAATTTTACATTTAAAACATCACATTAACTTCTGTTTATATCACATCATACAACTATTCAAATTCAAAATTTTTATTATTCAAATCCCAACTCAAAATCCAAACATCCAAACAAACACACCCTTAGCTAACATCGGAAATATTGGCAGCTATGCAACTATTTCCTACCATCTTTTTCCTATATCGGTTATTATCAATTTTAATTTTTAATTGTTATAAAGTATATTTATAATATTTCTAAATTTATGGTACTTCTTTCGTCCATCCGAATGATTTATACTTTTGTTCCGAAAATCAGGAAGTATAGTATTTAAGTAATAATTGTGATATTCACTGCTGCTGAAAAATTGAGCTGAAGTCACCGTAAAAAAAAAAAAAAAAAAAAATCTCAATTTCAGAATAAATATGTTATATTGTATTCAAAAGTCATAAAAAAGAAATATATACAGAATTTTGCTAGTGATTTTTTTTTTTTTTTAAATTAATAATATTTTTGTAATAATAAATTACAGAATAATAGCATGATAATTTTGTAATTTTATATAGCAACATAAACTTCAGCAATTCCGTGACTCTTTTTTTGCTTTGAATATTTTTGTGACAATAAATTGTAGAATAATATCATTGCACTTTAATAATTTTATATCAACATAAATTATTATTGCAATAATTCTGAATGTTTATATATATATATATATATATATATTTTAAGAAAAAAAAATCAATTATATTATAATTGATCAATGGAACCATGCACTATAATTAATAAATATTTACTATGTTTTACACTTTTTGTCTACTATTTATATTTTTGTCTGCCTCATCTTATTTGTCATTTTTTTAAAAAAAAATAATATATTTTAAAATTTTAATTTTAATTAAAGTACTTAGTTATATTAATCATAATATAATTATTTATATTATAATAATTAATTTTACTATTATACTTATTAATTATTTACTAATTATATTTTACCTAAAATTTTCTATTTACATTAAAGTGGACTAAAGAGCCAGGACGGATGAAGTATTAATTAAATAAAATAAAATTTAAAGAAAATTATTTATAATCTAACTGTAAATAATTTTAAAAAAATTAGATGAAAAATATATATATAATTAAAAATTGCGCCTATTTTAATATTTTGTTTTTAAATAGTGACAAAAATATTCATTAATTACATTATATGTAACAAATAAAGATATTAAAAATATTTCATAAAAAATGGTACGGTAGTAAAGGGTGGACTTGTGACATGTCAAATAAGCTGCTAGCCGGCTCATTCGGATGATTAGATTTGCTGTGAACAAAATTAATCAAAATATAAGAATAGAACCTACTATTAATATATATATATATATTTTTTATTTGAAATGATTTTATAAATTGTAATTTTAAAAATAAAACAGGAAAATAGCGTGTAAATACAATATATATATACTTCTGAAGTTCCATATTACAAATAATAGGAAGAGATTTGAAAATGGAGGAGTATAATACTAGTTATGTTACTTTACATATTAAAAATAATGTTACACTTTTTTTTTTTTTTTTTTTTTTTCAATGACGTAGAAATCCGCAGCCGCTATCCGAAAGTGCGCATTGGGTAAACCCCGTAAGGAATGGAGTTAGACTTGTGGATCGTGAGGTCATGAAGTTCAAATATTTGATGTCTCAGATCACCTATCACACATAAATTTAAAATTTTTTAATCTTAATTAAACTATTTAGTTATTTTAATCTTAATCTATAATTATATTTACTAAATAATAATTATTTTTAGTATACACTTTTTAATTACTTACTAATTACACTTTTGCCTAACTTCTCGTATCTACCGTAATGCGCCCATCTCATCAGGGAGTAAGTGATTAAGAAGTGCATTAGTAAAAATAATTATAATTTAATAAAAATAATTATAAATTAAGATGAATAAATAGTTTAATTAAAATAAAAAATTATGAATTTTAAAATTTGATTAAAATGTATAATAATCTTTTAAAAAAAAAAATTATATGAGATGGACGAAAAGAGTGGACAAATTAAGGGTAACGAATAAGGTAATATATACTAAAAATCAATTCAATATATTAAAAATTATTTACATATCTTCATGGATGTTGAAGCTTTGGGGGCGTCAAAGCGAATAGTATTGTAGTATCGACTAATTTTATTTATTAATATAATATAATATACTTTAAAATTATGTAAATATAATTGTAAAATGACTAATATCGAAGAAAGAAGTCCCGATATCAAATGAATACTCAATACATTTTTAGGTTATAAAATCAACCCATAATCCCAAATGATTCAAAATTTTATTTTATTTCATTTTTGTTTCCTGTTCAAATTAACTTTTCGATTTCTAACAAAAAAAAAAATAATAATAATAATAATAATAATAATAAAATAAAATAAAAAAAATCCAAACCTAAAAATGATCAATCTTGAACTGGTTTGCATTTTCAAGTTGGATTTAATTTTGAAACCCCCAATCTACAAACAAGCACAATCACCAATTTCCAATTTCCAATACAGAACAAACACACCCCAAATCTTAATTCAATCAATTATTAATTTTTATTGACATTACAACATTCGTTCTATTAAACATAAAAAATCAATAAGAACCAATCACACCCTCACCAGAAACCACCGGATGATACTCTTTCAAACCTTCTTCCCCATCGCCGCCGGCAACGGCCGTCTTGTACTTAGCTTTATACTCATTCCAGAGCTGATCAACAGGCTTCCCAATCATCTCCGTAAAATAGCTATCATCGTACCCATACCTCATCCTCTTATTCAGCTCTACTGTAAATTTAGGTTTCAAGCTATCGCAGTACTCCAAAAACCTCTCCGTCACGCCGTACCCTTCGTCCCACCGGTTTCCGGCGCCTGGTTTAATGTACGACGCCTGCGGGTACGTTCCTGACTTCATCATGACGTAATCGGCGATCCCCTCCGCCAATCCCGGCCGGATTTTGCCGTCGCCGTACCACTGGAAGAGATGCGTGATCTCATGGTACATCAAGGACTGGAAGAAGTACTTCGATTTCCACCGGGGGTCGTAATAACGGTCGAGTGCCGACGCGCTGACGTTGATGGCGTTGAGGGGCACGTTGGCGTAGGCGTAGCCGTCGAAGTCAGAGATGAAGATGTCGATGGAGGAGACGTTTTTCCGGTCGGAGCGCCGCGGCTGCTCGAAGAGTTCCTTTATGAATTTGACGACTCTGACGAGGGTTGTCTCGACGTACCACGCCCCAATTTCCTCGGTGAAGAGTGTCCCGCCGGGGGTGTTGGGGACTGTGTTCGTCACCCTGTATTTCATGGCTTCGATGTTGGTTAGAAGTAGAAGGAAGAGAATGGAACAGGCTCCGACATTGTTGATCGCCATGTGCGAACTGTCTGTGTGTAGGTAGAGACAGATTGTGTATGTATTTGTTAGGGTTAGGGTTTTGGTTTTTTAGGTCTTTGTTTTGGATGATTGTTATTTTTGTTACATATTGTTTGTTTTGAGTTAGTGAAGGAATGGTGGGAATTTGGCAAGTGAAAGAATGATGGTAAGTGATGGAGAATTTTAAGTAATCTCATGTTTATATTTGGTCATATAATAAGGTATAAATGTGTATATATTACATTCCATTTAAGTTTTTCAATTTACTATGTCATGGAAAGGAAAGTCCTATGGATGCAAAGAATATAGTCAATGATGTTAATCCAATATAATGTTTATCTAATAACTTTTACTATTTCTACTCTACTTTTAAAAAAAGTAAAATAAAATACACCTTTTAATATTGGAATATGTGAAAGCACGATATGTTAAAAACAACATTCAAAGAGTATCAGTGATATGTATATGTTGAGAATTTGAATAATTTTACGCTTACGAGTCCATTTCACACCAGATCGTCCTTAAAGGGTCAAACTGAATATAATCGATCCACTTAATTCTAAGTAACAATGCGAGTTCCGAAGAAATGAAAGAAACTCAAGAAGCACCAACAACGCAAGAATGACACTGAAAATTGCATGCGCCCAATTCGACTAAACTACCCCTTTGCATTACATTCCATGGTATAGCTTATAACACGGAATTCAAGTTAAATTTGGACTAGTCCATTTATGTCATCATTTCATAGATTGTGAGGTGATGAATTACATGACCACTCCCATTAAAAGAAAAACAACCGTGTACAAAATAAATTTTGTAGGCAAATGAACTCCATTGCAACCCAACTCAAAAAAAGAAAGGAAAAAGCTCTTGGACCACTAATCGACGGTTTATTTGCATAAGATTTTGATGCGGTGTGTACGAGGTCATATGGAATTAAAGAAAGATCAAATCAAGCTTTGCCCTTTTTCTTTCTCTTCGAAGAACATCGCAAAAGACGACTTTTCAACCTTAAAATCTAATTTAAAATTGAACCTGAATGCAGATCCGAATATGACATATATTAAAATTTATATATTTTATTCAAAAGTATTATTATAAAATAATAAATAAATAAAACTAAAAATATACTCATTTTTAATATAATGTATACTCTCTCCGGTCCATTTCAAAATGATCATTTGAGATTTTTTGTAGTAAATTAAGAAATAATAGTATTTTATAGGTTAGTAAAAGTGTGTAAGAAGTTTTGACATTTTGCCCTTTGACTTTATGTATAAAATAATTGTATGTGTAGTGGTATGTTTTTAATTTAAGTAAAAATTAAGTAGTCTAATATTAGGAAAAAGATACTTTGAGGTAGGATTGATGAAAATTGTAAAAAAATACATTAAAATGGAATGGAGGGAGTATTATTAAAAAGTATTTTTTTCATATATATAATTAATATATTAGTAATATATTGATCAGGTCACGGTCGGGGTCGGGTTTACCCCTGGACCCGAGACCCGACCTGAAGCCGATAAGGATACACAATACCCGACATGGACTCGAATCTGATACCCGAATAATCGGATCCGATCTTAAATAAATGGGGCGGGTCCGGATCAGGTTTCGGGTATACCTGGACCCATTACCACCCTTAGAAGTGTGACAACGTAGACGGACATGAAATGTAGGTTCTTGAAAAAAATAAATAAATAAATAAATAAATAAATAAAAATCTTGCATCTCTGAGTTGCCAATTTAAGGAAAGAAATTTATGGGATAAAACATTTATCATAGTCTTTACTTGAGCATTGAGATGTCCGAGAAGCTCTAATTACATGATGTCCTCAACATGAATTTTTTGAGCAATTATTAATTCAATATATATTTCTACGAATGAATTATAACTTTATTGATAGAAGAATTATGCCACAAGTGATGGTATACTAATGAACAAGACTGTTAGGAGGCATGGAAACTAATCAAATAACATGAAGATGAACTCATAGCAATCCAGGACAAGAAAAGCTAAATTGGCTAATTGAGGTAATTAAATTGTGTACAACAACTAATGGAGTAAACTTAATTTGTTTGAAAACTAGTTGTAGGGAGAAAGTCGATGTGCATTCATTCAGGTTGAACAAGTATATTCGTGTCGCAGATTTAACATATTTAACCCGCGGAAGTGTCGGTGTTAATTGAATCAAATTAGTATAGTGTTACAATTTGACTCAATCGACAATTTATAAAAAAAAAATATATAATTAATAAATAATTAAAAATATTTATCTTGTAATATAAATACTTATAGATTAAAATTAAAATAAACAACTAGCTTAATTAAAATTTAAAATAAAACTAAAGTGTGTAATCTTTTTTCAAAATAAAAAATTGACATAAAATGTGGATACACAACAACAACAATGTAGACAAGTGATTTAGGTGAGACAGAAAAAGTAGAAAAATGTGCTACCGTGAAGTCTTATATTTATGTTGTACTCTATAAAATTATTTATTGCGTTAAACTCAATAATTTATTCTAATACGTGGAATTATATTATGTGCTCTTAGGATCTATACCACATAGAATAATATCGTGTGATGTCGGTCTTGATTATATTTGTTGATCCAGTTTTGATTATATTTAACCATAAACATTTGATCTTATCATAACATTCCTTCATTGATTTATAATTATTATTAGTATTACAACATGCTAAGTAACAAATCAATAAAAACCAATCACACCATCACCAAACCCCAACGGATAATACCCTTTCCGACCTTCTTCCCCATCTCCGGCGGCAATGGCGGCCGTCTTGTACTTCGCTTTATACTCATTCCAGAGCTGATCGACAGGCTTCCCAATCATCTCCTTAAAATAACTATCATCATACCCATACCTCATCCTCTTATTCAGCTCCACCGTAAATTTAGGCTTCAAGCTGTCGCAGTACTCCAGAAACCTCTCCGTCACGCCGTACCCTTCATCCCACCGCTCGCCGGCGCCGGGCTTAGCGTACTGTTCCATCGGAAAAGTCCCGGACTTCACCATGACGTAGTCGGCGATCCCCTCAGCCAATCCCGGCCGGATTTTGCCCTCGCCGTACCATTGGAAGAGATGCGTGACCTCGTGGTGCATCAACCACTGGAAGTAATTCTTCGAACTCGATCGGGGATTGTATTGCCGGTCAATCGCCGTCGCGCTGACGTTGATGGCGTTTAGGGGCACGTTGGCGTAGGCGTAGCCGTCGCTGAAATCGGAGATGTACACGTGGACGGAGGAGACGTTTTTCCGGTCGGCGGGGGTCGGCTGCTCGAAGAGCTTCCAGATGAATTTGGTGGCCCTTTCTAGGGTCTGCGCGGCGAAGGCTTTTCCGACGTACTGGTCGAAGACCTTCCCGCCGGGGGTGTTGGGGGCGGAGTTGGTGGCGCCGTACTTCATTGCCGACGTGCAGTTGGTTAGGGTTAGGAGGAGGAGGAGGAGGAGAATGGAGAGAGTTTCGACATTGTTGATCGCCATGGTCGCTATCTGTGTGTGATTGGATAGAGACGATGAGTGAGGTTTAGGGTTATTTTCTTTTTTTATAGGTGTTTGTTTTTGAATGATTTTTATTTTGTTATTTATTGTTTATTTCTGAATTGTGAAGAAGGGTGATACGATTGTGCTTGAAAGGATTGTGGTATTAATTGAGTTGGGATTTGATTTCCGATTAATAAAGTTTGGGATGTTTTGGTTTATGGTGAATTACTATAATTTCTTTTAATTTATTGTGAATTGGTTGACTATGATGCTATTTTTATTATTATTTATTTTCAAATCAAATACCTGCAAATTAGGCTTGATAAGATATTGCGATGCTTACACTATAAATATAAAATATGTCATTATTAAAAAAAATCGCTTTTTAAATGAATCATATGTGACATGAAAATTCGGAGGCGTCGTGATTTGAATTCATAATTTCACGATGACGAGGCAGTACTACATTAGAATTTGATCCCATAGTTTGGCACTTACTAATATTTCAATGTTTAATATGAGTTAACATAGACTTTAATCCAATATCTTTTTTTATATACACTAACAAAAATCAAGTTAAAATAAGCATGACACACAATTCAAATAATCTAAACGGTATGTTTCCTTGCGAGTTTTTTATCCTGATTTTACTATTTAAATTTATTTTTTTTAAACAAATATCAAATTAAATATCTATTATTTATTTAATATTACACCAAAATTTTATTTTACATTCATAAAATATCACGTCAATATATATTTATATCACATCATCTAATTATTTTAATTCACAATGTTATTATTCAAAATCAAAATACAAAATCAAAATCTTTAAAGTAAACACACCCGGTACATTTCTTGTAATAATAATTAAATGCAATAAAAAATATTTGGCTCACTATTCGTTTACAGTTAATTATATTTTGCAAAATCTATCACATTAAATATATATATATATTTATTTATATTGCATCAAAATTTTATTCTTTATAATTCAAATCAGCATATTATTTAATGTGGTATATTGTAAAAATAAATAAAAAATTATATATTTATGGAGAATCATACATGATTAAAAAAAATGAAATCACAACCTGAAATTATCGAATTTAAACATTTATTCAATTATTTCTACTATATTTCAAACCAGCATAAAATTTTAAAATTTTTCCAGTTGGGTTGAACTACGATCAACTCGTGATTGTGATGGTAATCCGCATTCGCTATTTGAAAGTGCGTACAGGATAACGCTGATCGAGCCTAATATCCTACAAATCAGGCCCGACAGGCAAGTCACACTAAGCGAACCATGTGTGACATGTGATCTGAAGCGTCGAGGGTTTGAACCCATAACCTCATGATGACAAATCTAACTCCCGCCCCATCAAAATTAATCTTTGATTGTGAGGGTATGGTCAAGATTAATCTTACCTGCTATACATGATTTTTAAGTGTGAAAGTAAATAAAATAATACCCTCTCTACAATATCAATTTGGGCTTTCAGCTCAATAAATATTTGGGTGTATTTTTTTTTGATAAATTTGGAAAAAGAATGGTTTGAATTTGATACGAAAATAATATTTGATGTAATATTTTGTGAGATGAGAAAATGTATTTTTTCGAAAAAAGCAGAATTTAAATAGTAAAATTCGAAGAAACTGGGTTAAAGAAACATACCTTGACAAATGTATAACTTTCTTTATTTCATTTTATTTTAATATAATAGACACAATGTTGTGTTTTGTTTAAAAAAATTTTATTATTCATTTATTTTATTTTTAAAAAGTATAAATAAAATATTTTTTTTTTATAATAAAGTAATTTTATATTTAAAATTCAGAATCCACACAACCACAGTTCTCTATTCTCTAGATAATCGGTATAGCGGCCTGGGAGTTTGAACTCATAATATCACGAGGCCATCCCTCACGGGACCTATTACCACTTTTTTTTTTTTTTTTTAAATAACGTGGGAACCGCAGCCGTTATCTAAAAGTGCGTACCGGATAAACCATTGATCGAACCTAATACCCCATTTCTTTAATTTATTAAAAATTGTTTTAGACTATTATAGTACTCTCTCCTGTACATTTCAAATGACCTTTTGGAATCATGCACTAAAATAAGAATTAATTGTATTTTATTAATTATTAGAAATATGTAAGGAATTTTGACATTTTTATTTTTTATTGGATGTATAAGGTAATTATATGTGTAATGGTTTGTTTGTAATTTAAGTAAAAATTAAAAGTATTTTAATATTAGTGTATTATTACTTTTTTTTAAAATAGTAAATGAATATTTTAAAATAAAACAAATGAAAATAGTAAAAATTATATTTTGAATTTGGTCAAAAGAGTATATTTTATTGAAATATATTTTGTAAAACACTTAATCACATGTTTTAAATTTAGTTTTAATCTTATATATTATGCATAAATTAAATACTACTCCCGACAAATGATTCATTTTCCTTTTTATGTCCATCGTTCCATTGAAGATGACCTCTTTTTATTTTTAGAAAATTTATTCATTTTAAATATATTTAAAAAATATAAATTAATTTAATTATATTTCTAATTATAAATTTCTCTTTATTTCCCTCTCTTCTCAATAAATAAATATTTTTATCTATATTTAAAATTTTTTATTTTTAATAAAATTAGTTTTAAGTTAATTATAAATAAATAAATTAATTTTTTTATTTATTTGTAGTATTATATAAAATTTGATTCTCTACAAAATGATATTCATATTGTATATATTTTATTGATATATAATGCTAAAAATATTTAAAACTCCAAAAATATTATTCATATAAAAATAATAAAATTATATTATAACTTATTATTAACAGCTTATACAGGCCTAAAATATCAAGTTAGGCAAAAGGATCATCTTAACCTGAGGGAGCATATAGGAAATAATTATTATCTAAACCAATTTCTAACCACAATTAACCCCAACAACCTACCAGCCACACAATAAGCATTTTGTAGCTGTATAATATAAGCACATTATTGTCGTCATTTTGAACAGCCATGATAATGGCAGTAATGATGTAGAAGGTCCATGGCGTTCAACACCAGATGTACATCTTCACCATTTATACTTTAATCCAACGGTTCAAACTTTTCCGGATCAATATGGTGATCAAAATCCTGGAGCTAGTAACAGTTGACCCGTACTTTCTTCCCCAAATTTGAAATTTCCAACGTCTGAATAACGTTCAAGCCGCCATTCGGCTCCGATCACTGCTCCTCAATCCCACCCACCACTAAAATTTTCCACATAACTATTCCCCCTCGGATTCTCCCCAATTCTCTACCGTAACAACCTTTAACGCCATGGCTTCTGACGGATTCCGACCGCTGGACGAGAAGTCGTTGGTGGAGTATGTGAAGGCTACGCCGTCTTTGGCTGCGAAGCTGGGGAATCAGTTCGACAAGCTGGATGTCAGAGAAGTAGGCGATGGAAATCTCAACTTTGTTTATATTATCGTTGGCGAATCAGGTTCTTTGGTCGTCAAACAGGTAGAATTCTTCTTCTTCTTCTTCTCCTTTATTTTATTTTGATGTTATAAAATTATATTCAGTGATGATCTCATTGGGTGCTTACTTCGTTTGATTTGTTTCGGATTTTGATTAACATCGAGTTGTTTGTGAATTTCTGCTGTTCGTATACTGATAGTGATTTTCTTCGTTTGCCCTAATTTACGACTGTTGCGTTCGAGGAAATTCAATTTGGGGCAAAGAATCAATTCATCATTACAAAGAATGTTCATATTTCTGTGCTTAGTTCATTTGATTAGTTCATCATTGTGATCATTCATCCATTCACTGACCAGATTTAGCTAAATTTCAGCAATATCACCTATTCTGCAAATGGATTCAATGTTCAATTCTAACTTGAATCTGATTTAAACTGGTTTTGTTCAAAATCTTCTCAGGCTCTGCCATACATTCGTTCTATAGGTGAATCATGGCCGATGTCGAAAGATCGTGCCTACTACGAAGCCATAACATTGCAAGAACACTGTAGATTGTGTCCTCAACATGTTCCTGAAGTCTATCATTTCGATAAGAAGATGTCTCTGATTGGCATGCGATTTGTCGAACCACCTCATATTATCCTACGAAAAGGATTGATTGCTGGAATCGAGTACCCTTTACTAGCCGAACATATATCAGAATACCTGTCCCGGACACTGTTCTATACCTCTCTGCTTTATATGAACACCACAGATCATAAAAATGGAGGCAAGAAATCTCATAAGCATCGATGTTGACCACAAATTCGAGCTTTAAATAATTCGTTGTTTAATTCTGCAGTGGCGAACTACTGTGGGAATGTGGAGTTACGTAGGCTTACCGAGCAGGTTGTCTTTTCGGATCCATACAGGGTTGCTGAATTCAATCGTTGGACGAGGCCTTACCTCGATGATGAAGCTCAGGCAGTTCGGGAGGATAACATTTTGAAGCTAGAAGTTGCCGAGTTAAAGTCTAAGTAATGTGCTCGAAATATTTATGCCATTTGAATCTTGCAGCCTTAATTCGATTTTTTAGTTTCTTAGAAGCTGTTCTTGGGGCCTTTTTGATTCAGGTTCTGCGAGAGAGCGCAAGCTCTGATACACGGCGACCTCCACACAGGTTCAATCATGGTCACGGCTGACTCGATGCAAGTCATAGATCCCGAGTTTTCCTTTTACGGCCCAATGGGGTTTGATGTCGGAGCTTTTATTGGGAACTTGATCTTAGCTTATTATTCTCAAGACGGGCATGCAGCCGCCGGTGCTGATCGCAGAGTACTCGCTTCTGGCCCTGTTTATATATATATATATATATAATCTTTAATCGAAGCATATATAGTTACGTATTCTTGCTGCAGTCATATAAAAAGTGGATATTGATGGCGATTGCGGATACTTGGAACCTCTTCTTCAAGAAATTCGCTGCTCTTTGGGACAAACATAAGGACGGGCCTGGCGAGGCGTATCTGCCAGAGATTTACAATAATCCAGAAGCCCGGTTGCTCGTAAAACAAAAGTATATGGAAGAGCTCTTCCATGACAGCCTCGGATTCGCGGCTGCAAAAATGATCAGGTTTCTGTGTTCTTGAAATTACTAGATGTGTTCTAAATATTTCGATAGATGAGGAGGATGTGACGATGGATATTATGATCGAGTAATTGCAGGAGAATCGTAGGTGTAGCTCATGTGGAAGATTTTGAAGCAATCGGAGAGGCTGCTCCGCGCGCAGAATGCGAGCGAAGAGCTCTTGGCTTCGCGAAAACTCTTCTGAAGACGCGACAAACATTCCATGACATAAGCCAAGTTGTTTCTGCGATCGAGCTGCACGATGAAGCAGTGTAAGCCCTGATTATTCTTTCTGTGTACATGTTCAGGCAGGCTTTCCTGTGTAGTGTCTGAAAACGTTATGTTGCAATAATGGAGTGCGTCCGCCATAGTTAGTCGAGCACAAGAACAAGATGACTGCCCTGTCCTGTCTTGTCCTGTCATCCTTTGTGATGTTCTATTAATTTCTAGCTGTAACATTTGATATACATTGCTATAGTTTCGTTTGTATTGTATACTATGGGAATAAAGGGTCGGTCTGTTTTATTAGATGGAATTGGCACTGTATTCTCAATTTTTAATTTTTATTTTTATTTTTTCATCTCAAAATTATCTTTTCTATTTTTGATTTTTTTTTTGAGATTTATTTATAATTTGATATTTTAATATTTCTCTCATATATACAAATAGTATATTTTTGTATATTTAAAATAAAATATAATTTGTTTAGTATTGATTGAAATAGGTTTAATGTAATTTATTTAGTATTTGTTGAAACATATGTTCGATGAAAGTGATCTTTATTTGTAGTGTATAAGAGTATCTTATATGTTAAAATTTGGCTATGTAAAACTATATTATGTAATGAGTAGGACGTTTCCTCCTCGAACACTTTTTCGTCGGCTTAGCAACTTTTCGAGGCTCACGAAAGCTCATTAGTACAGCCTCACACATGACTTCATTCTAAACTAGAAAGTAAAAACACCACAGGATGCACTCAGCAAATTAGAATATATATTAACTTTCTCTAAAATAAAGTACAACCAAAAGGTCCTCTCCTCTATCTATATATATATATATATATCGAGAGAGAGAAACTCTAAATGATCCGGCTTAACATAGACAAAAGCATATCCACTTTCGGATAGATGCTATTTATATATTAAGTAACAATTATTAATTAAATTTTACCAAATAACTTTAAATAAATAACTAATTCATAGATTTTCAAATCAACATATTGTTTTGCATTTCAAACTAAAAAATTATGTTACTATGCTCTCGGCATGTTTTTTGTTCAGCATGTTTTTTTAATAAGAATCTACTATTTTTGTACTATTCTTAATAAAAACGTTATTTAATAAAATATTATTTGTTCACTTTATTTTTATTGAATTATTAAATTACAAAATAATTATTTAAAAATATTTTATTTTTATATAAATATTTATATTTTATTATTATACTATTATTTTTTAAATAAAAAAATAAAAATAAAATTATTTTTATATCGCTCATTATATTTAAATATTATTGTTTTTAAATTTTATGAAAAAATAATTATTTATTTTTAAATGAATAAAAATAATATTATATAAAAATACTAATTAAAATAAAATATAATCAAAACGAAATTCAAATCCAAACTAAACAAAAATTGATCAACCATCACTTGGTTCGCCAAACACCCCTCCTAATATTTTTATATTATTATATTAATTGCCCCCATTTAATTAAAGCAATACAGCTTTAAAGAGCATAGACCAAATTAATTACTTAACTCCATTCTCGTATTTATAAATTCATCTGTATGATGTAAAGATAATGATATTTATATAATATATTATATTATTAATATTATATGATATAAAAATAATACTTTCTCCAAAATATAGTTTTATTGTCTTAGGTACGAAATTTAAAGAATATTGGTAGTTGGTAAAAAATAATGATAAATGACTTTTTTTGCCTTTACGAGTATAAAAAATAGTGATAATTATGTAATAGTAATAAAAAACTAGGGATAGTTTTATAATTATATAATTATTTATAGAAATGATATTATATTTTGAGACGAACAAAAATAGTAAATAAAACTATTGTATTAGAACGAATTGAGTAATATTTATGTAATATATTATATTATTAATATTATATAATATAAAAATAACAATATTTATGTAATATATTATAAATTAAAAATATATGATTAATATTGTATAATATAAAAATAATAATATTTATGTAATATATTATAAATTAAAAATATTTATAATATTAAATAAATAAAAATAATAATCGGGATGAAAATTGAATATTACCGAACGGAGGAAGAGTATTAAGTACACGTATGATTCATTAATGCACAACTGAACAGCGTCAGTTTCCATTTTCCAATTGTTGTCATCACCCTACCCTTAACTCAGAAGTGCGACTTTGCAACAGATTTTGGAACAGCGTTTCTCACGCCAACCAAAAACACGACTTTTTTGAAATTCGCACTCTGACAACAAAACAGAGCAAAATGCAAATTTGATTTTTGAACACTACTCCTCCCCCTTCGCTCAATTTTTTTACTTTCCTACCCAACAAAAGAGAGACCACCCAGCCAAACATAATTACCAAAAACAGTAATTTTTTTATATATTTATTTATACATATTGAATATATATATATATATACAAAAGATGGTTCTATTTCTTGTTTAGTTTCCCCAACTGTTTGTTGTTGTTTTGTCATAATACTACAAAAATTGTGAAAATTAAGGCAGACGATCAGGCAGAGTAAACAGAATCGAGCAAGCCCGCCGACGTCCACAGATCAGCGCCGTTAGATTCCGCCACGTGTACGGTCAGCTCGACTGGGACGAGACACAATCCTCTGCTTCGCAGGTCGTCTTTTCTTGCTTCGTTACTTGATCCATCAACACCCTTCTGCGATTAAAATCAACGGCTGAGATTGAATCATACATCTACGTATCAAATATTCTATACTCTACTTACGGGACCCGGAGGACCTTCTGAGGAACGTTGCAAGTATGGGGAGCACAGGGCCTGGACCTGGTCCTGCAGGAATCTTATGTAGCCTAATGCTTCGTGAAGCACTGATGCCGTGTCCGTCTGTAATGCAATGCAACACCAAAATAGTATATACATCATCATTACATCTTCCGGAGGTCCCGGGACCCCCACAAATTGAACGGTATAGAAGTAGGGATGGATGGACCTTGCCAAAGGGTGAAACGAGCTGTTGCAATGCCGTGATTCTTTCCCCCAGCTTCTGTTTCTTGACAACCTTGCATGTCCAGATCACAACCGTCGGATCGACATTGCAATGCAACGTCAGCCGTCGGATCAATTAAACGGAAAATGCATACATACATAGATATAAATTACAATTACCTTCACATTGCCGCCGTTACCGTTACCGTTACTTCCCTTATGCCTCTTACTGCTCCTCTGATTCCCACTCGGAGCTCCGGGACTTTCGACCCGCGACCCGTCTCTCTTCTTCTGCTGCACAGATATTCACTAATTGTAAAATTATTTCGATTATTAATTAATTAATTATTTAATTACTGACGTTGGATTTGGGCGTGGAGGCTTTGCATGCGGGTTCGGGTTTCTGGGGCGGTTTATGGAGCTCCAGATTGTTACCATTGGCGGCACAATCGCCGAAACAAAGCATCTTTGGAGTGTTGAAAGTGTTACTGTGATCGGAAGATGAGAAGGAAGAAGAAAAGCCGAAGCAGTCGTCGTCAAGACCCGAAATCTCGTTCCCGAACAGGAGCTCTGAATAGCAGCAACCCGGTTCATCCCCAACAAACCCACCATTACTCGCCGCCATTGTTGCAGATTGATTACCCAAACCCTATATACATATGTATGTATGTTTGAAGGAATGGAGAAGACAGCGAAGGAGGAGAGAGAGAGATAGATAGAGAGGAGGAAGAGAGCTTCGGTATTGTCGTCAGTCAGAGAGAGAGAGAGAGTATGAATGGCACCCGAGAAAACCGTGTTCGCTTTATAAACCCAAAGCGGGCAAACGGGTCGGGTCATCTGGAGCGATGTCGTGGCGGAAAGCTGGGGCCGGATCCAGTGAATGTGGCCCATTCGTCCAACATGCGCGCCCTGAGTCATCCCCGACGACCTACTCGTGTGTGCACACCATTTTATTGCTTTTAATTGAAATAAAAAAATAAAAAAATAAATCGGATTTATTTATAATTATTAATTAATTGATTGACATGGCAAAACAAAATAAATATAGATAAATTGCCTAAAATTTATTGTGATTTCACGAAATTAAACCAAATTCTCTATACAGATATAGGAGTATAAAAAATTTGACGCAATTTTATGAAATCATAACTACATTTTGTACAATTTAACTTAAATATAAAATAATATAATAAAGAGACACGTGGGGGAGACCCAGATAAGAAACGTAGGAAATGGGGAAAGAGGGGACAAAGACAAGAGTCTTTTCATAGTTAATTTACTTATAAAAGTGTAAGAAAATGAAATGGACATGGCCATGGCAGCTGCAGCAGTGTGCAAACATTTTAGCTTTGGTTTGGTGGTTCTTCCCATGGCTGCCTTCCCAAAGCACTGGCGCATGTTGAAGAGTTCTGGGAGTTGAGAGCCAGATATGGTTTGGATCGTCGATGGTTTGGGCGTAACAGCATTGGGCATTCGGGTGTGGACGTCCCGGGACTTGTATGTGCTTTTTCAGTACCCTCCTCGTCCCTCTGTTCCTGTGCGCTTCTTCCTCCGACTTCCAACGCAGCGAGCATTTGACTACACATTTTTACTACCCGTTTAATAATAATAATTAATCCATCCGTCCCAAACAATATGCAACATATACTTTTGGTACGAGTTTTTAGGTGAGTAGTATCAAATAGAATAATTTAGAAATTAGGTGATACGATGGAAAGATAAATATATATATATTTTTTTATTTGAATGATTTAAGGAGATAAAGTGTGGGTAGAGATTAAATATAATTAATTATTTCATAGTTTGAAAATATTTGCAGAGTGTTAGGGACAAACAAAAAAAAAAAAATTGCATAATGTTTGGGACGGAGGGAGAGAGTATCATTTTATTTTCATTTATGATTAATTCATATCTTTTATATAAAAAATATTTATTTAATATTTTTTTTGTTTCATATAAATTGGATATTTCTTTTCTTTTTTTTTTATCTATTGTACGTATTTTTAAAAAATAAAATTATATATTTTATATTTTTTTAATTATAATTAAATTATTTATTTATTTTAATATTAATTTATAATTATTTTTATTAATATATTTTTTAATTATTTATTAATTATAATTTACTTAGTTTTTCGTATCTATAGTAACATGGAGAATATATTCGAGACTGAAAAATTATATATATCACTCCAGGATACCTACAGTGTCTATATTGCCGTTTATGTTTGTCCTATATCTCATGTCAATTTATCCGGGACAGAAAAAATATATATATATTCTTTTTGTCTCACCTATTGTATTCATATTGTTGCTTATCACCGTCTCATATCTAATATCATTTTTTTTTAAACTTTAATTTTATTTTAAAAATTTTAATTTATAATTTTTTTTTCAATTTTAATTAGACAAACTAATTATCTTAATTTTAATTTATAATTATTTATATTACAAAATAATTATCTTTACTATTATATTTTTAATTATTTATTAATTATATTTATCATAAATTTTCGCATAGTTACCCAGACATATTGGGTGTGTCGTTGGGAGTATTTATTTATTTAGGGTGTGTTCGTTTGGGGTTTTGGATTTTAGATTGAGATTTGAATAGTAAAAATTTTGAATTTGAATAGTTGTATGATATGATATAAATAAGTATTGATTTGAATGTAAAATTGATTTTTAATATAATATAAAAAATAGATGTTTGATTTGATATTTTTGGGAAAAAAAAATTGGATGAATAATTGGATTTAAATCCAATCCTCCAAACAAACACACCCTTAAATTGTATGACCTTGAAAGAAATTATTAAAATTCCTAAACCTAAAAAAATTATTTTCTTCGTTCTAGTTAAATTATTCTATTAAGTTTAATACGAAGTTTTACGTGTTGTTGTGTAATTAGTAAATAATTAAAAAGTGTATTAGTGAAAATAATTATAATTTAATAATATTAATTATAGATTAAAATTAAAATTAAAATTAATATGACTAAATAGTTTAATAAAATAAAAATATTATAAATTATGAATTTTAAAATGTGATAAAGTGTATAAGTATATTTCAAAAAAAAAAAGAAATGACAAATTATGTGGGACGAACGAAAATAAAAATATAAGATAAATTAAGTTGGACGAACAAAAATAAAAATATGAAACAAATTAAGTGGGACTGATTGAGTATTATTGTTTATGTGGGTGTGTTTGTTTGGAGGTTTGGATTTTGAGTTGAGATTTGAATAATAAAAATTTTGAATTTGAATTGTTGTATGATGTGATATAAATATATGTTGATATGATATTTTGAATGTAAAATTAATTTTAAGTATAATATATAAAATGAAAAATAGGTGTTTGATTTGATGTTTTTTGAGAAAAAAAATGGAATGAACAGTGAATTTAAAATCCAATTTCCCAAACAAACACACCCTTAATTTTAAAAGGGTCTTTTGGGATTAATAGTATATTAGAAAATAATAATAATATTTTATAAATTAATGAAAATGTATAGAATTTTTTTAATATATTTGTATAAATTAATATATATAATGATAGGTTTATAATTTAGATAAAAAAAATATATTTTAATATTAACTGTTATTTTTCCTAAAATTCTATGATTGCATTTACCTTCTACGTGTAATTGTCTTAACATTAAAAATATTCTTATATTTTATATTGTTTGTACAAATCTATAGAGATATTTTTTTGTCATTTTTTCTTATTCCGTATTACGTTTTATATAATAATTAATATTCAAATATAAATACTCAAAAAATAAATGTAATTCTTAAAGCCGTCCCCGCAAAGATGATTCTTTATATTTGAGCACTGGAATTTAAATAGTATGAATTAGTTATTTAATGATTAAAAAAAATTTAAAAATGTATCAAAATATTTTTAATATTATTTTTAAATAAAATATATATAATATAAATAAATAAAAAAACATTATTTATTTGTCAGTACTATCAATTAGTTTTATAAAAATTTGAAAGTTTTAAAATAAATAAAAATATTTATTAATTAAAATGAAAGATAAAATAAAAAAATTTAAATTTAAAAAGTTAAAATTTAATTAAATTATTTAAGATTGATAAATTATTAGGATCATAAGTCGGCGGGAATAATTCGGTCGTAAGTTTATGGACTTGTCAATGCGTAGCAGCTGATCTTTCCCCAAAAACCTTTGGGAGAAACCCTAGCGACTTCCCCCAAAATTCACACACGGCAAAACAGATGGCTTGGAGAGGGTCGGTTTGTAGATCTTTCGTCTCCACCGCGAGGGCTTCAGTGTTACGCTCGACGCCCCGCCGTGTCACGCCTCCTCCGCTTGCTGCTCCTCGCCGGATTGTTTTCTCGAACCCTAGGTGTTTAATTTCGAATCCATGTGCTTTAATTTGCATTCTTACGCTCCTGCGCCCGTGTAAATCATCTTATTCATTTATTTTTTCTTTACGAACTTGGTGCCGCGAGCTACGAAATCGAATTTGTTATGTCTCAGGAGTTACTATCTTTAATTTGACTGTGTAATTGTGATGGTGTGATGATTGGCTTGATTGCTTTTCCTACTTCGCGCTTTTGTGTGTGCGGGCGCTTGTTTTCTTGAGTATTGATGCATTTATGGCTTGATATGTTGGTACTGCAGGACACTTGGGGTACTGGGATGCGCGCAGTCAATGTTGCCACTGAATAGCGGGATTAGGCTGACATCTTACTTGACCGTCAATGTGCGGGCCTGCTGTGAGTTGTCCCAAGGTACGTTCTGCCTCATGAGTAAGCTTGTGATTTATGCGTGTGTCTAAGACTGTTGTTCCTGATGGTACGGTACTATTTGGCAGAAATGTGATCTGTTTTAATGTTTCCTTTTTCTATGTGAGTAATTTTAAGTTGGTTTCAGAATTAGTGATCTCGGAGATGTTTTAATGTGTTAAGGTTTGAAGCTATTGAATTGTTAATCTTAATCAAATTTGGTTGATAAAGAGAGTTGAAATTGTTGGGATTGATAGGGAGGAATGGAAAAGATGGGTGATATCAGCAGGGCCTTCTTCCACCAATCAAGGCCGGATCCTGATGCATTAGGTTGATTTATTTATTTGTTTTTCTTCTCTGGTTCGTTAATTTTGTAGTTCGACATGGTGTGGTCTTGTTTGCATTTAAGGCGGGTTTAGAATGATTTTATGATATTGTGTCTTAATTGTCTTTTGAACTAAATCTAAACTTTACAGAAGGGTAAAATGTGTAATTCTTCATTTGTTTTCTTGCCACCATGGCCGTGATCTATACTATTGGGTGCAATTTTGTAACTAACAGAGATTTTGTTTCCCATTAGACTCTGTTTTCTTTTAAAAGCAAATAGACAATCAATTTGAATCTTCTAGTTGCATTTTCATTATTCCCCTTTATTTGCTTATGTGACTTGCTTATATATATATATATTAGCTTGTGGCATTTAGGTGCTTGTTCAGTAAGATTGCATTCAGGCTGTAGGGCTACCAACAAGTCATTGAGTTAGTGGAATTTGGGAAATGAATATTTCCAATGGCATAGCTGTGTTCCCCACCACCCCGTCCCAATTTTATTTTCCTGAAGGATGTTATTAGATTTTATTTGTGTTCTGTTCCTCTTTAATGCTCAAGATGTGGAGGCCCTACATGCTGATGCCCTGTGTTATGGCTTTGGGCTCACCAAGCTCACTATAATTGGACCAAATTCAATCATCTTACAATCTTTTCCAATCATAAGATATGTATCAGTTTTAGATCATTTTGTAATCATGCCCATGTGTGATAATACAAGCTTTGTATTGGCAGGCACTTGAAGATGATGTTACACAGGGCGCGCAAGTGCTTGAAGATTTGTGGTCTTGCCAAAATAGGTATTTCGCAGGAACTGTCCCCCGGGAAATCACAAAAGAAACACCAATAAAGAACATATATAAGTGTTCTTCGTATGTACCTAGATCGTAGTTGCAATTTGAGGCTAGGCAGCAGCAGCAGTTTGACATGAAACACTGAGCACTCTTTAGTCTTTCCGCGCTCATGATTTATTTGAATACTTTCATGTGAGCAGTGGGATTTTTTCATGCTTATATCTATTTTACTGTGAAATGAAAATTTGCTTTTATTCCTAACTTATAATAAGAGCTTGTCTTTCTTGTGATCATTCTGAGATAGGAGTGATTCTAATTCTACTAATGGAGGTAAGGTACCCTGAGTACAATTGGTAATTTCATAATGAAAAGCACTCATACTTATTTAATTTAACAACCACTTGCAGATCTAATGTTATGATACATATATATTTAGGCATCAGACACAATTGAGTAGTTCTTATCTCTGTTTGCTTGTGGGCAATCCATGTGATGGTCCCATTTAGGCATAAAACATCCAGAATAGATATAAACATAAAAAACACATTAGTCTTTCCTGTCACATTAATGGAGTCTTCTTCTGTCCTCTAGTGAATATTGTGGGATCAACTTCTGTTCATTGCCCTGTATGATGAGGGATACCCAATAATTTAGTATCCAGTATTTAATTTCTATAGAAGTGTATGGATAAGGAAAATGATCTTTCTGTCTAATTAAACAAGGAAAAAAACAGTATACTTTTTATCTAATAGCATTTCTTGAAACCCCAGCATGAAGACACCCCACTTAGATCCTCATGTTTTCAGTGGAAACTGGTTCACATGCCCCACAGATCTATCCCTTTCCTGTACTTTTATTTAGGCATTATTGTCATGTCCTTAGAAAGAACCCCACCACTTTCCCATAGTAGTTTTTGATGGTCACAATATAAAAACACCCCATATGATGTCTCATTATTGTTCAATAATACTTTGTGTTATTATAATTGTTCTTTATTGGATGCGTTTTGTGGTTCACTCAACTTTCTGTTGCATGCAGTATATATAACCATATATAATGTTTCTCTATTCTTATACATGGCTGTCATCTCTTTTCTATCAAATGTCCCATAGGGAAAGGCACGATGAGTGATCATCAGACTCCCCTATACTCTTTAAGCTTGACATTATTAATGGCAGACAGCATATTTTAGCCTAGTCACATGATTTGATTGCAAAATTAGTCACTATGACCGAAATTGACAAATGGTGTTTCCACAAACAATAAGAAACACCATAAGTGGAAACAAAGGAAGATGGCGTCAGCAATGCCCCATTGAGTATGCATCTCCTACCCAAAGTAAGCACACACATATATATATATATATATATGTTTGTGTATGTACATAGAATACTCACAGACTTTCTAACTTTCACACACTTCCCACACCAATTGTACAAATGCAGAGCAGAGAAAGCAGCACCAATGAAGAAGATGGAGGAGAGTGGCTGGATTTGAGCCTGGGGAGAAATGGAAGCTGCAATACAAATCGAAATCGAAAAAATGAAGAAGGGGTGTTGAAATCAGGGAAGGTTTTCTCCTGCAACTTCTGTGCAAGAAAATTCCACAGCTCACAGGCATTAGGGGGTCACCAGAATGCCCACAAAAGGGAAAGAGGCACCGCTGCCATGAATCTTCCCATCTTCAGATCACTAGGAGTGCAGCCTCACTCCTTCGTCCGGAAACCCGGCAATGGTAGAACCACCAGTGGCTCAGCCTCTGCCTCTGTGGCCAGATTCAATCAGGGCGGTGGTGGCGGCGGCAGCTGCTCTACAGCGCAGCCATGGCTACCCCTGACTCTGCAAGAAGAAGAAGCTGCAGGTGTTTTCTGGCCTGGAAGTTTCCGGTTTGATTCGCAGCAAGCTGTAGTAATGGAGTCGTCACCGGAGATGGAGACGACGGTGATCGATTTGAATCTTAAACTTTAGGCGTTGTACTTATAGTTAGTTAGCTAGTTTGTTTATTGTATATATATATAATTAAATGTTAAAAATTTCGTGTGTTTTCAGAGATGAATATTCACGTTAGCACTCGTGATTTTGAATGTTGATAAAATGATCTGATGAGAATTATATTGGTCAGGAAGGGAGAACCTATTAATCTGTGAATTAGAAGGCCAATTCAGGCACTTTTCTGCTAGATTTAATATATGCTATATATTTTCTTAAATAAGAAATTGTATAGTTTTTCTATATATATATATATGAAGTAGTGTGGGTCTTATTTACATATATATATATATATATATTTTTTTTTTCTTTTAAAATTTCATACTATTATTTTATCGTATTAATAATTTGGAAAAAAATTAATTTTGGTCTCAATATAATCAAAATTAATTCATTTTGGTCCCAATATAACTAAAATTTATCAATTTTGGTCCAAATATAAAAAACTCATCAATTTTGGTTCCAATAGAAACAATTTCAATCAATTTTGGTCTCATTATAAACAATTTTTATCAATTTTGGTCCCACCGTTAAAAAACTAACGGAAATTGCTGACATGGACACGACGGAGGTGACGTGGCAGTTGACATGGAAAGTACATGACCATGTACAAGTATACACGGTCATGTACAATTATACACGACCATGTTGTTACAGGGCCATGTATATCTCAATATATAATTATACATGGTCATGTTGTTACACGGCCATGTTGTTACATAACTATGTATATTTCAGTGTATAATTATACATGACCATGTTGTTACACGGCCATGTATAATTCTACACGGCCGTGTATCTTTCTGTTTCTGTCTAAAATTTTAATTTTTTGTTATATTTTTTTAAAAAAATATATATTTGAATTTAAAATAGTTGATATAGTTAAAATGGAAATAATAATAATAATATAATTAAAATATATCAATTTTAGTTCAAATATAAGTGTTTATCGAGTATGTTCTTTTGAAAGAATTTGTCTAAAATTATACTATTTAGAGAAATTTTTTTGCTAAATAGTAGAATTTTAGACAAAATCTTTTAAAAGAACATACTCGATAAATACTTATATTTGAACTAAAATTGATATATTTTAATTATATTATGATTATTATTATTTTTCATTTTAACTATATCAACTATTCTAAATTAAAAAAAAAAAATTAAAATTTTAGACTGAAACAGAAAGATGCACGGCCGTGTAGAATTGTACATGGCTGTGTAACAACATGGCCATGTATAATTATACATTGAAATATACATGGCCCTGTAACAAGATGACCGTGTATAATTGTACATGGCCGTGTAACAACATGACTATGTATAATTATATACTGAAATATAAATGACCATGTAACAACATGGCCGTGTATAATTGTACATGGCCGTGTACTTTCCAGGTCAACTGTCACGTCACCTCCGTCATGTCCACGTCAGCAATTTCCGTTAGTTTTTTAACGGTGGGACCAAAATTGATAAAAATTGTTTATAATGGGACCAAAATTGATTGAAATTGTTTATATTGGAACCAAAATTGATGAGTTTTTTATATTGGGACTAAAATTGATAAATTTTGGTTATATTGGGACCAAAATGGATTAATTTTGATTATATTTGGACCAAAATTGATTTTTTCCCTGATAATTTATTGATAGGAAATCGTTATTGGAGTTATTGAAGCTAGAGTCAACACATATAAAATAGGATTAACTTTTGATTGCGAGGTTATCGGTTCAAAATTTTGATACTTCAAGTCACCCGCTATACAATTCGTCTAATGTGATTTGTCTGTCAGATTTAATTTGCAGGGTATTAGGTTCGATCGTAGTTGATCCGTCATTAAAAAAAAAAAAAAAAAAGTTGATTTTAAGCATAAAATAAATTAAAATTATTATATGCTGATTGAATTGAATAAATGTATTATAGACACATTTAATGACACAATTAATGTAGTCACGTATGTAATCATTAATATCATTCTTAAGAATTACTGTAAAATCCAAATTCATCCAATAAATGGGCTTTAATTTTTATTGATTTGGTGGCGTAACTCTAATTGTGTTTACCTATTTTGTAAATCTAATTTTCAATAAATATTATTAAAAATATAGTATATAATATATATATTATCTCATAAAGTTCGAACTACCAACTTCAAGTATGTGGAGAAAATTTTCAACAGGTTAAACTATACTTTCTCCATTTTTTTGATAATGCGTCCATAATAACACGATGGCTAAAATACTGCTTAAAGAATAAAATTAGCAAATTTCTATTGCATAAAAAAAAATATATATATATATATATGATTTTAACTGAATAACAATTTTCTGTAACTTTTTTTACATTGAAATATATATACAAAAATCTGTTCAAATAAATTAAATAAACTGTGCATGACAATAACGTACTAGTATTGATACTTAAATTTATTAGATTGAGTAATCTTGTTGTATCCTAGCTGATAATTGTGTAATTAAAATTTGTAATTAATTGAATTGTCCTAAAGTATTGTTTACATTAACAATTTATTTTGCTTTATATCAACAATAAATCTAAAAATAATCTAATTACTATATTATTTTACAATTATGTAATCTATTAAAATATTACTATTATAATTTTATCCAATAAAATAAAGTAAAATATGATATGATATAATCTATATCTAAATCTATAACAGTTTCAATCAGGCTTTGATTCTTGATTCGATACAACTTCCACTTTCACCTATATATATATTACATCAATCGATTGATTACAAAAAAAAATAAAAATTACAGAAAAACAGAATATCATAAACCCTTTCCAATAACTCCCTAAATCCATGGAGAACAATAACGGGAATATTCCGCCGGCGGCGGAATCTTCCGACGTCAATGGAGACAGTCAGGAGCATGCGCTGCCATTATTGGATTGCTTTGATCTTCTTGATATTGCTGAGAGCTCCAATGTTCGAAATCCCTCAATGCGCCTAAATCAGCACTCCCAAGAACTCAATATGGGTTACCGTTTTATCACTTTCCCGCCGCCGCAGCCGCGGATCAACGCCGGAAATCTGATGAATTCCGGCGCCGTGAATTTCAGTTATCCTCTTCGTCGATTCTCCAATGTAGGAGAGTCGTCGTCGTCGTCGTCGATGAGAATTCAAAACAGGTTGCCGATGCAGTACCCTAATTCTCGCGTCCATGGCGGTTTGAATTTTGGCGCACTTTCTGTAAACAATAATTTGAATTCATGGGGAGTTCTTCGTGATGGTGTTGGTAGTAGCAAGAACAACAACACGAATTTGAATTTGGGGAATTTAATTTCAGCTAGAAGCTATAATTATCAAGAATTACTGAGTTCAAGAAATCCCCAAATTTATGCAAATCAGGGCAACAATTATCACAATACAAACACATTGACGTCGGTATCATCATTGTCGCTGCAGACCTTAAATCCGCAGCCATGGCCGGAAAAGTTAGGATCGGAGACGATCTATCTAATGGCCATGAATTCTGAGCAGCGACTTCTCCTGGAGGAGATTTTGGAGGAGGGAAATCATGCCATCATCGGAGCGATCATTAAATCACTGAAGTATCATATCCATGAGTTAATGGTACATGAAGTCGGGAATTCAGTTATCCAAAAACTCTTTAAGGTTTGCAGTGAAGAACAGATGTCGGAGTTACTTTGGCAGCTGCTTAAATCCGATTCGGAATTCTTAAATGTCTGTTCCGATTTGTTTGGGTGAGTAACTAATTACATATCATATTCAATTTTTGATTTTTATCTTAATTGATCACAATAAGAACACATTAGATATAAATCCATTGCACGCGCACCTATAAAATACTAATACTCTGTACAACATGTGCTATTTGTTATATTTTCATATGAAATCTATAGTAAGCGCACATATAAAATACTCATACTCTATACAACATGTGTTTTCTGTTGTATTTTCATATGAAATCTATACTACGTGCATATATAAAATACCAATACTATATACAACATATGTTATCTGTTATATTTTCATATGAAATTTATAGTACGCACACGTATAAAATATTCATACTCTGTACAATATGTATTATCTGTTATGTTTTCATATGAAATCTATAGTACGCGTACATATAAAATACTCACACATATAAAATATTCATACTCTGTACAATATGTATTATCTGTTATGTTTTCATATGAAATCTATAGTACGCGTACATATAAAATACTCATACTCTGTACAACATGTGTTGTCTGTTATATTTTTATATAAAATCTATAGTATTTTTATGTGCTGATTGGAGCAATCGACATATTATTTGTTCTTTTTCTTATTGCGTGTTCACTAATCTGCGATTATTATTATTATTATTACAGAAAACGAGTCTTACGGACATTGTTTAATAATCTAAAATGTCGGAACCAAAGACTTGCGGTGGCCATTGTTTTTTGTGTGAATGCTGTTGGTCTCACAAACAAATGTCATACCTATGATGTTATTGAGCACTTTCTGGAGAGCTTTAGCCATGAAGAATACAAGGTTTGTACCATTTTTAATCTTCTAGCATTCAGTAGTTTAATTTACTTAATTTTATGCAAATATAAAAAGTGATGGGATTGAATAATTTTAATTTATTTATACGTCGATCGATTGTAGTTTTATTATGCTTAATACTCTATAAGTTGCTGAGTATTACTATTTAATTTGTATGGGCTTATGTACTGAAAATTTAAACTATATAATCAACATTGACTGCTTTTCTAACATATGTATTTTGTGAGCTTTGAAATTATATTGGCTTTCAACTACAATTGGATTTGTTTGTTTTAGTATTTTGATTTGAAGATTTTATTTTTTTTTAATATAGAATTGCATCGATAATATAAAAAATAATATTTTATATTGAATGTTAAATTAGTCAATCATAAAATACTACTTCAATTTTCGATTGAATTAATGAATAAACTAGGATTTGTGTAGTTGTGGTTTGAAATTGAATATCAATTTGAATTTTTATTTAAATAATATTTTTGAGATGAAATAGAGTATATTTTTTTATTGAAAATCGTACATGGTAAATAATACTATTGATTTAAAAATTTGACATTCTAAAAGAACAAAATTAATTTATTTAATATGATGATAAGAATTTTGATGACTTTTGCAGCTATTCATTGAGGCTGTGGCGATAAATTCAACATATGTTTGTACCAATAAAAATGGATGCTCAGTGATCCAAAAGATAATTCATCATGTTCATGCAGTTAATGATTTATCTTCTTGGAGACTTTTCACTTCGGCAATAATATGCCAAGCAGTCCAATTAGCTCAAGATCAATACGGGTACGTCTATATTTTTTTTTATTATTATTATACATTATTTAACTTTACATAAAAGCGAAGCTAATTTATTGTTTAATTGGATGAATTAGAAATTACGTTGTACAATATCTGGTGAAGAAGAAGATACCTGAGATTACACTAGCGATAGTTACTGTATTGTTGGGTAGCTTTGTGCTCCTTTCAAGCAATAAATTCGGGAGCAACGTTGTGGAGGAATGTTTGAGATCCAAAAATCCTCCATATTTAAGTGAAGCTATAATCAAAGAGATAAGCGAGTCTTCACAATTTCTTTCTATCATCAATGACCAATTCGGAAACTATGTTGCGCAAACCATGCTTGATGTTTCAAAGGTATATATATATATATATATGCATAGTCGACATTCTTCAACCTATCTTTGATTTATTTTTAAATTAAATTAAATTTGATAGATGATGATATATAATTGTGTTATGATACGACTGCAGGGTAAATCGAGATACAAAGAACTTGTGAAATATGTGAAGAATCATTATGTGTCGTTACATAGTCATATCCATGGCTCCAAAGTATGGCAAAAGATGAAGGAACTCGAGCGTGCCCGTCGCCTCAAGAACTAATTGTAAAGCTTTTTGTGTCGATATTATTTTCTAGCTATTGATTAATTATGTAATTAGAGATATAGATCTATGTAGTGTTAGCGGAGTGACAACACTAGCTTAGAGGCTTGCTAGTTGCATCGAGGTTTTTGCAGTTTTTGTGTCTTTATTTGAGCTGGATTATGTTTAAACATCTGCTTGTTTTTAAACATATTTTAATAATAATAATAATAATGATTGCGTGCTTATAATTATCCGACAAGACAAGTCACACTAAGTAAATTATGTATGGCAGCAAGATATCAAGAGATTGAGGAGTTCTTTCTACACGATTAGATCACCCTTTACGCTGTCACTTAATCGGAGATAATTATTGTGGACTAGGAAAATTGTAAAATGAGACAAAATGTGTTCAGTAGGGAGACAAAAAATAAAAAAATTATTATTTTTATATAGTACTTAGTATTACTTTTTCATTTATTTATTTCGATAGCAAAGTATGTTCTGTATATTTTTAAAAATTGGACTTTTCATGCCCTAAGCCGCACATTACTTTCACGTTCTGTACAATTTTTCATGAAATTATATATACATTTATTTATACCAAACGCCCCCTAAAAGTCAATTTGGCTTGAGCTTGTACAAATATTTCATTCTCCCACTTAGGTTTCTCGAGAGACAGTTGCTCTCCTTTAGTTATTAATTTCTCATCATTTTTTCTAATAATAATATCAAATTTGGATTTGTTCACTTAGTGTTTTAAGATTTAATTATTGTCTATAAATATTACTCCCTTTTATTCCAGCTAAATTGTTTCATTTAGTTTAGACATGAAATTTTAGATATTGTATAATTAGTAAGTAATTAAGAAGTATAGTAGTGAAAATAATTATGATTTAATAAAAATAATTATAAATTAATATTAAGATGACTAAATAGTTTAATTTAAATAAAAAAAATTATAAATTATGACTTTTAAAATATGATTAAAGTGTAATTATATTTCCAAAAAATAAAAGAACAAATTACGTGAGACTGACGAAAATAAAAAAAATTAGACAATTAAATGGAACGGAGAGAGTATTACAAACATATGGTACACGGACATTAAAACAATATATATACTCCCTCCGTCCCATGTAATATGAGTGTACTATTGTAAACACGAGAATTTATATAAAGTATAATTAATAAATAATTAAGAAGTGTATTAGTAAAAATAATTATAGATTAAGATTAAGATAATTAAAATTAAGAAAATTATCAAATTCAAAATTTAAAATGCGATTAAAGTGCATAATTATATTTCCAAAAATAGAAAGGACAAGTTATGTGGAACGGACGAAAATAGAAAATAAAGACAAATTATGTGGGACAGATAGAGTACTTTACACATTCATAAAAATTTAACCATTCAAAATAAAATATTAATTTTATATTATAAATAGAATTCTTTATAAAAAATAATCAATTTAAAAATATAATAATAATAAAAAATACTAAACTAACAAACTCAATATATTGCCAAATTGTTTTTGATATTTCCTCCAGCACCAACTATAGATTTTGGTGAAGTATTGGTATTGAGTTTCGTGACAACAAAAGAAATAAATTTTTAATGTTTTTACCGAAGTTGAAGTCACATTATACTATATTATTATTATTATTATTATTATTATATTATGGTGTGGCTCGGTATTGCTATTCTATGCCAAGGTTTGCAATTGAGGAAGATCCGAAATAAGGCTAAGAATCCTTTTAAATCTACTTAAAAAATTTAGAAAAATAAGTAGAAGTAAAAAATATTTGATTTTATATTTGTATAGAATTTTATAAAAGTAAAAAATAAAAAATTAAATTAAATATAATAAAATTAAGAGTACTTTAAAACTATCAAAATTACAAAACAACAAACATGATCTTAATAATTTATTTATAATATATATTAAATAAAAATTAAACTTTAAACTAATTGAATTCTACTATTAATTCTTAAAATTTATAAATTATATTTAATAATTTTAAAGGAACACGGTGACTAGTTAAAGTAATGAGCCCCCAAATTATTTAGTACAATTAGAAAAAAAATTATATTTTCTAATTTGGTATCTCAATAAGATACAAATATAAATTAAAATATATTTATATTTTTAAATTTTAATTTAAGTGTAATCTATAATTAATTATTTTTTTTTATTATACTATCAATTATAACTATATAGTATTATTGGCAAGTTAATATGATTATTTTATTAAAAATTCAAAATTTTAAGAAAAAAAGTTTGGACATGCGGGATCATCGAGCTCAAATATATAATATATAGATATAGATATAGATATTATTATATTTTTTTATGATGTGGCTCGGTTGTAATACCTAGAGTTGGACTGGTGCTAGACCAACTCCTATGTATAGATGAGTCAATGTCAGACCATCTAAGAGCGAATAGAGACAGTAAATTCAACAATCTTCACATTCTTTTTGAAAAATCATACTAAAAGAACTCTACAATAATTAAGCGTGGTTGTGTTAGAATAATTTGAAGATAGATGACCCTACAAAGTGTCCTTGGTACACATGTCTAAGGATAGAAGCACGTTGAAAAAACTCGTATTGACCCGTAGGACTAGTCTGCAATTCCGACACGTCCTACTTTATTTGACTTGCGGGACGGAGTATCACATTGGCAGAGCCGTTACTATCCTAGGCCAAGGTTTGCAATTGAGGAAGACCCAAAGAAGGCTAGCGATCCATTTAAATTGACTTACAAGCATTTGATTTATAATTGGATAAATATTTTATAAAAGCAATTTCCTAGAAAAAATAATTTAGATATAATAAAATTAAAAATATTTTAAAAGAATATGATGTTAATATATATATATGTATCATTTGTCAAAACTTTTTAATTTATTTTTAAATTTTATTAATTATGTTTAGAAATGTTAAATTATCTAGATAAATTAACAATATACTGTTTACTAAAGTGCTTATATATATTTTTAAAAATTTTAATTTAATTATAATATAAATTAAATAAAAATTCAATTAAATTATTAACATATTAATTTAATTATATTTTAAATTTTAAAGGTAAATTGTTTTATTTTTTTATTTTTCTCCGACCATTTTTATTATTTTAGTATCATAACGAATGGTTGTCTTAAAATAGTTGTGTAAGTGAAAATTTTTTCGACACCTACCCGCTATGTGAATTATTTTTATTTTTATTTTTTTAATACTATAAAATTCCAAATATAAAATTAAAATTAAAATATAAAAAATAAAAATTTAATTAAAATTAAAAGTAAAAAATAAAAAAATAAAAAATTTCCGACAATTAATATAATTATTTTTATTAAAAAATTTTAAAAATTAAAAAAAAAAGTCACGTGAGACCCACTGAACTCAAATAATATAATATTAATTAGCTATTAAAATAAAATTAAAACAAAATTTTTGTATTAATAATAATTTTGATCATGATATGTTCCTATTTGACTAGGGATATAATCATTTTATTAAATAAAAATACCAATTATATGATTATTTTTGTAATAAATTTATTATAATGAGTTAGAAAGTATAAAGAAAATCAAATAACTCAAGATTAATCAATAGAGAGATTCAATTTGGAGTCAAAGACCATTGACGGAGATTGCGGTCACTTCCAATGTGTTAAAGAAGGTTCGGACTCCATATCAAAATCACTTGCTATCAAGTTTGTTCGGGGTTTGGATTTTGAATTGAGATTTGAATAGTAAAATTTTTGAATTAGAATAGTTGTATGATGGATATTGATCTGATGTTTTGAATGTAAAATTAATTTTTAGTATAATATAAAAAATGAAAAATAAATGTATGATTTGATGTTTTTGAAGGAAAAAAATTGAATGAATAGTAGAAATCTGGATAAATCCCCAAAAGAACACACCCTAAATAGAGTAGTCATTTCCTTTATAAATTAAAAAGTTCTTCAATATCTTTAAATGCGGATACACTCAACACAATAGCTACCGACGGCAATTCCATTTGCGACAAAAAGCCGCTTCACGCACCTCGTTGCTCCATGCCAGCATCGCCACCGGCAGCAGTAGTAACAGATCTGGCGGCTCTAGTTCCGGCAGAAACACGGCGGCGATGTCTCGTCAGACAACTCCGGTCATCTTCTCCGGCATCATTATGCCCCAACAGCGACGGACGAGCAGTCCTCTTCAGTTATTTTATATTTGCTTCTTTTTTTTCCATATATAACTTTTTTGCTGTTACTTTTTAATTTAATTTATTTTTTAGCAACAAACACCAAAATAAAATTATAGGATAGTGATAGTGTAATATTATAAAGGATGTTAGAATTTCAGGTATTTCAATTATTTTTATTCAAATTTTTTTTTATTTTAATGCACTACAAAAGAATTCAAAAATTGCGATGGAATTTTGCAAAAATCCGCATTACGTTCCCCAATGTTTCAACATAAATTACAAAGGTAAATACAGTCCGTCGTAATTAATCATTTTTTTCAATATAAAACTGAGACAAATTTACCAAGTTGCAATGCAACAATGGAATTCATAAGAGAATATGTTTGGTCGCAAAATAGTCAATTTTATTTTAACATAATTCAATGACGGGTTTTGCAAAGAAATATATCCCGTTGCAAATATATATTCAGACCAAATTTTTTAATTTTAATACGACGAATAAAGAGAATCTGTTGCAATATTGCAAGTGCGCAACTGTCGCATTCGCAACAAATATTTCTCCCAATCTAAAGGGTGTGCATTCGGTGGGTTCGGTTCAAATCAAACCGAACTTTCAATTTTGATTGGTTTGGGTGGCATATTTTTGTCTGTGTAATTCCACTGCATTTAGTCTTTCTTGGACTGCTTGATTATTTAATGAGTCCAGAAATTAATTATTGTTGTTATAGTTATAATATGTATTGAACATACATATTTGATTTATTTAAAGTGAATTTAATTAGCAATAAGTAATATAATATATTTTTTGAATTGGTTG